TCTGCATCACAATTTTCCAGACCCAGACATTTTTGCATTTGATAGGACTCGGAGGAAGACGAAAGTAAACCTGTACTAGCCGGAAGTAAAAAGAGACCGCGGCCGAAAAAGAAAGCAGCTGCCGCAAAAGTCCTTCCGGGTGGAAGCAAGGTCAGCAAGTTTGCCCACGACGACTTAGATCTAGACCTGCAGTTGAACGCCGACGATGCAGACTTTGTGGTTGGTGACTTTCTGGACGATGCTGGAGCCGCAGCAAGTGCGGGACAAAAGGGAGCTGGTAGTAGCAGTAGTAGTAGTAGTTCTTCCTCTTCCGTGAATTTGAGTGCGAACAAGCAGGTACTCGTTCCTCCACCGGCGGCAGAAGTGCAGCGAAAGATTGTGCCAGTCGCGTCAGCATCTTCTTCGTCGTCTCCATCAACGTCTCTCCCGCCCCAGGCCATGCCTGCTCAACCGGCTATACAAAATGTCCGACCCCGCCGGTGGCGCGAAGTGAATGAGAAAGTCGGAGCGGTTAGTATCGAGAACCTTACTTCGCACTACTTCGAAGCGCTGAAGTCCGAACGACGGAAGATCGCCGCGCCTGCGAAGCCAGCGGCCGACGACCACGGCACCAGACTGCAGCTGACCAACCCCACCGAGCGCCTAGAGCGCCTCCGGGCGGCGGGGTTTGGAGTCGCCACGCCGCAGATCCATCTGTGGTCGGTGGACATGAAGCGGCAGGAGCAGGAGGCGGAGTATCTGCAACGGAAGCCGCGCTACGTCGTACCAGACTCCCGGTATTTCCATGTATCAAATGCAAACGTGTCTGGGTCTGGAGGAGTGCAAGGCTGTCGCGCTTGTCTGGCAGGACTCGAGAATCTGTGTTGCATAGGCGCGAGAATTCCTCTTACCTGTCATGCAAAAACGCAGCTTGCCATGCGGAATACGTACGACATGGCAGCCAAAAAATTTGTCATGCATAGCTGCGCACTGCAGTGCCACTGCCAGTGCGTCTATCATTCACTTTTAGCATTGCGAGGCTCCAGACCCAGACACATCTGCAATCCATACCATGTCGCGTACGACTTCACGCAGACCCTGCGCCGGGACGAAGCGATGCTGGTGTTTTTCGACGACAACAGATACAAGTACCTGACCGGGAAAAACATAGTCAGTGCTTGTCCGGCGAACCTGCCGACGGATGTGCAGCTGGTCGACTTCGTTTTCAATATGGACGTCTTCGAGCGCTTCGGCACGGGCTCCAACTTACTCATCCTGGCCGCGTATCCTGTGCAAAAGTTTTATCGTACTCGTGTGCAGGGTCTTTATGGCGCAGCTACAGAAAATGCGTGACGCGTAGATGCTTTTTTATTGACCTTATTGAGCACTTTTCATCGGGCATGCAGTCCGGAATAGCAGTAGTTTCTACCTGTCACTCTGTACACACTCACCTACATGTTCTTGCGAAGATTATTTCTACTAGAAGTGCGATATTACTTTTTTGCAATGCATACGGCAGACAGCACCTCCTGCACTCGCGGTGGGAACGACGAGTTTCGTGGCGGGGACTACGTATCCTATGTAAAAACGCCTCTGCCCCATAGCTGTAATGCAAACCTGCGCGCTGAGTCTGAGAATGTTGCTCATGCATAGCTCCATGCGAAACGGCTTCTCGTTGTGTTTCGGATTTGGTGACGATCCAATCAGCACGATGCGCATGCGCTAGATCCGTGATGCTGCTGAACTAGCTCCACAGGACTACAGTACGAGGCCAGTCGTGTTGCGCAGAACAGCCAGAGCGTGCTGATTTGCCTGCTCAGTTTCCCCAGCTTGACAGACTATGGGTCGGGGGCGTTTTGACACAGAATACTGCGATGGGGATATCAACTGGGTGTGCTGGTGTCCCGAACTGGTCGAGTTCCTCGAAGACAACGCCCCCACGCTCGACAAGGTCCGACGCCTTCGCGACACCTGCTGGGACCTGCGCGGGGAAGGGATCACGACCTACATCGAGCGCGACGACAACGACGACGACAATTCCGCGACCTTATCCAGAAGCGACGCCCCTGCAGAGAAGCAAACCCCTGCCACTAGGTCAACAACCCTAAACACCCCCGGAACAGCTACAGCGGCCTCCTCCTCGACCGCCTTGTTTATCGAAGAGGAAGCAGCACTACTGGCGGAAGCGATTCCAGGAACCATGCAGCACCAGCTTCCACCGGCGAAGAAAAAAAGTAGCACTAACAACCTGTTGGGAAAAACGATGGGAGAAATTTTGTCAAGACCAACGACTACCACATCGTCAACATCGAGTGCCGCAATAGAACGGTCTACTTCCAGTTCGTCTACTTTATTTCCAGTCGGACGCAGCCTCTTTTCCTCCTCGAGTTCATCTGGCACCAGCAATGGAGCACCTTCTGCTTTCCAGTATCAAAACAGGACGTTCCCGGCGACTACGACGGCAGACGAAGAAGTACTAGATGATGAGCACAACCACGAACGGTTCAAAGCCGCTATGGTACAAGTCTTCAAGCTATCAGAGTCGAAAAAAGCTGTGTTACATTGCAGCCTCGCGTCAGAAATGCTGACGCGACGCAACGGCAAGACAGTTTTGCCATGCTGAACAGCGTCCATGACTGTCGCATTTGTTTCGTGGGACTGGGAAGCCACTCTGCATGCTACTAGAAAAAGTATTTTGCTCTCGTTCCACCTGGCCATCTGTGATGCTGTCAACATAATTCGAAATAGTCATCAAGTCCACAAGCTTGAGGCGAAGTGTGAATACAGTTTTTTTCCGTGCATACTTGCGCTACACGGGGAATTCTTCGCAGTTTGGCGGCTCTTTGACCTCAGCCGCAACTATCAAAAGGAAAAATCTCACCTCCCCACATCAAAAACGAAATTTGTGTTGCTGTATTTGAGTACACAAATCGTTGTGTATTGCTAGAAGGCCAAAAGAGACGCAGTGGCTCCCTAGTTTGGAGGCAATTTGTCATGCTATTTCCCGTTTCCAGTTGCTTCCTGTCATGCTGAAGACGCAAGTCGTCCGTGCGCTTGCCAGCATTACAACCCGCATGATCTCTTCCCTTCTACCATCACAAAGCTGATTTGTGACCACAACTCTGCATCACAGATTTCCGTTTTGATATGGGGAGGGGGCATTTTTCATTGTAATAGCAACTTCGCGGTGGTTCGACGTCGTGGAGCGATTCGGCCCTGCGCACCCCCGCGCCATCGGTATCCTGTGCAAAAACGTTCCCCCCCCGTACTTCTGTCATGCATATCTGCACTCCTAGAAATGTTTCTCATGTGCCGCCCCATAACAAGTACTTTCATTTTGTAGTTGTGTTTTGGGTTCTGATGTGATGCTGAAACGACGATCGGTAAGGCGATCAGTTTGTGAAGATGCGGCCGCACTTTTTACTAAACACGACTACAATCTGAAACCAAATCTGTGATGTGCGACACACAAAAGCTGTCGATCTGTGTTGCAAATTCCCATCTTGTGATGAGTCTGGGGCGGGGACGTTTTATTTTCCTCAGGATAATCGGGCTGGCGTATCTGGCGCGGGCTTGCTATGGAACTGTCAGGATTGAAATTGACAAAGTTGAAATAATTTGTGATGCATAAAATCTATACCAGTTGGACCCACAGTTTCCAATCGGCGCATGACAAATTTTCCTGGCCTCTGAAGCAAGTCTGTCATGCTGTTCAGGGCAAGATAGCTGCTCCCTGTCATGCTAGTCAGCAGCCCAATGCTTGACCCTTACCAGCACTAGAATCTGCCTCCCTTGCGCCTTCAGCAATAGAGTCAGTCTCTGTGTCGCATTTTATGCATGACAAATCATTTCAACTTTGTCGATTTCAACTCTGACACATCCATACTTGCCTGGACATGGTGAAGGGGAACCAGTTATCAAATGCAAAAGTGTCTGGGTCTGGAAGGATACAACTTGTGATGCTACTTTTGGAATCTACATAAAAACTGTATTGCATGAACAGCAAAAGAGGTGTAATTTGTGCTACACGGAGAGGGAATTTCTCACGCGGTATGAGCATCAGAAAGCCCTCGCAAAATCTCTGATGCTAGGGCATGCATCACATCAGACCTCATGGGTCATGCAAAATCTGCATGACAATCTCCTGCATTCTTCCAGACCCAGACATTTTTGCAGTTGATACCAGTCGCCGCTCCGGCTGAAGAGGATTCTCGACGTAGAGCGTATAACCCGCTCAGGTGTTACAATCTCAAGCGTTACAATAGAATCTGGACTTTGTGTTGCAAGAAGTGCATGATCTACCCTACTCCCACAGGCTTGCGCATGACAAGTTCTGGAGTCCCAATCCGCACTACAATGTGGCGAAATTTGTATTGCAAAAAGTGAGACGCTGTCCGAGTCTGTCATGTTGATCATGCAAGACAAATCTCAGATTCTATTGTAACGTTTGAGATTGTAACGTTTGAGCAGGTCATAGAGCGCCGGCTCGATGGCGTCGCTGTCTCCCCTGCTGTGTGGCGTGGTCGCGTGAAGGACCCGGCGAAGCTGAAGGCACGGAAGCAGCGGGCACTGCTTAAAGTCCATGCGGAACTGCACGAGAGGGGGTTTCTGGTTGGGAAACAGGCCAAGAGCTGGAGCTTGGGCTCCCGCTGCATAAAAGAAATCGCAGAGCAGTTGGTACGGGAAGACCCGGATCTTGTGGACAGGCCCGACTATCGCACAGAAAACTACTACACCCATGCGAAAGAAGATGAAAAGTAAAGCTGCGTTGTTATTTTTGAGTCATAGTGTTGACAAGGTTTTGCTGGTGACTGTTCAGCACAGCAAAGTTTTTTCTGCCCTCTCTGGTCGCTAACTTGCATGAGAGACTGCATAACTCTGCACGACAGCACAAGATCGCCTGTCGTTCGGGTGGTCTGCGCATTACAGAGTTTTAGTGGCGGGACTTTACTTAGCAACAGAAAATTCTTTTTTCTGGTATGGGTGTAAGGACTACTTTTCTGTTGGATACCGCCACGACAATGGATGCGTCCAGTGGCAAGAAGCTGGGTCTACTGGCGGAGAATTATCCTGTGGGAAAACGTCCACGCCCGCTTTGGTAGTTGTCACGCAAGAAGTTGACGCATGCAGCTCCAAGAAAAATCGAGAGCTATTTGCTATTTAATATCTTATTCGAGAAACACAAACATAGATTTGTCGTTCTCTGAACAGCAGGCTGCGCGTAGCTATCTAGCTTCTTGTCCTCCCGAGGACTACGCTTTTCTTCCAAGAACAGTCTGTCACTATCGCAAATTGCAGACCTCGTTAAAAATTTGACTAGCAGCCCTAGCTATTCCTAGCCCTACCTGTACCTACGGAGCGGGGACGTGTATTTTACTCCGGGATAAAACTAAGAAAACCAAGAAAGCCGGTGTGCCGGCGTTCCACGACCAGCCGCACGGAACAACATCTTCTACCACAGACACTGCTGCTGCTTCGCTGCTGAAGCGTTCTGCCCCTGACGAGGAAAATAGCCGAGCTGATGAACATGTGGGCGAAAGGTTCATGATCGCGGAGGAAGATGATGTAGTGGACGTTTTCGAAAACTTGGTGGAGGGTGTTGACGACCTGAAATTAGATGAGTTAGCAGAGCAGGACGAGGAGGACAACGACTTCAGACTCCGCACGCTGCGCGAACAACAAAGCAGCACCGTACTAAACCCCTCGGCAGCCACGGACTTGGAAATCGAGAAAGTGATCGACCATATGCAGTGCAAAAACTACCCTGCAGGTGCAGCCCCCAAGCTGGTTGTTGAGTTTTTAATTTGCAGCTTTTTGAGTTGTAGTTGCGAAAAAGAGCAGCTTCGCTGCTTTATTTAATCTATGCAACTACATGGGTCGACTAACTTATTTTTGCAAGATCAAACTGGCCGAGATTTTTACACGCTGCATTGGCCTTTTTTTACCTACGCCGACCTGCGTTCTTGAAGAAGTTGCGTTTCGAATTTTCTTGCAAAAACAGATCGCAGCGTCAAGCATCATGTGCGTGACAAAATGGGGGCGGGGGCAACGGGTTTGCACTGCATAGCGTTCTACGTTGGATTGAAACAAATCGGTCGGGCCGGCGGTGGAGAGTTCTTCGACCAGCTGCAGGCAAGGACACGTGAAGTTTTGGGTTGTGTGGAAGACGGCAATGTGGACAATTCTAGCGGCCTGAGCAGTTCATCCTCGTCCTCCCAACTACAGGCCGCGAGCCCTTTCACGACCAGCCCCGCCGACCTGCGACGGAAGAGGCACGAGGTGGCCAAACGGGTCTATCGGATTTGCATGCGGGACCTGCTGCGCCGTCGAGCAAAGCAATTCCTTACGCCGCGACAGCGAAAGCGCGGACTGGAATTCCCGCCGGCCTCGAAGACGCTCGTGATCCGACTGAAGACGATCATGCAGCTGCCTTTCGAGTTATTTCCGCTCGAACTGTGCGCGCTCAAACAGGAGGCGCTGTTTCGCCGGTTCGGGGAGGAGGGGAAGGGGGAGGGAGGGAAGAAGCTGCGCTTGGTGCCGCTGGAAAAACTCCGCTTCAGCCAGAGGCAGATCTCCCCCGTTTTCAAATGCGGGAAGAGCATCGAGGCCGTGCGGGACGCCCTCGCGTCTGGCGGCCTGACCGTCTTCGACTTCCCGCCGCTGATGGTCCACAGTGTCGAGACTGTCGCAGACCCGGCGGCCCGGGGTCTCTACTCCGCAGACAACCGGCGGCTGTGGTGCTTCCAGGAAGCCCGGAAGGCGGCGGAGCTTATCCACTGCAGACGTGATGTCGGGGTCTGGGAGAGAAGTGCGAGCCTGTGGCGCTCGGTCTGGTCGATATTGTAAAAATCTGTTCTGCGCAGCCAGCAAGTAGACCTCCTTTTTCGACGCAGAGAATAGATCTTGCATGGGGGATACATACTAAGCATTGGGAGCCATAATTCGAAAAACCTGTGAAGATGCTAGTAGGGCTTGCATGATGACAGACGACCACCTTCTGTGTCATGCAAAGGCAGCAGCACAAAGAAAGCTGTGCACTCTAATTCCAGACCCAGACATACTTATTTGCACTTCATAAAGCTTCAGAGCGTGAAAAACGACCTCACAGCCGTCCCGTGCTGGGTCTTCAACGAGGAGTGCGGTGCGGCGCTGCATCCAAAGCACCTTCTGCGAATCCAGGAGGTCCTGGGCGAGGGCGGTGGCTACGGGAGAACGGTGTCCGTTCGCGGACCCGGCGGGCACGTGTTTGGTGGCGAAGTGAAGGAGGCGGTGGAGGTAATAGACCTCACATGACCTGTTCTGCGATCCTCGTGGGAATGAGAACATTTTTTGCGCGCGACGAAGTGCTAGAAGGTAGTCAATTCATTGAAGAATCCTACTCAAACACAAACTCCTACTTTGATCTTCTATTTGATTTTACGTCCACTCACAGTTTAGGTTTACGTCCAATTATTTTGATTTTACTTATGGTCGAGTGAACGTCCACTCACATGAGAATGAGGCAAGACAAATGTTCAAATGTCAGGACAAACACAAACATGATGATGATGCTTTTGATTTTACATTTGGAATATAGATACTTACTCCTTCCACCCAGAATGTAACACTGTGGCAAAGAAAAATACAGATTGCTCCGCTTGAGTCGAAACAAGATAGAACGAGAACTAGGAGTGTCACTGTTCTCTAGGAAAAATAAACATTTTCGCCATCGGGCACGAAAGTAGGGCCAGCTTTTTTGCCAAGGCTCCGGAGTCAAGTAAGCAAGCGATGAAGTGTTGTGGTGCTTTTATGGCGCAAGTTCCTTGTTCAGTAGTTGCGAATCGTTCTCTTGTTCAGTTGTTGTTGTTTTCCTTTTCACTAGTCTGCTGTGGTCGTGGGGTTGATGAGAAGTGGTTTCACTCAGGAAGATGATTTAGATCCCGAATCTATCATAGCAACCGTGGGAAAAGCAAGAAAAGGAAATAAAACCAGGAGTAGTTCAGACTATTAGTTGCCGGATAGTTGTACGTGGAAACCTCGTCAAGGCATCTTCGGCATGACGCGAGGAGAGGTGTAGAAGGGTGATAAAGATCGTGTGCAATTCCAATTGCTATTGGGCTGTAAAAAAAAAGTTGTACAACTCTTCTAGTAGATCTACTTCGTCAAACTGAAAGTCCGTGTGAGGCAGCAACTAGCAGATGGTCGCGCGCTTCTTGCTGCGGTTCTTTGACCTCGGTCGCGCAGGTTCTTGCACTTTGGCGGCGCAGCAAGCAGTTTTGTTATTTTGCGCTCCAGCGTTCGGATTGGACTTGGAGGGTAGTTTGAGCAACGGAGGAGCCGCGCATACCTCTTCGCAGAATGGAAAGCCCAACGCTTCACTGCTGCAAGAGAGCGAGATACCAGGGGCGCCTTCCCACGGTGATGCCGGTCCGAGCTCAGCGTCGGGAGAGCTAGCCGCCACGAGCAGAAGTAGAAAAGATCAGGATCTCCTCGATGTCCCAGCATCGCCACAGGCTGAGCACGTCGCCCTTGGCCAAGACGCCGAGTTCAACTTCTCTTCACCGAGCGACGAAGCAGACGCAGAGGAGGATGAAAGCGTCATTGGTGCGGCTCATGAGGCTGCCTCCATGTTGGCCCCCGCAGGTGGTGGACGAGAAAAAACGAAGAGCAGTGAGCGATCATCTCCTTCGTCTTTCGCGGCGAAGACGACCGGCGCAGCAGCGCTTGCGACTGCTCTGGGAAGTGGCCAGCTTGATGTTCCACCACCAGATGGCGATCATCCGCCGGAGAGCACCGCCAGCAGTACTCGATCACTTCTGGAGGAAGAAGGCGATGTGGTGGCTGAGGCGGAGCGCGCTTCTTTTTCTCGTGCGCCAGATGGAGCGATGAAGACCATGGGGAACGACGACCCTTCCTTCGAGGCGATGAAGCGAGAGTTGCGTGGTTTGATGCTGCAAGACTTGAGGCGAGAGTTGAAGGAAGAGGTGAGGAAGGAAATGGCTGGGCAGGACCTTCAGAACCGGGAGGAGATCGCGAGGCTTTCCCGGGAGAATGCGGCGCTGAAAGCAAGAGCGGAGTCTTTTGAGGACGAGACGTGGCGTTCGTTCCAGCGACTTCGCTGGGGCGGGGCCGCTGTGTATCACATGCTTCGATTTCTTCTGTGGGTGTTCATCGGCACGGCGCGGAGCAACCAGCAGATCACGTTTGTACTGCTCTCGTTCGGATACATATTCGTCTGGATTGCTTCCGCCGCGCCGTGGTACTTGGTAATGTTCGCTAGTGTAGAAACGCGCCGTCGGTACTTTTCGCGGGGCCAAGCAAGTAATCGCAGTCGCGGGCAATCCTCCGAAATTCACCCGGCAGAGGACCACCTGCGCGCCGGGACAGAAGGGACGACGCAGCTGCAGGGATCCGAGAGTGGATCGTTGCTTGCGATTGCTAGTGAAGTTTCTGATGGTGGTGCTGGAGGAGAGGACGGGACAAACCAGGGGCGTGAGCAGGAACAGCTTCTAGCCAAGCATGCCGAGTCCGAAGCAGGTGACAAGACGGACGAGGGGCAGGAGGATTCAGACGACCCGCTTCCAAATGATTTCGCGCAGGCTGGGACCCTCTCTTGCGTGTGTCAGCGGCGCGATTCCGCAGAGGGGCTCATTTTCACGCTCTGTGTGGTGCTGTACATGATGAGCTCCTTGTTAGCGGTGCCTTCATTCGAGGCCTACCCGGCGTGGTGCAAGTGGCGAGACGTGGATGCGCTTTTGCAGGGCAACCCGGGGCTCCCGCGCATGCAAAACTGGAAGGAAGTGTCCGCTCGGGCAGTCTGGCACGTGTTTCCGATTTTCTGCTTCGTTAGTGTGGCCGTTTTGCCTTCGACCACCGATGAGGTCGCAAAACTCAAGGTTGCACGCGCAACGCTTCTCACCATTCTGCATGGAGTAGGTGCATTTTTGGGCTCAGTGACGCTCCTGATCTTCGAATCGGTGCAACTCTTCTGGGGCGAAAACGTGCCGCTCAGCTACTTGCTCGTGATTTTTAATTCGCGGGTGCCTACCAATTTCGACTTCTGGTCCACTGATGCGCAAGATGCCTCTTCGTTCGGCGGTCTGGATTTTATGGAGCCCCATGCCTGGCACGGCGGCTGCATCGATTACGAAGCGGAGCCCATCCCCTGGAATCGGTGGGCTTACGTGCGTCTGGTAGTGCTGGTCGCCGCTTGGGTGCTGGGGTTTCTCTTCTTGTCTTGTATGTTTCTGCTTTCTGTCTTGGATGCACCAGGTGCACCAGCGAAGGATGTTGTCCGGGGTTTGTCTCTGCTCCGGACACTGAAGGTGCGGCTGCGGACAAAAAAACGGATGGCCCGGGCGACTTTCAGTTTCGAAATCCTTTTTATGTACTGTTTGTTTGCCCTGCCGCTGCTCAGCGCCTACTCTCGCCTCCACGATCTGAGTTCCGGCTGCTTTCTGCGAGCTAACAACACCTCTTGCACGAATTGGGTCGACGAGTTTCTTGCCCCCGTCACTTTCCATCGCATGCTGGATTTTGTGCCCCCGGAAAAGCTGTACCTTCGCGGGGAGACGCGGGAAGAGCGAGAAAAGATGACTCGTTTGTCGTATTTCGACTTTGCCGCCTGGCCCGCAGCCGCCTTCGAAACATTCACTGCGAACACGGGCCCATCTCTTCGCATTTTTGCGTACCAGGACTTGGCTACGGAGCTAAAATTGAATCCGCACAACGCAAAATTGTTGCAGCAGACGTTTCGTCCCTCGACACGGCCCGGCAAAAAACCCACTCTGTCCACCCTGGTCGACCGTGAAAAAGTGGCCATCCGCGAAGGCGAATTCGCTGAGAAGATGGCCCACTTCGCAAAACTTGAAGAGATTAAGCGCAGAAATAACAACGCTGAAACATATCGGAATATCAACCTGGACGAGGTTCGTTTTCACGGCAGGAGAGGTTTACAGATGGTGAACAACTCGGCGTGGAACACGACTCGTACAACGGGTGCCGCGCCGCCTGCTCTAACGCCTGCACCGGAGTCAGCATCTTGAGCTGTTACTTCAGTATTTCTGCCTCACAATCCCAAAGAATGAAAAGACTAGTAGTAAGACACGTTAAAAGAACAGCAACAGCTTCATCAAGGTCGAAATCGCGTTAGGCTTGTAAAAACTGTAGTCCGCGTTCGGGCAATGAAAAAGTTGGCTCGTAGTTGCGCAGCAGAGCGGAAGGAGCCTTTTCCTTTTCGTGCACATTGTGAACAAGTACGAGCGTGCTACCTCTCCGCAGATCATGTCGGTGATCGTCCTCCCTTCACCATGAATCTGAGGCATTTTTCTGAATGAAGAATGTCTGCTATGATCTTCTGCGGTAAACGTAAAGTTGATTTCTGCGTCGGCATTCATTGTTGGTCCAATTGATCGGTCGCGACAACATATCTTGCAGGTTCTAGGGTCCAGTTCGGTTCGCTATGCGCGGAAAATAGAGGAAGATCAGGATGAATATCCTAGATGAAATCGGTGCAAGCAGCAGGAGGTTGATTCGAAAAATTGTCGGTCTAGAGCTTTAGGTCCGCGTTGTATTGGTTAGTAAGTACTGGTAAAACTAAAACATGTATCAGCATCAGAGAACTCTGTAGGGATCGACTTCGGTGTATTGACACGTAATGGCATCCAATGGAAAGAATTCAATTCCTGTATTCTCACAAAGACAAAAATATCACGAGTAAGTCGTTGCTTGTCGCGATAAAAGAACATCTTGACGCAAATGCTACATCAGCTGCAGCTCGAGCACTAGCCTCGCCTGTTCAACAACAACAAACACTGCACTGCCATCTGCAAGCACGCGAAATAAAGAAGAACTGTAACTAATTCTACGGCTGTATTTTGTCTTTTGAAATCTTCCTGGTCCTTGTTCTTCTTCCTACGAGGAAAAAATAGTTCGCTCTCTAGCACAAGTGCGCCGCTCACGATTGGATACGACCTGTGCCACCTGTCTGAATTGTCCTTGTACGAAAAGAAAGAAGATGTCCTCCAGCAGTTCCTCTTCCCCGTATGTGCTTTGCACGGGCGGCCTCGGCTACATCGGGTCGCACACCGTGATCAAGCTTCTCGAAAAGGGGTTTCGCGTTGCTGTGCTGGACAACTGCGCGAACAGTTCGCCGGTAGTACTGGATCGGATTGCGAAGATCATGGGGAAAGATGGCCTCGTAAAGTTTTTCAAGCTGGACCTGCTAGAGAAGGAGAACGTCATCGAGCTTTTCAAAGCGGAGAAATTTGATGGAGTATAATACGTCATACGTAGTTTCTTGTTGCTCGGCGGGAGGCCATTGCTTCCAAATTTTGTTAGAATCGGCGCGCCTTTGAATTTGAAACTGTACTTCGCTTCTCGCCGCGTTTGTACCGCGTTTGATCTACACGTGAAATTGAAAGTGCGCGGAATAGTAACAGAAAATAAGAGCTGCGACTTCTACGATTCATTTCAATTGTTCCTCCAGGTGATCCACTTCGCAGGCTACAAGGCAGTCGGAGAGAGTGTGGCAAAGCCCTTGGAATACTACCACAACAACCTGACGGGGACCCTGTACCTGTTGGAGGCCATGAAGGTGGTGCCTAACTGCCGTCGCTTGGTGTTCAGTTCCAGCGCGACCGTGTACCAGCCCTGCGAGGTTCCTCTCGACGAGGACAAGCCTCTGGGGCCCTCGAACCCCTACGGGCAGACGAAGTTCATGATCGAGCAGTTCTTGCAGGACCTCTGCGTCTCGGACGCCACCTTTGCGGTGGACATTCTGCGGTACTTCAACCCGGTGGGCGCGCACCCCAGCGGTTTGATTGGGGAGAACCCGACCGGGCCGCCGAACAACCTGATGCCCTTCATTCAGCAGGTCGGCGTGGGGCGGCGGGAAAAGCTGACCGTTTTCGGCAACGACTGGCCCACGCCCGACGGTACCGGCGTTCGGGACTACCTCCACGTGGACGACCTCGCGGACGGCCACATTGCGGCTCTGCAGTACATCGAGGGGAAAACTGGTAAATTACTGTCTGATAAAAAGTACGCACGCGACCCCCGTGTCTGTGCAATGAATCTTCTTCGTCCTCGCAATATTCACGAATGATCGGTATTAAGAGGAGAGCTTTCAGGAAACTGAAGGGCAGTTGTTGATACTTACCACGACATCAAGACCATTACTTCCACAACCTCGTTGTTCAGTGGGTCGCTGCCAGAACAGCAGGATCAAAGAGCGAGCACCACGTCTGTTTGAAACAAGAGTGGATCAAATAAATGAAATAAAACATCAAGACCATTATCTGGAATCAGGCTACGAAATAACTTTGGTGGTTGTTTTTCTTGCAGGAGTACTATTTCTACTACGTCGGTCCACTGAGTACTAAGAGCTACTTGACAACACTAGGAGGGGATTTGTCTGTGTTCTGTGAAGGTCGGGTTTTTGTGTACAGATGAGTCGCAATCTGAAATCATTACCAGGTTGTTTTGTGCACAACTTGGGAACGGGAACGGGCATTAGCGTCTTGGAAATGGTGGCAGGATTCGAAAAGGCCAGCGGAGGGAAGATTCCCTACGTGATCGGACCCCGGCGTCCGGGTGACCTGGCGACAGTCGTTGCGGACCCGACCAAGGCGCAAACGGAGCTGAAATGGAGAGCGACGCGAAGCATCGAGGAAATCATGAACTCCGCCTGGAAGTGGCAAAGTGGGAATCCGGAAGGGTACCCGAAGGCGTAAATGAAGCGGCTCTACTTCCGACTCGCGTACTCACTTTTGTCAGCTCACTTCAATTATTCACAAGCGAAGCGAGAGGCTCGTACTCGTTGTTCATCTCCTCGGACGCGAGGTTCATAAAAATTCCAGTGACTATCCACGACTACAAAGTTCTACTGTAAAAACTTTTTCTACAACTGGTCTCTAGACTAGATAATTTCGCTGGAGAAAGAACTCCACGAGTCAGCAAATCGCCTTGCTCCAGTTTTTCTTGCAGTCCACATTGTGATAGACCTTTCTCTTCGCGATGCAGCCACTGTGAACGCGACTCTGCCGGTTTCTACAAATATCCAGACACCCGACTTGCAAATCACTCCTGTGATGGGAGGACCAGCACGGTTGAGCACCGCTGTAGTCCCAGGTAGTTGAAAGAGACCATGCGAAGAGTATCTGTATGAGGGCCACCGTCGGTGTGCAGCAACACAAAGGCTTGGTGTGAGATTGTTCCTGCTTCCCTCGGAAATGAATTTTGGTCGATTTGATCTTGGGTCAGGGCGGTTTGTTCGTTGGATGTTTCATCTTCTCGACACCGGTCTGCGTATCCTGGTTCGCTTTGAACGGATCATCACAAAGTCTAGATCTTCAGAAAAGTCGTGAGCGTCTATGTCGCCAGGAACATGATCTCGGTGTCAATACTTAGTAATCAATTGTTCCTTCTCGTCGTACTCGTAGTTCTCTGCAGGGTCATTTTCGCTCGGGCTTTCGTGCGGGGAGTTTTACCAGTTGGCATTATTTTTCATCGCAGTGTGCTCATACTCTGCTTGTTGTTTCCCCTGTCGGTTTGGTGCACGTCGTTATTTCTTTCTACGGGTTAGTACTCATTCTTCGATTGGTCACGAGGAGATTTTTCGGGGGAGGAAGCTATCGTTGGCCTGTACTAGTAGTTCAAATTACTCGTCTTGTTGCACGGAGCCCCTCGACAGACCTCATCTTCTTCCTTTTCACATCTGGATAAGTTGTAGTGTCGTCGAAGAAATATGGTACTTACAACGAACTATCATAGGAGTTTTTTTTTGTAGAGGACCTGGCCACGAGGCGGGTCGGTTCTCGGTGTCTTAGAACCGGTGGTACGGTAGTGAAGATGTTGTGACGAGAATATGCCAATAAGGATAATGATACCGGTTTTTTGTACTAGTACGAACATTTCTAGTACCTGTCTTAAATTAGAAATGGAATTTTACAGTAGTGTTTGTTTTCCACCGACATCTACTTGCTAGATCGTGATATCATCAACACATGTTGAGCAAATTTCACAGGAAAAAATCCGCAGCTAATATTGACCATCCGTGGTAGAAATTAAAGTTTTACATTCGCTTACTTTAACTGGTTCTGCTCGCTTATGCCGCACCCCCCCAAACGGGAGTTCATCCCTCGCCGCCCGTCTAATGTGCGGTTCGTTCGTTTCATGGGAACCCGGGGCACGTTGTGCCGCCCACAGATGATGCGCGTGGAGCAGCTCTACCTGGATTTTGAAGACATCATAGAGTCGCAGTACGATAGCATCTTTTCAGACGGGGTGCCGTGGGATGGGAGAGGTATCATCCTGCAGGATGGAGAAGTTCAAAAAATGTTTTATCCTTCGCTGCTAAAAAGTAAGAGTAGAGACATGATACAGGTTCGAATTCAACCGGACAATTTTTTGCTTTATTTCTTTCCGACCATTGATTCATCCAAATCCAAAAACAAAAGAATTGTGCCGATCAAAAAATGAACAGGGTTTTGTTTCTACACGGGCGACTATGAAAAGAGTCAATAGTTGTATGCCGCTCTCACTTTGTACCCCCAAAGAACTTGAAGTGCATAGAGAAATTGACCCTAGGAATGGAGAAGGAGCTCACCACAGTTACTGCTGGCAAGACGAATTTAGAATTGTAAAGTGCGGTTTGCAAGTCGCTCTCTTGCATGGGACGAGGGATCACGACGGTAATGCACCTTTCACCAACGGGGGTACAATAAATGTGGGGTCTTCATCTTTTTAATTCCATATCTCTGGCCGGCTTCTGCGTCCGGATCAGCGCCTAGAGGAGGCCAGCAGCGGGCCGTTATCCCGCAGAAAAACTGATACCCATATTACTCCATAGGCGAGATGGCAACTCTGTGAGAGAAATCTAGAAGGTTCGCGAGTCTCGTTGACCACATGTTTGCGTATGCAGTTTAGTCCTATGCCCCGTTGTATTTAGTCCAGACGCACGACAAATCAGCTCATGTCAGATTTTTTCCCAGCACGATGAGAAAATACAAATACCTCCTGGGCGGGGGCATGCAACTCTGCTCGTCAACTGACAATTGTAGTGTGGGTACGTTTTTACACAGGACAGCGGACCATAGTGATTTTTTGGGCTTTCAACCGGGTAGACAACTATCCTTCGTGAAATCCAAACGTGTCGCCCAGCTCTTGAGACTTGGCATGCAAATCATCTTATAGCCAACGACAATAATTGCAATATGTAGGAGGTGCCTGGTGCAGCTTTTCAGTTTTCCGTTCATCCGCTGCATTTTACGAGCGATGAAAGGAACAGAGATATGTGACGCTGTACTACTGCTCACGATCATTGACAGCAGGCCTCGGTTTGTTATTCACACAGGATAACAATGATAGCATACACTACGACCCGCCGCAGTTTCTTCCGCCAGGCTGCAGGGAAAAAGAGATCTGGGAAGAGCCGCCGGATCAAGTAGAGGAAAAAGACGCACACTCGATACGACGGTACTTTTCTTGATAAAGGCATGCTATGGTTATGGTTTTTCTCTCTTTGTATTCCACTGTCGATCTGAGATGCGATAGCATATTGTATATTGAGTTTTATCTAGCCATTGTGTACATGATCAACCGTGAAGTAGAAGCCAATGACAAATCTCCCAGGTGTCGACTCGCCCGCAGGATAAGGGAGCAGAGAGGCAGCAAGTTCGACCATGAGCATATGGGAAGAATGCGTCAGGCCGTGGAAAATAGAAGTCGACATTTTTACTGGATGAAAATTCAATATCTGTTGCATCGATCGTATGTTATGCAACGTGCAAGCTCTTGTTCTACGACACGACCACGAAGCAGAGCGCTCTTTTTTGTATGCAGGACACGCAAGCATGAGCATGGAAGCCAATAGAAGACCTGACGCAACATTTCCATAACCCAGCGGTTGAAGGAGATCGAACGCAGAAAACTCTTCGACCGTGCGGTCAAGTACGAGGAGTACGCAAAGACGCTTGCGAGAACCGAAAAAGAGGTGATGGCGAACGACGACATCATGTGGAAGTTCGAAATATCCTGCGGAAAAACGGGGCCCGCACGACCCCAGAGTTGTCTGTCATGGCAGATTTATTGCATCTACTGGAACCGATTTGACGATGTCATGCGCATCCGCATGAGAGGCATCGCATTTCTAGTCGACGTGTGTTGGCATTTCTAATGCTGTAAACAGGATAAGCAGATGGATTCGTGGCGCCGGTATAATCCTGGCCAGCCTGCACTGCACTACAGAGAGAAGCTTGTCGTGCGTGACTGTCAAAATTTCTGGATTTGTGTTGCAAAATTGACTCTAGGGTGTGGACGTTTTTACACAGGATACGAAAAGCAGTACCCAGGCGGGACGATTCCGGAAGCGGAACGAAAGCGGCTACTGGTCTTCTTCGGTTTGATATGCAAAGAGAAAAAGGGTTACAGTTACCCCTTGTGTTGCGGGCCAAGCAAGACAGATCGCCTTGGTTTTGCGCGAAATGCTTGCGAGTCTACTTGCTCCATACGTGTTTTGCCTTATCATCTCTGCATTGCAAGTCTTCTCTTTATTCTTGCTGAGCTTCTTTGTGTCGCTGAAGTTCCAACAAATGCGTAAGTAACTGTAGCACTTTTTTTTTTTTGGATATTTGAAAGAGCCACGGGGGCGAGCTGCTGCGACCGGAACCGGGTCCAGTAGGATGATGAAAATCAGACACGCCACCGACGCGATTCGTGGTGTGAACGTGGATCTTGTACACGACGCTGCAAATATTAGACAAGGAACAACTTCTACAGAGGCAGGAGCATCTGCAGTAGTTTTACCAGCGGCTTTTTACCCGGAACAAGAAATTACCCAACGACCCACAACAGCACCGGTAAAAGGATTACGGCCGCAGCAGGGTAATAGAAGTACACCTACAAGTAATAAATTTGGCGCCACGAAGATACAACAACAACAGTCGTTGCACGACTTGAACAACAGCACTAGACCTCCTCCACAATTGCAGAGACCTCCAACCACGGGAAACAAGAAAAGCTACGTTGCCTCGACGTGCACAAGACTGCAGCCGCAAAGCAGAAGCATTAAAAACAACTATGCACAAGCCTCCTCAACTGCCGGCAACGGGATGATAAGAAACAGCGGTCTGCTGCAGGAAAACACGCAGCAAAAGAAATTTGCCCCAGCATCGCGTGCGCGAAATAAGCGGTAGGTACAGCCGCACGGTATCACTTTCATTTACATTAGTCATACGACGTCACGACACTTTTACATTACGACGCCTTTGTTTCTATGTTTCCTTCTATTGCGACACAGGCTCATCTGATACACTCGGGCTGTCCCATTCAGGTTTTACACCTAGTCTGCTTGCTGCTCTTTTTGCTTATGCTTGTTACACCGTGTTTGCATCCTCTGTGCATATTGTACTAAGAAAAAAATTGGAACAAACGCTTCCCCCCTGAGCTTTTTCGGTTAGAGAACTCGTTCTTGCTGAGACCTTGAGTTTTCGGTTGAAACACCTTTGTACCAGAACCAAATGAGCTTGCCTCACGTCACCACAAGCGAAAGCCACTGCTTTTCCTTATCGGTTTCAAACATGTACTACACGCAAGGAAGAACATTGACATCTTGTCGATTTATCCATCGGACCCTGGAGGGTGCAGCCGTTGTTATTGCTTTCGGTGGTTCATCTCTGTGAAAGAGTCGATCGGGAGTTGTAGAGAGTCCTCTATCGTCGCCCTAATGAATGAGAGTGCTGCAAATGCTTTGGAACTTTGTCGGAGTGAATCGATAAGTTTGATGCCCAAGACTTCATTTGAACCTTGTCCACAGGCCTGCTTATCATGGTACAGTAGATCTGAGCATAAGCCAACGTCTCTGCTCGACGACGTCCCCATTCCCCAAGAGAAGCACTTGAAAGAACTGCAGGAAGCCAGCACGAATTACAGGCCAATATAAATAAAACGAACGTCTATCGAGAAATTTAGTGTGGGTCGCCCTCCCACAGTACTTGTCCTAACCTAGTACAACCACATCTCGACCAGCTCTGTGAGCGAAAATGGCACTGCCGCCGGGTTGCGTGCGGATAAAGTTCGCCTTTGGCGTTCACGGGCTGGACATGAAGGCGGACGAGGTGGTATCCGTGATCGACGGGACGCAGGCCGCGTATGCCGGCGTGAAACCGCAGTGGAAGCTGCTCATGATTGACGGCGAGGAAATGGTCGACGAAACCTTGATCCGACCGGCGCTCATGATATCACCGTGTCAGCTTGGAAAAATTTCCAAAATGGAAATAGGTAAAATCAGCTTCCGTTACAGGGCACATAACGCAAAAACAAGAAGGGACTGTCTTGCACAGGTCCTTGTAATGCTTGTTAGGTCACGGGGCTACAAAAGGGTTGCCGTCAGCAATCGTTGCTGCTTGCTATCATGACAGGAAATTATTTTACGCGCAACATCATTGCGCTAATAGAATGAGAATAGACTCAACGCTCGAAGCGTTTGCGAAATTCGTCCTGCTCCGCTATAGAAACTGCGTAGTTTGCGGCTTCACAACAGTGTATAGCGATCCAATGCATCACAAACTTTTTCCTTTTTGTCGCTTTCCAACCTGACGCTCCCACACCTGAGAAAGTCCAAGTCCGGGAAAAAGTACGACATCGTCTTTTCCAAGACGGCGGAGGAAATGGTACTGATTTTTTTGTCATTTAAAAGTGAGGAGGACTTCTGTTCTGCGCTCGCTCTTCATCACATGCTTGAAAAATGTTCGATATTGTGAATCGTCTTCGTCGTGTGTCGATACAGGGCCGGTAAGTAGCTGTGAACTACAAATAAGTCCGGAGCAACAATAAAGGAATAAATCAGATTTTTGGTTGTAATTTTTATCAAAACAGCGCGCTGACATTGCCGCCCAGGAGGCAGCAGAGGCAGCCAAAAGGGAGCGCATGATGGAAGAGGAGAGAGCCAGGAAAGCTGCAGAAGCGGAGAAAGCAGCAAAAGAAGGCGCGCACAAGGCCGAAGTGGATGCCAAGAAAGCAGCGTACTTACTCTACTATGTCGGAAATAGAGGATATTCTGTATTTGAAGCTTATGATCTTTGCACAGCGGAAAGAATGTATAATCATAATAAAAATCGGCTGGCGCTAGGAACAGATCCGTCGATGAGCATGTTGACACGACCCAGCGAATCGATTCGTGATACGAAAGTATAATTTCTACTTGGATGCCGAAAATGCTCTACCTCACTCTAGGTATGCCGAGGGCCAGGCGGCAGCGCGCAAGGCAGCCTCGACAAAACCACCATATGAACTGCAAATATGTCTGGATCCGGAAAATAGCAAGATTTGCGATGCTTGTCTGACATAATTCTGAAGGCTGTGTTGCATGGACACGAGAACAAGGTCCTTCTTCCTGTCTTGCAAAACTAGTCTTACCATGCATGGAGAATACGCAACACACACCAGCTCAAAGACTTGTCATGCTTTGCTGCGTGCAATTCCAGTGCGCTTATCATTTACAGTCTCGCAAAATAGTAGAACTTTCCAGGAGACACAGACGTATTTGCAGTTGATACACTAGAGGGCGTGACGATAACCGTCAAGGAGCGCGATGGACCGAAGGAGGCAGGAGACAACGATGTCATCATCAAGTACTAGCGAGTTCTTTTGCGTCTTTTTTCATGAGATAGCTCCCTTTAATAAACCCGTTTGAACGCTGTCATTTGACATGCAGTGTACGTCGCAAGAACTGGATCCTCCTTCTCAACGGAAGATGATCGATCCTTTTTTGAACATCCACCTGGCAGGTATGTCGACTACGCCGAGCCCTTTACACTGTCAGAGGACGGAAAGCTGACTATCCTGAGTAAAAACGTCCCCACCCAAGAGTTGTGATGCAGATCTGCAAGCACAAGAGCGTTTGTAATGCGCGATCCCATGAGGGGCATTATCACTATCAGTCGTGTTTTGGAACTTGTAATGCTGTAAACAGCATAAGGAGATCGATTTGTTATGCGGCTTCCCTTGCTAAACTGCACTGCACTACAACCTGCAATTTGTCATGCGTGGTTCCCAAAACTTGAAGGTTTGCGTTGCAAAATCCCCATCTTGACTCTGGGGTGGGGACGTTTTTACATAGGATACTGACCCAGAAGGACATCGACGACGTGTACTGCATCTCCGCCGTCATGCCGAACTCCTTCATGCACTTGTCGGTACAGAGAACAGTGAATTTCAATTTTTTTCGTCGTGTTCTATTATCACGCGCTTGCATTCAAAATGAAAAATAATTCTCATTCGCACCATGAGATGAAAGAAGTGTTCCCGCAATTTGTCATTTGCCACGACGCACCAGATTGTTCTCATGTAATGGGCGGGGGTTCCATGAAGAAAAAAATGTTTTTACTTCTGAAAAAAATCAAGGTCCGCGAATTTGTTGGGGACGAGGAGCATTTGTACATTCAGGAAGAGCCGCAGGGCGTGTGGGGCACTCTGACCCCGAAGATGAACTACTTCCTCTACATTCAGCAAGACCAGGCCACATACGAGGAAGACATGAAGCGCATGAAGGAAGTCTGGGCCAACGCCGCGAAGGGTAAGTACTTACATATAACACCTAGAGTCAGTTGCTTTTGATTTATACAGAAGGGGACTATGATGATTCATTTGCAGAGTTCTTGGGTCACACGACGACTCTGCGTCACAAACAAGATGACTGGGAAGGTCTTGCGTCGTGCATTGAAGTGATGACTCTTTGTTTAAGTATTTGAACCATACAAAGGACTGGTTTGTCGCTCATCTTAGGTACTGAAGAATACCTCTTGTCGTTTGGAAGGCAAGACGAATAATAGCCGCGCGACCGCAGAAGAACTCGCTGCGCCCGCTCGCCCGCCCTTCGCAAGACAAAATGACCATTACACGCCACTCGCAGGCGTCAGTACCTACCTACCATGCGCGCGCCCGATACAGCAAGATTACGTCAACAGATTTTTAGAATTCCCAAATTGAAATGATCTGACACAACACATTCTAAACCAGCGTTACATGTTCGCTGTCTCGCGCGCCCACACTACAACATGCTGCCAGTGCCGCAACTGAACATGATGAACCCTTTCAGAATTATCCAGTTGTCTCTCCAATCTGTCAAAACTCTCACTCTAGTAAATGAAGATCGCGTGGTCCTGGGGCAGTTTAATTTTATCGCGCCCAGGCCTTCTTGCCACGATGCGAATTCTTGTAAAAGCTGAAGTTGAGCGAGCTATCGAGTTAATGTAGCCCCATCTGGGAAAGCAGAAAAAAATGTCCGGTTAGAGAACTGCGCAGGAAAGAAGTTTAATACCGAAATAATTGTCGTCGATGCCCTGCTGTCCAGCTCTGCTTCCGCCCGCTGCGCCTCGCTGTTCTGTGTGCTACAAAAAATACAATTGTGTCGGTGCTCTCGGAGACGTTTGCAGTCCTGCCATGACACTTGCCCGCGCGCTTCCTCAACATGTTGAGGCTGCGAAATGGAATTCAAATTTGGATACAATCTGTAGCAGCGTAAAACATAAGTTGCCTATAAGTTGCAATAGTGATACATGCTGTTCTTTTTGCCTCGCGGCGTGTGCGCCGGCCCGATTTGCGCCGCCCCGATTTGCGCTAAGCAGGAGAAGAGAAACAGAGTACCGCCCTTGTCTGTACCGACAGACGATGAATTGCTGCCCCGCATCGCGCAGCGCGTCCCTCACGAAATGTCAAGAGGCTTACCGCCGCAGGATAAGTAACCAGATGAACCACGACCGAATGATTGAATTCACTGCGCCGCGCGTCCTACGCGAAACTTGAACGCGCTTACCGCTGCAGGACAACGAACACGAACGCGCCAGCCGCCGCACTCCCACTCGCGCCGCGCCACACAAGAATAATGAGCCGTCGAAGTAGACATGATAGATTGCGGCTACCCGATGCTGCGTGCGCCAGATGACCCTGAAGGTTTTTTCGCGGTTCCAAGAACACGCGCCGCGCTGCTCCGCACATACCAGGGCTCTTTGTTCATTTTGATTTGATGTTTCTTGCAGATTTTCATGAAGAAGAAAACGCAAAAATAGCGGTTTATTAAGAGGTCCAATCCAAACCCTGTCCCCTCAAGATGAAATAGGAAAACGACACCCAATTTTTCGTGACGCAGGTGAGCTGCCGACCATGAAGGAGGGCTGCAGCTGCTTGTACGGCAGCCCGTGCGTGAATCCGGACAACTGTAAGGATTGGGACAATCGGTACGCGGTGGCCAAGGCCAATGGCGGCAACCCGAACATGTTCCAGTAAGTGCGATCGGGTTGGTGCTGCTCCGAAGGATTCGAGATTCCTTGCGAGTTTTGGCTCGATAAGGGTTGTACACTTTGTAATGTAAGAATGAACAGACTTAATACTAAGACAAGAACTTTTAGAGCAGCGAAATAGAAGAAGTAAGTAGGAACTTCTCAAGGCGGTCGACGCAGTCCGACTACTTGGGATGGGAAAAAAGAGCAGCCGGCCCGCACGCATTATCGGGGGGACTCGACGTCGCCGACGGTTCGGGCTTGCCTGAATTTCACTTACACGACACAAAACTTCTATAATAACCCTTGTACAACAAGCAGACTGCATCAACACCGATATTATCTTCTACAGGGGCGGAACATGAACACCGATATACATGTAGAGTGTAGTTTCAGATTGTCAATCAGTATTCAACTCTTTGCTTATTCTACTTGAACCACCCGTCGATGCTAATCGTGTCAAATAAAAGTGGGTGAGGAATGAATAAACGAATCTACTACAACCGTGACAGAAGTCAACTGTATCATGTATCAATTACGTCACAAGAACTTCTGAGTCGCCATGAACTTTTCAACAAGTATGTCGTATGCAATGACAAACTTCTGTGTCGCTCTTCTGTGGTCTGCTGTGGGCGTTTCTGACGTGTTCTTGTCCTGCCGTTGCGGTGAGTTTTACGATTATCTTCTGAGGGACTCCAGCGCGTAGTTTGTCTCAGTAGAGTCGGTTGGTTATTTCAGGCGCGACTTTGATTTGTTGGAAATGGCACTCCTCCCCGTGTCGGTCCACTACTTGACCGGAGTGTATTTCATCTGTCTATTGTACGTGCTTCTGACGTGTTGCCAGGTGACTCCAAAGTTACAGAGATCTTGCAGCCTTCGGCGGATATTTTCTCTGCGCCAGTGAGTTTGTTTTCCTTTTCTGCCCTTGAGATTCATCGACTTTCAAGAACTTGGTATCAAGTCTTGACGAGGATGATCAAGATGCAGTGCAAGCCGACGCGCGTTGCACAGGACCGGGGTCGTCCACCAGTGCGGTTGCGTCGCCACAAGTCTCTCCCGTCGGAGGGCTGGATGAGAAGATTCCCCACTGGTGGAGCACTTCTGTTTCTGCTTCTCTTGGTCCCGTGTAATGGCGCAATAGAGGCGGGTGAGGAGATGAAAGAGGAACACTTGCTGGCGTCCCGGCTGAGTCGTCCGACTGTCCCCCGGTCGAGACCGAATCACGATGAGCACGCGCGCCGGCACGAAGCTGAAACGCCATTTGTGCTGCAGCCAGGTGGCGAAAGCGAACCAAAAACAGTCAAAAGAACGTCACCGACATATGGGTTTATTCGGACCGACGACGCACCACAGGACCCTAGCACAGAAAGTGTGCTGCCCGCAATCGGCAGCGAGGACTCGTCGAGGTTTACGGCGGACCAGGAAGACGAGACGGCTAGCGGTAGTACCGTGCAACCTGGGACAAGCGAGATGCTAGAATTTTTGCACGCCGACTTGGCGGAAGCTGGCGACGCTGCCTCTCCTCAAGCAGACCGAGAACAGGAAGGAATCCGAGACCCGTCGAAAATAGATGCCGCGACGACCACCACTGCTTCCAGGACTGATGATCCGGCAGTGCAAGCTCTCGCACTGCAGCTGCAGCAAAGTATGCCACAGAAAAGAACTCCTTTATCATTAAAAAGAAAAAACTAGAACTACTCGTTCGTGGTGCACCACAAAAGAGCTGGCCGTTCGGCATGGCGAACTTTTTCGGTAAGTAGAAGTACCCGTCTATTAGCTAAACTGCGCCACAAAGTGCACTCTGGACGACGGACAGTTATTTGCCTTTCTTGTGGAGGTCTCTAAATTACATACAAGGCGGCGAACAATTATCTCGAAGCAAGTTCAAGCAGCAAACGGCACTAACACAGATTCATTTTTTTTCTGGTACCGTTGGAGGGCTTTTCTGTAGGATACATGTGGAGCAGGAGCTGCGGGCGATGCGCGCAAAGCAGGAGGCAGATCAAAGCGCTACGGCGTATCCTGCTTAGTAAAAACGTCCCCACCTCCCTAGACGCAAGATCATGGGGACTTCGCTACACAAACCAACAAGTTTTGGCTGTTGCGCCTGACCTACCTTCCCTGCGTGACAGCCATCTGCGGCCGTTTGCACAGGGGGAGGCAAAGTGTGCCGCACTTCTGTTTAGAATGACAAGTTTGGGTTCGTAGTGTAATCCTCTTGAGCTGGTGCAGCCGCGTGAGAAATCGATATAGCTTATCCTGATTCTAGCTTGACAAGTTCCACCCAGATAGCATTTATCAGCAAATGCCTTTCATGTGGCTGCGCATGGGAAACATTATTTTATGCATGCAGATTTGCGCGACAACTCAGGCGTGGGGACGTCATTACACAGGATACGGCGAAGCGGTTCGTGGAGGAACGGAACGCGACGGAGAGCCGCTTTGTTCACGTTCGCAACGCGGGCTCGCTTAACGAAATCATTTTGCAGCGTTTGCTCGCCCTTACCATCGCACGGATTCGCGCGAGGAGTCTTACTTCCATCATTTTGCTGGTCGTTGGGTTCATTGCCGTGGTAGCCGGAACGATTCTCCCGTCGGTCCAGGTTTTCTTTCCGACCACGGTGGACTTCCCTAGCCAGCAGGTCGATGAAGAACACACTAGAGGTTCTCCCCACGACGGCGCGGCGGGCGAGGACGATGATAGATAAAACATCACGGGAGCAGCAGCAGCTGGAGCCCGGAGGACAAGCCGGGGCCGACGTCGAAACCGAGACCTACTACTTCCTCCCGGAAGATTTCGTCGACCAGGGTACCCTGTCAAACGTGTGCTGTAGTCACAGCTCGGCCCAGGGAAAGATATGGGCTTCCTGTCTCGTCTGCTATGCGTTCTCCACGATACTCAGTCGCTACACCTTCAACCTGTACCCGCTGTGGTGTCCGGGGAACGGAGCCGACACGAACGATCTTGCCAATTCCCAGACCGGTTTGATTGAGGCCGGTTCTCTGGAGGAGGTGGCGGCCCGGATGGTTTGGTTACTGGTTCCGAACATCCTCTTCATCTTGGTCGCGGCGATTCCTACGGTCGGGTCCGGACAACAGCAGGACGTCACACACTCCCACACGTCGCAGGGCGATCGCGATCCGCACCAAAGCGCCACCAGTACGCGCAGCGCCCCCATTACCAGTGCCCAAGAAGCCTTCTGGGTGCGAAATCAATGGTGGCTAAAGTCCATCCACGGCGGATTGGCGGGAATATCAATCGGTGTGCTTCTTTTCTCTATTAACTGCAAATATGTCTGGGTCTGGAAGGATCCGAACTTGTGATGCCTGTTGTTGCGGATCACACAAAGATCGTTGATGCATGACTCTCAAAAGGTGCCTACCCCTACTTCGGGCCATGCTGAGAGGGCCTTCTTCATGCATAATAGGCATCACCAAGGGGCTGCAGAACCTGTGATGCTTTCCGACTTGGGGGAGCTTGGACGAAAAGCTGCATGACGAATTGTGTCCCGGGGCCTTGTGCTCCGGCTACTCCGGATCGCAATCGATAGAGGGCGGGACGTGCACCGGCGACAGGCGCTACCCAATCAACCAACCAAATCGAGAAATCTTCCAGACCCAGACATGTTTGCAGTTGATAGTCTCTGAGACTCTGCAACTTTTCGTCGGCGAGGGCGTCAACATCTATTGTGATGAAAAATCCGCCCCTCCCATGTTGAAAGCGCATCCTTCCGAAAATTTGTGATGCAGATTCGTGACCACAAATCCGCTTTGTCATGCAAGAAGGCAAAGGCAGAGAGTTCGCCGCGTCATGCAGGCGGTTTGTAACGCTGCAAGTCGTCCTGCAGGACAGACGGCTGCCATGCTAGGTGCCTACACCAAGAGGCCCCCGCCTAGGCTTAGGATCTGCGTGCAGTCCTCTACCGCAAGACATGCACACAAGTGCCGCAGCACAGGTTTCCACTTTGATAAAGATATGGGGAGGGGAGATTTTTGATTTTGATAACGCCGGCAATTTATTCAGGAAACCGGGCGGCGCGGTAGACGACTATTTTTCGAACCGTCGGCTTGACCGACGGCTCTCGACGAAACTGTTCGCAACTCCATTTTCGGAATGTCACGGCGTGTACCCGCAGGAGACATCACATCCCAGCATTTATCGTTTCAGGGTGGGGACCGTTCTGCTCGCATTCGTCAGCGGCTTCGGCTGCGCCTTTTTTTCTCTTTTGCTAACGGTATCGAAGAAAACAAGAAGAGGTGACGGCCGCGAGTCTTCGGCGAGGATTGTGCGGGTTGCGGGAGGGACGCTGGTACCTACAGACACGAGTCTCCTGCTGCCACGCCTTTTGTACTCCTTCGAGGTGGTTGTGATGCTGCTCGTGTGGAGCCTCCCCTTCTTTCCTGCGATGCTCGCTTGGCACCGCCCCTTGGGCGATCTTCGTGCAATAAACCACGACATGAAGTCGCAGGTTAGGGATGTATACTACTTCCATTCGGCAGCGCTCCCGCAGTGCGGAACGTATTTCGACCTTGCTGCTCCAAATGCGTGCAGCAACCCGGCGCAACGAGTCGCGTTGATGTACGACGACGTGGATGTCGCGAAATGGATGTGGTGGGATGCGGAAGCGAGCGGCGACGTTGCCATCGTGGATGCAAGAAGACCAGCTACACCGCCGTTTGAGAACTATGCGGCCTATTTGGAGAACTGGGTATCGTGGTACTGGCATTTGGATATCGATTACGATTTTCAAGCGAAGAAGCTCGAGGACCAATCGGAGTAGACAGCCGAACTATCGGTCCGCGACGTCGACACCGGGGGAGGGGGACGACATTCTGGTTGTACTTCCGTTCCGACAGAACCACACGGCCTATTTTTTTCTGCAGGGGATGGTGGATTTTACTGCTGCACCAGATGCAAATGGAGAAACACAATCAACCACATTACAACCAGCAGGCTTGTAACAAGAGTGAGAAGAAGAGCGAACACTACTGATGGTGATGTTTTTGGAGTCAGCGATCTTCTGCGAAAAACAGCGAAGGAGCAAAAGAGAAAGAAACTCAGTGAACTTTTTCTGCGAAACAAAAAACATGCATCCCGTGGCGCATCCAATCGATCCCTGTGAACTCATGAAGATGCAGGCGATAGTACAAAAACGCGGAGGCGGTTTTTTCTAACTGAGTACTTTGTTCCCCCATGTTTTCAAAGAGTCCTTCGAAAGAATTGTGCGAAATGTGAACACGATCTTCCGTCAGCTTGTAAGTGCTGACTTTTTGGATCGATGCGATGCTATCTGCGTGCGCTGGTCAACATCTGGATTCCGAAAAAAAAAGCTACTCTGCGCAATTGATCCGTACGTGACGTGGTAATTAAGTATGCTCGGATTGTCGTTTGCGTCCCTGTTCTTGCCGACAAAAAGACAGCTACTGTTCACCCTCCCGATCTTCTTCTTTCTCACGCAATTGGGCCTGGATTACTGCGAGTATTTGCTTCTCACCTACTTCCAGCATTTATGAACTGCAAAAGCATCGTACTAGTATGAATTGCAATACAAATTTCCTCAGCATTAGAAATGGAATTTGTAATGCGGTTTTACCTTGATGGAAAGATTTGTAATGCAAGCCTTGCATTTATACGAGTACGATACTTTTGCACAGGATAGCATTGCAATGGCAACAAATTCCCCAACTTGAAGCACACGAGCATTGCGGAGCAGAAGCCGGATCAAGAGGCTGGGAAAGATGAAGGTGACGCCACTACTTATTCGAGCAACAAAAAGGTGGACTGATTTAAGTCTATATAGATGAACAAGCTGCTGTGCGGAAATAAGTAGAAAGAATCCGGTAGGCTGCAAGTACAACTACTAGCAACGACGGTCGAATATAATCGTGTAGAATGTCGCGGTCGCGGAGAAGAGGGCCGCAGTGTCGCAAAGCGCCACGGTAGATGGGTGGCTTGTGGTGCAAGACGCACATAGTTGCACTTGTCGTGTTGAACGCTTGCCAGGCTTAAAGCATCGCAGTTGAACAACCATCAAGCTCATTTCCGGCTTCACCGAAGTGACAACAAGAAAAATGTCGACCACCGCCGGAGCCTCCGCATCGCTCTCCATGTCGACGTCTAGCGTCGTTTCCTCCATCGTAGTTGCGATCGTTGCGGTATCCTGTGTAAAAACGCGCCTGCTTTTTAGCCCACATTCATTTGTCATGCAAATCTATTGCATGCCCGGGCGCGACTACGTTGTGCTTGTGGGCCCAAAGTTGTCAACACGCAGAAGATCCCCGGGAGCTTCTTATCTTAGTTTGAATTTGTCTATACATAGCAATGTTCTTGATGCTTCTTCTACCTTAACTCTGGGACGTCGGCGGGTATGTTTTTACACAGGATAAGCGGTGCTGATCGGCATGGTTTTCTGGCTGCTTTTGTCCCAGGAAGCGGTGCCGGAAGGAGCCCTCGTTGACCAACTGGATCCCGAATATTACATCGCGCCACATTTGCTCGGAAAGGCAAACGCGACGGCGGCGGAGACAAAGGTCGGCCTGTCCGTGATAATACCTGCGTATAACGAGGAGGTAGTGAAGAATCGTGTTTTATTGGGTGAAAGTAACACGCAGCTTGGGTGCATTTTTTCCATTTGTCACTCACCTAAAAGCGCTTTCCAGTAGTTGTCGTCCAGCACATGCAGGTGGAACACCAGAAGTACGAACTTGAGATATTCCTTTTCTTGGAACAAGACAAAATAAAAACTGAACAGGAGCGTCTGCCGATCATGATGAAGGAAACGCTGGACTTTCTCGAAACGACGTACGGGAAGCCGACCGGCGCGACCAGTAAAAAGTCGTACGAGATCATCGTCGTCGACGACGGCAGCGAGGACAGCGGGGCACTGATGGTGCTGAAAACGTACGACCGGGAGACCGTGAAGGTGGTGAAGCTGCGGAAAAACCGGGGTAAGGGCTTCGCGGTGCGAGTCGGCATGCTGTCCGCGACCGGCGAGAGGCGCTTGATGGTGGACGCGGACGGGGCCACCAAATTTTCCGACCTAGCGAAGTTGGAGAAGCAGCTGGGGGCGGGAGTCGCAGCAGAGGGGACAAAAAAGACCTCGGAAGGCGTGCAGGAGAACTACGTAGAAGGTGTACAACGTCGACACGAGGACCAGCAGCATCAAATCGCATTCGGCAGCAGACACCACCTGTCGCAAGAGGCGACGGTGAAGCGAGCCTGGTACCGGAACGTGTTGATGTGGGGGCTGCACTTTCTCGTCCGGCTCCTCATCACGGCGAACGGCCAGCCGATACACGACACGCAGTGCGGTTTTAAACTGTTCACGGCGGACGCGGCCGAGAAGCTGTTTCGGAACCTGCACATACAGCGGTGGGCCTTCGACCTGGAGCTGGTGGTATAGATGCTGCTGAGGCACTTGATGTCGCTTTGGATAGTTAAAAAATTTTGCATCTCGGCGGGGGTTTGGTTGTGATACTCGGTAGTTGTTTCAAAAGGATTTTGCAATACTATTAACCTTTCAGGTTCTCGCACAGCAGTTCGGTCTTTCCATCGCGGAAGTGCCTGTCACGTGGCATGAAGTCCCCGGGTCGAAGTTGAGCATAGTGTCTGCGACGCTGAGCATGCTGAAAGACATGTTTAAAATCAGGATGTGCTACTTGACTGGAATCTGGAGAATAAGATGATGCTTATGAAATATTGAACCATTTTGCGACAAGAGACTTTTTGAAATGCAGCATGTACATGCAGCAAATCATGCGTGTAGCGCGTGCACACTTGCGCGCCTCGATGAAGTCCGGTGCTGAGCTGTGATGTTCAGTTGTGCCGACACGGTGTGCTGGCTGCGAGTGTGATAGTTATCAGCTTTGCATCGTCGCAGGCCAGGCCCTGCCGAAACTTCTGCCATTGCTCAAGATCTTAGCCCCTTGAGCTTCTGAGTTTTAGAGCTGTAGCGCCTTAGTTTTTTAGGTTTTTCGAGCTTTAGCGCAAAACCGAAAAAGGCAAAGCGTGGCAACCCGCGCCGACGCCCGCGAAGAGCGGAACGACGAGCGCGCCCGCGCGGTGTTCCAGCGCAGAGCGGTCGGGACAGGCCTGCGACGATGCTCGCGGGAGCGGGCGCGCGCCCAGCGCCGGCAGCGTCGCGCTGAGAACATCCGCGGACACATCGAGCAACGGGCCCGCTTTCGCCTGGCTCTTCGCCAGGAAGGCCGCGAGGGGAAGCGGGCCCGCAAGCACATGGAGGAGGCCGCTGTGGAAATCGGAAAACTCAAGAAGCAGGCCGGGGAAAGGGAGGCGGAAGAGGGGGCCACGGGCCCCGAAGATGCTGAAGAACCTAGCCGCTTGCTGGAGACCTGGGGGCGGGATGGCCACCCTTACACCCCGTCCAAGGGCTACCGCCTTGGCCTAGCCCGCCCCGGTACAAAGGGGCGGGGGCCGAGAAACGCGAGCCCTCCGAGGTTCCGAAGCTGTTCCGCGGGCCGCCGCTGGACAGCCCGGGACGCACCCCGTCGCTGACCCCGGAGGACTTTGCTCCGGGGGCGCGCCCGCGGCCCCTTCCGGGAGGGGCTTGAGGGGGGCACCGCTCCGCGTCTTGCCTTTCCTGCCTGGGGGCCCCGGCATCGGCGGCGTCCATGCCGCGACTCTCTCAACCGATGGCGGTGTAGCCGGGCGCTTTCTTCTCGTAAAATAAGAAAAAGCCCCGCGGGGCTGCCTCGGATCGCCAATTTCGCAACGGGGCACGGCCTCGGTTTGTCGGTTCGCACGCCGCTACGGGCTTGGCTTCGGCCCCGGGCGCTTCGCGGCAAGCAGGCGCGAGCCGGGGGAAATGGGAGGCCGTCCCCAGCAATGGGGGGCTGGGGGCTTTCGGACCTCCCTGCGGCCCTGACGCGAAGGCCGGAAATGGTGAAGCCGGACAAGTCGCTCCTGGAGGACGATACCTCCAGGGGCGAAGTCGCGCTCGATGCTATCCGGCGCTACGAAGAAATGAAGGGCGAGGGGTTCGGCTTCTCGCGGCTCTACTCCCCGGCGCCTCTGCTCGCTTTTAGCAGGAGGGCGACGCTGCAGCTTGGTGCGACGCCGATGCCCGAGAAGAGTGAGCGCAACCCGGGAGCTTACAGAGCAGCGGCGGCGGGAGTAGTAGCGCTCCTAGCAAGCACCCGGCGCGGCGTCACTTGTGGCCGATGTGCGCGGCCGGGCCTGGGCAAAGCTGCGCCCCGCGTGATGGCGACCAGAAGCGTGCAGGCGGCGCGGCGCCGACGGCATTTGGCGGCCGCGGCCCTGTATATTGCCAAAACGAAGGGCCTTCGGGCCCTTTTCGAAGGACGCCGTCGTATACATCAGCCGAGACAACTGGGCCGGGGGGCCGGAGAATGGCACGCCGCGCGGCGTTTTCCCGGGGCCTCTCGTTAAGTACAGGCCCAGGAAGACAACTGCACAAGCCGCGGGGCGGCCCACTTATCGCGCCGAAACAGAGGCCCAGCGGCCCCCTCTGTGTTGCGGCAGTCTTGCCCGGCCAGGCGCGGCGAATGCAAGGCGTCCGCCGGCGGGTTGGTTTGTTAAGTGGCGGCCCGGCCCTCGTGTGGCCGCGGCGCCGGATTGGTGTGCGCCCCCCGTGCCGCGCCCGCCGCTGCGTGCAGCATTGCTCTCGCTGGCGACGGCCGGCACCCCGCAGAGCCATTTTTCTTTAATATGGCGCGCGCCTGCGGTCTCGCTGTTTTTCGACGCTGGCACCCGGCATTGCACACGCCGCGCCTGCCTCTTTTTGCCGGGCTCGCAGCCCCCGCTAGCAGGCTTTCGCAAGTATTTACATACCGCTCCGGCCCGATGGACACTGAGACGATCGAATCTGGGACCTTCATACGCGAAAATCTTCTTGCTGTTCTGCTGCTCCCAGCTGCGATAAGATTGATCTAGATATCAAGAAGATACGGTATGGGCGGCTATTTGAATTGGCCACCTGCACCAGAAGCAAGGAGGCTACGACTTGCAGATCAGAAATGCAATTGAGTGAGAGCCAGTACCGGACAGGACTAGGTATGCCAAAAATTATGCGTTTCGTTGCGTGCACAAGAAATGCACGTATGCTGAAAATGTTCGACGAGTATGAACTGCGCAACTCCCTCCTCCAGAAATCGAAATTTTTGATTCTGCAATGGCTTAATAAAATCTGCATTAACAGGGACGACTGAACAAGAAGCAAGTATTCTTCTACACGACACACACTGTAAATCGCTTCACGAAAAATTGAAAAGATGTTTAGAAGTACTTTCATCTTTAACCGCGTTGCCTTTTTGATTTTCGTATGCTAGTATCTACGCGAACGCGCATGTAGAGAATAACAAGTACTTCATCATCGTACTAGCAGGCGCAGCCGCGAGTACTTTCAAAGAAAACACTTTGGCAACACTGGTTGCGAGAACTAGAACCCGAGCATCAGATTGGTTTTGCCCCACTATAGGCCTAATATCTTCAACACACACGACGACCCCAGAAAAAAATCCAATGGACGCCTTCAAGCAGAAGTATGCCGCGTTTTGTGGCGACGACACGGTTTTGCAGAACTGGTGGATCCAGGACCCCGCGACGGGGAAGCAGGACCCGCCCTTCCCCCACCAACTGCTTCTGAAGCACCTGTCCTGCCACATTGACGGCAACACGCTGTGCTACAAGCAGGGCGTGACGCCGAACTGGCTCCCGATCGGCGAGGTCACGGAGCTGCGGGAGGGACTGCGGGCCCTGGAGGAAAAAGTGAACGACAGCAAGGAGATGCAGGACTTGGTGGCGGGAATCCCCGCGAGACCGGACCACGAACAAGTGCCCTTCGACCACCAACATACCACGGACGCCTGCGATCTGTATTTCTCATCTTAACTTTGTCCTATCATGATCACTTTCTTACAACAGACGAATGTACTATGACGGTGTTGTTGTGGTCTTTACCGAGAAGTCGCTGACATATTGTTCGCTGCCGTGCTTGCAACAGAGTTATATATTGAGTTTTCGTTTCATCATGCGGAGGACGAGAACTTTTTTCAAAGGTAGGGTTTGCAAGCGCGCAGACTTCTTGTTGGCTCTCGGTAAGAACAGCAAGTACCGACTTCGAGGATGTGAATATGCGATAATCTTCGTGGACAGTACGGCAAATAACAGTGTAATTTTCCAACAAGAATGCTTGATTCACAGGCCAAATTGACCCAAGCACTTCCACAAAGCTGGGGACCACCGAGACTGAAGCTGCGGCTGCAGAAGTCATGCGGCTTGTGTTGGCTTCCTTCAGCGAGCTTGTTGGAAACTACAAGCGGAAAGAACAAGTGAAAGCTACGGCGCGTGAGATGCAATAGACAGATGAGCAAAAAGCCGCCTCGCAGCGATCCGGTCTGGCGTTGCTTCCATCTCGTCCAGAAGTTCTACCCTAAGAAAATGGAGCCACAGTCATGAATCGTGTCTCAGCGCATGGGGCTGTTGCAGTTCTGCTACATGGTCCGCCTCCTTGAACTTCCGGTGCGCGACAGGACAATATATCAAAAGTGCTTTTTTTGTAATGTAGGTCTCTCCGCGCCCGCATGGTTATGGATGCGTTCTTGTATCAGACCAGCATGCTCACGCTCAGACATACTCATGCGCTGACGAGGCTGATTCATCATCTTCTTCCCGTCAATACGAGTCCGACAATGCGTTTTGGCGGTGGCTTCTGGTCTGACCTTTCCCGCCAAAGTAAGACTACAGCTGTGCTGACGCTCATCTATCGAGACTGTTCAGATGGTCGCAATGGCAACCGATTCTTGACAATGATAATCGAATTCTGATGAAACATGAATTCATTCTTTGCTCTTTCATCATCTTTCATGCGCGCCTGCTGGGACGTTGGCCCGCTTGCTCTCCGCCTCGGAGTAGATGTTGTGAGGGCTATTTTCATCCTGCACCTCCTCTGCTCTCTGATACAGATCGGCTAGTAGGTTGATCTCGTCTCCTCCTCCTACGCTCGTTTTTTTTTTTGCCTCCACCGCTTCACAGCGCGCTGGCCCCCCTTGTTGGAAAGTTGCGAAGAAACTGTTGGTTCGATTATATTCGATATAATTCCGATACACTCTTGCTGGAAACGAAGCAAACAAAAAGAAGTCAAAATTATTTTTTCTCACCACATCAGGTTGATCTGGGATATTGTGGATGAGTGTTGGCGTCCGGTGGAGGATTATGAGCTCCTTGTCAAGGCCGAACAGGAAAGGAGGGAGCTTGAGCAAGAAATCAACCAGATTCAGTCCATATGCATTGCAAAAGAAGTATCGCACTCGTATAAATGCATTGCAAATTTTTTCAGCATGAGAAATAAAATTTGTCATGCTGAATTACCTTAAGAAAAATATGCAAGACTTGCATTTATACGAGTACGATACTTGTTTTGCACAGGATAGTCCAGCTCCCCGGAGGATCGGGACGGCGTCCCAGGGACTTCCGTGCTGCAGGAAATATTTGCGGACGGAGATGAACCCATGGTGGCGACGACCTCTTCAAAGTCGGCTGCCCTACCGAAAAACGGGAATATTAGTGGTAACGGTGTACTACCGAGCAGCAGTTCTTCTGCGCTCCTCGTCGGAAACGGGGCTGCGACGTCGTCATCTTCCAGTGCTAGTAGATTACCCCAAGCGGGTAGTGCTAGTTCCGCATCCGCGCTGCAGCAACAGCAGGACAACAATTCAACATCGGGTGGAAAAATAATAAATCCTGAATCTCTAGTTGACGACACCGACGAGAACAACAAACCGCTGTCCAAAAACGCACTGAAAAGGAAGCGATGGCGGGAGAAGAAAAAAATCGAGAAGCTCGCGGGGGTGTACAATGCGAGCAAGAACGTGTCAGACATTTACCTGTCCCAGTTACCGCTCTCCATCACGGTCGGAGAGCTGTACGAGATTTTCAAGAAGTGCGGCGTCATCGTGGTCGACCCCGCCACGAAGGAACCGAGCATCAAGCTGTACAAGAAGGACGGCACGGACGAGCCGCGGGGCGACGGGTTGGTGAAATTTGTCCGGAAGGAGTCCGTGCAGCAGGCCATTGACCGGTTCCACGGGCAGGAGATCGTCGCGGAGCATTCGGGCGAGAAGTCCTTCATCAGTGTGCAGGTCGCGGAGTACAAAAAGGAGCAACTGTCCACGGCGGCCCTGAAGGAGCGGATTGCGCAGACCGGGGGCACTGCGGACTGGACCGGGAAGGGCGCGGGGGCGCAGAAGAACAAAAACCAGTGGTCGCGGAAGAAGCAGATGCAGAACAGCTGGATGGACGAGGACGACAGCGCACGGGCGATGAAGTTGCGGTGTCAGATCGTGTTGCGGAACGTGTTCGACAAGCAGTCCATTCTCCAATCCGGCCGGACGGAGCAGAGCTACATCGACGAACTGCGCGAAGTACGAAATGTAAAAATGTCTGGGTCTGGAAGAGTCATGCTGTTTTTGCATGACAAAGAAGTTCTGGCATGGAAGCTCTAGCATCACAGGTTTCGAGAAGGCAGCTTCCGCAATGCCGAACCCGCATGAGAAGTCCCCCATTTTGGTGACAGAAAGTGGGCAGCTTTTGCTACCTATGCATGAGAGATTTTTCTGTGTTCTAAAATGCGCATCACAAGTTCGGATCCTTCCAGACCCAGACACTTTTACATTTGATACGAAGACATTCTGGAAGACTACCTGGACTGGAACCCGCAGGCGCGGACCAAGTTGGAATCGCAGCAGGCCGCGTTTGCCCGGGATGCCGTGCTGCCGGGCCGGGCGGGGAAGCAGGACAAAGTACTTACTTTATATTCACTGACTATGTTGTATGGCTAGTATTTGTATTTCTTTGTACAAAAAAATTGCAGTTTATCAGTTCTTGTTCCTCCTCACTCAGCAGTGCTCGTTAGGCGTACCTATGGCAAAAATTTTTGGTGACAGTAAGATTTTGACGGCAATTAGTGCGTTTCTTGTTGAAGCCAATTGTTTGTTTCGAAGAAATTCAATGCAAAGGAAAAATCAAAAATCAGGTGAAGCCTCCCGTCCGCATTATGGCCTTCCTGGGCGCGGCGGACCGAGGGTTTGTCACGGTCCAGTTTGAGGATCCGGATGAGGCTGAGATGTACAAGTCGCACTACAACGGGCGGAAATTTGACGGGCGGATCGTTTCCGCAGATTTCCACGACGGTGTAGATTTGAAAAAGGGCGCCGGGATCATCAATAAAGGGGCAGGAAAAAATAATTTCCCCTTCAAAACAGCAGCTCCGAACCAAGCGGCATCTACTTCCAGCGCAGCTATGCTGAAGCCACAAACTACTCCAGCTGGGGCTTCTGCAGCCAACGCCGGGGCCGCCTTGCCGGCTATTCTGGAAGACGACGTGTTGATGACAGCCACGGGAGAAGGCAGCGCTTCGAATCACGGCACACTCCGCAGTGGTCTTCTAGACGAGGACGACGTTCTGATGGAAGACGACGACGAAATCGACGACGAAAATTTTCCCTCCGATAATGCCAAAAGAAGGAAACTGGATCCGTCAGGAGGCGCAGCAAGCAATACCACAGCTACTACTTCTGCCGCTCCCGCAGGACTGGAGGACCTCGCGCCGGGCGGGCAGATTTTTGAGCACGTGGAAACAAACGACGACTGGTTGTTTGCTGATGACGATGACGATGAGGAGGATGACGAGGACTGATGATGAAATTTATCTGAACTTAATGTCAACGGCAGGAGCAGGTCTTCCTCAATGGTGAAAGTTTGATTCTTGGCTACAAGGTACTATTTCAGGCGACTTGAAGAACTACACGAAGCGACTTCATCTTCGAAAGGTTAAACTTACGAATAACAAAACTGAAACAACAGCACAAAGATACTTGTTTACACGAAAAGCATGACCAGTGTCGTAGCTTCTTATCTCGGCCGATTCTTTTTTGTTCGTTCGCCCTGCACGTGATTGCTATCAGATCACCTTTAGAATTGTCGTACTCACTACAAGCAGACCAGCCGAGAAAAAGTGCACCGAGAGTAGCGAAGATCTCTTCATCATTGAAGATATGACATGGCGGACTCATGATGCTAGTTAGCTTCGACTCTATCTTCAAGTAGTGTGTGGAGGTATAGTACTTTCTCCGTGTCGTGTAGAAGTAAGATACACGACGACTAAATATTACTCCTCGTGTTTATTATTATTTTTAAGTCACTCCTGCTCGTCGCTGTCGCAACGGCAATAGCGGAAAAACGTATGTCAAAAATGGTGCAGAATTTCCTTTCGACCGATGGGATCCCCTTACCGTCCAGCCCGACAGGAGGCGGGGCTGTTTTCACGACAGACAGCGCCAGCGCCTCCAGCAAATCGCCAACTCTCCGTTCGTCGACGTCTCGGAGTGGGCCTCCACAAGGGACTGCTTCACCCGGGTCCTCGCCGCAGAGAAGACAACTTTCACCATCGACTGCTGTAGGTGATCCGAGTCCAGCGATGATTCAATCTGCAGGTGCAGGTCCTTTGGATCATAGTGTGAGCGCGATCGCAGCTGCAGAAAGTAATGTGAGTCGCACTGCCAGTACCAGAACCAGTACAGGCGCACTCCTGCCAACCACGGTAGTTGTACCGAGCTCGGAGATGACAACAAGCAAGCTGACAAGGAATCCACTAGCGGGGGCTGGTCAACAGACGCCGGCTTTCCCGACAATTACAACAGGCACTCTAGAAAGCGTATCGGCGAAGCACCACCCTCCTACCACACAAGAACTGTCTTCAGCTGCCTTAAGCGGCGATCGAGTTCTTGTCGATTCAGCAGCTTCCACGAGTGAAAAACCCCCGACGACGGCAACCGCAAGAGCCACCCTGTCTGCGAGTTCCGGGAGAACTTCCGCCGCCGCGCCGCAACGGTTCAGCGCGGTGATTGACGTGCTCTTCGCGAAGCATGTGGCGCTTCTTTCGTTGCTCGACTGGGAGCAAATGTCCCTCCTCAACCACGAGTTCGTGCAGAAAAGCAAGAAGCAGAAATGGCTGGGAATCATCGTTCTGCGGGGCCTCGTGCTACCCCGGGACCGACCGCGGCTGTGGCTCCGCGCCGCGCGCACCGGCAGACTGGTCGAGCAAATGCGCTCCCGGCTGGTGTTGGAAGACGCGAAAAGCGGGGAAGATCAACCAGATGGTACTAGCACGAGTGGCATAGAAGTAGTACCAGCAGAGACGAAGAGAAAAGCCTCCTTCAACGCCGCGGACTACGGGGTCCTGACCCCGAAGATGAGCAAGAGCAGCAGCGGAAACAAGACGCCCGCGAATTCTACTAGTGTTATGAAAACAGCAGCCACGTCTACTACTAGTAGTGCTGCGGAACAAGACGCGTCTGCGACTGTGTGTTTCTCGCCCGCGGCGCGGACTCCGTCTAGATTAACCGCCGCACTCTCGCCGATATCGGTTAGAAAAGCAGCTTCTCCGCTGTCTGCCCTCACGCGCACTCAGATTTTCGAGATCCTCCAGCAGCAAGAACTTCCCGAGCACAAGGAAACCGAGATCGCCCGGGACGTGTGCAGGACCTTTCCCTATTTGGAGGATTTCAGCGCGCCGGAGAGAAAAGGCCGCGTCTTGCTGCACAAAGTGCTCCGCGCCGCCTCCTATGCAATATAAATTTAAGTAATATTCCCGTACATGTACAAAATGCATCACAAACTTCACCAATTTGGAGTGTGACACTTATCATGCTAAGTTAGGGTCGAAGCCAAGTTTTGTCATGCAGAGACCGCAAATCTGTACTTCGTGTGCGGGAAATTTACTGGGGATACCTCCACCGCGCATCCGGAAATCGGGTACTGCCAGGGCATGAACTTTGTCGGGGGGGTTTTGCTCATCCACCTGCAGTTCGACCCCTCGGCTTGTTTCTGGGTCCTCCTCGCGCTCATCGACCACTACGACTACTACAATTTGTTCAGCCCCAACGTCCCCCTGCTCGCCTACAAATCCTACCAGTTCACGCAAATTGTCGGGGAGCAGCGGCACGCGCGGTTGCAGCGGCAGTTGAACAAGTACGGTTTCAGTTTGGACCTCTTCTCGCATCAGTGGATCATGACCTTGTTCTCCTACGTCGTCGATCCGCTGGTCTGCGGTTTCTTCTGGGACGCCTTTCTTCTGCGCGGCTGGGCGGCGCTGTTTGCGATCGGGTCCGGGCTGCTCCGGTTGCTCAAGAAGCCCGTCGAACAGGTCACCAGTTTGGAGGAGCTGTCGCGGGTGATGCACTCGCAGAAATCGAGGGTCCGGGATATGACTTGCTCAAACGTTACAATCTCAAACGTTACAATAAAATCTGGAAGTTGTGTTGCATGATGAGCATGACAGACTCGCACAGCGTTCTACCTTTTGCAATACAACTTCCGCCAGATTATATTGGGGTTTGGGGCTCCGGAACTTGTAAAGCGCAATCCTATGAGAGTTGGCTAGATCATGCACTCTTGCATCACAGATTTCCATATTCTATTGTAACGTTTGAGATTGTAACACCTGGGCGGGTTATACGGGACTTTCTGGCGAAGTGCGTTCGCAGGGACATGCTGCTGTCGCAGCAGCAGTGGCTGGAGGGGACGAGTGGCGGGGGCAGTAGAAAAAAAGCACAACACGACACAATAAAAGACGAGACTAACAAGAACCTTTCCTCTAGAAGTACCGCTGGTGGTGCCACTGGTAAAGACCACACGACGAACAGCATAGAATATTCCAAGCTAGTCGAGGAACTTTCCGTATCGACCTCGAAAACGGGCGACGACCTCGCTACTGGCGGCGCGTTTTCTGGACTGGAGGGAAGCGAAGAGGAGGAGGAAACGCATGAAAAGCAAGAGAAACGTCGGGAAAACGACGACCGATTTTCCTCCCCTGCCAGCAGCAGGAACGGGCGACAACCGAGACTGGAAAACCCGTTTTTGACCGCGAGCTCCAGCATGAACGGCACGAAAAGTGATAGAAGTGCCACTGTAGTTACTACCTTTGCCAGCGGGACAAGCAGCAGTAGCCATAGCAACGAGCGAAGTTCGAACTTGGCTCGCGAGGTCGAGCGGGTGGAAGTGACGCCGGAGCAGGTATGGATTGCAAATATGTCTGGGTCTGGAAGAATACAAACTTGTGATGCGCATTTCAGAAGACAGAAAAATCTCTTATGCATAGGTAGCAAAAGCTGCCCACTTTCTGCCAGCAAAATGGGGGATTTGTCATGCGAATTCGGCACCGCGGAAGGTTCTCGAAACCTGTGATGCTAGATCTTCCATGCCAGACCTTCTGTGTCATACAAAAACAGGATGAATCTTCCAGACCCAGACATTTTTGCATTTGATAGCATGTGGTTTTTGTCAACTCCTCGTCCGTATGCAATGCAAAAGCATCGTACTAGTCTAAATTGCATGACAAAGTAGCCCAGCATTACATTATTGAATTTGTAATGCTGATTCACCTTGAGAAAGAGATCTGTAAATGCATGAATGCCATTACTACGAATACGATACTTTTGCACAGGATAGTCCGCGCCAGAGGACAGCAGCGCCGTGCAGATCACCACGCTGGATTTTTTGCAAGACGAAACGATGGTGAGGCGGGTGCAGATGGTCGTGGCGCAGCACCTGTACGATCACGGGTTGGAAGTGGACCTCCCAAAGTTGCGGCTAGTCGCGAGGAAATTTCTCGTGCAAAGATTCTACGCCGTGCTGAACGGCTTTTCGATGGTGGAACACAAAATACGAGTGCCTGTCGCACCGAGAAGGAGTGGAACACCTCAAAGCAGTGGCGCTAAGGGCGTGCACGAGAAGGAGGAGAAGAGCAAATCAACAGATGGGAACTCGTTTTCGTCGCAGGAAAGCACCGGAAAAATCGCTGCATCCCTGGAGAAGGAAGCTTCACTACCGAAAGCAGTAGAGACGAAGAATGCAGAAGCCACAGTTACAACAGCAGATCATGAAAGTCAGACCAGTAAAAAAACGATCAGTAAGAACAGCGCCGGATATAGTAGAGATGAATCAGCGCCGAGCACCCCACCGTCCGCAAATGCAACTACAGCGAAGGAAAATTATAGCACACCTTCTGAGCAGCCGCCAGCGACCCCGCAATTTACGATATCCTCGAAATGGGAGCCGCGATTTGAGGTTCTCCCCGAGGGCTTCGACTACACTGACAAGATGCTGCGGGTGGACATGCGGCATTTTGAGTGCTCGGACCAGGCCGGCGCGCCCGGCTCGCCGGTGTTCAAAGCGCGACGGCTGCGGAGGCCGCCTGTGAAGCTGGAGGACGTGCAGCGGCAGAGCAAGAACGTTGCCAACAAAACCCCGGAGGAGGTCGCCGCGCTGAAGCTGATCCCGGGGAAAGACTTTTTCGAAAAAATAGAACCGGACGACGCGGACATGAACGCGACGGCCAGCGGGTGTGGCGGATTCACGTCGTTGCACAACCTCCTGACCAACCGCTACGTGCTCTTCCGGGTCGCCGACTTGCTCTCCTGTAAGCAGTACCTGCAGAAACTGCAGCAGCAGGTGGAGCAGGACGCGATCGTGCTGCAGACCCGGTTGACCAGTATCTCGCACGAACTGGCGACCCGGCAGAAACAGGTCAGGGACTTGCGGGTTGAGTTTTACCAGACGGAAAAGGATTCGGCGCAAAAGCAACGCGAGCGGGAGGTGGACGAGCTGCTGGATATCTGCAAGGTTCTGTCCTCGACCTCCGAAGGTTCCTCTTCACAAAGAAATAGCAACCCTCCAAAAGAAGAACCCACTTCCACCTCAACTTCTTCACAGCAAACGCCGAACAGCAGACCCGCAGTTCCAAATAAGATACCCGCCGTCTCTCCGCTGCTCGAGCGGCATCAGGTGTTGCAGGAGTCGGTTACGCTCGCGACCCAGCGGGAACGGGTCACGAAGGAAAAGTACGACCAACAGTTGTCGAAAGCGCAGCCTTTGTGGGACGAGATCAGCGAGCTTGAGGACCAGAAGCAGCGCTTTATGCGCGACTTGAGCGCCATTCTGGACGACGCAGACGCGGAGCGGGAGGCGCTGCTGTCCGAGCTCTGGGACAGGTTTGGGGTCGTCAAGAATTTGATAAAAGGATGAAGGATTTCATCGTGGTCGATGAATTTATTCCGAAGATGTGAATATACTTCTAGAAGTAGAAGGTGGCACTGGTTGCGCATCAGTTGTCATTGATGGTTGCAGGCTTAGACTGCCATTGTCGGTGAAACAAATTGCAGACGCAGATAGTACACACGGAAAAACAAGGGTCTTTGTTTATCGCGAACAGAAATGCGATAATGTGTTCGCTTCATGTTTTCCAGCCACTTGTTTGGAAGCTGCGGATAGTATGCTGCAAATAACGGTAGAGGATACAACTCACTGCGAGTCATAGAGGCACGAAGAGCAACGTCCTACTTTTTCGCAAAGCGTGAAGATGAATGACGCGATTTTATTGAGATGGCACACACAGAATTTAATGCAAACTATCCATGAATAAACACTGCATTATACGGTGCTTGGCCTGAGACTAGGAATAGTACTGTTTTGGAAAAAGGTGGTCTTAAAGAATTTTTCAGACAGAGCACGGAAAACAAAAAGACAGTCCTCCATCATGGCTACCTACTGGGAGCGGCAGGAGGAGGAGTTCCTCGCTAAACTAGACGAGACGCTGGACCGCACCCGAGACGAAGCGCAGAACAGCAGTGCTGATCATTCACGCGGCAAGATGGCTTCTAGCAGTACAGTTGGACAACTACCTGCCCCAGGAATATCCGCCAGCAATTCCGTTTCAAGCGGGCAATCCACCGCAGCCTCGTCGTCCGACCCAGAGTCATCGATATTAAAAGAGGCGGAAACAGTACTAGCAAATACGGGGACAGCTACACCTGCTGTCACAGGGGCTGCACCCACATCGACTACAGACATCTCACCATCAATAAATGCGGGCGACAAGATGAAGATCCTTCTCGACAGCAAGAATTTGTCATCGGCAAAAATGATCTCTGGAAGCAGTAGCAGTACCGCTTCTCGGGGCAGCAAGGTGTTTCAGAAGTTCATCGACCGGCTGCAGAGGGTCATCGAGAAAAAGCAGCCGGGGTTTTCACTGTCCAAATTCCTAGACGGAACCGTGATGAACCAAGACTCCTTCGCTTTTCTTGTGGAAGAAATGTAGGATTTCTTTACGTAGTGCTGCAGTCGTATTTTTTCAAATGTGCCAGTACAATTTTTTAGAATAGTACGCATAGGGAAGATGATCTTGTTCGCGTATGGTGCCAGATTGATGAAAAATCTCTATTTAGTTGAAACGCATGAAGATCGAAATTGACTCAGATTCGCGATTGACCCGGCAAGTGAATTTGGACACACAAGCCAGGAGCTTTTCGAGCAGGCTTTGGAGGCACAGGGCGTGAAGGATAGCAAGCTCGACCTGGTGCAGCTGCTACAGGACTTCGAGGACTGATGCAGTATCTTTACATGGGAAGAGAAACGCAGAAGCTACGAGCACACTACATGAGATGCCTATCATTTCCCATAAAGTTTTAATTTGTACACATTTATTCAAATTCAATGTTGACGAGGTAGAAAGACCACCTACTTCTACCATAGCGCCACACAAAGCACTGTAAATCAAATGAAACAGAAAAAGCGTCAGAAATAAATCTCCACTCCCATGCGACGAGGAGTGCGGGCAAGCACAAGAGACATAAGAAAACCTCCGAAAATCATCTGTTGACACTGTTTTTGGGCGACTGGAAGTACATCGAAAGACTGTGTTTTATTACACATGATGAGCAAGAACGCAAAATGTTATCACATGGTGCAACGACATATTCATCACTTACCAAATGCGGAACTCTTCAATGCGACGTTGTTGCACTGGACGTCGCACAAGAAGTGTGGAACTTCTGATGCTGCTTTCCCTCCGACGAGCGAGGGAGCTTGAAGTGCTTCTGTTTTCTCGGGTACGCCGGTTTTTTTGGGATGAGTTCATCTTTCGTGTCGTTTCTTTTCAATCTATCATTCTGACGGCCGCAACATGTCTTTCTTTCACGTCCAGTCTCGTTCTTTGCATTGCACTCCCTACGACCTACTACTTAGCTTCTTGATGAAAAGTTTCCACATCCCCCAGCACCGTTGACAATTCAGAAGTAGCATCTGTAGTGGAGCATTTCCGTATTATATGCAACTGGTAGTGAGTGGCTTTGTATGATAAGTATCACGTTTTCGACACATAACGAGTAAGTAATTTTTCGGTTTTCTTTATTCAAGTTTTTTGGCATTGACTTGTTGAATTGGTTATCGCAGTACCTGGAATTGTCGATCATATCCTTCAAAATGCAAAATCTACATCAATGACAAATAAAAATGTCGGTACAGCTCGCAGTCCGTACTTCCAGCCTCGGGTTATGATCGTCGCGCCCAACAATCGGGCTACCTCCTGATTCTAGCGTGTCGGCTACAAAATAAACCTTCTGCAACTACTCAGCATTCGGAGAATTTTTGCCCCGATCAACTGCCATGCCGCCGGCGGGAAGCACTACAAGGAAAAGCAATACTTTCGGTGTAACTTGAAGGTCGAACAATACTTTGATTTTGGTCGCCGAGTCGCTTCTCTTGCTCTTCGTGCGCGTCTTTGTTTTGTCCGCGAGTCCTTTCGTGCTGGTTCCATTCCACTGGGGAAATAAAAGCTACTGTGAACAAATATTCCGATTAAGTATCGCAAAAATGACGTCGAGCGCAGCAAAAATGGGTTTGGACGCGGTGTATCTGGACACCAAAACCTTGATTCTCGTGGAGTGCGTGCTGCTGGCTGTGTGTGAGTTCGCGACCTTCCTTAGCCCCTTCGCGGCAAGGAAACTCATGCATTCAGGTACTACTTCGCAATCCAGCTTGTTAATATTGTGTAAATTTGGTTGATGTACTTAGTTAGCGCATTGTCGAGAGCAATAGGATTCTTGTGTGTCTATAAGATAGTTTTCGAGGAAACACAGACAAACGAAAAAAATGGCCTCCCCTAACACCGTTGGGTGGATTGTGTTTGAGCTTGGTGTGCTCTTGGTTGGCGAATTTAGTTCGCTATCGATCTTCCTATCACGGAAGTTCGTGCATGCAGGTCTTCTGCGATTTTACTACTGACGGAACGCCGTTGTAGATGAAAAACAAGCTGCATTGTAGGAGGGAGAAGTAGACGCGTGCGTTGTACTTACTAATTACACGGAAATTTCCGTCGATGTAAGTTTACCTTTTTGTTTTTCGAATGCGAATCCAAAAATCCAAAACAGCATCCGGCTTTATGATGCTATTCCTCGATCCCTCCGACTGGCTCGCCCGATACTTCGTGTACTCCGTCGTGGTGTCCTCATTGTTTATGGTCTGGTCGCCAGTCGCGCCAATAAAGTTCCGCTACTCAAGAGACAAGGACGTGGGGATAACGGTGTACCTGGTACAACTAAAATGATCTTCAGCTTTTAAAACGTGCTGGAGTGGAGGCATTGTATACAATTTTGCGCATGTTGGCCCAACGTGAAAAAGCTTTATTTCCTAAAAAAGAACCGACTCTTTCAATTGTTCAAAACAGATAATTGTCGGGCTTTTCTTCTACACGCAGACCCCCCTAGCCATCATCCGCCCCGTTTTTTTCGCCGATCCCTGCGGCGCCGTGGTCGGGAAGTGGCTTTCGAGGAACTTTCCGAAGCAGAATCCGAGCTGGATCGGCAACAAGACGGTGGGCGGCACTCTCGCGGTTTTTGTCGCGGGGTTTTTCAGTCTCACTTTCGGGAACACGATACAGAGAATACTAATCGCCGCCGCCATTGCGATCGCGGAAGGATTGAGCAAAGACTATGACAACCTGTTTATCGCTTTTGTTGTCGTGTGTAGCTATTTTCTCGTCGTGTAAGGCAAGAATAGTGTGCAGCACAGTGCTGGCGTGTTTAGAATGTGTTTTGATTTTTGCGAGAATAAAGCTAAGCATCAAGCATGATCGTGCGAAGACAGCTTTGTGTGGTGCAGTTTTTGAGAAGTGTAGCAATAATTATACTTGCGCGCTGCTTGTTGTTGCATACGGTGTTCTACGATTTGTTTCAGTTTTTTCTGGCTCCGCATTGTGTGCCATTGGACACCTCTTTGGTAATTGGTTGCTGGTGCTTCTGGAGCTCGCAAATAGTGATTTATTCAAAGCTGCGTGCCTGTGTGAATATATAGGGAGCCAAGGGTCGTGGTCGTTCGTCTGGTATCCCTAAAACAAAAAAGCAGATCGTCATTCATTCACGTCGTTCGACGGTCGCAACCGGTCGTCTTGATTGGGTATTTGAATTCTGCGGGGATAAAAATTAATGTGTGTCCATGAAGTCCAAGTCGTCGACGTATCGAACAAGTAGTGTTTTCTGAACATCATCGCACACAATGCCGTATTTGTATGTAGAATACTGACGTGGTGCTTGTTTTAGCAAAAGAAAGTAAAGACTCAAGATTTTTTAGGGTTTCCTTTTTTCTAGTAACTAACACTAAGTAAGCGGAGCCAGCATTCGAGATGTCGCGGACCAGATCAAGCCACACGGCCTTGGCTGCGCTGTTGTTCTGCAGTGTCGCCCGACTACCGATTGATCTAACTTGCGCACTCTTGTTTACATCTGCCGAGCGGCACAACTTTGGATCTTCGGCCATAGTAGTGGCGGACGTCACTTCAGAAGCGGAGGTTGATTTCGATAAGCATGCCACAGCACAGGATCAATCCCAATCCGCTCTGGCCGGAAGAGCCTCGTCCTTTTGGAGCTTCGAACAGGCGCTGGGACACTTGTACGATGAAGCGGTCGACGCGCTCTCGGACGCAGAGGAGGTTTTTGCTGAGAAGTTGAAAACTCTGCAGCACACCATCCAAGCGAAGTGGGCGGACGTGAAAGAACATGCGGCCAAGTTTGCCTCCGAGAAACTGCTCCCGCTGGTAGAGAAGAGTGCCGAGTACTCCGCACAGATGAAGCAGTTGTTCCAAGTCGCCCTGAAATTCGGTCGCTTAGCCGAGGCCGGGTGGTTTGCTGTGCAGGAACTCGGCATGAATTTGGCCAAACTGCCGTCCGCTTTCTTCGAGTATTTGGACTTGCAGTGCCGGTTTTTCGAAAAGACGCTGCCACCCCCGAAGTCCGCGAACGGGGAAAAGGTTGTCAGCTGGCGGCAGCGGAAGCAGGATCTGTACCGGACGATTGCCTACTCCGATGCGGTCTACAAGGCGAGTGAAGAAGCGTTCCGGACGCGACTGCAGGACAACGCGGAGCAAAGTCGCGGGAGCGGGCCGCACTTCGCATTCGGCTCCGGGTTTGACGCTACTTCCAAAAATTCGGTCACGATTCTCGCCGCCGACTACCAGTCGGAAATGAAGGAACCGGCGTACATCGTCGTCGCTGACAAAGACCGGAAAGCGCTCATCCTCGCAATTCGCGGGACCCAAGATCTCGACGACGCCGCGACGGACTTGCGGTTTGCCACGGTGTCGGAGAAATTTGCGGACACCTTCGAATCCTGGTTTGGTGCGAACCTGTTGACGAAGCAGGATCTGGATGGCGAGAACTATGGATTGCAAATATGTCTGGGTCTGGAATAGTGCAAGACTTGCCATGCACATTTTGCATGACCCATGATGTCTGTGATGCATGCCCTAGCATCACAGACTTTTTGAGGGCTTTCTGATGCGTATACTGCATGACAAATGCCCTCTCCGCGTAGCACAAAATCGACTCCTCTTGCTGGTCATGCAACACAGATTTTTTTCGAATCCGAAGACAGCATCAGAAGTTGCATCCTTCCAGACCCAGACATATTTGCACTCCATAAGAACGCGCATCCCGCGATTTACGTCGCCGCAAAGACCCTGGCTGTGATGCATGCGATTTACGTCGCCGCAGATGTCTGTGATGCATGCCCTAGCATCACAGACTTTTTGAGGGCTTTCTGATGCGTATACTGCATGACAAATGCCATCAACCGCAGTAGAAGTCCTCGTGCGAGACTTCGTCCTCCGACACCTCCCCAGACCACGTTGTCTCACGTAGCAAAACGCAGCTCCTCCCCTCCTCCCGACGACCCGGAATCTCGCCGTCGTGCCCTGGCGAAGCAGATCGCGGAGTGGTGCCCAGGGTCGTATACGTCTTAGTCCGATCATCCTGACCTACCGCTGTGGCCCACGTCTCTAAGGTGTACGTGGACACTCATGGTAGCTGCCCGATCTGTAGATGGTGAAGGACTGTCCACACCACCAACCCCGCCTCTCCAGCCTACAACCGGTAATCGGCGCCTGTTTTTCATCTCAGCGGTTCTATGGCAAATCCGACAGCTCGATTCCCCTCCGCCCGCCGATAACCTCACGTCGCTTCAGCAGGGCCACCCGTCCCTCTGACTGAGCCGCGCCTTCACCCGCATCTCGCGTGCTACGGGACCACCATGCCCTCGTCTCGAAGACTGGCGTCCTGCTGTGTAACAACCCGTCAGTTCCCTGCATTCCAGCGCCCACCAGCCAGTCCCAGTTTTGCAGTGGGGAGAAGCATCAAGTATCTTCCTTCCCAGAAACAGGCGCTCTAGCTCGTCGTTCCGTAAGCTCATAATCGGTTCCTCTTGGGTCGAGGCCTTTCCTCGGGGGTTGATTTGGGCTTGGGGCGCCAGGCGTATGGACGGCTTCGCAGCTACGTCGTGATCGACAAACTGAGATCGGCGATAATAGTTGTGTTGCTGGTCCTGTGCCAGTCGCGGGGCATGTTCGGGTGTTCCGGGCCGTGCAATGTGCACCCCTCGGACCCCGCACCCCCCCGGGCTTTAGTCGCGCAGTCTGTTAAGCATGACAAATGCCCTCTCCGCGTAGCACAAAATCGACTCCTCTTGCTGGTCATGCAACACAGATTTTTTTCGAATCCGAAGACAGCATCAGAAGTTGCATCCTTCCAGACCCAGATATTTTTGCATTTTATAAGAACGCGCATCCCGCGATTTACGTCGCCGCAAAGACCCTTATTGCGCAGCAACCTGTCTCGGACTAGAGCAGTTGCTAGCATGCTCCTGAGATCAATGAGATCAGAGATGTAGGATCAAAGTACTAGCCTAGAGGGGTCACACGAGTAGGATCAAAGTACTAGGATCACTAGGACCACATGGGTCACATGGGTCACACAGGACAGCACACCACTAGAATGGTGATGATGATAATCGTGCCAATGGTAACAACGTACACACACAGTGCCAGAATGGCTTCTGGTTTACGGGCCAGTAGCTGGAAGAATAAAAAGCCCTTTCTCTCCGTAGTACCTACTAGGTAGGTGCTTAGATAGTAACTCTGTTCTCTATCTTCGGACAGCATGCTAGTGAGCATGCCTAGTCCCTGACGCTTGAGACGTCCACAGAGTTATGAGCCCAACCATTCCCCCAGTGGGAAAGGTAAGAACTACTAGCCCCCTTCCCCCGTATATGTCCCTGCACTAGAGCAGCGGACGAGCCACCCATGCTCAGGGCTGTAGTCGCCTCCCTGTGTGGCTATGCCGCACTTGGAGTGCCAGAGTAGCGCAAGGCGCTAGAAAGGGCAAAAGTCTCCTTGCTCAACATCCGTCGACGACGCATGTTGTAGCGAGTGCGAGACGTGAAAGTAGAAGTAAAAGAAGCAACACAACCATGGTGGCGCAGCAGCGACCTCCAGAGTGTTGCAGTCGGCAGATGTTGCTGCAGCGGTAGCTGCACGCAACTCCGGAAGACGCAGCACAAGTTGCAGCCAGAGCTTAGGCTGCAGCAGAAGCTCCTACAAGAAGTTGAGCTGGATCAACCTCGCCATACCGGTCACGTATGACTGTTTCTCTTTCTGCTTGTAAAAATCGAGTAAGCACATTTTTGCTTGTCTTTGGTGAATTGGCTTGGGTAGAAGATGATGCGCGATCCCGATGGATCGCAGGTGCAAGCTTCTTGATCTCCCGTTCTTAATCTGCTTGCAGGGTCTCTAATTGGAGAAGATCTTCTGGGGATCTGAAACACATACGTCAACGACAGGGGCAAATGAAGGGACGTGGTATAGTAGCTTCGAAATACATCATGAAAACACCACCCCGGATGCCCCTGAGGACCTCAAATCTTTCCAAAAAAGAAAAAGATAGAAGTGGAGGCTTGCGCGTAAGGTGAAAGTAAGGTAAAAAAAAACAGAAGAAGTATATTTATAAGTACATTTTAGAAGGAAGGTGAACTTCAAGATTTAAAGTTTTCCCCTAAGACAAATGGCCCTGCGGAAGAAAGACAAGTGAAAGCTGTCATATGTCTTATGTTTGCATTGATTCTCTGGATGGCGAGAACGCGCATCCCGCGATTTACGTCGCCGCAAAGACCCTGCGATTTACATCGCCGCAATCCGAAGAAGAGGTTCGCAAGTACAGCGAAAAAATGCCGTGGGCGAATATTAACGTCGCTGCCACTTGGAAAATACACAACGCCAGCAAGAAGTAGTGAGCCACATGGTCGGGGGGCGCGGTTCCGGGTGTGTAGCCGTCCTATGTCTTCCTCTCCGGACGACCCAAGTAGGGCTTCGCTCTTTACTATGATCATCGTATGTGCAGCGTGAAGATGATGCTACTTTAGCTCTTCCCTTTTGAGTAGACTGTAATATTGCCGCTTCTTATGTCTTCATTCATATGGACGCACTTTTATTACGATGTTCTTTGCCAGGTGCGTTTGAGGCTGCAATCGGTAGGTGTCGTCGCCTCGCCCTGTGCGTGGGGTGGGCTAGGTTTCCCAAATTCATCTCCATTGCGCGTAGCTTATGTAGGGTTCTTTGGGTGCGTCGTTGCGTTTCGACTCCGTTTGGGGTGAGTCCACCACGCTTGGTTAGGGCTCTTGCACACCTCCGATTCGGTAGAGGAGATCACCCAAAGACGATCATCCATAGATGGTCTATCTGTTGCTTGGTCAAATGCAAATATGTCTGGGTCTGGAAGAGTGTAAACTTGTCATGCAGGTTTCCCATGACCCATGAGGTCTGAAATGCGGGACCTAGCATGACAGAGTCTGTGAGGTCTCTGCCATCGCCATGCCTATCCTGCATGAGAAACCCCCTCCACACTTGGGAAAAAGATCGGCAAAACGTGTCTGAAAGGGACACGCCGTTGGGTTGCCCGCCATCGTGATAGGATCACCGTGTCTGATCATTAGACCCCCAGTATACTTTTTAGCGCGCAACCGGCCACGCACGTAGTTCTTCGAGCAAGTTTGTAAGACTAACCCATCAAGGCAATACTGGAACTCCACCTTGCTCGCGGGCTTGGATGGTAAGGCAGGTCAGCCACACATAGCGCCCACTGGTTGTAGTCATGCGTAAGCAATCGATAGCGGTTTAGCAGGTGCAGCCGGGTGGTAGTTAGGAAGTGGGCCGAGTCTCCACCTAGGGGTATCGGCAGAGGCTAAATCTGTTCTAACGCCCAGGTATTGGCAGAGGCTAAATCTGTTCTAACGCCGACCCGCCAGGAGTTAAATGGTACTACTACTACTACTTCACTTGGTCGAAATTGGACAGCTTTTGGTACTCATGCAGCACAGATTTCTGCATGATTCGGATTTAGCATGGCAGGTTGCAATCTTCGAGGCCCAGACATATTTGCACTCCATAAGAACGCGCATCCCGCGATTTACGTCGCCGCAAAGACCTATGGAAGCTTCAGGATTGAAATCGTCAAAGTTGAAATGATTTGTGATGCATAAAACGGATACCAGTTAGACCTACAGTTTGTAGTCGGTGCGTGACAAATTTTCCCGGTCCTGGAAGCGAGTCTGTCATGCGGTTTAGGGCAAAAGAGCTGCCTTCTGTCATCCTAGTCAGCAGTCCAACTTTTGACCCTTGCCAGGACTATACTCTGCCTCCCGTGCGTCCTCTGCAATAGAGTCAATTTCTGTGTCGCATTTTATGCATGGCAAATCATTTCAACTTTGACGATTTCAATCCTGACACTCCCATAAGACCCTGGCGGACAAAGCGTCCGAGCCGGTGCGCAAGTTTTTACAAGAAGGGGACAACGCCGAGACTTTCAACACCGTCATCGTCACGGGCCACTCGCTCGGGGCCGCGACAGCGACGTGGGTGTACAAGCTGTGGAGTGATAGTGTGGAATTTGGTCCAAATATCACCGTGCTGGGGTATGCACACGCGATTCCCGGCGTCGTGGACGGAAACACACACTTCCCCTTTGACACTTTTCTCGGCACGGTGGCGGGCGACGACGCCGTGCCGCGGCTGAACTCCCCGCAACGCGTCGCCTACGTGATGGCAAAGGAGCTGGCAGTGCTGTTGCGCATCAAGAGGGAGCGCGGGGACGATGACATCCAGGAGACAGCGCAGAAGAAATCATTGTGGCTCGATATCCAGAAAGCGCAGAAAAAGTTTTTTCACAAAAAAACCTGGCGCCCGGCCGGAGAAAGCGTGCTGTATTTGCCGAACGAAGCGGAAGACAAGCCGGAATGCGTGCAAGAAGGAGGTGGTAATAGTAGTACCCGACCTCCCCGACAGATCTACATCCTCACCTCGCCGGAAGCGTTTGACGAGTTGGAGTTTTCTGCGACCATGCTAACAGCGCACAAAGCGAGCAATTACTTGAAGAAATTGCTGCTCGTGCTGGCACCGGTGGACGGTAAACCACAAGCGACATCAAACGTTGTCGCGCCTAACGCTTTTCTGCTCGTGGATGACGGCGAAGCACATGCGGAAAAAGTGTCTGCGGACACGCCTGCGTCGTTGCGGGGTTCGCGTTGAACGGTAGTAGGAAACGGTGCAAGTAGATGAAAAAATGTGTAGCAATCTGCAGGATGTTGATCAAGAAGTTTAAGGACCACAGAAAAAAGGGCTCATCACAGGGGTCTCGGTCTCGTCGTCAGTTTCAATTCATGGTCTTCTTGGTGACTTCTTCAAAAGACAGTTTGTAACTTGTTGAGTATCCCAGCAGTTATTGAGCATCCCGGTATTATTGTAAGATTCAAGAAAGCATCAAACGCGAAATCTGGACTTGAAGGCACTTATCACTTGGGAACCTCAACCTCTGAGGCGAGAGAAGTGTGTACTAGTCACACGAATTAATAGCGCGGTTGTCTGATTGTTGACCGCGCAGGAGGTCTGCCTGTTCGTCTTGTTGCGGTGGATGGAGGAGAGAAAGAGAAACCTGGCATGAGAGAATCAATCTTCAAAGTACAGCCAGCTGTGCCTGCGTGGGACGACAGTATAAATGGTATGAGGGAAAAATGAAAATCTGCAAATTAGACAGAGCTCTGGCTGAGTGTGGGACCGGGGTACTTGGCTACAAAGAGGCACGCAAAGTGCGCGGCATCATGCGGGACCCGCATCGACTCTTGACGCATTATTGATTCGATGAAGAGCCGTTGGTTTCAAATTTTATGAAAGCGCAAACTACAAGGCAAAACTAGAAATAGAATTCTTGTTGTCCTACAACCATGCCCGAAGCCACACCAGGCTCCGACCCTCCCGCCGATGCCCTGGCGAAGGACACGGCTGCACTGGAACAAGCACTCAGTGGGTTGAAGCTCGCTGAGTCAGATTGCCAGTCTCTGCTGGAGCTGATTGCGTCGAAGAGTAAGGAGCCGGAGCGGAATCTCGCCGCCGAAAAGAGCGAGGAGGACGCATTTGACGCCATGCTGGTACGGGAGATGGGAGAGCTGGAATCCGAGGAATCCAAATCTTCCTCGTCAACAATTAAAGTAAAAGCATCAAAAGAAAAACCGACTGCGACTGAAGCAGGGGCAGTCCTCGGGCAGGAACCTGGTCGTCGAGGAGCTTCGTCTTCAGCAACGAATACAAGTCGTGAACCTGCTAGCGGCGGCGACGGAAGTAGTGCCACCGGGACGAAGACTGCGGGAAATACGGGAAGTAGTACAAAAGCTAGCGAAGGAGCGGGGCGGCAGCAGGAGGGGCAAAGTAAAGCGTACGTCGAGGAGGACCCGTTTGCTGCGGATCTGGAGCGCGAGATGGAGCTTGCAATCGCCGCGGATCTGGCGGCGTTGCGATGATGAGATGAAGACGGGGGTTGATGACGTGTCTAAGACAACAAGATCCGGAAGTGTAAAAGAAGATTTTTTATTGCAGGCACATGGTCCGTCGATCACCTGTGTGAGTCATACACTCTGCGCTTGTTGCCCGCATGTCAGCCTACGCTGTGCCAGTGCTGCTCGTTTTCGATGTGCAAGTTGGAAGGGTGGCTTGTTCATCTGGTAAGCGAACGGTGAGACGAGTTTCCAATCAGTTAGAGTGATAGGTGAGAACAAGATCAGAACACGCACAGCAATCTAAGTCTGAGAGCAGGAAGGATTGTAAGTGCGGCACACGAAAAATTTTACAGAGCTCCTGTTTTCATGGCGACACTCTTCAAAAATGTTCGCTACTTACGTGGAAAGTGAAATCAAGAATAATTTGGGCCGCTCCATACCACAAAAACCATGGCGACCGCAACAGAAGAAAAACGATCCCGACGCACGCAATTCTCAGCACCAAAGCTGCAGGTGCAACAGCTGGTCGGAAGGGGTTTTTTCGGGGAGGTGTACAAGGTCTTGCTAGTACAGGACGAGGAGCTACAACCGAGCTTGAAGACGAGTGAAGATGGCGCAGTAGATTCCGCCGCTGCAACATCGACCGAGAAGCCGCGCGACTCCACAAAAACTTCGCATCTCCAAGTCGCTGCGCTGAAAAAGATTCCGCTGGCCACCGTACGCGAGCACGAGCTGGAGAAGCAGTTACAGCGGGAAATTGACATCCTCTGTGCCGCCGACCACCCCAACATCGTCAAATTTCTGAACGCGTGGAGGACGAGAGGGGATGACCACAGGCCAGAAGAGCAGGAGGATGGTGAAGTGGACCACGACGACCAGTCGGAACATCAACGAAGCAACTTCAACGAAGACGTTCCCCTGTCCGCAGCCGCGTTTCAGTGCATCTTGATGGAGTTCCTGCCCACCAATCTGTACGAACTGCTGCGGAAACAGAAGTACCTAGCGGAGGCCGAAGCCTTACCGTTGTTCACCGGCGTAGCGCAGGCGGTCGGGTTTCTGCACCAGCAGCAGGTTGTTCACCGGGATTTGAAACCAGAAAACATTCTGGTCACGGAAGACGAAAAAGTCGCAAAATTGGCTGACTTTGGCTGGTCCGCCGAGGGCTCCGACAGAACGACGTTTTGTGGGACCTTGGACTATTTAGCGCCGGAAATTTTGAAACTTACCATGGTAGGCGGAGGAGCTGCAGCCTCGCCTACATCTTCACAAGTGGAAAGAACACCGAGTGCTGCGCTTAGTGTGGTTGGCGAGGAACAAAGCTTGGTCGACGTAGCTGTTGCTCCAGGAGGTTGTGCACACCAGGCCGAAGAGGACGAACAAAGCCACACTGTTAATACCGGTAGCAGTAGCTGCAGCGAAGGCGAAGAAATCCCCACAGATAAGGACACTCTTGACGCAACAAGTAATGGTCCTTCGCGAGCATCTTCATCGTCCTCTCCATCCACTCCAAAGGGCTACGACATGATGGTGGATACTTGGAGTCTCGGCATCCTGCTGCACGAGATGCTCACGGGGCGCGTGCCCTTCAAGGCCCGGAGTCAGACGAGCCTCTGCCGGAAGATTTTGAACCGGGAGGTCAGTTGGGGTAAGACGTTGCTCCCCGAAGACGCCATTCCCCTGCTCGACGCGTTGCTGACGCTCGACCCGAAGCAACGACTCCACGCGGACGGAATTCTGGACCACGAGTTTGTGTTGAAAAAAGCTGAAAACAGAACGACAAAGCAAGACCACGAGGCCGCCGCAGCGCGAAGGAGGTTGAGTAGGCGGAGGAGCTCTACTGCGGGCGCCGGGGCCCCCCGCCAAGAACACCAAAAAGAAGAGCCGACTCTTGCCAGGACGAGACAAAACCAAGACTCTCCACGGAACAAAAATGACAGTTGGAATAGCCAGCAGAAGCCTCGAACGTCGAAAGCCGCAACCAGTTCCTCATCACATACCATCCACGAAGATGATTCCACCAGCTGTGGAAGCAACGGAACCACCGACGGGTCGGTTTCCGCCCGTTCGCACTGGGAGAACGGACGGAGAGTGTTGTATCCTAACGGTGGAGGTGGAGGAGTCATGCAGCAGCAGCAGGTCGCAACTATACAGCAGTACACCCACGCGGAGTTGTGTTACGTGCTGCAGTATCAAATGTAAAAATGTCTGAGTCTGGAAGAATGCGAATTTGTCATGCATATTTTGCATGCCCCAAGAGGTCTGCAATGCAGGACTTAGCATGACAGCTGCTGTGACGTCTCTATCATGTCTATCCCGCATGACAAACTGCCGCTACACTTGTTCAAACGCGGACGCCTTTTGGTAATCATGCAACACAAATTTCTGTACTATCCAGACTGAGCATGACAAGTTCCAACCTTCCAGACCCAGACATTTTTACAATCCATATGCAGTCGCGGGATGCGGAAATGCAGAACTTGATGCACACGGTGCAGCAGGTATCCTGAGTAAAAACGTCCCCACACCAGAGTTGTCATGCAAATCTGCATGCCAAAAAAGTTTGTCATGCGGAGCGCAATGAGAGACATTTTCTAGTCGTGTTTTGGAATTTGTGATGCTATAATCTGCATGATGTGCTAGATCTGTAATGCTGCTGAACTACCTAAACAGGATTACACTACGAGGAGAAACTTGTCATGCCAAATGACCAAAGCTGGCTGATTTGTCTAGCAGATTTCCCATCTTGACTCTGGTGTGGGGACGTTTTTACAGATGATAGCAGGAGCGCGAAGCAAGACAAACTGCGGAGGAGCGGCTTGCCAGGGTAGCGTCGCCGGAGGAGGTTAATCGATGCGGAGGCGGAAGATGGCGGTGCTGCTTAAGATAGTGTGCAGTAATGCTCTTTTTCTTGTTCTTCTAGACATGATGGCTGGAACAACATCAGGCACGAAAGGTTGGCACTGACGTTTTCTGCTCGTTGTACCTCCGTTTGGCAAGTATATTCTGCGGGCCGTTCAAATGATTTTTGCGGATCGATGAGTTTCTCTTCGTGGCTTTGTGCCACGGTCCATGTCAGTGTCGCATGGGTGTTCTTCGAGGAGGGTGTTCTTGATTTGAGGGCTACGAAAAAGAGTGCAGTCATGGAGTTCAGCATGCGGACTTACTGCTAGCGTTGTAAGAATTCGATGCAATCGTCCAATCTGTAAGGCAGCGCCAAACAGGCAGCAACGAGTCGTGCAGGGCAGCTTTATCTGAAAATGGGGACAAGTGTTTCGAGCCAGGGGCACTTTTTTCTGCTCTAAATCTTCTTACGCACCATTCGCGGAGTGCAACCACGCCACCAAAACCGGAAAGAAAAACCGCCCGAGCACCATAGCGTGAAATGACGGGAAGTGCGGCGATTTGCGAGAGCGCAGCGGCGACGCTGTTTGTGTGGCGAATGATTCTCTGCTGGGTCTTTGTCGGCTTCGTCGCGATTGCCTGGTGGCAGAAGGAGATACACGTGAAGAGCAGCCTGCCGGGGAAATGCATCGCCAGCCCCTGCAACGTGGAGACGGCACAGGGGTGCTACTGGGATCCCAAGAACATGACGACAGCGTACTGAGATATCATACTTACAGTCGGATGGTGGAGGAAGTTGAATTGATTTTGACGTCCATCTTCGTACGACTAGTATTTTTTAGTGGGAATCGCTATAGCTTGACCGCTCTTGTGGATTTCAATTTTTGTTATCCGGGTGTCGGATTGAGTCGAAATTCGATTCATTACACAGGTGCGTAACGGAATACGACGATGGGCTCAGCACCTTTGAGAGCTTGCTGATCGCCGCGTTCGTCCTTGCCGGCGTGGAGGCACTGCTTTCACCATTGCACGCCGGCAGCCAAGCCGCGCGACTGAACGGAATTTTGTTGATAGCAAGGGTCATATCAGCAGTGCTGCTAGGTAGTCCGATGTTCTGCTTTTTTTTTCTGGCGTTTGCATCCATGGTCGTGCACATGCATTATTATTTCAGATGCTTGCACCATCAAGTAGACCGTACTGCGATGAAAACACTATCTCCACCTTGACAGCTTGCTTCATCGGCTCGGCCGCTCGATGGGCGTACTTCTGGTTCCCATTATGCGGCGGGATAATCTACCCAGTAGCGGTTTCGATCTTTCTCCTCATGCAAGGAACTTTTGCCATCCCCGCGTTCGGAAACATGTTTTTCGCGTTCGTGGCGGCGCTCTTCCTCTGGATACTCTATATGGCGGACAACAAGGCGGTGATGAACGGCTGGATACCGGCGGGTCACGGTATTGCGGTACTCGCTGCCTTCGCGACGAGCTTGGCGGCTAGGATGCCTAAGAAGTACTCACCACCGGATTCCGCAACGGAGAGGATGGAGTGAGTATCGTGCGGGCCTTCTCCAGTTGGGCGCCGGTTTTTTTCCCCATGGCCGGCCGTAGGAGCGGATCGTGCCACGCAAGGTAGAGCGAAACGGGCGGGCTTATCGCCAACTGCTGCGACGAAAGTGTTGACGCGGTAGTTTGAACGGGATAGGTGGTAGTTCAAGGGCGGTGGAACAGGAGGTCTTTGTAGACCGAGGAATGAACAATTTGGAAAGTATAGGTGCTGAGTGGCACAGGCACTACAAGGGACGTTTCCAGCGCAAAGCAAATCTCTGTGGCTCGAATTGTATCACATTGACTGTCAGTGTCAGACGCAGTCCTCGCTTTTTTTGTTCTTCCAGTAGTGTGCAGCTATTTATTACGTTGCAGCTCGTTTGTCTTTCTCTTTTATTTTTTCCAAGCGGTTCTTGCAAGCACAAGCAGTGCGGTAGAGGGATGTGCCTGCAAACTGAGTGGGTTTTTTGTGGGGAATAAGTTACATTCTTAACGAAGGGAGCAGTGGAGATGTTTGCTTTGCGCCGCTTGTGCTAGCGCCCACTGGCAATGCAGTAGTTTTTTACTTGTAAGTGAATCTTACCTGTAGATCTAGAAAGGGCAATTCAAACATAGCAACCAGTGACTGCGCCAGGGTATGCTGAGATAGTTTTAGTCATCGGACCAACAGAGGTGGTGAAAATCGCACAAAATGACGAGTCCTCTTGCCGGCGAGCGGCGGGGTGAGATAGCCGAGTCGTTTCATCAAAAGGCCAAGATTCACCGAAAGGAAGCATGGAAGCTGATAGAGTACCGTCTTTTTGCTAAGTTTGATAATTTTGATATATTTCAATTACGTATGAAATGGGCCCTCGAAAAATAAACTGAATGATCAAGGAAAATTGGCAGTGATTCGCCGTTCTCCCTTTTCTATTGAAATCGACTCTGATGATCCGTTCCTCCAGAAATTTTGGTTCGTTGGGCAAAGACTCGCTTTTTCTCAAATAGCGTGCTTTTTTAATCAACGCAACCTAGATTGAACTGTTGAGATTAATCCCAGAAGCGCGCATCTCATCGTGTCTTCTGTTTCATGACTCAACGACAAATGCTTCAAGTTTCCCCGCATACAGAATCCACATTCCGCTTGCCCCTCCTCTGTTTCGGGTCGAACTTATGTCCCACCTCGGCGGCCTCAGTCGCATTGGCTTTGGCGTTCTAATTTTTTCCGGTTCGTTGGGCAAAAACTCGCTTTATTTTCATAGCGTGCTTTTTTAATCAACGCAACCCAAAGCATCAGCTGAGATTAATCCCAGAAGTGCGTTTTATGTCGTGTCTTCTGTTTCATGACTCAGCGACACATTTGAAGAAAGTTTGCAAGGAAAACACAGGCTCTCGGCTCGAAATCAGGGACCGTCCTGGTTTTTATCCTACATGATGACACATCTCTTTGGTCCGTGTTTCTGATACACTTTGCTGTGTTGATGAAATCGGAGAATTTTTGTTTCAAGACGGGTCTGATTTTTGTAATTTCCGATTCTCATCTAGCATCGCTGCAGTAAATATTGCACCCTCGGCCTGTGAAAGCAGTGCCGCTGTTCCATGATGACACATCTCTTTGGTCCGTGTTTCTGATACACTTTGTTGTGTTGATGAAAGCGGAGAATTTTTGTTTCAAGACGGGTCTGATTCAGAGATCATTTCGTTGATCTGGCATCTACCTAACATTGGACGATGCATTTTCACAGAAAGCTACAATAACAAACACAACCTCCCCCAGGGCCCAGATGCGCAGTGACCCTTCAACGCACGATCCGTTAAACCTGGTTTCCCAGTGGCGGAAGCGGAAGCGCGACAAGAGAATCGCGGAGCGGGACCTGCAGGCGGCGCTGTCGAGGGTAGTGAAGCACGACGAGGAGCACCGGTATGGGGTGGACCAATTTACAACCTATCTGCGGGAGAAGAGCGACTTGGCGCAGAAGCGAAACCGAGTGGGATTTTGTTTGTTTTTGTCGTGTTTTGGAGCTGCTAGACCGCTTTTGGAACTCAAACTTCGTGTAGAGTCTTCACAGAGGCGATTTCCATAGCATCACTTGCATGAGACAGAGTGAAAATTTGAGAACTTTCATTTGATACAGTTGCAAACTCTCGGTCGGGCTTCGTTGGATAATCGGATGCGTCTGCAAACGAAAGATCTGGACTTCCAACTCAACCTCGATCGAGTGAAGCATGAAAGCAAGCGGCTGGTGGCGGACAAGGTTAGTATAGTAAGTTACTTTCTCATGCGGAAGATTGGTTGCAAATGCAACAGCAATTGCACTCATCCTTGGTGAAATAATGCTGCCTGTGCATTGAAAACGTTAGCGTCACATGTCGTTCTTTCGAAATTTCAGCACTCGATGTTCGCGCGCTACAAATACGACGGGTGGGGTGGCAACACGGAGATGTATCGACTCACTACCTACCACAACGAGTACACGCGAACACGACTCCGGAGCAAGAAGGCCTTGCAAAAGATTGTCGCGCCGTGGGAGAGCATGTCGATTTCGTCATCAGAACTTGGGCCGCTGGTAGCCTGAATTTGGGAGACAAGATGCTTGTTGTTATGCAGTGCTTGTCACACTATGCACTTCAAAAAATCACGAAATCAAAATGTGTGACGCGCGGTGTCATGTCTACTACGTATGCTCAAAATGTGTGACGCGTGTCCACCACTTCTGCTCAAATCATCTCACCTTCAGACCACCCTCCGCTCTCCCTACCTAACCGGTGGATACGGCAACACCACGTTCGGGCAACCGAGCAAGCTGCTTGGCAAGTCCAGCTACCGTCGCTGCCAGTCGGAGCCACGGCTGACGGACCCGGTGAAGGCGATTCTGGAAAGCGAAATCTACAGTTCCGAGCAGGAGGCCGAGGATGTTGCGATTGGGCTAGAAGAAGCCCCAAATGTAAAAAAGGGTGCTCTTTCATCTTCTTCCCTGTCCTCAGCCTTCGTCGGCGCCACGGAAGAAGACCGCGCGCGGGAGTTCACACGAACATTGCGATCGCTGCAAAACCTGAGCAACGAGGAGTACCGTGCGGGGATTTACGCGTTGGATGCGCAGATGCAGGAGCTGAAGATCACGGAGAAGAGTAACAGCGCTGCGAAGTCCAGTGGCGAGGGGGTATTCGCGCACTTGCTGACATCGTCGAAAGCGGCGACCAACGGTAACAAACCGCAGATGAACGTTATCAGCAGCAACAGCAGCTCCTTCCCCGGTTCTTTGAGTAGACATACAACCACCTCCAAAGGGTCCCCCGGCGAGTACTCGTCCTCTGCGAGTACCCAAACTGGGTCGCCTGTTGACAGCAGTTCTCTCTCCTCTCCCACCGAAATCAGCAGCACCGCGACGCCGTCGCCCGCGGAAGCGTTTGGTCCTTTGGGGCAGTTGATACTGACGCAGCAGACGATACCGCGCCCAACCGGCCCGCCGAACAAATTGTCTGTCGTGGTGGAGGAGGACGTCGAGGTGGACGAACTGCCCCCGGTCCCGAAGTTTGCCATGCGGCGACGGAACGCGGTTGATTACACCGGGAAAAACGAGGCGCAGGAGGTGGAGTTTTTGGCGTCGGTGCCCAGCGGGTATTTGCAGAAACGGAGAAACGCTGTCGATGGAACATCAAGTAGTGCAGGTCCTTCGGATGTAGGAGCTCTTCTCGGGGAGAAAAACAATTTGTTGATTGACAGAAAGCAAATTGACACGATCCTTGCAAAACAGGAAGCACCGGTTAATACTACTTCGGGACAAGATTTCATCTCGGAGGAAGAGGCCACAACATCATCGTCTGAGGAAGAGGAAGAAGAAGATTCAGAACATCAGCCACCTGCTTCCGCACTACAGCGACGAAAAGCCATTGATCACACGGCGGACGGATCGCAGTTGAAGGTTTCGACGTCATTGGAGTCCGCCATCGAGACCGGTTTTCCAGGCCCAGTTCCGGACTTTGCGAAAAGACGCAGGAATGCGGTGGACCACACAGCAGATAAGACGAAGGAGAAGATCGTGGACGAATTGGAAGCAGCGATAGCAACTTCTTCTGCTGCCGAAAGTGCTACAATTCCCCCGCCACCCTTCGTGTTGAAGAGGCGAGGTGCAATCGACCATACGGGAGACGGCACAGCAGAAGAGGTCGCGGAACAAGCAGCTGCCCTAGCGTATTCAAAAGACGGCGAGGACGACGATACTGTGGAAAATTTGCCAAAGCCGCCGGCGTATGCGTTAAGACGGAGAAGGGCGGTCGACCACACGGGTGACGGATCGGTCCAGGCGGTCGTTGATCTGCTGAACAAATCCAGCGTTGAAAGTGAGGAAGAATCGGACGAGGAGGCTGTGGACGATGACATTTTCGCGGGTCCCCCCGCGGCCTACGCGACCAGAAGGAGAAACGCGATCGACCATTCGGCGGACGGGTCGAAAGCAAACCTGGTCGAGGAGTTGGAAGCAGCTGTGGAAGATGAAATAGGGGAACAAGCAGGTGACGTAGCAGAAGCCGATAATTTTCCCAAAGAGCGACTTCCAGTCTACGCCACCCGAAGGAGAAACGCGGTTGACCATACCGGCGATGGGTCGCAGAGAGAAATCGAAGCGGAGCTGAAGGAGGAGGATACCGTAGAACACTTGCCAAAACCACCTGCTTTTGCCCAGCGCCGTAGGAATGCGGTGGATCACACCGGTGATGGGTCAAGGGGGAAAGTCTTGGAAGAGCTGGAGATATCATCTTCTCCGGAAGACGCAGAAGATGTTGAACAAGCAGATGATTCTTTACCAGCACGACTACCCGCGTTCGCAACGCGCCGAAGAAATGCGGTGGACCATACTTCGGATGGATCGAAAGCAAAAATAGTAGCCGAACTGGAGGAAGTAACAGAACAAGCAGATGCAGTAGACATCACGGTTGAAACGATGGCGAAGCCACCGCCGTTTGCCTTTCGGAGAAGGGACGCTGTGGACCATGGTAACGAGGGCTCTGCGGGGGCTTTAGCCGCGGAATTGCTGCGGAGGATGGAGGAGAAGAAGAAGATGCAAAAAAAGCACCACTTCACGGCCGAGCAGACCTTGGTGAACGCGTCGAAGTTTAACGAAGAACTGGCAAGGACGTTGTCCTTTTCCTCTTTTCTACCAACGAAAATGCGGCTCGGGCGCAGAAACGCTGTCGACCACACGGGCGAGGGGACTGCTGCTACGGGGGGTGGTGTGTTTTCAACATCCAAATTCGTTGGCGACCGGGCGTACAGGAAGAAGAAGATGCCAGCGGGTATGGATGTTGTGACTAGCTGGATATTTCAGTTACAGTGAAGTAGAGCATGATCTTGTTCATGCTAACAGTGCAACATAGTTGGCAGGAAGGTTTTTCACTGACTATCAAGAAAAAAAAGACTACAGGTGGCCGAATTGTCGCTGATACAGGCGAGAGCTGCAACAAATTTGAGCACGAGTACTGGGGCGAAAGCGAGGACGAAGAGGATGATAGCATCACTGCGAAATCGTTAACCACTTTTCTCGACTTCCTCATTTCCCGCAACCTCACGGTGGAGCAAGCGTACTGCATTGCGGACGAAAATGACTCGGGCGACTTGAGTCGGTACGAGTTCTGCGACGCCATGACCCATCTGCACTACACCGGGGGGACGGGGTATCGCAAGAAAAAACTGTTTCACTGTGAACTTGTGATGCATAGAATGGAGCATACAACTATTTGTCTTGCTACACATACAAGACATTGGGTTTTTCAATGTGTTTTCCCTTAGGAACCACGCATGGCAAGTTTTCTTGGTCATGTGTAACGAACTTGTAATGCAAAACTTGGAAAATCCTTACAGTGAAACACTTTTTTCGTACGATACGGGGAACCTCGGTGCGATTTTCGCGCTGCTAGACAAAGACCACAATGGAACCATTAGTAAGGAGGAGTTTTTCCAGCTCAAGCCCTACTACCAGAGGAGAAAGCAAGGGTTTCGATATTAGACGAAGACATGGAAAAACGAATCTGTGTGATGTGATCCGACAAGGACGTGGAAAAGTGAAATCTAGATAAAAATGGAAAGCAACGTGATCCAAGCAGTAAAATGCTTGCACTTTGATATAGCATTATGGACAGATGAAGAAACTGTACAGATAATATCGAGCAGGTGAGTTTTTGCTTTGTGATGCAGGCACAGGTCATTGTGCTAAGTGTTGTTTTCGTGCGCACTGTTGTGATTTGACATTTTTTAAGGGCGACGGAATGGCTGCCGCAGCTGCAGAAGTGTATCCTGAAGACACAATATCGAATAAACCATGAATTTTTTGTCCTGTACTTATTACGAGAAAGCGAATTTCCTGCAACACATGGACAGAACGGTTACCTCTGACCAGGCTCACGGCTCAGATAGAAGTGACGCGGCGGTCTTCTTGCGTCGGATTTTTAACGGATACGGACTCAATTACATCATGAACGTATTTTAGTATCGAGTCTTGTACACAAGCTGGATATTCAGAAAACTCGATTTGAAGAGAAGATCTACAGTACGAAGCGTAGTAAATCAGAAAGAGACAACATCAAGAGGATATTACAGTCAGTATAGCATGAACCCCTGTTAATGATAAGCGGTTGAAATGTGTTTGGAACATAAATGATTTCTGGTTCGGACGCGGGACCTCGCAGATTTTGCATACGTGCACTGCTGAGATGAAAGGGAGTTCGATTGATTGTGCTTTTTGGGCCAGTGACTGTCAGAAACCTCTCACGGAACAAACATCGAGAGAGAGTGAGAGGGCAACAAAATGAAGTTACGGAAAAAAAAGCCATTGGTTTATGTTATGTGTATAAAGATCGTTGTTTGATACTTGTGCCTTTGGTGTTTTGGTTGACTTGGATGAACGGACGGCGCTCTGCTGGCGCTTTCCGTTTCGCTCGTGACGAGGCTATTTTTGCAAGCAATATTCCGTTTCTCCGGGCACCGCGTGCAGTCCATTACAGCATTTCTTCGTTTATTTCATGTGCTTGATACGCTTTTCTTTGCCCTCTTAGTGAGCCAAGTCGCAGGCTCTCTTGTTTTGACGTATCCGCACAGGTCGTGCAAGAAACCGATAATTTTCTATAGCCCGAAAGAAGATCGCAACAACTATGCCAGAAGCTATCTCCCCCATGGCAGCCTCCACGGACGACGTAAAGCTCGAGCCGAAAGAGCAGAAGGCAGTCGAAAAGACAGCGGCGGGAAAAAAGAAAACCAGCGTGACCGGAGAGAAAGCAAAAGTTTCCGTCGCGGGAGATGGTGCGTTGCTGACCAAGAGAAAGGTTTGTTTGTTGACTTTCTGTTGCAGCTCACATGGTGGACCACGCCGCTTCGCATCAGAACTAACGATGGACACGGAAAAATAAATCCTTGGCAGTGGAGGTTTGAATTCACGAAATTGATGAAATTCAAAAATTTGCTCATCAGGAACAAGTCGAAGCCTTCGCCTCACTTCCAGTGCTTTCGAAAGTGAAGCCGCATGTGCTGCAGTACTCTGAGCAGGTTGCCACGGGAGTGGTCTTTATCGAGACCAAGGCGGTGCCAGCCGCGCTGGCGGCGTTTGAGTATTGAATGCTTCATCTTCATCTGTGAAGATTTGTTTCATTTCATCATTGGAAATGTTTGCCATGCAAGTACAGCTCTACTTATTAAGAAGCGGAACCTTCTCCACGGCACACTAGATCTCCGCGGATTTTTCCAGTAAATCATTTTCGCAACAATATGCTGACACATCCAAAAAAGGTATGCGAAGCTCCTGTGGGAAAAGGTGGAGCCGCACTTTTCGGGTGAGGCTGGGAACGAGCTGGTCCCGATTGTCTTCGGTTTCTGCTTGTGCTTTTTCGGAGGAACCTTTCCGCTGCTGATCGCCGCCGTGGAAGCGTTCAAGCTCGCGGGGTGGGATGGTATACGAGTATGAGATAGTTGCTCTTGCTGCATGCGTAGAAGTCATCCCTTGCATCGCAAGTGAATCTTCATCTATCTGATCTATGTATTCGTGTTTTGCTTTTTTCACCGAACATGTTTACACCACTATAGCGTTGCAGGTATGCGCAACGCCATCACCGTTCTCTACGGCGAAATGACGGTTGCGATGGATGCCCACAAGAAGGATGAACAGGAAGACCTGGACGGCGACGGTATCCCAGACGTCCAGCAAATCACCCCGCAGGAGCTTGGAACCCGGAAGGTTTTGCTCTTCTTGCGGGTCGTCAATCCGGAAAAGTTCTCCACCGCGGCGGCGAGCATCAGTGCCGGGTATTGAGAATACCGAATCTATTAATAATTTCTGCGGTCTTTTATCTCGTTTTTCATCACGGTGGTCGTGGTGGACGTCAAAATTATAATGCTTGCATACATCATTCCAATGAGTGACGATGAAAGGATTTAAGGGCCCATCAAACCACAAACACAGTATTCTCGCCGTCCTCGCGAGCTTGAAGCTCACCTTCGCTCGCGCTATCACTCTCGGCGCTACCCTGGGTCAAGTTCTGCAGAAGCAAGCGGACCACCACATCCTTCCGACAGTGAAGTCTGCCACACCGGAAGAATTTCACAAATGGCTGCCGGTCTGCAGCGTGTGGGTGACGAAGATTATCGCGGTGTGGATCGCGTTTATGCTGCAGACGATCATCTCCGCCTTCCACTCCGCCGTCCGCGGGGGGCAGATGTTGGGCGTCAACATCGTGCGGTACCTGAACCGTTTGGGGAAAATCGATTTCAACGAGGACGAATCACTCTTGGATGAGATGGTCGGATACGGCGCAGCGGGATTGGGATTCATGTACATAACATTTTGAATGATTTCGTTTTTGCGAAGTGAACTTTAAGGAGTTCGACGTTTTGGAGTTGCTGGACACGTCGACGAGGACCATGATGGGAACAAAAACGTATATAAAAATACAGGTTTCAGATGTGGATGGGCTTCAGTGTGCCGTTCCTCCTGTGGCTCCCCTTTCTGCCGGTGACATTACTGGAGTACAGTCTATCGATTACGGTGTCTTGGGTGTAAGAACCAGTGCAGACGTAGTTTTTGCTTCCGCGGTGGAGAACTACTTGGAGGACCCGCCCAGATTACCACGCGAATTTTCCATTGGTACTGCCGCTGCTCAAGGATCCGATGCGGGAACTATTTCCGATGTGGTTACTTACACCAAGTAGAATATGGAAGTAAAGAAATACTTTACTTATATCGAACAGAGACTACAGTTGAAATTTAAATTTTGAGAATACAGTCGTTTTGCAAGAAGGGCACTTCGCGCCCTTGCTTGGTGCACTAAGGTACTGACTCGACAGCGGTCGTCCGCAAATAAAAAGAAACCATGATTGTAGTGCGAAATAGTCCAGGAAAAATGCAGAAGGGAGAATAGCAGCTGCAGCAACACACATTTTTCGCACTTTTTATTGCAGAAGCTGTCAGTGGTTTGTATCATTCGCGTGGCAGTTGAGAAGCTGCTTTTGACTGTGAGAGTGAGTGGTTGTGTCGAAAGTCGGTATATCTTCGAGCAGAGCTGCGTGATATCGAGTGTCTCAAGATGAATCACAAAGAGAGAAGATACTCGGCAAGAATAATTGACGAAGTGAGCGAGTGCGCCTTTGAAAATTTGTCGCTTTGCTTCGTGGCGCGCAGGACTCCAATAAATCTCGTCGCCTCACAAGTTCTTTTTTGCATGCTGCTTCTAATATATCTATCTACCCTACCCTCCCTGCATATAATTGCCTTTTCGATCTACAATGATTCTTATCTCAGCACAACAAAAGTTGAACCTCTTGTTTCTTGAGTTATTATTTTGCTTGAGACCGGTATGGTTGCAAGATGGCTTGGTTACTGTACACAGTCGAGGAAGAGGAGTACGAGGAGCTGGAACGCTCGCAGCATTTTTGCGATGCTTTTGAAGACCAACACCGCAGTCGCGATTCGTCCCAGAGAAGGAGCAGGAGCCCGTCGGTCTACGGTCGGCGAGCAAAATGCCGGAAATTGTCCGGACCCTGGTGCTTTTATCCTGAAGCGCAAGCCGCGCACAGTCGTGCGGCTGAAGTAGACGCTGATTCTGTTAAAGATTCGCCAGTTGTAGCAGATGAAGCAAAAGCAGATGCCGTGTCGCATACCGACAAAGACGCCGAAGCCGACAATTGCTACAGCGGGCGGAACAGCAAGGATCATGATGATCTCGTCACAGACTACACATCAAACAGCGCGGCAGACGACGGAAATTGTCGTGAAAAATCAGACCACAACCACAGCCGAATGAAAATGCCAAGTGGATCCAGCTTGCCAAAAGACCGAGGGAAGGGGGGTCGAGCGGACTTCTGCGACAGCTCGCGGTTAAGGCGCAGCTTGTACCATCGGCCGAGGAGGCGGAACTACAGTACGTTTGACGATTGCGATGAAACGTCGAGCTCCTTCGCGAACAAGAAAAAAAGTTTATTTTACAGTAATAAAAATGAAACGAGATTTTTTGAAGAACTTCCAGCAGAGCCACAATCTACTACATTACGGAACGACAGCACGGAGAAGCTGCTAGTACAACTCGCTAAGCGACTTCTTTGCTGCATGCTGTCCTTGCTCCTGAATCTGGTCTTGTCCCCCCTGGCGGCAGGAGCTTCTCACCGCATCAAGAGAACTGCTTCTCTCTTCAACCTCGCAAGTAAAGGTAGAACCACGACGACTCATCAAACAAGCCTACCCAGAATGCTGAAGCACAATCGGAAAAATAGCGTGATTATCTACGCACCACAATTTGTTCCCCTCGTCTATTTGACCGCCCTGTTCTGGTTCTGCCTGAAACCGGTCCAAGCCCAGCTGGGTCTCGGCGTCCGGGGGTTGCTGGGGGAGTATTATGAACTCGACTATGAGAACGACGACTTGCCCTGCAACCTCGAATCTCTCGAAGACGCCTTCCTCGGGCAAGTCCCGACGGTGCAAACAACGGAGGTTGACGGCATGGAGATCCAGAAACTGACGCCCGAGAACTGTAAATGGAACCTGATCGAACGCACGGACCGGTACCCGGAGGTTTTCTACCCGACGGTCGAGGAGGCGCGGGTCGACTTGGGGTTCAGGCGTGATCATCGAGACCAAAAGTATTACATCGACTACATTCTGTACCCCAAGCAGCAGCCACCCGGATCACCCTTGCGAGATCGCGAGGGGTTCGCATCGGCGGCCTACCTCCGTTTGGGGTATCGACTATTGGCTGTGAATGGCGATGAGCAAGAATTCGAGCTGCGGACCGAGATCTTGTCAAGGAACGTGTTCGGGGATACGGATCCGATCGTACTTTTTTACTTTTGAACATGATGATGATGTCCAGATTCGAGTCTGTAGCTTTTTACTCGTCGATTTTTACTTTTAAAACCACAGCACATGAAGTTCCAGGCTTTCCGGCTGGAATACTTCTGTTCCGGCACCATCACCTTTCAAGCGAACTTTTTCGGCGTCCTGTCTATCAAATGTAAAAGTGTCTGGGTCTGGAAGATTGCGAGACTTGTCATGCTTGTCAGGCATGGCCAAAAAGTTTGTGACGCGTGTCCAAGAAGAGACCCTTTTGCCTGTCATGCAAAAACGCAGTTTGTCATGCGAAAAACGCAACACAAAGAAGCGCTGTCTTCTCATGCTTGGCTGTGCATTACAGAGCAATCACCACTCCCCGCGCAGCATTACAAGTTTCTAGACCCAGACATTTTTGCAGTTCATACTGTCCGGGGACCTGCAAATCCGGAACCCGGGCCGCTACGACTTCCGCCTCACGTCCACCGCGGCACAGGTCAATTTCATGATGGGCCACGACCACTGCAAGGGCGGGGACCGATTCGGCTACAACGACGGCGCGTGCGGACCGCGGTCGCGCATCCAGAATCTGAAGATGTCCTCGCTCCAGCAGCACATGAGCGGGGCGATCGGGACCGAGTGTCGGGTACAGGGGGCGGACACGACGGTGTGCCAAGACCCCTTGTACCCGAGTCGGATTCCCGCAGGTACAAATTAGTACGTGTAAAAGTATGATGAGGTTCTTCAACATGCTGATGAAAGCATGAGATGAAACTTGCAGCTTGCAATAGTTTGTTCGTGTTTTGCTTTTGCATGATGTGAAATAACCACACCATATCAAAAAACCAGGCGACATCTGCTTCAACACGGAAAACGGTTGCGAGCCGTTCTCGATCTACGCCATGCACATCCCGGACATCAAGTGCGACTCCGACAAAGTGACCAACCAGGGCGCCACGCCACACCCACGGACCATCGAGCGGTTCCGCTGGATGCGCGCAGGCTTCCACCCCCTCCGGATCACGATTGCGCGGCGGTTTAAGGTGTACAGCTTCGAAAACGTGGATTTCGCGCTGCAATACAAAGGCCCAGACACGACCCCAGTCAAGACCGTCATCGGGGCGGTTTTCCACAACTGCACCGGCGCGGATCAGGACTACTTCTCTGTCCAATCTTCCACAACCCGCTTTGCCACCGCTCGGGGAGATTTCAAGTACGAGTTCACCAACGACGGTCACTGGATGCTGATCAACACGAACTTGGTGGACCGGAACAAGTGCAAGGTGCGGGGCACGCCGTTGCGCCAGCTGGGGATCACCACGGACGACGACTCGCACATGCTCTTCAAATACCGGTGGGCGGGGTACTCGCCCGGCGCGGAGCTGTACGACTTCCCGTGGCGCCAAGACATTCGCGACGTGGACGGAAATTTGGTCACACGGGACATCGAATTCGGAATCGGGGTGCAGCTGGTGAACACGCCAGAGGTATTTTTTTATGTATGAAATTTTAATAGCGATATAAATTTGTCTGCTTTTCGATAGACCAAGAGGCGCAGTATTTGTCTTCGTACGGATGTTTTTGCACAAGCAGGAGCATTTCTTTGAACTGCGTTGCATTTTTGACAGTTGATTCCCTTCGCCATAAAAATGCCCACCAGCTGATCGCGGACCCGAACCTTCCGGAGCTGCAAATCTTTCATGGGTACCAGTGGACCACCGTTCCCGGCAACGCCTACGTTCCGCTTAACGAACCGAAGTGGCAGGCCGACTGGTGGGGGCCGATTGAGCGGTCGTATGACTTCATGTTCCCCGACTACATTTACACCACCCGCGCGCAGGAGCGGAGGACGCAGACTTTCGGCGAGAAGTTCTTCAATCAGCATGTCACCGTGCAGCGGGTGGACCAGATCGGGAGCTCGAGGCAGCTACGGCGGGAGCTGGGATTGGAAGAGAAAGATGACAAGGGAGACCACATAAAACTACAGACGCGTCGAGTACCACTAGCCAACAAGAAGATGCTGAAGATCCCGCGGGCCTCCGCCGCCGGGAAACTGGATGACGAGCAGGAAAAGCGGCAGCTGGCGCGAGAGTACTTCTGGAAACTGCTGGGTTTGTCAGAGAAAAATAAGGACAGAATGCGGGGAAGATCTGTGGTTCTGGATTACGACGCGAGAATTGTGAAGGACGAAGAGGTGGAGGGGAATTATGTGGATAGAGCGCTGAAGCCGAAAGAGCAAGACAATTTAGCCTCGACAAAAAGCGCAGCAGCTGCAGCTCGCGAGCAAGGCGAAGGTGAGATGACCGGCGAAAACAAGCACTGGCAGCTGACCGAAGAGCAGTTTCGCGATTTTTTTGACCGCCAACTTGCCGGCAAGGAGAAGCTTGACGTTTTCAACTTGCCACGATACACCGAAAAGGAGTTTGCAGAGATGAAGCGGAAAGATCGCGAACTGGCCGAGAAGCAGCGAAAGGAGATGGCGAGAGGGCAGCGACAGGAAAAAAGAAATGAAAACGGCGAAGCTGAAAGAACAAAGACGCCCGAAGACCTGGCGGCCGAAGAGGTGCGGAAGATGCAAAAGAAGGAATTCAAGGAAATTTCGGACCATCCGGATGACCGCACTCTGTTCGAAGCCGACGACCCCTGGTGGGGGTATTTGCGCAACCCGTCAACTTTCCTGAAGCGCACTCCGGTGATGCGGAACACGTATACCGGGACATTTGGGCCGGCGAAGAAGACTGGTTCTGACGATTCGAAAAATGATAAAGCTGGCGATCCAGCACCTGCGCCTCATGCTGAAAAAGCTTCATCTCTTCCACAAATAAATGCGAAAAACAAGATCCTGAACAACGAGAACAAGGAAAAGACCAAGACAGATCAAGAAACTTCCACCCGTGGCCTGCAAGCCGAGCCGGACCAGGTTGCGATCGTGGTGACCGACCCGCCGAACTGGAAAACTCTCGCTCCCACGACCACGACTACCACCACGCCCCTGGTTATCACCTCGACCTCTACCAAAGCTCCCACCACAACGCCACCGCCTCTCAACGCGGACGAACCGAAGTACTACGGCCGGACGTTCCACGAGATTCTGTTCTTCGTGACCCCGTTCCACCCCGAAGTGCAACTCGACGGGAAACCGATGGTCCGCCTCGCGAACTGGCCGAACCAGCACCCGTGGAGCCGGGACACCGGGACGGACGTGTCGGACCCCATCCCGATCCCCGATTTCGACTACACCAAGCCGTACGCCGCCCGGTTCACGGGCGTGGTGAATTTCGAGCGGCCGGGGAACTACACGATCCGGGTCGAGACGGACGCCATGTTCCAGATGTTCTTCGGCGGCCGGGGACTCTCCTCGGAAGTCGTCCTGCAAAAGTTGACGAACGAGCCGCTGCAGAAGAGACTGGAGACGCGAAAACAGGTGTACTTAGCGGGGAATCACTACATCAGGTTAGAGATGCTCACCCGGAACCGGGACAAGATGCTCTGGGTCACGTACGAAGGGCCGGACACGGTGTACTACGAGTCCGCAGCGTATGGAAGCGTCAGGTTTGAAATCGTCAAAGTTGAAATAATTTGTAATGCATAAAATGCGACACAAAAAGTGACTCTATTGCAGAGGACCCACGGGAGGCAGATTATAGTCCTGGTAAGGGTCAAAAGTTGGACTGCTGACTAGCATGACAGAAGGCAGCTCTTTTGCCCTAAACCGCATGACAGACTCGCTTCCAGGACCGGGAAAATGGTGTCATGCACCGACTACAAACCGTAGGTCTAACTGGTATCCGTTTTATGCATGACAAACTATTTCAACTTTGACGATTTCAAACCTGACAGTTCCATACAGCGGAACCAAACCGGATCATCGGGTACGCGCGGCCGAGTATATGCATTGCAAAAATGTCTGGGACTGGAAGATTGCGAGATTTGTCATGCATATTTTGCATGACCCGTGAAGTCTGTAATGCATGCACGAGCATCACAGATTTATACAGGACTTTGTGATGCCTCTACCGCATGAGAAATGCCCTCTCCGTTTAGCCCAAAATGGAGTCGTCTTGCTGGTCACGCAATACAAATTTTTTTTGGATCCAGAGACAGCATCACAAGTTTAAAATCTTCCAGACCCAGACATTTTTGCATTTCATAGAGTATCTACCGCGGCAACATCCACGACCACGAGATCGGAATTACGCACCCGTATGTCGACGGGCTCAGGTAAGTACCAGTACGGTGATGTTGCTGATGATCACTATGCATGGTTGTTTGTGTTTATTTGAAGGTACTACTTGGAAGAGTTTTGGACTTGCAAGTTTTATTGTCGAATGAGGGCGACGAATCATGCAATAAGATTCGAATTCACCGCCCACATGCAAAACTAATTCGTATCGCATCTCAGATCCTCTTCCCTCGAGTGTCGGCTTATCGCTTCCAAGGAGGGCGGTGTCCAGCTTCCGCGCGACTGCGCGAACCGTTGCACAGACCAGGGATTGCTCGATGGCATGAGCAGTGGCATGATGCGGGATGGAACCTGCGACGACGGAACCGTGTCAAATGGCTTCAACCTGTTCTGCCCGGAGTGGACGTACGACGGCGGCGACTGCGACCCGCCGTTGCCGAGCGACGAGAAGGACCCGCCCATCGAGTGCCTGGTGACTCCGCCCGCGGGCCACTACCGCCGGTACGGCTACACGCAGTGCGACAGGACGGAAACCAGGGGCTTCAACTACTTCTACGACGTATGGATTGCAAAAATGTCTGGGTCTGGAAGATTGCCAGATTTGTCATGCAGGTTTTCCATGGCCCATGAGGTCCGGTATGTAGGACATAGCACGACAGACTCTGCGGGGCCTTTCTAATGCCTATCCTGCATGAGAAACTGCCTCATCTCGATTAGGTCAAAAGTGCGCAACCTTTGGCAATCATGCAACACAGTTTTTTGCCTGATTCAGGTCGAGCATGACAAGTTGCAATCATCCAGACCCAGACATTTTTGCAATCCATACGACGCCAGCGACAACCGCGTGATTCCAAGCCCGCTATATCCTGTGTAAAAACGTCCCCACCCCATAGTTGCAATGCAGATTTGCATCTACAGAAACATTTGTAATGCGGGTCCCCGTGAGAGGCATTTCTAGTGGTGTTGTGGAATTTGTAATGCTGAAAACAGGATGAGCAGGTGGATTTGTGTTGCGGGTGTCCTTACGAACCTGCACTACACTACGGACTGCAACTTGTCATGCGTGGCTCCCAAAGCTTCTACATTTGTGTTGCTAAGTTGCCAACTTGACTCTGGTGTGGGGACGTTTTTGCTCAGGATACGCTACCGGACATCCCCAATCCGCGGGAAACGGAGGAAATCTTCTGCGTTTCGGATTACGATTTTTTCCCCGAAATGCCAACGTACTCGCTCGCTCACTGGCCTGCGACCACCACGACCACGACGACGACCTACAATCCTAACAACCGTACTTTTCATAAAACGTTCAGATCTGTGATGTTTCGTGTTCCTTGTCAGACGGTCGTTTTTGATAGTTTATGTATGATAGTATGGTGTCTTCAACGACTGTACAGCAATAAAAGCATACTAATCCCTATTCTACTTCCATATACAGCCTTCGTGGACCCGAATCCCAAGTTTACGAAGTGCTGCGTCGCGCAGGTCCAAAACGACCCCGAGCATGGTAGCTACTGCCTGGCTTACGGCGCCCCCGTCGGTTGCTTCCAGACCATGCAGGAGATCAAACAGCGGCGGCTCAAGTGGCTCCGGGACAGTCCGGAATACAGCGAGAAGCAATTGAACACGTACTTCGCGCAGAACGGGGATTTAAACGTGACCGAGCTCGTCCAGTGCACCACGCCGAAGTGCAACTCGCTCCCCGGGGACTTCACGGTCGACAGGAGGGGGGAAAGAATTTACAAGTGCCCCTGGCAGAAGGACCCGGACGACATTGCAGACTTGTTTCAGACGCAACAGAAGCAGAAGTCGATCTTTTGCTACGAGACGCGGGAGCGGGACATTTTTCCGCCCCTGATCTGCCAGAACCGGGAGTTCACCAGCTACAACTTCTGCCAGAACGACCGGACCCGGGAGGGGAGGAGGTACGCGCACTGTTGCGTGACGACCTACGTGGAAGCGGACACCAACCGCTTTGTGTGTAAGCTTACCGGTCTTCCGTTGAACTATCCCGGTAGGTGCAATTCCTTTCTCAACCGGCACATCTCCGTACTGAACGCCCTGCGCCCGCAAGCACTAAATCCGCGGGTGTGGTCGCAGTGCGGCGCGGGGGATTTGTGCAACGAACCGGAGCTGTACAACTGCCCGGTGGTGTATGATCAAAACGCCGAAGCCGCGGCCAACGCGAAGGCGAACCCCTACGTGCCGCCCCTGCCGCCGGTGTATGGGGAGGAGGATTTTTCCCCCGTCGCGCAGATCATGATTATCGCCGGGCTGCTGTTTTGCGTCGTGATGCCGATCACGGTGCACTACTTGCGGAAGAAGTATTTGAAGGTGTACGAGCCGGAGTTTGTGCAAGACTTGTACGTGGAGCCGGAGTTTTATGAAATGCAAAAATGTCTGGGTCTGGAAGGATACAAGGTTTGTCATGCACATTTTGCATGAGTCCTGATGTCTGTGATGCATGCCCTAGCGTCACAGATTTTGTGAGGGCTTTCTGATGCCTATACCGCATGAGAAATGCCTATACTCGCAATGGAAAAAACTGGACCTCTTTTGCTGTGTATGCAATACAGATTTTTGTAGAATCCAGCTGCAGCATCACAAACTCGCACTCTTCCAGACCCAGACATTTTTGCATTTGATAAGTTTGGCGAGGGGATTCTGCGGAACAACGTCTTCAACAAGATCCGCCCGGGCGCGGGGTTTTTCAAGACCATGATCGAGAAATACAGGCCAAAGGAGCTGACCGACGAGCAGCGGCGAGCGATCCAGGAACGAGAGGAAGCGGCGCAGGAGATCCAGCCGTACGTCACGAAATACAGCCGGGCGATTTCGCAGTCGAAGCAGGCGAAGAAGTCCGGGGAGCCAATAGTGGACGAATACACCCAGGCGATTTTGGATGAAATCGCGAGGAAAGACGAAGAAGCGCAAGCACAGCAACGGGTGGAGCTGGAGGTAGGTTGTTCATGCGCTTTTGGATGTCGAAATCCAAGTCTGTCACCACTGTTTATTACGATCCGTTTTTTTTTGTTGTGTTTATTTTTTTCCTTACATTAATGTGAGGCCATCAACATACTCGATGCTGCGTCGAAGTATGGAATAATAACTCTGTAGGTCGCCGAGCGCGAGCGCGTTGCCAAAGACCCCGCCAACGCTTTCAGCCGCGCTAGGCCCGCGTACCACGAGACGCTGACAGAGTTCAGTCAACGAACCGGGACCGTTCCTCTAGCGTTGCAGAATCAGCTGGAAAGGATAAAGAACGCCTCCTCCGTTGCTTCTCTCCAAAATTCCGACGGCTTCTCGCAGATGCGGGGCGGCATGGGCATGCTGGAGACCGGTCCGTCGGACACCTTCATGTCCACAGATTCCGGTGTTCCTGGTGGGGCGGTCTACAGCCCGGGCGACGTGCAAGTCCAGGAAGGACCACCTCTTGCGGGAGGTAGTACTGCAGCTTCGGCAACACAAGTTGCGCCGGAAGTAGGAGAACAGCATCAACCCCAACAGCCGCCCGTCCCAGGCACCGTTGTCTCCGAGACAGACCCAGCCGCAGTCACGACCGCGGTGCCCACGATGACGGAGGGGGAGGCGCAGCCGAGAGGTGGACCACAGCAACTACAACCCGATAATTCAGATGGCAACATAATTCCGGGTTTGCTACCAGATAACGTTTTATCCCAGCGCTTTCCGCACATGAAGGGTGGACCGGTCATATCGGAAGAGGAGAAGGAGAGACTGCTGGCCGCAGCGGAGGAACGCAGTATGAACTTCGACCGCAACAAGTTTGTCCAGTACGTGCCCTACAAGGGCGACGAGCACAACGAACTGGAGAGGACAAGTTGGCGGGCGCGGAACGAAGAGGGCATCCGGCAGCGCGGGGGAATTCTCACCGAGGACGAGAAGGCGGCGCTGCACGACATTTGGAACGAGGCGCATTCCCCCAAGCACGAGCGCGCGGCCAGTCGCGGCGGGTCGCGGATGATGCAGCCAGGGACTGGCGGAGGTGGACTGTTAGGGTTGCTGGACGCCAGTCAGCAGTCGCACGACCGGTCGCTCATGCAGCTGGAAGACCGACAATCCCCGGGGGGTGGGAAGAAGATGCAGAGGAAGCGCACCGGGCTGCTCGACGAAGACGACACCCAGGTGCGCGTGCCGGGGGACGACAATGTCAGGGAAGGCGATGTGATCCCCGGAAACGCGTTCCAGGGGATGGCGCCGCCCGTGGTGATGCCCGCGGCGGTCAGCAAAGCGCTCAGAAAAAAGAAGTTCAATGGGAAAGTGGTCACGTAGTGCTGTGATTTGCTTGACTTCTATGAGAACTTCTCATCTCCGAGCTTGTTCTTTTGGCGCGCGACCTCCAAGTGATGGTGATGGATGGTTTTAGCAGTAAAATTCAAATCACCGTCCTGCTTGCGCACAGGGCGGTACGATGCACGTGAATGTTGTGGTTTGCAGCCCGAGGATGCAAAATGGGGCATGCGCTGTTTTGTTGTATTGCTGATGCGAACGATGTTCCGGCTTTTTGTTTGCGGTGTTAGGAAAGAGCTGATGTTGAGTGGTGCTAGTCTTTTTGTTTGCAGCCATCGATATTCAATTTGATAAATCGTATGACCATACTGAGCATGCTTCGAAATGACATGTGCTGATGTAAATCACGGAGACTGTGACTGATCATCTGTGAAAAAATCTTCAGGCTCGTCGATATTGTCTCATCTCAACTGAAAAAATCTCATCGTCGTTTGCATTCGTTTGTCCGGTCGTTGCGTACTTTGCCAGCTTCGATTGATGCACTCCTGTACTGCTCACGGTCACGCTGCAACCATAATCAGCCTCCCAGGTGGTCATGATTCCTTGTTGTATCTAGTACGAGTAGAAGACGGACTTGTTCCAGGTCTCTTTGAGAAGTTTAGGTACAGAAAATGGATGCCTTTCCGCCGGAAGCAATGGAACAGGTGTCTCATCGAGAGCACCAGCGGCGCGGGCCGCAGTCGCAAGGGCACTATCCGGGCGACGCCTTTTTGTATCACCAGGACAGCAGCTTTCCAGCAGTCCACGAAACGCTGCGCCACCACCAGCAGGTAATGCCACAGCAGCGACAGGCACTTTCGCGTACTTCGGAAAGGTACAGAGATGAGTTCGATGAGTATAATCGTCAGCGGGAGCAGCAGCGGCAGCAGCAGCAGGAGCTGCAGCGTCACCAAATCATTTCGTCGCCATCACAGCACTTCGAAGATAATAACGTGCAGCAGAAACAAGAACGGTTTAACCTGTTTTTCGAAGGAGTCGCGCGGCACGATGTCCTTCCACATCAGCCGGATGCTGACTTGGAGGACTTTCAATTCGCTGACGTGCTTCATCAGAACGAGCTCGAACCGAGAAGAGACGGGGCTGTCCGACCCGGCGGTGGATTTTTTTCCTCATCCGCAGCCCCTTCTTCAGTACTACAGCGCAATTATGCAGAATCGACAAAAAACGATGTCCTCATCGCAGGTGGTTCCGGTGCATCTTCAAGTTCGAGCGGCTACGGCAGCGTCAGCGGGGAAGGAAACAAGGTGAAAATTTCATCATCTTCCCCGGGGGGTGTCATTCATAATGCAGCAAGAGCGTCGAAGTCGAGGAGCAAACAACATCTTCAGGGGGCTGGTGCAGCTCCTAAGAACAAGACGAAGAAGACAAACACAAAGACCAACAAGCTTGGGTGGCGGCACCAGATCGCGAAGATGGACGCGGCAGAGGGAGAAACTTCTTCTTCGGAAGATGAAGACTTCGACGAGGAGTGGGTGCCGGGGAAGAACAGGAGAAAGAAACCCGCAAAGAGTAGAACACCAAAGCAGGAGGGGGCACAAAATAGGATACAAGAAACGCCTCCACAGTCGAAGATCGCCCGGAGTAGGAGCAGAGATTGGCGCTGTGAGAAAGGTCTTGGAATTTCGCGAGAGAATGAAAAGCCCAGTCAGGTAAACAGCGATAGCGACATTTATTTTGCTCCTTCGTCCAGTAGCAAGCTGAAGCTCCATAAGAACTACCCTAGCCCGCACCAGCCTGGCAGCGCGCGGGGGAGTCGCGCGGCGGCCAGAAGAGCGAAGAAAGAGCAGGCGGAGGAGGACGAGCTGGAGGAAAGCAGAAGTTCTGCGTTTTACCACCAGCACGGGGAAAAGAAACCAAAGAACAGGGACAGGAAGATGTTGAACGCAGTAAATGGCGAATCTTCAGACTCGTCAGCGGAGGCGCCTCCGGTTCTGCCGGCAAAATTTCGGCGGAACACGAGGCAATATGTTCTTCCTCGTCCACCGGAGATGTTGGGGATGCCGAATCTAGTTGTACACCAGGCGCCGGGAGTACCGCAGAACAACTTCGAAGGAGCGATGTTCAACGCGCAGGCCGTGGGCGGGCATCACGTACCGCCACAAGATCATTTTGCGGCGGCGTTTGGAAAAAATCACAGCGGCTTCGGCGAGCAGCAGCGCGCTGCGGATGGCGTGTTGATGTTTCATCAGGACGAGAGTATGAACGTGGTCCAGCGCCGCGGCGGCTCTTCCTCGTCGTCGTCTTCGCGGCACGCAGGTGCTGCTGGGGTACCTGTTCAGATGGGGCAGTTACAGCATATGCAGCAGCACTCGCAAATGGATATGGAGCTTGAGCATCATCAAGCACGACGGCGTGCTGCCCAGATGAATGTTGATCCCCGTGATGTAGTACCTCTGCAACAGCGGCCGCACCATCCTGGAAATGAAATGCAAACATTAGGGCGGCAGGGGCGAGACCAGCAGGCGGTACGGAAAATGCAGGGGAAAGAACAAGAACAGCAGCCTCAGCAGCAGCTTGAGTCCTCACAACAGTTTCAACCTCAACCACAATTTCAGCCTCAGAATCGGTCTAACGTCGTTGGATCGCCCGACTTTTTCGCTGCAGCAGTAGGAGACGAGCCTCGTCAGAGCCAGCACAGTCACCAGCCGACCAAAAATCTACTAGAGGCTGCACCAACTACAAGCAAAGGGGGTCAGGCCGGACAAGTCCCTGTGCTGCCGCCTGCGCGTGGTGATGGTGCATCGAAGCGCGGCCGTGGCCGCCCGCGCATGCAGCAGGGGGAAGAGCAGCTGTTTCAAGAGCCGCAGGCAAAACGTGGCCGTGGCCGGCCACGCATGCACCAGCACGATGAGCACCAAGTGAAGCGCGGCCCCGGGCGACCTCGGAAGAGGAATCAGAGTCAAGACTTGATTATGGAAGCAGTAGAGGACAAGGAGTTGCAGTTGCAGCAACAGGAACTGCAGCAGGAGCAGCAGCAACCCGCGGTGCCCGAAGTAGAACCACAGCAAAAATCACCGGCAGAGATGAATTTGCCGGAAGAGAAGTTTTTGGCGCGGAAGCAGGAACAAGATGCCGCTGTGTCTTCAAGTGAGGACAGTGAAGATGATGGTGCGCCAGGTCGCCCGCAGCAACTACAGCGGAATTCGAGCGGTTCGGCTCCAGTTGAACAAGAGGAATCGGCAGAAGAGGCGAGCTCGAGCAGCGACGATAGAAATGGAGCTGCTCCGGGCGCATCACACAACAGAGGGGAATCGGCAGAAGATTCGAGCAGCGACGAGGAAGCTCCGGGCCGCGGGGGAATGAACAACAGGAATATCCGAGAGGAAAACGACGATGAAAGCGAAAACTCTACTTCCTCGTCGTCATCTCCGCAGAACCCTCCGGAGGACGAACAGCACAGTGCACAGCTACAGAATCAATTGCTCCGTCAAAGAAATCGTAGTTCTTCCCGGGAAAAATCACAAAGCGACGAGCCGCCCGTGAAAAGAAGAAGGACCCGAGCAGCGAAGACAAGGGCTAATGAGGCAATAGCTGCGGCATTTCGGGCGCGAGCGAAACCGAAAGCGCAGCCCGGTCGGCAAAATGCTTTGCCGAAGCGTGGCCCGGGCGGAAGGTTCTTGCCAAAAGAACAAGGAGAAACAGGTGGAGTCGCTGCGCCGGTGAAGAAAGACAAGAAACGCGGAGGTGCTCTTTCCGCAGCGGGAGGCGCATCGAAGGAGAAAGCCAAAGCAAAGCCGAATTCACCGCAAGTTGTTGAGCAGAAGAGAAGTCGGTTTTCTTGGGCCGGTGCGCACAATCTGCAGAATGCGATGCTGGAGCAGAATAACCAAGAAAATGAGGATCCTAGGATAGCGCAGATACGACAAGCGCAGCAGCTGCAGCACATGCAAGCTCCGCAACATCACCAGAAGCAGCACGCTTTATTGTTGCCACGACCAGAGGTCGTGGGCAACATAGGTAAAATGAACCCAGGTCAACATTATCCGATTCGCGATCGCTCCCCGTCGATCGCAGCTTCCGATAGCTCTATTCCCGAGCTGGATCACTTAGCCGGCGAAGCTCCGCTGGGCCGCGAAAAGTCCTCTTCGTCTTCTGGAACGCCACCCCTCCCGAAGCTACAGGAGCGCGTTTTTGGTTCTGTGCCGCCTGTTCACCAAGATCCTCTTCCTGGACAGCAATTTTTACTTCCCAGAGAACATCAAGGTGGTAGGTCTTTGAACCCGGCGGAACAGAATTTTCCTGGAGCACGACCAACATCAGCAGCTGCAGTTTCGGGTCTCCTTCACAACGATCGGCTTATCTACCACCAGCCGGACGCCTTCTCGCCAACAGGCTTTCCGCAAGCTGGGTTTGTGCCGCAGCAGCACATAAAGCAAGACGGAGCATACCAGGATGAAGAGTCGTCTTCCTCTGATAGTGAGGCGGGGGGAAAGTCTGAGTCTGACAATGCCGAACATCAACCGGAATCGCTGCCCGAGCAAAAACTTCCACCAAAGCAAGCAGCGGGGAAGGAAGCTCAGGGTCAAAGAACAAGAGAACGGAAAATGAGTTCCGCGCCGAAACAAGCAGGTGTTCCGAAAATAGAACCAGCGGTGAAAGCAACAGCGCAGCCGAAAACACATCCTGGAACAAAGGCCGCACAGAACAATAAGATGAAAGCCGAGGCGCAACCGAAGCCAAAACTACACGTCGCTGGCGGTAGCAGACCTGCGGGCAAGGGGAAAATAAAACCAGATCATGTCGAACGAGAGGTAGAAAGTAGTAGCGACAGTGAAATGGACAGCAAATCATCTTCCGCCGAGGTTAATGACGAAGTAGAACGGCTTAGACAGAAGAACAAGGGAACAAGTAAGGCAAAGTTGAAAACGGTGGCACCAGATGAGAAGCAGAAAGGGCCTTCGAGTAAAAAACATCAAGATGAACAGAAAAAAATATTAAAGCCAAGTAAGAAGCAGGATCATCTCCATCAAAGCGCGGACGACAAAAATTCCGGAGCATTGCAGGCGTATAACCAGCTTCGCATTGAGGTGGACACCTTCATTTCGGACATGCAAATCCACATGGACATACAAAACGTGGACGATGAGTTGGGATCACAGCACCTGCTTACAACTGACGAGTCCACGACTGAGGCAACCGCGCTGCTGGAGGCCGCCAAGAAAAAGTGGCGCGACGTGCACCCGGACCGACTGTGTAGGAGGTTACCGGACTTGGGGGAGGAAGAGAAAAAGGCGCTTTCCGACAAAAGCGCACTCTTGCGAGATCTATACGAGAAACTGGACAAGGAAATCAAAAACGTGAAAGCCAGATTCACTGAAAGTGCAGCTGCTGGGCGTCGTTTTGAAAACGCTGCCGTAACTACTGCGAAAAATGCGGGGCAGCGTGATGAAAGTAGACCTTCCTCGTCGTCGTCCTCGGGGGTGAACAATCCGGGTCCGAATCCAAGCGAGGACACCAAAACGGCAGACAAGCCGGATTTCGGCATTATTTCGGTCGCGGTTATTGAAAAGTCGCGGTCCAAAGATACAACATCGGCAAACAGTAAGAAAAAGTCGTCCTCCGCGAAAAACAATAAGACCCGGCGCGTTTTCCAGTTCACGTGGCCGCCCCTTCCCGAAGCTTTCAACCGAGTCAAGGTTCACATCGCAATTCCGCCAAAGTTTGTAGACGACAGCATGCTCGGGCCCTTCACGGAGGAGCGCGGGTTCGATACGAAAACGCTTTCCAGCACGGAATTGGCGTCCTGGGAGTTCTGTGCGGACGACTTTAAGGAGGATGTCAAGGAAGACCTCTTCAAGGCGGACGAAGTGAGATTCGAGTTCGACGCGTTCACCGCCAAGGACACCGAGTCCGGCAGGCACGGGTTTGTACGGGTGCCGAAGAACAAAATGCGGTTTCTGAAAAACAAAAAGTGACGAAAGCGCAGTGCAGGAGGATAAGGAAGCGATCAAAGAAGTTCCATTCCAGATACGGAATTTATCTTCCGACGCAAGTGAATTTCTTGTCGAATGTTGAAAGGAAAGAACTACGTATGCAAATAAAAGACGGTCCTGTACAAGTCATTTTCACGACGTGCTGGTAAGGGAGCGACAGCGAGCACCGCACCAGCATTATGAAGGAACGTTTTATATCCAAGTGAGTACTAGAACTACTTAGATCTAGACAACGACATCTACTGGCAAGATGTAGATTGGAACAGCACTGCAAGAATGCAGATGTCCGAACAAGCCAGGACATCGCTCGTAGTTCATGTGCAAGTACATAACCTGCAGCAAAAAGCGTTCCACCGGCGTACTTGTGAGTGCTGAAACGTTCCTGGATCTTCGAGTTGCTGTTTCTGTGCTAGGGCGACTGACATACAGTCATTCTATCTGATCTAGGGCAAAGAACAGTAACTTGCTACGAGTTACGATCATCGACGAATGGATAGTGACATGTTGTATCGCTGTTTGATCAACGGATTGTCCAGAAGATGCTGGGATAAGTACTCGCAAAGTCTTTCGATGAAGATAGAACACCGCTAGGGCGCTGTTGCAATTGATTCTCTGGAACGACATCGTGAAGATACAGGGATTAGAAGTCTTCACTTGTGGCAGAATTTCTGGACTACTCAAATTTTTCTTCTCCTTCGCACGCATTGGCTTTTTTGCAAACTTCGCGTAATTTGAAACCCCTCCTCGAGACGGGCTGAAGTCGTCGAAGAAGTGTATGATTAGATTACAAAGTTGTTTTCTATCGTTTTAGATGAAAAAAAAATTTATAAGTATTTACTTTACGTTTGCGCAGCCGCATCAATTGTACCCGAGTCAATTCATAGCAAAAAAGCATCAAGAATGAAGTTGGGGTTCGCCCAATCCGCGTGGGCACGACTGGCCGTGATTCTCGCTTTCGGGAATGTGTGTCTGATCGAATGTGCGGGATTTCGTGCTCGCTCTCAGCAAGTGGGGCAGTGCATCAGCAAGTTGGCACTTCAGATGGGAGGCTGCCACCTGAAAGAAGGAGAAGAGCGCAAGAAATTCCTCGGCAAAGAAGTTCTCGCTCTTGAGTGTTTTGACAGCCGCATGCAAGACCTTCTGAACGCCCCGGACAAATACAAGTTGTCCGCCACTTGTCCAGCAGCGAACATGCACCCCCTCGAACAGGCACGAAAGATCTTTTCCGCTGCCGAGGAGTTGGTAGCACAGCAAGACGAACAAGCTGCTCGAGGACAGGAAGTACTGTCGAAGAGCTTGTGGCTTTCGCAGCTCCAGTGCGAGCACGAGCGTGTCACGGTGGCCCACCTCCTGCCTTTCCTAGTACAGAAGAGCGGGTGTGGAGATCAAAAGCAAGGAAGTGCTGAAGCTTTTGCCTGTCAAGGTGATCATGCCGTGTTGACGCAGAACAATTTTGCGGTGCATGCGCAGGAGACTCTGTTGTCTGTCGTGTCAAGGTTCGAGGTTCAAGTTAAGAGCCATTACTTATGGAGGAATGCGTTTCTCGATGAGCGTGATGATCCCCCCGAGGATGTGGCAGAGCCCCAGACGCCAGATTACGCGCGTTTTTCCTACAAGGTCGTGGCGCTTCTGAGCTTGATCGGGGAGATGTCGCGGAATAGTACAGATCTGCAGATGACCATGACGTCGTGCGCGCCGGGCCTGGGGAAGATCGGCCGAGGGCACCAGGCTGCCACTTTGAAAAGTGCTGAGTTGCTGCACTTGCTTGCTGGATTTGCGGAAACAGTCGATACCGTTGAGAGGAAAGTGCAACGGCTTCAAACTTTCACCATGGAGAAGTATCATGATTGGAACTGGCGGCATGATATCGGAGATGGAATGAAAGGCAAAGTCGATTATGCCTCGCGTAAATTCATTCAGGACCCATCCCTGCAACAATCGAAATCGGAGTGGCTCCGGCGTGTCACGCAGGAAGAGTGCGAAAGCCCCTTGGAGCCCTTACGGGGTCCACTGGCATGGCACGCAGAAGAGATAGCACGGCAAATGCAATTGGTATCTCGCAGAAATCAATGAAGCCGCTCCACTGGAATGAACACTTCTGCGTTGATGTCTTCTATGATTGATCTGCAGAAAAGCGTTGCACCAGCAACAACGCATCGTGAAAGATGTCCCAGCAACATGGAGCATCTCGTATGTGCCACTGAGTGGCGCGCAAAAATTATATTGTAAAGAACGGTGGATGTGTATGTGAAATAGCTGTTCTCCTGAAAAAGTTATTTTTTAAAGACGCAAAACCAAAACAATAAACGAAAAGGAAAACAAACTGCAGTCTAGCCGATGCGCCAAAGGTGCCGCAGGTCCTTCACAGTTGATGGGGATGTCTATGACGAAGCTTTGCAAGCACGAAGGCATAGCTTCGCCTAGAATGATGAAAGAAAGTGCGTCTGGAACTAGGAAAGAGAGCCCGGCGTACCAGAAGCTGTCATGTTTGCAGAAGAAGCTTTTCCTTTTGACTTTTTGTTTCCGAGACACGGGAAGATGATGACTGGAACAGCACATGAGGTGTTCGAAGCTCGTACATTCCCTCGGACTGTCGAAATACATGGCGCAATCTCTCTTGGCCGTACTTGATCCCTGTAAAAACCGCTCCTGGATCTTTATCGACGCCTGGATGGGAGCTATTCATATTCTTGCTTTTGGTTGCTGGTGGCACAATTGATCGAAAAAAATGGTGGTGCACGATGCTGTTGGTGTTGGACAAAGGCTGGCTCTATCCAGTTGGATCTTGTCGGAGCAGCGGTTATTTTTGACTATCATGATCGAATAGTTCTTGAGACAGCGTAACTAGTCTAGCTACATGTTTTTGCTACGGTCACTGTAGTCGTTGATCACAGCGAAGTCCTTCAATGAAAAAGACATTTACCTCAGGGAAATACTCTCTTCGTTCAGGGGAAGTGATTATATATTCTTTCCACCTTGTTTACGGTAAGTTGTAGCTTAAGGTTGTTTGCGGCTTAAGTGCTTTGATATTCTTGTAACTCTCTTCTTCTTCTTTTCAAATTGTGGGTCAGTTGTTCTTTACGAGATTGTGTCCTCGGTGTGTGAATGTATGCAATAGCAGCCACACAGCTCTCAATTCTAAAGGCTTTTTTTCTATATCGTCATTCGTCAAAAATGAGATTGAGACTCACTCTCAAGAGTCAGTCGCTGTCGATGACCGCGATTGTCGCCTTAGCGAGCGTGCGTCTGATCGAAAGTACAAAGTTTCGCTCCCGGTCAGCAGCTCCGGCCCCAGAAATTATCGACACTTCTCAGCAAGCCCCGTGTACTAGTACTAGTTCGGACGATGCGGCAGCTGGGGCGCTTTTGCAGTCCGGTGAAAATAACTCCCCCGCTCCTGCCGACGAGGATATTGATCAGTTGTCGATACAAATGGGAAACCTCCATCTGGCGGAGAGGGTTGGAGAAAAACGGGAGGAACAACCACAACCCGCAGTCCCCCACAACGCGCTGAACCATGTAGAACACCGAGAGGAACAACCACAACCCGCAGTCCTCCCCCACAACACACCGATCCAAGCGCTGGCCGCAAACCAGGTGCCGTTGCCGCGCGACGATTTTTGTGCTTGTTCGGACATGGACGGGGACAGGACGCCGCGGACGGCGGGCAAGGCGGTCGTTACTCTTGCGTCCATTCATAAACTCTCCAACTATTATAAAGGACCGAAAATGAGCGAACGCCAGAACGTGGTGGCAAAAATGGAAAAATGGTCCCAGGCCTTACGCTCGGCGGAGCTTCGGGACGAAGAGGACAGTAGCAAAGGCGTTGAGAGAGCTCTTTGCCTTTCCCTCGACCAAATGCTTGACGTCAGCTTCTTTGACACCCGCGTGCAAGACTTGCTCCGCCTACGAGACAAAAACAAACTGGCCGGCACGTGCGAGGCAGCGGTGTACACGCGAAAGTATCTGCGAGAAACGCGCCAGTTTTTGTCCCAGAATGGGATCAAGTTTTGTCCTGCCTTGGGGTGGACGAATGGAAAGGAAAAAGAGAAAGGTGATGATCAAAGGACTCTGAATCGCCGCGGAACTCCTGCACAGCACGATCACGGCATGTCGGTCAGTGACACGCGCGCCCAGCTGGAGACGCGACGTCGCCTACAGCCTTCCTTCCGGGAAAGATTCGAAGAGATTCGAGAAGCGCCTGATGATTCCTCGATGTCTTCGAATGGGGATGAAAATGATGCTGGACAAGAGCAAGGTCAGCACCGCACCCCAACAGCACAAATCGCAGCGGGCATGACGATGAGCAATTTCGCGGGAGATGTACAGGAGATTCTGCTGGCGGTCGTGTCTTCCTTTGGAAAGGAAGTTCAGCAATTCTACGTGGAGTTAGAAAGCAGGAAAGGAAAGAACCCAACAGGCGGCGCCGAACAGGATAAAATGTTAAAAATACGCGAGGCAGATTCTGAGCGTTCCGCGGTGTTACAAGAACGCGGGAAAGAAAACGCAACAGGCGGTGCGGTACAGAAAAAGATCTTACGCCAGCCGGAAGATGTTGACCGGTTTTATGCTGAGCGTTTCGCAGAGTTAGAAAGCCAAATCGGGAAACGAAACGCAACAGTCGGGACCGAACAGGGAAAAATGTTACGGCAGCCGGAAGATTCTGAGCGGTTTTATGCTGAGCGTTTCGCGGAGCTAGAAAGCCAAATCGGGAAACGAAACGCAACAGTCGGAACCAAAGAGGAAAAAAAGTCACGCCAGCCGAATTTTGAGCGTTTTTATTCCACGGTCGGAGCACTACTGACTCTGATGTTGGGGATGTCGCACAATGACAATACTAGAGCCGGGCTGGTGTTGAAGATGACGTTATCAGAATGAAAAATGCCCCCACCCCCGAACTTGAAAGAATTTGTATTGTAAACCTTTCCAAATGAAATCTTCGCCCTCTTGCACCTATCAGCATCACAGGTTTCCAATCGTGAATAGCGAAAATTTGTATTGCAAAAGACCCCAGCAAGAGCGGCGCTTGTCATGCAAGCGATGCGATACACGCCTAGACTCTGCATCAGAAAGATTCATACTCCTTTCATGCATGACAAAAAGTTTTCTTTTGGAAACTTCGCATCACAATTTGAGGGGTGGGGGGCACTTTTCACTGTAATGGACGTCGTGTGGGAAGACGCAATCGGATGCGTTCATTCGGGGTGTTATCGGCATGATCGGAACATTTGAGAAAACTGTAGAGACCGTCAAACAAAAGTTGCAACAGACGCACCGGGTGATGGAACACATGTCCTCGGCCTCGGCGTCGTCCGGGGGGTGTCTAGGAGGTGAAACTGCTGCGTCTTCCACTTCATCACCTGTCTCGACCGAAGAAGCCCCACCGACAATTGGTATCCTCCTGCGTACAGATTTCTCCGATCTAGAGTTTGTTGTCATGGAAATCGTCCGGGTGCAGAAAGTTGCTCGTATGCTTCGGGTTTCCATGAGAGGCACTTCTTGCTACCGTAGTTTTTTCGGGAAACATTGGCGTGCTCAACGAAGGTAATCTTGGCCTTCCGGAGGACGAAGCTACTCGTGCACGACTCAAGTGCATATGTTGATATGTGTTGAATATTGGTCATGTGGACTCCTTTAAAGATTTTCTGAATATGTTGTCTGCTAAGTACCAGAAGAAGTGACGTCTCCTTTGATGACTCTGGGGTCGCGGGAAAACGTTTTTACGAAGGATATCTCCCCGTGCCTGTTTATATCGGAGTTGCCCGAGTCCCTTGGCGCCCTTGCTGAGCCTGATGGACTGGTACCAAGGGGAATTGGTGAGGGTGAAGATCTTAACCTTGTTGCATGGGAGCGAAGGTGTGAGGCTCGTGCCAATCCGCAGAGGAGTTGAATAAACGAGTTGCTCCGCCTCTGCAGAGCGGTGGAGCAGGGCTTCGCCAGTCGGAGTAGCTGATTCATGTGGAGTCCGCAATGCAGCTTCTGGATTTTTCTAAGGTGTAAACATAAGTTAATTCTGACGTAGTAGACTTTTACTTCTCGTCACCGATGAAAAGATTTTGGTGTCTTTGCAATGTGTCTGAGCGCGTTTTGTTTTTGGATCACCGATATGAGGACGCAATAAATAGTGACAGAATAACTACAAGGGAAAGGCACAACTCTGATCTTGTGGTCCAGGAAATACGATGCGAAACTTGTTCTCCAGGGTAGTCTCATGGCAAGTCATCGTGCATGGGATTTTTGTCTCAGTTACTTTGAAATTGCACAGTTCAATGACAATGACCAGCAGGTTGTTTCGATGCATTTCGCACAACAGACTGAGACAAAGACTTCTGAACAATTACATCAAGATTAGTGCGTCTTTTCTTGGGACTCTCATGTGCAAAGATGAGCCGGTTATTGGCACGAGGCCTCCACTACTAGCGGCAAGCCGGGGCTCTGCTTTTTTGTGTTTTTTTTCTCGTGATAGGAATAGCGTCTGCAAATTTTTTCTAAAAGATGTCGAGTACTTCGATGATGAAGGAAGGGCATGCGTATGCCTACGACTGGCATGAGCTGTGCAAAGAACTGCGTAGGTACGGCGTCCATGTTGAGCTTGACCCCCCTGCGGACACGGTACGGCTTATCTACATTAAGAAATGCAGGAGCGAGGCGCGTTCTCCACTCGGCTCACTGTTCGTGTTGGATCGCGCCGTGCGGGTTACTGAATGTCCGGAGCGATTTAAGCTGTCTGACGCAGGAGCCGCTGGGCGTTTTTACGTTGCGGTCTACCTGCGAGGCCGAACGCCGGTGAAAGAGGTCGCCCTGCTGGAAAAACTGAAAGAGGTAGACCTCGCCAAAAATCTTTGGAGTAAGATCAAAGAGCGCACTGCGTTCTCCGAGGACTGGAAAGCCGCCTCCGCCATTCACGAGCAGTCCAGTTTTCCGGAGATCCAGCTCATTAATTTCCGCTGCTCCTCGCGCGGAGCGGCCGCGCTCTCAGGCACGTCTGCCTCAAATGCGAGCAGCTCGAGTTCCTTGTCGATTTCCATTTCGCAGAACGAGCCGGGGAATCGCATCCATGCTGCTGCTGCCGGCGGCCAGGGTGTGTCCAGTGGCGTCGTCGCAGAACCAGCACCGCCTGCACCCCCACCCGTGCCAACCCCAACCGCGAGCGAATTATCGGAAATTCCGCGGCTGGAGGAGGACAGTGTCAACGTCAGCACCCTGACCATCATGCGAGACCCCTCCGACGCGCAAACAGTCACGCGGGCCTCTACCCCATCGGACCTCCTGCCGCCAGCACCGGGAGCGGCGGTGCAGAGCGCTACATCAAGTTCATCTTGTACCTCTGGCGCCGGACATCTAATCGAGTGCGCAGCCGACATCGTAAAAACCACCGAGGTTCAGGAGCGAAAGTTCGAGTCAACTTTCTGTGGACATGGGAAGTTCATCGCTGCGGACCGTGCTATTGGAACAACGGCAGCGCAGCGAAAGGGTCAGCCCATCTTTACCGCAACCATGAGCATCACCGGACAGACGAACCACTACAGTCAGCCGGAGCTGGAGATTTTGAAAGTGGGCAACACGCAGGCGGAGAACAGTGAGAAGCACTTGCTTACGATTTTTGGCAAAGACCGGTTTCTCCGGGTATCGCTTACCGGGCCAGATGATTCGTACAAATGGATTCCGAAGCAAATGGAACTCCTCGGCCGGACCTGGGTTCCGCTGTGCAAGAAAAGCGACAGCGATAAGGACGGCAAGGGCGACGATGCCTCATCTGGTTTTCTCGGGACCACCAGCAGCTTGGACACCACCACAGCTTCGGCCTGCACCATCAGAAGTGCGGCCTCGTCTTCCAGCACCGTCTCCAGGGCGACGACGTCATCTGTCTCCGGCACACTTTTCAAAAACGTCGCAGATGTTTGGTTTTTCGCGGAAACGTGTGCCCGAGGGACGATGCAGCCGTATACGATCAGTGACATTCTCCACTACATGACGGGCGGGAACTCGCTCGAGGTTGATCGGTTACGAAAAGCGAAGACGCTGGACAAGCGAATTCAGAAAATTTGCATGTCAACGGCGGTTCCTACGGTGGGCATTCCGGCAAACAATATCAAGCAGATCGACGACCTGTTCAGCAGAAGTGGTTCCTGTCAGACGGAGGGCGCCTCGCAAATGGGGCGTGCCTTGGCGAAACGCATCGCGCGCGAGTACGGCTTGGACTACGTTCCGAGCGCGTTTCAGGGCAGGTTCAAGATCGGCCTGGCCAAGGGTACGTGGGTGGTGAATGGGGACGACAGTGACGAAAACTTGTATCTCGCGAACGAGATGACGAAGTGCGAAATTCCGTGGGCTTCCTTGCCGCGCTCCTCCGATCGCGAGCGGACTTTTGAACTGAAACCAGCGGGAGTGTCGGTTTCCGACATTAAGCCGCGGGAGGACGGGATCAGTCGCGAGTTCGTGAATCTGCTCGAGTACCACGTTGGCGTCGAGAACAAAGAGCAGTTGCAGAGGGTGTTGGAAGCCCTGCAGGATGAAGAGCTCGAGAAGATCTACCGCGTCATGCAGGATGCGGGCACATTCAGGGCCGCTGTGGAAGAAGAGCAGAAGAAGTTCACCTCCGGGCACTGGCGTCACGAGCTGGATTTCATGGCGAAACTCCTCGACGCCGGCTTCGACTTTTCCGACCCGCCGATTCTGCAAGTGCTCGGATGCAGGTACTTCAACAATCGCAGGCTCGCCCCCTTCCTCATAAAGGGCACGGGGGTGGGGCGAGCCTACCTGGCAGACACCTATACCGCCTTTATGGAGCCGGACTGGTCACGAACGTTGAAGCATGGCGAGGTGAGTTTCAACTGCAACGGAAGCGCGATCGGGAGCCGCCGCGTAGCCATTTGCCGCCCGCCGAGTGTGACGCCTGACGATTTGCTCGTGCGCGACGCTGTGGCAAATCAAGGCGCGACGCCGGCGCGCTTTGCAACGAAGAACATCTTGACCTGCGCTGCACCGGAGGACGCGGTGGGCGACTGCGATGCTGTGCTGATGTCCGGCGACCAAGATGGGGACCGGCCGACGTTTACCTTCGACAGCCGCATCCTCTCCCTCCTGCCGCCAGTCAGGCGGGAACCGTCGTTGAGACGAGGGGAGCAGGACAAACACGACCAGATGGTTCGCATCCTGGAGGGCCGAGCAGAGGATCAGTTGGAAAGGGAAGCGGAAGCCGGGTTGGCAGCACAGCTCTGCGCCGAAATTTGCCAGAAGTGCGTCGACGACAAGCGCACCGGTTTGCTGTACGGCGAGTGGCTAGTGGAGGTCGATCGTAACGATTTTGGTACTTTGAAGGCACTGTCCCTTGCGAAGCTGTTCAAGTGCAGCCTGGACAACAAGTTAAGCACAGCGCAAGAGCAGCGCGTGCGGGATCTGGTCGGGCTGCCTAAAGCCGGGTACGCCGCCCATCCGAAAAAATTTCCGGACTACTACGCTGCGGCAAAGCGCAAGCCAGATGACAAGGCATACCAGAGCGGCCGGCTACTGGGCAGGCTCTACCAGCGCGGGAGGAAGATATACGAAAATAAGAGGCCGCTTTACGACAAGATGTTTCGCCGGGGCAGCATCGCGTCGGAGCGAGGTAGCTGGTCGGTCGAGCGGTTTCTGAGCAACTACGATTGCCGTCAAGTGGCTGGCGTGCCGTCGACCACTGCCACGAACGCGCGCGCGGAAGAGGGAAGCAGGCTGTTTTTGAAAAAATGCACGGAGCAGTATCAACAAGTCGAAAGCGCGGCGAAAGCCGACGATCGTGACGGGAAGCAACGAGTTTACATGTTTTCTCTCACCGACAACGAGTTTCAGAATCACCGAGGTGACCCTGCGTTGCTACTTTCGTTGTTGCGAGCGGCTTGCTCAAGCGTTCTCGGGAACATCGCCCCAAGCAACGCGAATCCGAGTCCCTTCAACGGTTGGGACGAGCTGAAGGCGGTCTTTTACTTCTTCGCAGAGGATTTAGCAAAACTTCGGATCCGAGCAGTGGCAAATCCGCTTCCGCACGCAATGCAGCAATCTAGTGTCGCTGTTCCTTTGCAGTACCCGACTGAAGATACGACCTACAACTACACCGCAGCTCCTGCTGGAGAGCTCAGGGTGGTACACACGAACCTGTCGCCAAACGCATTGCAAGTCGTCGTCGAGTCGAATGCTCGTGACAAATCTCACGCCGCACATGGTATGCCCAGCCTTGATGAAGAGACGGAACAGCCGTACACCCTGCATGCGATGAGGAGCCTTCCGCTAGAGGTTCTGCCATGTCAGGAGCGGACACTGCAAGCAAACACAACTTGCCCCAACTGCACCAGGCCGATCGCTGTGAGAATTGAGAAGGCCGCGACGGGCCCCGGCGAGCTGGTAAGTAGAACAGCGTTGATGTTTGAGTCAATTTCTCACCGTAGTACTAGTGCACGTAAGTTCCATCTATGTAGGTCATGCCTGCATTTCTTTTGCGTACAGTGGGTGATGTTTTCTCTGGTGTCATCTTCACCTTCAGTGATATGCTTCAGCTGAATCAATCTTAACCAAACAGGAGGGGAGGCAGCCCTGTGAAGAACAAGCCAACAGGCCTGTCGCAGTGTGCGCAACAATCTGGGGAACGGATCCCGATTATGTGCTCGGGGCTTTGGTGCTCGGTCAATCGCTGCGCGACCACCACAAGGACGAAATTGCCGCGGGAAGACTGAGACTGGAGCTCCTCGTGGAAAAAAACGTCCCGGCGAACCACAAATCGCAGCTGCGTCTGGTTTGGCAAGACTTGTACGAGTTCGACCATTTGCAGGCCTGCGCGAAGCTCGGAGCGAAGACCCCGCGCTTTAAGTACGTCTTTAGCAAGTTCCACTGTTTGAGTCAGCACTTCGAAAACCGCTATAGCAAGGTTTTGCACTTGGACCTGGACATGGTGTGTCTCGGCAATCTGACTTCCGTGTTTGAAGCTACGACCCCCGCGGCGATGCGCCGCGGACCACGCGCCCGGTGCGCGCACGGAGCGCAGATTGATGCTTCCTACTGGTCTTTCGGGCCGCGCGGAAAATCGGACCGGGAGCCGGGCTGGGGACAGTCAGGGGGAATCAACGCGGGGACGATGCTGTTTACGCCGAGCGAGGATTTGTTTCGGAAGATCGCGGGAAATATCAAGGATGAGAACTACCCCGGACACATCGAGGGCAACGCGGTCGAGCAGGATTACATCAGCCGGTTTTTTGGGGACTGGTGGCACCACCTGGATTGCGCTTACAACTACCAGCTGCATCAGATGTACAACGCCATGCAGCCAAAAACTTTTTCGAAACCGGACGCAAAGACCGCGAAATACTTCCAAGACCTGAAGATCATCCACTTCTCCGGCGCCGCCGAGATTAAGCCATGGGATCTGGTGCTGCGTGGGGATGCGGAGCGGATAGAAGAAGAAAGTGAGAAGCTGGAGGAAATTTTGGTTGGCTTTGAGGGGTATCTGCTGTGGGAAAAACTGGATCCAGGGAGGTTTGCGAGGGAGTTCGAGAGAAATGCGCGCTTCAGATACACGCTCGAATTTGAAGAAGCGGGAGGTGTTTCGTCGTCTTCTTCTCCGACCGAGAATATTGCACCAGCTGCGCCGCGCCCAATAGGGTTCAACTGGCACGACCCCAAAGGAACGGATGTGCAATTTTGCCCTCTCCTTCCGGACTGGGCGTTGAAAAAATGCAAGCACATCGTCCTGGAGTCCTACAATGCGTGGATAGACACGTGCCAGAAGCTGTTTGATGCTCATCCACCCCTGCAGCGCTATTACGTCGGGGCAAAACGACCGCAGAGGGAGGTTATTATCGGCGGCCTGACCTTCCCTCACATCTCCGGCCTGCAGAGACACATCCGAGCAATCCAGAAAAAAGCCGAGGAGCGATGGCTTTCTCGAGCCGCTCTTGCAGTGACGGACAGCGCACTCGATGACGAAGACCAGACATTTTTCCTGGACCTGCTTTCTTTCCACCCAGAAGCAGATCAAAAGCTCACCAACGCGACGAGGATAGTCTACGGGGCGCATCCGGACGCATCAGCGAATTCTTTCAAAGTGCAGATATCGGGGCTGCCAGTCGCCGAAACCTTCAGCACGAAAAAGTGCATTGAAGGCGTGGAGACGCACTTTTCCATAAGATGGAGTGGGCCGGTGGTTGTGCGCCTTGGATTAGAGCCATATCGCTGCAGAGAAGAAATAGCGGCCGAAGAATCCTTGACACCAGGGTCGACGAGCGGAGGAAGTGAGAGCCAGATCGCAGGAACGGCTATACCGAGAATAACGGTCGACAAGAATCCGGTGGCAAAATCGATCCTCGTGCAGCGCAGCAAAGCACTTGGAGCGCAGTTTGAGTTTTGTCCCGGCAGGAGCGACGTGAACTGGGCATTTTCGTCGCGGCAGGCTTTCAGTGCCGTTGTCCTGCAGGTCGTGAACGAACCGCGGGTACGGGGGGGAAAGTGTATTTTGCCTTTAGATGCATGCTTCTCAGCTTCGTGTACCAGGCTTGATTATTGATTAGAGCCTGTACGATTAATCGACCCCCTTCTCGATACCGAGAAGCCCCCCCGAGTCCGGATTCTGACCGACCTTACCCCCCAACGCCCCCCTTCTCGAAATCGGGGGGCTGTTTATCGCGCACCCCGATTCCGAATCCTAACGCCGACGCTACGGCGCATCTTGCGCCAACTATTCCTTCTCTTCAGCTTTCAAAATCGCGGCCGCAGGCGCGGCCCCAACGCTCTTTAGAGCATGACTCGCATCGAGAGAAACACACACGGAACCCGCGCACTGTGTCGCGTTTTGCTCTTTCTGTCGGTTTTTTTTACAGCAAGCAGAACCCAGCGAATTTTATTTCGCCCGACTTGCTCGGCAGCTTTTAGCCACCTGCTTCCTTCCATGTCCCACACTGTTCTCGCTAAGACGATCAGGCCGTCATCTTTCGGAGAGCAGTAGCGCAGCCAGTTCGCAACGGATGCGCTCCGCGCGCAGTAAAACTTTTCCACTGCGTGGCGGATTGGATCTGTTGTGTACTAAAACAAGAACAGATCTAGTCTGCCGTAGATCTCGGAAATTCTTTGGCGCAGCTTGCGGCCTTTTCTTTGGCATAGGCCTTATTTGCGCTTCTTTCGAAAAACGCTCCGCCCCTCTTGTTCCTCTTCTTGAAAGGCCGCACCTCTTGAAAAAAAGTCACCGAAGCGCAGTAGGAGAGTGGAGACAACTTTTGCCATTGCCCCAGTGCGCCCGCTCGGCTTCTTTAAAATTACGCAGCGCGGCTCGGTTCAAAGTGGGCGCCTACCTCCTCCGCGTGGGGTTTTGCTTTGCAGTGTGTAGTAGATGGATAAGTGCGAATGCGGGCGGTCTTCAGCTTCATTATTTTCTGGCGCTCCTACTTATTGACTCTAGTTTGGTTCTAGGGTGGTAATCAAGTCGCAGTCGGATCAGAACTACTAGAAGTCAGTCGCGGAGCCGGAGCGGCAGCCACGACAGCGCCGGCGTGGCGATTTCTGCTTATTTCTGCTCTGGCTTTTTAGAAGTGGCTGCGCCAGAAATAGAATTAGAAACCGCGCTGGGTATACGTGGAAACCACGCTACTAGCCAACCACGCTAGCGCACGGCAATAAGAACGCACGACCAGCGCACAACCATACTCTTTAAACTTGCCAAGTCCTAATCCCTGGCGCTATGGGAGGGGAAGCTCCGCGCTCACGTTTTGGATTTGGCGGCGAATTGAGCTAGACTGAGTCGGCTACTTTTGGGGAGGCCGGACGACCGACCATACCTACCCCCCCCTTCTCGGTACCGAGAAGGGGGTCGATTAATCGTACGGGCTCTTATCCTTTTTCCGCATGAAGTTTTCTTTACTTCTAGAAGAGCCACTGATTCCAACTTTCCAATTTTCTGAAGCACATACTGGATAACAGGGTTTTTCCAGAGGTGGTTTCGGAACCTTCCCCTGTGTCGCTCGCGCCGCCCGACGAGAAGCGAGACCTGGCACACCTTCGAGGAAAGGAACATTGCAAAAGCGACTGCCTTTTTCGGCTCTCTCCGCAGTTCATTGGGTATCAAAGACGAGGATGTTCTTACGACCACCTCCACAGCCCCGGTGCACAGAAGCGCTATCGTCGCGATAACGACACAGGGACTCGCGGAGGACGCCCGAACCGGTATGCGGAAAATTTGGCCGACCTGGAATCTGGACGACAGCCTCAGCGAAGTCGACGACCGGTGCAATGTGGTGATTGTTGGCGCAGTGCCTCTCGGGCAAGAGGATAGGATAGAAGTGAAGCTGAGCGGGAGCATGGCAGTGTACCAGGGCGCGTTGAAGAAGGTCGAGAGTTGATGTGTACCAAGGCTGCATCGTGACTGGTTCCCGGACTATTTTTTTGCACGGAGAACAGCACTACGAGCCGCATGAACTTCTTATCTGTACGCCATACAGATTGTTGTGCGATGGCTTCATAATTCGTTTACATGGCTGGGGACAACGAAACTTGTTGAATTATACTACGCCGAGACGAGCAATTCCTCATTCCTCACGAACGCTGTTTCGAAAACCATTACTCCACTTCCCTGCTGAAGATCGATCAGACCATAGTGAATTTGAATTTCTGTTTATCTTCCGAGTTGTACTGAAGAACGCTGCTTCGTAAAGACAAATTTACCCACGAAAGGACCTATCGCGCAATCGTAGAAGTAGAACGCCATTTCGCCGTGGCAGGACTTGTCTTCGTGTTGTTTCGGACGTGTCGTGAGCGTTTGGACGTCGATCTCCTCGACTCGACCGAGACGGAGAGTAGAGATACTCTTGTTTCACGACACATCAGAGAGAATCCCCTACATTTGCTCTCGTTTATCATCGTGATGTCTTCTAGGTTCTTCTTCTTATCGTGCTTCGATAATATTATCGGATTGTACGATGACAATCGTGTAGATTTCGAGAGCCGAGAGAAGTCGCTTACCTGGCGTAGAAACAACACGACAGTATGGCCTACTTCTGGAACAACAGTCCGGCGAAGCGGCCGGACACCGCGCCTCGAGGCCGAAGGACGAACTTTTTCTACCCGGAAGAAGAGGAGAGACCGCACTTCACGAGGACTTCTGCCCGATTCGCGGATGAATTCACACTGGGCCAGGACGCAATCACGCCGGATGATCCCAGGGTAAGAGGAGTCATAGAGTAAAGTCGTTTTAATGATGCGATAGTCAGTTAGACCAACACCTTTGCCAGCTTGTCATGTATCAAATATTCCAAAAAACACTAACGCAGTATATCCGTGCGGAGGCGCGCAAGGACTCTCCGTTCAACCGTGCGCACGATATGCATCGGTTCGACCGGGAACTTTACCAGCACGATCACATGCATGGGACGACGGCCGGTGTCGCCCAAAACGAGGCGTACGGGGTTGACCACGTAGCGCGGCACACGAACGTGACGAAGGAGGACTACGACATCCATCAGCACGATCACTTACGCGGCACCTACGGGTCCATTGCGGAAAACGAGGGGTACGAGGTGGACCATGAAGTCGATCCGGATCGGATCCACCGCTCCGCGCAGGAGGAGCACCACCACGACCACCAAATTGGCGAGACCGCGGGCGTGGCCAGAACTGAGGGGGCGGAGGTGGATGACCAGGAGTTTGTGTCCAGATTCCCGCATCGGGTGGACTACGCGAGGAGGGACCACTTGGTCGGAGTCGGGATGGGCGTCAGGCCGCACCGGGACGAGCCAAAAAGCCCGAGGACGAAGGAGCGGGTACTTCCTTTTTAGGGGTTTTGTGCCTATGAAATAAAAATCGGAATAAACAAGGTCAATACTACAAAGGCCCATTTAACATGATAGTACGCGTTTACTACTTTTAAGTACTTTATCGCATTCAACACATCTCTCATCTGCTCGTCACCAGGACTACGACCCAGATGGCACTGCGAAGAACATTGTCCGGCACGACGAGTGGACGCTTGCGCACGGGAAGGAAATCTACCAGAACTCCATCCGTCCCCCGTACAAGCCGGCGAAGAAATCGGAAACCGCCGCGGGAAACCTCCGGCTACCGCACCACTTGCACCAGGAAAACCGGTACGAATACGAGGATCCGCAGGAGGGCGCTTTTCATCGCGGTACGGGGGAGCACTCCCCCAAGCACCACCTCGGGGGCAGCGGCATGCAGGTGGTGCGGGAGCAGCCCGAGGCGCGGAAAATGCTGACCGCGGGGAAGGCAAAATACGACCCGGACATGCACCTGCCCGTCGGCGGGTTCGACCACATCCAAGCGGGCGTGGAGCGGCTGCAGCAACCCTACTACGACCACTACAAGGGAAAGATGGTGTACCCGGGTGACGAGGTTGGCTACGACGCGAACGTGGGGCACGGAAAGCGACACGGCTACGGAATCCGGGACGAGATGAACAGCGCCAGGTCACATTTCCAAAACGGCACGATGACCTTCAAGGAAACGGAGAAAGAGGCGCACGATTCCGTGCGAGGGAAGAAAAAAGTGGAGGGGATGCACGACCACTACGACGCGCATTCTGGGCTGGGGATCCGGCAGTCGCAGCACATGCATGGGTCGATAGGAAAGGATTCCCTGGTGGACGATACGGGTATGGAGGAGCGATGTGGCTACTTTTTTTTTCATAATAGAAAAATCTAAGAAAAATAAGCATGTGAAGAAACTGTTGGTACAACTGCTTGCACTACAAGCGGAGCACAAAAAAAAAACCAAAAGGTCTTCCCCGTTTCATCGGTCATGGGAAGCACCGAGTGGACCACGAAGAAGACCACTACGACGGCATGGTCTTCCGTGACGACGAGGTTATCACTGGCAAATCGCACAAGGTCCACGCCGTCGACCAGTTAGGCCAGGATCTCAGCCCGTCCAGCCGGTCGCTGCAGGAGAAAACACACGGAAGAAAACACATCATGGTGGTGTCACAGGAAGGAGGCGTTTTTCCGGATCCGGATGGTATGAATACGACTTTTTCGAAAGCAGCGGCAGGGGCGCGTGAACCTGATCAATCTCCATTTGGCTTTTCGTTTTGATACAGCGTTGTAACTTTCACCGTCTTTCAACAGGTACCTTCAGCCCCAAGCTCACCGGGAGGAAAGCTGTTGACGAGCCTGGGTGTAAGGCGGGCGTGCACTTTGGCCCCGGACAAGTAGTGGAAGTTTTGAACAAACCAGTTGGTCGCGCGCATATCGAGTCCGAAGACCACATCAAGCAAGTCTTCAGTCCCTTGGCAACCGCGTTTAGGGACGCGCCACTCGGTATTATTTGTGGCGTCTTTGCTCTCGAAATATAAAAGTGGCGTTGTAGTTGGTAGCCTCGATGAAGATGAACATAATTCGATGAGTAAGTAATTTTCTCGGTCTAGTTTGGCTGCGTCAACAATGATGAATTCGGTTCGTACAAGCATTTGCATTTCTAATACTGCGTGCTTGGATTTGATAGAGCCAGAGTTTCATCGGTTGTTTCTCGTTCGTTCCAAAGTAGCTCTCTGTTGGCTGCGTAGTCGTACTACATGAAATACTTCTCGGTTGCCCTCGCTCGTCCACTTAGTCGTGCTAGGCCGTCCGTGCGCACTTTGGTGCTGAAGCAACAACGCATTTCCTTTCCTGCTAGCAGCGTTTTTCATCTTTCGTCAGATCACCGGCAGCACAATTATCAGACCCCATAAAATTAAACATTTGGCTTTGATCTACCCTCCCCCGCCCTAGTAGAGCAGCAAACCTCACTGCGTACATTTGTCGTTTTCCCGCGGCCGCCCTTGCCCAAAATGGGAATCTTCAAAAAGCCAAAGGAGCCCGAGCTCCAAACGTCGATCACTCGACCGATAGCAGCGCCCATGCCCGAGTTCCTTTCGAAACAATCCACCGACTCGCGCCCGGCGGGCGCTTCCTACTCGACGCGAGACCGGGAGTGTTTTTCACGCGGATACTCGTTATCCTTCCCCCTGCCCGAGGGCTACATTTTGACCGAACGCATAAAAAAAGATAAACCGCTGTCTGCCGCGCAGCTGCGCTCGCAGATCGAAGAGGAAATCGCGGACGCAGGGTACCTGAGCATCGGCGACCCGCAGATGTGGGGCCGGACCTTAATCGAGGAGAAGGGCTCGAAGTGGGAGATTTCGGCCGTGGATATGTTTGGGAACACGGTAAACTAGAATTTTGAAAAATTATAGCTTTCTCCTTGTTTTGCTTTGCAATTGCAGCTCTTGCAACATGAGATCATGTTCGTCGATTTAGTTTGGCTGCGTCTTTCTCATGAACAATGATTTTTGACACTGCATCATCGCAATGTACTAAACCTACCACAGGTCTCCCGCGAGGGCACCACGGCCGACGACCTGGCCCGAGCCTTGTGTGCGTTGTCCCACGTGGAAATGCGAATGTTCGGGCTGCGAGCGCGCATGGACCCCTTGCCCGAAGGGAAGGTGAAGAAAAGGCACAACCCAAGCATGGTCTCCACGGGAATGAACATGGCGCTCACGTTCAAGTATACACTTTTATTTAGATTTATTCTTTGTCGTTCTTCTTTGTGATGCTACTGCTGGCTTGCCAAGGAGAGAACATGGCCATGCATGGTATGCTGCAATTCTTGTCAACACATGCTACTACATGATCTGAACTTAAACAGCGAAAACGAGCTGCTGAACCAGCGGTATGCGGCCAGAAAATCAGTCCAAGATGGTACCCGGTTCGGGCAGTTGAGTCAACGGGCCCAGGATCCCGAGTTCGAGAAGCGCGGGACCAAGCACTTGTTCGACAACGTCAGGCAAGACCACTTCGTCGGGGGCACGTTTGAGTTGAAAGAAGAGGACGTGGCCGAGCAAGCTGTAGGCGCCCCGGACGCGGCCGGACACATGCCGAGAAACTTCTACGGAGGGTAATCATCTTGCCATGTTTTTTTGTGAATGACGTAGACATGCGCGGTCTATATATCGGTAATGCGAATTGTAGTGTCAGGAAAATAATAGAGGACGAGTTGAAAGAGTGACGTGGAGCTGCATCCACTGCGAGCTGCTAGTTTTGGAGGCATCAGAGTGTTTTTTTCTTTAAATTTCTTGTGTCTCGAGCGATTGCGATTCTGACTCGGCCGCGCACGGCAGATGTGGAAGCCAGCCTGATAGGGATCGAAAAGACGGGGACACCGCAGCTGTGCGTTGATGAATTTGCAGAAGTGGGACTACTTCACGGAAGAAGGTCAACGGCGCGGCACAGGGAAAAAACAAAGATTGGATGGGCCGCGTCGCTCTCACTTCTGAACGAGCGTAGAAAAAAGCCGCGAAAAAACAAGCAAACAACATCGAATTTCATATCACAACATCTTCTCACAACTTCTTCGATTTAACCAATCAGGCTGCAAGGAATCGAATTTTCGGGTCGCAGGAGGCGTATAGCCAGCCAGGACGACAAGCATCTTCATCTCACACCCGACTGGCACTGGTCGAATTTCGAGGAAAAGGAGCACATCCACGGACTGAAAAAGGTTGACAATCCAAGCGTGTACAAGGACCACTTGGGTCGAGATATGATGCTCAGAGACGAAGATACAAGATTCGCAAAAGAGGGGGGATCTATCACAGGCGGTGGCAGAAGAATGGTGGAAATCGCAGCAGCCCACGACCACATGCACGGAAGCAAGATGGACGTGGACCGGCAGAATTTCGAGGGAAAAAGGACCCACGTGAAAATCACGGACAAGCGGGGGCAGGTGCACGACCACTTCACGAGAGACTGGAGAGAGGTGAGCGAGGATTTTTCACAAACCCCCGGGTACGTCCCGGACCCGCGGGTGATTCAGCAGATGCAACTGCAACAAGAGCAGGAACAGCAGGCCCGCCTCCTGGCCTACGATCCGCCCCCAAGGCAGCAGCCTAATCCAAATTACAAGAACCCAGCGCAGCCGCGAGGCTCGGCGACACTTCCGTGGCGCGAACAGTACCAGCCTGGTGCTGACCGCTTCAACTATTGAAATGCGTAATAAATAAACGTAAATCAAAACTGTCAGTCTGCAGCGAGAGATCGCGCGCGGTCGGCGGGCGCGCGACTATCAGTCCGATCGGAAGCACTTCGAGAACATCGGTACCGTGAGTACAGAGTACAGCTCTGCGCCGCTGATGCAAAGGAAGGCGCGCATCGATCCTCGCTACGGACCGCCAGGGTTCTTTGAAAGTAGCATCCGCTTGGAGTAATCGAAGCGTTTCAAAATTAACCGAGTTTCGGAATCTATTGTTTCTCATGTACAAATTTTCTGTTCTAGTTCTTTATGACTGTCGACCTTAATCCCTCCGTTTTGCTTTTCCATCGCAATGTACCTAAAAAGCATATAAAGTACGGTCGCACTTCTATATGCAACTTTGCTCATTCGTTTCCTATTTGTTTCTTCCCACGGCAAGAAGTCTCACTCTTTCTGTTCAATGTCGCAGTACAAGGCAGAGTGAAAAATGTACCTATTGGGCGGCATAATTTTTATAGTACCTCAGGAGCAGCTATTTTGCACAAAATTACTAAGCTTTAGTAGTCACAACTGAAGTATCAGTATCATCATCTTCGGTCGCTAGCAACGGTAGAGCTTTTCCTTTTGTACGCCATTTTTTGTGTCGTTGTACCCAAAGGTGGATGTTGGATGAACCCTTTCTGCAGGATTGACATGCGATTGAGTGAAACTTTATCTTCTGAATCTATCGCTTTGTCGTGAGAACCCGCCGACTACGCCACTGTGGTGGGGCCCCTTGTCTGTGCACGTTATAGACTATGTCAGCGTTCTTGATTGTTTATTTTCATTTTGGCGGCCCGTGGAGGCGAGACAGAGAGGAGAGCATTTTCGAGTGTCGGAGAGAAAGAGGTATTTTCGATTGCCGCATGATCAACTTTCGGAGATGTCGTGGTTGCTTTTGAATTGCATTTTCGAGCGAATGAGAGCAAGAAAAACGAAAAATGAAAATCGCATTCTCGAGCGTTTGTTTCTGAGATTCTTCCTGTGCATCAAAATGGTAACTACTTGCTTGAACTCGTCAAGATATTCTGTTCTAGGAGCCAGCAAAAATGCCAGGTACGTACTCCGGTCGCAGTCGCTTTTTTTTTCGTTTAGGAAGTCAACCTCTTGTAGCTTTTCCTTTTCCACACTGCACTTTTATTTTTCCAAGTGATATAATTCGCCTGCACCCCCTAGCTTCTGCATTTCCTAGAATTCGACTCTAATGATGAATTTTGGTATGGTGTGATGTCCAACTTTACGTTTTTCACCATTGCATTCTGCACATCTTTTTGAATAATCTTGTCGTACTTTTACAAAGTTTGATTCCAATACACAAAAATGTTCCGGCAGCTGAACCAGGGCGCCCTGCAGGGCCTGATGGACGAGCAGATCCGTCAGATCCAGCGGGCGGGCCAGGCGGCCTCCTCCCTCCTGTCCGTCATCGTGCAGACGATATGGATCGTGGTGGACCGCATGATCATGCCGGTGATGAGCCAGTACGAGCAACGATCGCTTTTCATCGGCTTCTGGCAGTTGCTTTCTTCCGAGCAGTTGCAGTTTTTGACGTTGAGATCCTTGGTTTACTTCCACAAAGTGTACAACCTCTACTTCCTCGGCACCTTGGCCAACGCCCTCCCCTTCGCCTACGCGTACTACTGCATTTCCGACGCCATGCCGTGTCCGAGGATACAGCAGCTCATGATCCGGGCGGCGATGGCGGGGTTGTTCATCCTGGCCTTCGTCATCGCTTTTCTCGCGTACGAAAACTACTTCCTCGCCACCGGGTATGCCTTGTTACTCCCCACCTGGCTCGGCGTCGCGTCCATGCTGGCGCAGGTCCGGATGCACACGCGGGGGGAGCAGACCTTCGACCCGCTGACCAACTACCCCGTGATGGGATTGGTCGGCGGCTTCGCCCAGTTCTTGATGTTGTACGGGATGAAGACCTTGACGTACACCGATGCCTTGATGCTCACGCTGGTGATGGACCACATTTCCGCCGGGATTGTGGGCAGCTACTACGTGTCAGAAGATAGAAAGGAATTCCACTTCCGGTTCGTCAAGGAGTACGCGGCCATCTTCGTGTTGCTCTTCTACTACTTTTCCGGCGAACCCTTGACCAAGTCCGAGGCCCCGGGGGTGGACTACACCACCGCTTTGTTCTTCTTCGGGTTCGCCAGGTTCATGATCGTGGCCAAGGCCATGTGGGTGAAGCACCGGATCGCGACCTACTGCGGGAAGCCGGAGGTGAAATTCCCCACGGTGGAGCGGGTGGACGATTTGTTTCTGCCCCGGAACGCCACCGTCGTGTCCGGTTTCGACACGGTCGCTCCGCGGAAGCACCGGTTTGACAAGTTTCCGCAGCCCATCCTGTGGCAGATGGACGCGCTGTGGGACAGCGGGCTGATGGACGACCTGATGCACGGAACCGGGCCGGGGGGCACGGTGATGCTGTACGTGTTGACCGATTATCAAATGTAAAAATGTCTGGGTCTGGGAGATTGCAAGATTTGTCATGCATATTTTGCATGATCCATAATGCATGTAATGCATGGCCTAGCATCACAGATTTTTAGAGCGCTTCCTCATGCCTACTCCGCATGACAAATGCCATCTCCGCGGAGGACAAAATCTACTCCTCTCACTGGTCATGCAATACAAATTTTTTTCGAATCCAGAGACAGCATCACAAGTTCCAACCTTCCAGACTCAGACACTTTTACATTTGATACCGATTTCGTCTACACCATGCCTTTGTTGGCGATCATGTCGTGGCAGTTCGAGTTCGACACCTTGGCGTTCGGCTTTCTCCCCCCCGCGTACGGGTTGGTCGCGGGCACGCCGATCGGCACGATGAGCGAGAAGGTGACGCAGTTGGAGGAATCGGCGAAGAACAGCTACCTGGAACAACAGATGTCCGACGGCGACGTGACCGCGTCCGGCGACTACCCGATGAGCGAGGTGTGGAAGGCGGTGGGGTACTGCGCGCTGTACTGCGCGATCCGGTTGATGTACCCCTTCACCGTTTCGAAGACCTGCTGGGACCGGGGCTGTTCCCCCCCGGATTGGGCGTCGCGGTTTCTCTACCTGGGGAGCATCTACTTCATCTACGACGTGATCGTGCTGCACGCCGGGGTGGATGCCATGGACAACCGGTTCCCCCGGTTCCGCTTGGTCCTGGCGATCTCCATTTTCATGGCCATCGCGCTGCTCCGGTCGAGCTACTGGAAGGTCTTCAAGAAGAAGTACTATCTGCTCGCCACCCGCTACCTCCACTACGTCCAGCCGTCGTGCGTGCGGACCCCGGCGAAGGAGCTGTTGGTCGATTTCGCGAACAACGTGGCGGTGGAAGACTACGGAGTCCTCCTGCTCGACTGCGTCATCACCCACGGGGCGAACATCGCGCAAATCGCCCGGTCCTCCGGCTACAAAATCTGGGATCCGAAGCCCTCCGCCACCGCCGCCTGGAAGCTGGCCGGGTCTCTGGTGATGCGCGGGATCACCGCGCAGAAGAAGAAGGCGTCCCACGAGCTGAACTGCAAGGCGCAGGTGATCCAGTGGATCAGCGACACGCTGTACGCATGCGCGAGCGAGGCCGTTGACTCTGCGACGGGGCACGGGAAGCGGTACATGCTGTGCGCCGCACACGCGAATATTGCAGCCAAGGAAAGGGTGTTCCAACGGCTGCGGAAACTCGTGCACGATTCCAACACGAAGAAGGCGTTGGTGCGGGACGGGACGCTGTCGCGCGCGCCCTTGGTGCTCGCCACCTCGCGCGGGATCCTCCGGAACGTCGACACGGTGGCGAGCAAGGACGACATCAAAACGCTAGAGAAGTTGAAACTGCGGAACGCGATCGCGAAGGAAATATTCGAAAAGACGCTGTCGACGAAATATGCCTCGATCAAGAAGGTGTCAAAAGACGCGGACCTGGAACTCCCGGTGGAAACCGGTGGAGGGGGGAAAAAGGCCCACGACGACAGCTCCGGATCCGCGTCCCGGCAGCACAGCGTCAACCTGGGGCCCACGTCGACGGAGTACACCAGCACGTCGCTGGACCAGGGCCCGGCGGATGATGGTATCGAAATTCATCTGATCGCCGATTGGTTCAGTTGAAGTGTTTCTTGTTGAAGCTGTTTTTTTCGTTGTTTCGTTCTTGTTTTCTACTCAGCATCAAAAATCACATAAGTAATTCTGTGAAGGAGTACAAGAGCGAGTGAATGATCATAAACATGAAAAATTGCAAAAACATGACTCAACTCTCAGGTGAGAGAGTAGACGTTCTCGAATCCAACGGGATGATGTGGTCCAACATTTTCGCCCTCGCGCAAGAAGAGCAGCACGGCCTCGCAGACAGCAAGAGCAGAAAACATTCCGGCGACGATTTGAGCGACCATAGCAGTGACAACAAGTCGGAGAGAGACGAGCACAATAAAGAGGAAGGTGAAAAGAAAGACGAGGGCGTGGAGCTGGACCTGGTGAAACTCGCGCAACTGGCGGATTCCGACACGAGATTGCGGGACTGGCGCGCGAACTACGCCGGGAGGGGGATGATGACATTAGGCTACCAGTGCATTGAGCAGGAGAAGGTCCCCAGCGCGAAGTGCGTCGTCCGCGGTTTTGGGAATGGCAATGAAGGGCAACTGGGGACCAAGTTCCGGTACCGGGGGGAAACGAGACCCATGGACATCGAGCGGTTTCACGGGAAGGACGTGGTGCAACTGCAGACCGGGATCGCGCACTCCTTCACATTGCTGGCGGGAAGTGGGAACGTGATGGCCTTCGGGTCCAACCGCGCGCTGTGTTTGGGCTTGCGGAGTGAGATCCACGGGACGGCAGAGCCGTACCTGTCGAGGGGGACAAGAGACGAGCACGTCGTGCAAGTCGCCACCGCGAAAACGGGGACGCATACCCTTTGCTTGTGCAACAATGGTATATTCATAAGAATTTTTTTTGAAAAAATTACGGAGTTTCACTTTCAGTTTTGTTTTCTTATGGAGGAGAAAGAACAGATCCGAAGTTGAACTCCCAAGTTTCATTTTTCAATTTTGAACACCAAACTACTTCTTCTAGGTGGCGTTTACGTGTTCGGGTCCTCCGCCTGTGGTGCCCTGGGGCTTGAGCTCGACTCCATTGACCCCAACCACCAGGGCGTGGCGAAATTCCACGAGCGGAACCGAAATCCGGACGGTTCCCGGAGTCACACGGTGTACCAAAATTCCCGGCCCGTGCTTTTGCGTATGACCCGCACGATCCCCATGAAGCAGGTGGCGGTGGGCGCCCGGTTCTCCTTATTGATTGCAAATATGTCTGGGTCTGGAAGGAGACAAACTTGTGATGCGCATTTCAGAAAACAGAAAAATCTTTCATGCATAGGTAGCAAAAGCTGCCCACTCTCTGTCACCAAAGTGGAGGATTTGTCATGCGGATTCGGCTTTGCGGAAGCTTCTCGAAACCTGTGATGCTAGAGCTTCCATGCCAGACCTACCGTGTCATGCAAAAACAGCATGACTCTACTTCCAGACCCAGACATATTTGCAGTCCATACTCCTGCATGATCGACGACGACGGGGTGCTGTACGTCTTCGGCGACAACTCCCGGGGGCAGCTCTATTACAGTGAAAAGTGCCCCCCACCCCTGAAATTGCAAAAATTTGTGATGCGAAGTTTCCAAATGAAAACTTTTTGCCATGCATGAAAGGAGTATGAATCTTTCTGATTCTGATGCAGAGTCTGACGTGTATCGCATCGCTTGCATGACAAGCGCCGCTCTTGCTGGGGTCTTTTGCAATACAAATTTTCGCTATTCACGGTTGGAAACCTGTGATGCTGATAGATGCAAGAGGACGAATGTTTCATTTGGAAAGGTTTGCAATACAAATGCTCCCAAGTTCGGGGGTGGGGGCATTTTTCATTGTAATAAGCTCGGGATAGAAAACATGTCCCTCGACACGGCGCACGTGCACGCGACCCGCAAAACAAATTTCGACGCGCAAACCCTGCTGCAGAAGGGCATGCGCGCAAACAACATGTCGCCCGGGAAACGGGGGCCGGCGAACCCGAGTCTGGGGGAGAACCCGCAGTTCGCAAAGGATTTCCGAAACACAGATTTGATGAGGATAGGCTCGAAGATGCTGCCGCGGAGCGTCACACAGCCCATGGCGCTGCCGGAAAAAATTAGATGGCGACAGGTGTCTATGAATATGAACTTTCAATTCACTTCTTATTTCAGGTGCACGTAGATGTACCTGATGTCCTGCATCGACATCCTGAATCAATGCGTGCTGAATTGTTCGTGAAAGAATGTCGTCAAGCTGATAGAATTATTGACTTTCAAGCTTCCTGTCCGTACTACACAATTAATCACAAATAACCCAATCGCTACAACAGGTTATCTGCGGCGACGAGCACGTGATCGGCCTGGACGACAGCGGGAAATTCTACGGCTGGGGCGGCAACTCCGCCGGGCAACTGGGAATCGGCAAGTCCACGGACCAGTACCGCCCGCAACAGCTGATCCGCCTCGCGGAGGAGAAGCACGTCATGACCGCGTGTGGCAGCAACCACACGGTGATCATCACCGAGAACCTGCGCATGGGGGCCAACCCGCGCGTGGCGGTGATGGGCAGCAACGCGTTCGGGCAGTTGGGCTTGGGCCGGGAGGACCCGGGTCGGGTTTATTAGAATGAAAAATGCCCCCCCCACCCCCAGGTTGGCAGTATTTGTATTGCAAACCTTTCCAACAGAAACATTCCCCGTCTTGCATATCTCAGCATCACAAATTTTCCATGCTGAATAGGTCAAATTTGTGTTGCGAAGTAGTCCAACAGCAGCCGGATCTGTTATGCACAAGGCACCTTGCGCACCCAGATTCTGCATCAGAAACGCTCGCAATCCTTTTGTGCAAGACAAAAAGCTTTCATTTGGAAACTTTGCATGACAAACTTCTGCAAATTACGGGGTTGGGGCATTTTTCATCGTAATAGCGTTTGGCCGACGTTTATGAACCTGAACGAGGAGTTTGGCGGCTTCCTCGGAAGTATGGATTGCAAAAATGTCTGGGTCTGGATGATTGCAACTTGTCATGCTAGATCTGAATCAGGCAAAAAACTGTGTTGAATGATTGCCAAAGGTTGCGCACTTTTGACCTAATCGAGAGGCAGTTTCTCATGCAGGATAGGTATTAGAAAGGTCCCGCAGAATCTGTCATGCTATGTCCTACATACCAGACCTCATGGGTCATGGAAAACCTCCATGACAAGTCTGGCAATCTTCCAGACCCAGACACTTTTGCAAATCATAGGAACCGCGAAACGGGTCCCGAACCCCGGGAACTACTTCTGCTGGACCGCCGCCGCCGCGAACCACACGTTTCTAGTGACCCGACACGGCCATCTGTGGTGTTTCGGGAACAACCAGCACGGGCAGCTCGGGTTTCCCAACGACGAGGGAAAAGACTGGGTGCTGTACACGCCGACCTTGGTCACGACGATGACCCACAACGTCCGGATGGTGTCGACCAGCGAGTCACACACGTTGATTCTCGGGGGGTGAGGAGAACACAGGATAGTAGTTGCTGGTGGACATTCATTTGCAACAGTTTCCTGTGGGAGAGGAAAGGCAACAAAAAGTTGTTGTGACCCGAATTACAACTTTCCGGTGACGAGGAGCCCTAGCAGCGCTTTTCGACGATCGTGGTGCGGTGGATGGAGGTTGGGGAATTGGTTTGCTTTCGTCACAGCTGCAGTACATGCGGGAAGAATAGCTCCGCGCCCTGTGACAATTGCAAATCGAACAGTTGGGAAAAGTGAGCAGACGAAAGGGCGGCAAAGGTGGAAACGTGTGGAGGTGCATGGAGGTTTTTTTGAAAAAACCGATTGCAAATGCAAATTGCACTTCAAGTGATCAAGAAGTTCTTGCTGGGTATAATAGCAGTTCTTAGAGCTTTTTTTCGTGATGAAGAGCTAATAATTGAATGACAGACCGTGAACTTCTAAACCTGAAGATGATAGCACTGGCTGGCAGAGGTTAACGCCTCGGCAGAAAACCACACCTAAGGATTCGAAACGATTTATATATACGTTGTCCTATGAAACGGCTCGTAGAAGATTTCTTGATGAAGAACTTCGTAAAATTGTTCGGTCGTCGTGCGCATGTTGGATTCGTTTTTCTAGACTCGTACACGGCTAAGGAGCTACGGCTGATTCGGTGCCGAGCAAAGACTGCAGCCTAAAGGCCAAAAAGTCGGAACTTACCCATAGGAGAGATTTCACCTGCAAATTAACTTTCGGTTCGTCAAACGTCCGTGCCTGACGCAACACACGTACACGACAAAGAGTAACGATACAATCGCAAGAAAAAGGGCTGATCTTGTTGGATGCAAAACAGAAAAGCTGCATTTGCTGGAATGAATAATGAAAAATACCAAAAACTTCTACAACAAGGTCCTTACCCCGAGTTGTTGCCTCTAAGGATCTCCTTTTGTACAGTCTCGATTTATTGACTTTTTGTTGTACACAAAGAGCACTAAAACGAAAACCTCGCTTCAACTACAAAACTCACATTCAAAATGCAGCGGCTTATTCATAGTGAGATTAATATTGTCGCTTCTAGCAGCTACTACACGACAGAAGTAGAGCAAAACACAAAAAGTTCTGGTTACAACTCCATCTCAACTTCTAACCTGGTTATTTCAGCTTCTATCGAGTCTTCAGAACAATGCAGATCTCGATCAAGACGCTGACGGGGCGGAAGTCGAATTTCAACTTCGAGCCCGACAACTTCGTGAAGCACGTCAAGGAGGCGTTGCAGGAGAAGGAGGGCATTCAGATGGAACAGATCCGACTCATCTACCTGGGAAAGCAAATGTCAGACGAGTGTCAACTCCAAGATTACAACGTAAAACCTGGCTCGATTATTCACATGGTTCTCCAGCTGCGCGGTGGTTCTTCTACTTCGTGCTGAACTTATTGAGTTGGTTCGGGCTTTTTTTCTCAACGACCGGTTTTTTTTTTTGAATCAGACCACTTCGACTGCGACTACGACGGTTTGGCGACAAGTTTCCGTTTCGACCGAAATTTTTCGAAGCACAACAGCAAGGAACGAAAGATATAATTTCTGCAAAAACTGCTTCTCTATTGCAGCAAACTAAAGCAACAGCAACTTCAAGCGACGGCGCAGCACCCTTATTTATTCCAGCACTGCAAGTAGACACAAGGACCGCAGAAATGGTGGAGCGGTGCGGTGCCGGTGGGTTTTCTACCGATTTCGACCGGCCAGAAGACCCTTCAATTCTCGATCCAAACGATCGGAATGTGCCTTCACCAGTGCGGGAAACCGGCCATGGTACAACGTTTGGGTTTTTTGTACTTCATGCTAGCATGCCTATGCCAAACAAACTTCGACTTGCTTACCAGACAGATGTTCGTTTTGAAAGTTATTTCATCGTTGTAGACGTAGTTCTCATTTCGTTTCTACAACGGCCTATGAGCTGAATATTGCTCACGTCCAGGAAATATAGACGTCAACCCCCTTCTTGTTCCTCCTCTCAGGTCCTCCCGCCACGCCCCACCGAACTGGGCGCACGCTCCGGCGCGGCAACATCTCCACCGTCCGCTCGGCTTCCACGGAGCACGTCCGTATCCTCAGTAAAAACGTACCCACACCAGAGTCAGGATGGGGATTTTGCAACACAAACCTAGGAGTTTTGTGAGTCACGCATGACAAGTTGCGCTCTGCAGTGTAGTGCAGGTTAGCAAGTGCAGCCGCGTCACAGATTCATCTGCTCATCCTGTTCACAGCATCACAAATTCCAAAACACGACTGGAAATGGTTCTCATGGGGATGCGCATTACCAGTCTTCCTGTCTTTGCAAATCTGCATTACAACTCTGGCGTGGGGACGTTTTTCCTCAGGATAGTCCGCGAAACGCCCCCACGCCTAGCGCCCGACCCCGTGATTGCCGCTCGGATTGCGCGGGCACGCCGCCTATCAAATGTAAAAATGTCTGGGTCTGGAAGAATGCAACTTGTAATGCTAAGTCTGAAGCATGCAAAAATCTGTGTTGCATGATTACCAAAAGTCGTCCAGTTTTGGCCAAGTCGGGAGGGAGTTTGTCATGCAGGATAGGCATGAGAGAGATCGCACAGAATCTGTCATGCTAGATCCTGCATTCCAGGCTTCGTGGGTCATGGAAAAGCTGCATGACAAGTCGCGCATTCTCGCAGACCCAGACATTTTTACATTTGATACCGCCGGGGACTGAACAACGTCTCGGTTCAAGACCTCGGCGACGACTATGAGAGTTTTAGTACTAACAAGAAGCAAACTTCAAGCAACCGGCGGGCGTCTACGCAACGCCAGTGCGGTGCGCGGCCGGGCAGGAAGAAACCGGGCGGGGGGATGACGAACAAAAACAATCAGCGTCGCCGTGATGGCGAAGATGAGTACTATGACAACCCGGACCGAGGACCCGGCGGTTTCATCAAGGTCCAGGACTGGTCCGAGGGCATGCACCTCGGGTCGCGCCAGGGCCGGTTTCAATTCCTGTCCAACCGCATCTTCCAGCGGCTAGATGTGTTGGACTCGGATCTGCCATGAAGGAAGCAGTGAAGGGAGCTACGATAGTGCTTCTAGCTTTACCGAATAAAAAACGTTGCAAAAATTATTTCATTTCTGATGTGATGTTTGCAGACAAAAAACTTCTGATGGAGTTGAACTTCTAAATTGTTTTTCGAGATTCTGGTTGTGCTTCGGAAAATTTCGTTGGAACAAAGCATCAAAACCAAGCAGCGCGACAGTGGGACGAACGAGTTCGTTGTCCTTCAGCGTTTATTTTCACCGTGCTGAAAGCTCCGAGCAGTGTTCTTCACATCAGTTTTCTAGACCTCGCCAACTCAGAAAAAAGAAGAAAAAGACGTCATTTTCGGTACAGGTAAAGCAGGCAAAAACGGAATCAGAAAAGCATCGATTTTTGAGTACTACGCACTGAAAATTCTTGACCTTCGGCGGAAAAATCGTAAGAATCAGAATTTGTTGCTATTCGTCAACGTCTCTTCTGTGATCGTCTAAGTATTCATTGTCGTAGATCGTTGTGTGGTCATCCTCGTCAGTAGTAAAAACTCGTGTCGTGGTTGCACACTGATCTAGATCTTTCGTCGTCGTCAAGGTATCGCGGACGTGTACCACTTGCAAAAGTGAGGCATTTCCGCCTTTGAGCCTTTTTTTCCGAATATTTACGTACTTTTTCTCGATCAATTCAAAAACAAGAATTTTTTTTTGGGGATCGTTACTGAGCTAGAAGTCTCAAGAAAAAAGACCAAGTTGGTTCTCGCAAAGCACAAAACTGAGTAGAAGCCAAAAGAAAAACAAAATCATCATCTACTTAAACGATACAACAACTTCATTCAACCAAAAACATCGATCATGACGACGGGCGGAGTGAACCGTATCGAGACCGGAGTCAACTTCCGGCAACGGTACCAGCAGCGCCAAAAGGACCATGAGAGATTCCAGCAGCTGCAGGCGACCCTTGCCCGTGAGAAGGCGTTCAAGGCGATCGACGAGTGCGACGCGAAAGTGGATGCGATCGAGCGGCAGCAGGAACTGGAGCGGTTGGCGGCCGCGGGTGTAAAGATCAAGCCACAGGTGGAGGAGAAAAAAGCGCCGGCGCGGGGAATCGTGCAGAAGGAAGCGGAGATTAAGGCGAAGACCTGGAAGGACCCGAGGTTGGAGGAACTCTACCGGCTCAGTCTCTACCAACCGCATGTATAGAAATGTTTATTTTGAAGATAGAAATTACTTAATGTTAATTCTTTGTGATGCCGCATCTCAGTGTGCATGCTTGCTTTGTTTATTCCAAAGCCACTCAAGAAATTATGCTCTGTCAGGTCGCCGAGGAAGCTTTCCGTCATGACTACGGTGACGCGAGCCGAAAACTGATCGCTTTCAATGCGCTGCAACGGGAACACCGGTCCGGCGAGCCGATCATCTCCAACTACCGTTACCTCACCAATTATCCGTGCGGCGCCCAGCAGACCTGGAACTTGATGGAGCCGATTTACCTGCGACCCACGGTGGAGTGCCAGAAAGCGCAGCCGTACCTATCCAAGAAAAAAACATTGTAGGTGTAACTTTCTTGGGGGATTAGCATGACAAATATCTCTCGCATGGCAGCAAAAACCTGTCATGCGCAGATACTACGTGAAAACGCCCTTCAATGAGCCCTACGATGCATGCCAAGCATAACAGTCGCAATCAGCTTGAATGTTGCGCATCACAAATTTACACTAACAACGTTTTTTTCTTGGATAGTACCAAATCATCGAACACCAACCCTTGATGAAGACCATGGCGTTTTTATCCCGTGTAAAAACATCCCCACCCCAGAGTTGTCATGCAATTCTGCATGCCAAAAAAGTTTCTCATGCGGAGCCGTATGAGAAGCATTTTCTCTTCGTGTTTTGGGATTTGTGATGCTAGGATCAGCATGCTGTGCCAGATCTGTGATGCTTCTGAGCTAGCTAAGCAGGATCACACTACGAGGAAAAAGTTGTCATGCCAAACAACCAAAGCTGTGTGATTTGTCTAGCAGATTTCACATCTTCATCTTGACTCTGGGGACGTTTTTGATCAGGATAGTTTTCGGAAATGGAAAGGGAAAATGAATTGGCTTTGCGGAATCTGTTCACGTCGAAGAAGGGACTGAAGGGGTTGAAAGGTATAAGACAGTGTGGTTCCTTTCTCGCATGAGAGATTATTTGTTATGCTCTGCAGAAGTAAATCTCAATCTGCAACCGCATCTACTTGGTTGTGCTTCTGCATTGCAGAGTTGTTCGTAGTTAACGCTGTAAACTACATCTCCCCATTTACATTTTCAGATATGACCGCCGCCTTCGCGAAGTCCTATTCCTTCACCCGGCAAGCCTTGAACCAGAAGCGCATTCTCGCCGCGATCGAGGAGCAGCGGTGCTACGACGGCAGACGGGGGTACACCTTCAAGGACAAGGCGTCGGACCATTTTGAATGGCTGGAAGAAAACGCGGCGTTCCGGGAGATCAACGAAAAGTGGCTGCAGAGGCCGCGGAAGACCTGGACGGACCTGCAGCAGAAGACCTGGGAGATTTTGGTGCTGCTCCACCGCGACTACTTCAAGAACGAGAAAAAAAACTTGCGGACTTTCTTTCTGCAGAGAGCGAAGAAAACGGACGAAGAGCACTACCACGAGCCCTACGCGCCGGAGATGGGGTACGTCTTGGACAGCGACAGAATGTTGGCCAACCTGGAATTGTGGGGCGTGGTGAACTGCAAAGGCAAGCCGACTTTGGAGAAGAAAGAAATGTAAAGCTGCTTAGAGTTGTTTTTTCTTTTTTCATCGCTGGAATTCATTTGTGCTGCATGGTGCTGGTGGATGATGACAATACACTCAACTTGTCACTTGCATGCATGAAGGCATGATTCATTCTTCCCGCAATACCTATTCCAGGTACGAGTTCCTGCAGCTCCTTGGGGAGCACTACAGCGGCGCCGTCAGCTACGAGGGCATGAAGCGGATCATGGAGGTTGTCCGCATCATGTACCCGAAGCACGAACGGGCTATTGCCCGCCAGGCGAACGCGCAGCGCATGATGCAGAAGGAACGGGGCAGGGCGCTGGAGGGCAGAGCGGCCTCGAAGTTCGCCAAGGCGCACTGGGGCAAAGCGCGGGACCCGTTCGTCGTGCAGGCGCAGGCAGGTATGATGGGCGCCGGTGGGGATAACGCCGCGGACGGTGCAGGAGCGGGTGCAGGGCATTAGACGGAGTGCGAAAAAGAAAATCGATCCGAATCTTCTTTAGAATGCTCTTTGGGAGAAGCAAGTGGTAGTTATTTTCTTGTTACCGGCAAAATTTCATAGATAAGCAACTATAACAAATGGATAATCGACGTTTTTCTTGGCAGTGTGATGATTTTAGACTTTGTAGCGAAACCGAAAAAAAAATTTTTTAGAATCAACGGAATCTTATTTGACGGAAGCACGTAGGCATGAAACCGATTTGTTAGCAACACTGTAAAATGTTTTTTACGTATTTGTTTGATGGCTTACTTTCGAAGAAACTTTCTCACTTAGAATTCTACACCTCATGTACAAGATTTTTGTTTCAATTTGCTTAGTTTCAACAATGTACACCTTTTTGTTTCGGATATTTTTCTCTTAGCAACTACAATTTTAGCTTGATTTGCAACGGGGTAATCATGTATTTATCAGCACCAACAAATTTCTGCCGAGATGGACATTTGTACACTAGAAGCGCAGATACAGCTGCGAGTGAAAATCTCACACAGAAGAAATCAATGGTTTTGGTTCGCAAGCCTGCTATCTCTTTCGCTGTTCTTCTGGGGTTGTTGATGTGTTGCGCCGACATTGAATGTGGTGAGCGACATCGACTGGGTTTCGAGCCATCTTTTTGTGACGGCTGCGATTTTGGATCCGCGCAGTTTTTCAAAATCGTCTGAATCTGAATCATACAAGTATGGTTGTTGCAGTCGGTTCAAATTTTCATCTGTAGAGCGTGATTGTGAAGGGAACCCAGGGCGGCCAAGATGAAGCTGGTGCACATCGCCACCTTTCTAAGCTGCGTAGCTACCTGGACCGAGCTCCTGGCGGTCGATGCTGTGCAACTGCGGTCACAAGTCGCTGCGGCAGTTGAGAACTCTTCAGCGGACAGCGGAAATGCTCGCGGCAAGAGCATGCTGCTTTCCGCTCGTTTGGAAGCGCGTGCGGATTTGAAAGACATCACGCAACAGGAGGCCATCCTGCAGAACCACATCTCGCGGGTTTACTCCCTCTTCGAGTTTACGAAGGAGCTGCTACTGAACCGAGAAGCAGGCTCACCCAACAACAAGAATAAAGCGGCCAGCGATATCACGGCAACTATGCCCGCTGACGTCAAGGCCGCTTACGAACAGTTGCAGAAGAACAGCAAGGCTAGGTTGGGCAGTAGAGGCATGGTTGGCAGCCTGATCGGTAAAGCGATGGGCCCGGCAATCATGGTGCCGCTGCTGCAAGAGATGTACGAAAAGTTCAAAGGCGACATCAAGCGCGCCAATGCGCAGGAAAAGCGAGCCGCGGACAGGGTTTCGAAGCAGGAAAAGGAGTATGTTACACTGCAGAACGAGGGAAAATCCTTCTTGCTGGAGCAAAAGAAAAAAGTCATCGACTACTACAAGAAGCAACGGGAGATCCAGCACCACCACTATCACACGATGCTCAAGATGGCCCACGCGATGATGCAGCGCATAACAAAGGTGAAACAAATGTGCGCGGATGCGGCTAACGGGAAAATGTTGTCTGGAAAGCAACTCGAAGAGCTGCGCCTAGCCGCGCCAAGTACGAAGATTGTTTTGTAACCTAGAGGAACAAGTCTGTTCGCGATGTTTCGAATTCTTTTTTTCCACAAAAAAATTGTAGAGAACAAAATTTCCCAGAATCAAATGAAACGGACTCAGGTTCGACATACATGCTGCCCTGCTTCAAACGGTCATATATTTTGTTTGTTACGCGTTCATAATCTGGATCTTGTTCTTCTTGGTTCTTTTGGTCTGTTGCTGCGTTCCTTGTTTTTTATTTCGTGTTGTGGTTCATCCCTCTCCCTGTTTGTGTGTCGAAATCAAAGAAGGACTGGTAGAAGAACTTCGATGCCGAACGCCAAATAGCTTGCCGTTGCCGTTTCTTTCTCCACCTTTTCTTTACCGCGTTTCCTTTGAAGCATTTTTTTCAAGCCGCAAAACGCAAAGATTTTTACTTCATCATGGTCGTGATGCGCTCGTCTGGAAAACTTGCCCGCATCAGCGTGGCGCTGTGCTTGCCGGAATTCGCCATTGCCATCAAGTCTCAAGCATTAACGGAGTCGACGGTAAGTATTTTTTCTTGACGATTCCGATGCAGCTTGAAAGTCCCGGTCGGTGTGCCTGTGTGATGTGTGATTGTTTCTTGGTTTTCATGGCGATCTGAACCAAAATCTCAATGTCACCACAGGAGAAGGGCTTCCTCGCACCGACGTCCCCCAACGAGAAAAAGGATGCAGAAGTTGAGACGCTCATTCCGCCCATGGAGGGGCTAAAAGTTTCCACTGTCGAGGAACTCACGAAGGAGCACGACTTGATCGATTTGACCACAGACGACGCGACTGAGACTGAGTCAAAACCCTTGAAAGCAGGCGAGCTCCCGGTGTTCAAAGGCGACAACGACCAATCCCCTACTTCCGCGGGGAAGAAGGCGATCACCACTGAGGATGATGAGAAGCCCAGTATTAAACCCGCTGTCGAACAACCGGATGCCGTCATGGTGAAAGCAAGTACTGACCCCAACAAACCGCTGTCCATCAAGGAACGCATGGCCAAGTTCAACGGCGGTGGTTCCTCCTCCTCCCTTACTGCTGGCAGCACCCCCACTATCACAAGAAAAAAGTGTTACAGTTACACATTGGTTGGAGTTCTGCATCACAAATTTTCTTTGTGTGTGCAGAGAAAACTTGTAATGCGAAGATCATAAGGATAAGGGAAAATAGGAAGGAAACGAGGCTCCCAAGCGTTTCCTGCATGAGAAAGGTTGTCTCTGTTGCCGGTCTTGCAACACAATGTGTAACTGTAACACTTTTTTCGTGCGATACCCACCGCGGCTGGGATGAAGCCGTCCGCGAAAAAGTTCGGGCGGGTATCGCAGCTGAAACAGGCGTCACCGAGCTCCTCTGAAGAGGCGGATACAACTGCCGGGAAGAAAACAGCTGAGGTTGTGACGGAGAAGGCGAAGGGCGACGAGGAGGAGAAACCAGATGTGGAAATGAAAGAAGCGACATCTCCTGCTGATGGTGAAAAACAACAAGAACCAGAAACCAGCACACCAATGGAAGACGAGAAGACCGGAGTGACCAGTCCGCCGGTTGCTGAGGACGTTGAAAGCAAAACGTCTGCTGCCCCCGAGGCTGCCCCCGACGCTGCCCCGTCTGCCCCTGCTCCGGAAGATGATGAACCTGGTGCTGCTTTGGCGGTTAAGGAAAAGAAGGAGGAAAATAAAGCAGAAGAGCAACAACTCTCGGAAGACGCCAAACTTTTCCAGACCCTCTGTGAAGAAGACGAGAGCAAGAAATCCGGCTCCTCTTCCCCGATGTTCCAAGCTGCAGAAGCGACTTTGGAAGAATCTCCCGCGGCCGGGGAGAACAAAACAGAAGAAATGTCGCCGTCAAAAATCAAAACGGAGTACTTCGACATGACCCGCGGCGGACCGTCGAGTGGTGAACGCGTGGAGGGCGACGCGAGCGCCAGCGCGGACGCGGACAGTGCGACGGTCGAGGCGGAGCCGGCGGTGTATCCTGAGTAAAAACGTCCCCACACCAGAGTCAGGATGGGGATTTTGCAACACAAACCTAGGAGTTTTGGGAGTCACGCATGACAAATTGCACTCCGCAGTGTAGTGCTGGTTAGCAAGTGCAGCTGCATCACAGACTCATCTGCTCATCCTGTTCACAGCATCACAAATTCCAAAACACGATTGGAAATGCCTCTCATGGGGATGCGCATTACAAGTCTTCCTGTCTTTGCAAATCTGCATTACAACTCTGGCGTGGGTACGTTTTTCCTCAGGATACGGCGCGACCGGTGGTTAGTGCGGACGATGGCGTTGTGACGATGGAGCCGGTCATCGTGCAGGAGGAAAAGCAAGAGAGCGAAGAAAAAACCGAGCAGGGTGACGCCACCGCGATGGCTTCTGCATCCGCTTCTGGTGTCTCGGCCGCTGCTGCGGAACAGGATGGGAGTCCCTCCTCGTCGTCGCCGAGTGCAAAGCCGGCGGGCAAAGTGAAGGTCAGCGACCGGGTTAAGCTGTTTGAGCAGATCATTCAGAAGGGGAAAGAGAAAGCCGAGAAGAACAAGTGAGCACACATTGTGAAGGCTTTAAGGAAACAAGGTAGGTTTGCAATTTTGTGTATTTAAATGAAACAGAGAAAGTAAAAACAGATTTTCGATTTCTGAAATACAGTAAGTGTTGTTGCGATACGATCATCTTCACGCTCTCCGTTGATAATGATAAGTTGATGTGATGAAACTAAGCGCGCGCCCACTTTCAGCGAACCAACTTCGTAACTGACACTGTACCTACATTGACTTGCTGATTTTTCACGAACAAAGATTTTTGGTTTTCGATGCAGTGACACTTTTTGCGAACACAGCACCTTCTGGCACATTTGAGAATTCGTATATTTTCTTGAAATTCCGTAAGTGCAATAAAAGACAAAGAATCCCAGCATAGTAGTTGTCTCGAGCTGGATGTGCATTTCGTGTGCCGCTGACGCTACAGCACGGCAAGAGCGGCGAATTTGGATGTCTGTGTTATTGATCGAAAAAAGGTTTCTTTTTTTTCCGTCGGTGGACCTTTTTTGTTACATTGCACTTTTATCTATGGTTTGCTATGAATTTGTTCACGATTACGAGTGGTAGGGCTTCGCCACAGCCGCACCCTGTGCCTCCACGTACCCAAGTTTTTAGTACTCCACCCGCTGTAGAAAGACCAAATGCCAACAATGTAAACACTACTAAGCGCCAGCGCGTCGAGCGTTTGGGCGACGAACCAATGCCGCAGCAGACGCCCGTGCGGAATGTCCCAAGTTCGGCGAGCCGTTCCCTTCCGCCCTGTGGCCAGTTTCAGAATGCGGCCCCGCCTGGCGCTGCGCTAAATTTCCAAAGCTTGTTTCAGTCGCCCGGGCAGGGGGCTGCTCCTCCTGGGGGACAAGCGACCGCCGCGCCTTTTCAGCCGTCGGGACGTCCAAAAAGAACGTCGGCGCCAGTGCCCGCCACGACATACCAAGGCCAGTTTTCTAATGGTGCGATAATTGCCCAACCAGTGCACACGGGCGGAGGGTCATCCTCTTCTTCCTCAGCTTTTCCGCCAAGAACAGGAGCACAGGGCCAGCAACCGTGTGAAAACAGCAACGGTGGATTGCCGATCCGTAATCAAAATGTTCAAGTTACTCCGGGACCCATAATAACGCCGAATCTCCGACCTCCTCGGCCCGGAACAGGAGGCTTCGCCGATGTCTTCAGTTCCAGTGTCGCCGGACAGAAGCGGCGGTTGCCCGCGTCGGAAGCGTCCAGTACGCCCGAAGCCCCAGCTTTAACGATCAAGACACATGCGGGAAAACCTGTCGCAGACTGTCGCACCGCCCAGCTCGCGCGATGTTGGTGGCGGCTTCTGCGGGAAACGCACGATAACAAACCCGCGAAAATTCCAATGGCAGGTCGCGAACAGGTGAAGGCACTGTGGGCGGACGACAAGGACCCTGCAAACGGCGTTGTCTTTCGTGTCAACCGCAATCTACATACGAAGAAAATCACGCCCTGCAGCCAGCAGACTCTGACCCACCAGTCTCGGTTTTCCAAGGTTCTTTTCCGTCACTTTGGGTCCTACCGTTTTCTGCACGTGCTTGTGCGTATCCCCGACAGCAAGCGGCCGCTGTCGAAGGAGAATCTTGAGAAAGAGCTGCAGGTGAACGCTGCGTTCGACTACGGCATGTGGCGGTACGAGTTTTTGTACGCTGTGCCGAAGGACAGGAAGTTCGGTGTGGATAAAGAAGAATCTTCCGGTGTCAACGATGTAGATGTGGACATGGACGACGCAGAAAAGAACGCTTTTCGTGAGCATTTCGAAGGACACGAACACTTTCAGCTGACCTATTTCGCAGTTTCAGTATCCGCGCAAATGCAGACCATCGTTCGTGAAAAGGGACTGGTCGTTCCAGATCCCGAAAGCACTTACGAATACAAGCAAGTCGCGCCCGCAGGTCTGCACGTAGTGAGAAATACCGCCACAGCAGCTCCGGCTCCGCACAGTATCAATCTCGACGTGCTGCAGCCGATATCTATCTTGGATGTGTACCTGTTTCACAGCCACAACAACATGAACAATTTGCGCGCACTGATCTCGAGTAGCAAAGTGCTGAAGCGATTTCGCTTACTCCTGACGGACACGATACCGACGGTGACGGTTCCCGGCGACTGCATCCAAGTGGTCCCTGATCGCGTGACGCAGGATCCGAACTACCCGAAGGAGCCTGGCGTCATCGGCAATGACGGGCACGGACTGATCGGGTATGAGTTGGCCGTAAAAGTTGCGAGTGCGCTGGGCTTGGAAAAAATTCCGACAACTTTTCAGGCCCGCTTTGCGGGGGTGGTCAAGGGCATGTTCACGGTGTCGGCAAAAGCGGAGAACAAGCACAAGCTGCTGATTAGTCGTACTCAGCTTAAAGTGACAGACGTGGATTGGAGAACCCTCACGGACGCGCAGAGGGTTCTCGAGATCAAAGACTGGTCTTCTGCACGCGTAAACCCGCTGAAAAACGGACTGCCGCATCAAGTTAGCATCCTCCTGGAAGCACTGGCGTATCGATCCGGTACCGCGGAGAAGCTGGAAAAATTTCTGCAGGACCAGGAGCGCAGCCGTGTGAAAGAGGTGGAGGACCTTTTCTCGGGCGTTTCGGCCGATGGCCGTGAAAGACTAGGTGAGAAGGGCGAACTTGAGAAGCAGTTGCTGGCGGCGTTACCGAGAAGCAAACTTTGCGATGCGGACACGAGGACGCTGCGGGAATTATTGCAAGGGGGCTGGCCACTGTCCGCGGCGCCCTTCTTGCCGATTGCGGCCATAGCGCATTTCCAGAAGAATGTCATGGCCACAACCCTGAACAACGAGAAGCTGCACGTCCCAGACTGCTACTGCGTCTTTGTGATTGCCGACGAGGACGGCGTCCTCGAGCCAGGAGAGGCAATTTTTCGGCGGAACGGAACAGCATTCGCTGGGGACATCCTGGCGACGAGGGTGCCAGCGAACGTCATCTCAGATGTCCAGCGGTACCGCTGCTTGGGCCACACGGAGATCCACGCTCGCTGGCGCGACAAGGAACGAATGGGAATTTCGTATGAGACGGACAACGTTCTGGTGCTTAGTTCCACGGCATTCACCTACCCCGGCCAGTTGGATGCGTCGGGGGTACCTCGCAGGGCGCGCGCCCCAGTTGATCTCTCTTCGGGTGGCGATATGGACGGAGACAAGTTCTATGTGATTTGCTGCGAGGCAGTGACGAGCTTGATCCCCCAGGCCGTTCAGTATACGAACACCACGGACATCCTGCGGGCAAGAGCGAGAACGCTCAAGCAGCAGCAGAAATGTGCCCCGGGGCAGCCAGCCTCAACCAGCTTCACCATCGCTGCCGATCTGAGTGCCACCATTCGTAGGGAAATGTTCTCAGCGCATTTGTGCAGCGCGAAAGTGGGACAGCTGTACGCGTGTTGGAAGAGTACGAGCGACCGGTTGGGCGCAGGTGATCAATACGCAGAGGCCTTGGGCTGGATCAGCCAAGAAGCATTGGACCAACGACTGACGCGCGAATTGGAGGAGGTGGTCCTAATTCCATTTGCGACTGTGCTCGACGAGAAGGCCTACGCACAGCCTAGTTACCACTACCCTGCAAAAGGCACGGCCGAGGAGACTGCCGCGACTGCAAGGGTGCGCGAGCTGCTGCTGCCTGTGCTTGTAACGAAGAGTGGCGAGGAAGAGGATTTTAGTGCGGAGCAGAGCATCAAAGCTCGCATCTGGCCAAAAATGCTCGCGCCCGACTGGGACAAAAAGCTCGCGAAGAAGGCGATGCGGCAGCAGACTGGCTTTCAACAAGACCAGGGGAGTTCTGCAGCGATCGAAGATCTTGACAAAGCGTACGACAAGGTAGTCAATGAGCACGCGTTCAAAAGTGGATCGATACTTGGGAAAATTCATAGGATGATGCGATACTACGCGAAACATGACTTCTGTCTGCGGTGCATGCATAAGGCGCATGACTTCAAGTTTGCGGAGAACGCAACAACCGACTCGTGGATGGTTGATTCCTACTTTTCCGAGCACAAAGAAGTCCAGCAAGAGTTCCGCACTAATCGGAGTACCGACTTCGATACGTACTGGAAAAAACTGGAAAAGAGGACATCCCGTCATGCTCTCCCGCCTGCACTTGGCTACGCGCCGTTGCAGTTCGACAATTCGAGCGACCTTTTGGGCGGTGTAGGATCGCAAAGCTCGCAAGGCAGCGATGGAAGTGCCTTTGCCTCTCAGCCACTGCATGTCGTCGGAGGCACAAATAATTCTGAAAATCATGACCAGTGTGTAACAGGGCCGGCTCCCCATCCGATTGTAGCACCACCGGTTCCCCAGTTCGAGTCGGCATTCGGAAATGGTTTTTCTACTTCCTCGGTCGGAGAGCGTGACTTTCGTCGGGGTGAAGTAAAGCGACCGCGCTTAGCAGCGACTGCGCAGTCAGCGCCGCACGTGTTCCCGGTGGCAGGGCACATCAACACTGCGCAATTCCGGAATCCAGCAGCGGAGGCCGCCGCGAAGACACTCTTTCCCGAAGAGTCCGCTCTTGATACCTCGTGTGCGCCACTCGACGACACGCTCGACTTTTTCAGTGAAGTTGCCGCACACCGAACCGCGACACAAGAAGAGGACCACCCTATGAGTGCAGCTTTCGAGGGGAAGTCTCAGTTTCAACCGTCAGCGCGTTTGGCCAAGTTTTGCGAATGGATCCCCCAGATTTACCGAAAGTATTTCGAGAATTATGAGGTACTGGACCTGATGAAAAAAAAGCTTCAGCACCAAAACAACTTGAACCTTCCAGCGAATTACGACCGGTCAAACGCTGAGAATCTGAAGCGGCGTATACGAGAAGAGCGCGAAAAGATCCTCCAACAAGTAGAAGCACTAGAGAACGTCTCCCACCGGACCGCCCCAATGGATTTGACTTCGACAGCGGCGCCGATACGACCCCTGCCGAGCAACGCAGACGACCTGAATCGACTGCGCACACTGAAATTGAACACGGCAGCCGTCTTCTACCGGGTCGCATGTGAGATTTTTGATGAGAGGCGGTTCACGAAGGCATCCAAGGGCGAAATGCCGGGCTGCGGTTGGACAAAGTTCTCCCTCGCTTACACTAAAGTACCATTCCTGATGTTTCAGGCGGAGCTCTCAGCGATCCTGGCAGCGTCCTCCGAGAACGAAGAGGAAGACTGCTTCTTGGTCCGCCGTGGTCTCCTATGATCTCAGATAGTCAGAAAGTTAAGCACATGCTATTGCGCATCGGTTTGAGCACAATGCCACAATCCTTACTAGTTCCCGCGGCGTGAACGCGCATTCGGCGGCTTTTGCGAGCCACAGTGCTGCTGAAATCCACGGAAAACCAAGCTCAGCGATGCCACGGACACGAGTGGCAGCTCGGTTCTGCAGAAATGACAGGCATTCTTAAGTTTTGTTCCACTATACCGCATGGACGCTCCGGCCGTGGAGATGATTATACCAAGCAATTGTATTGTTAGTTGCTGAGTGAGATGATTGCATCGTGGTTTCTTGCTATGCCCAAAGAAATAGAAACTTCTTCGTCAAATGACTATTCCTACAACTGCCATTTGTAGATAGCTCACATGCCAACCACATCGTTGTTACGCTCAGCGTCGCGTATTCCTGCTGGTTTTGCCCCCGAGAAATCGTGGTCCCAGAAGCTTTTGGATTTCGTCCTGTTCCGTCGTTGGGACTTGTTCAACCTCAATACGGACAGCAAGATCGGGTCTGCCAGTAACAAAGCCTTACTCCCCCTGTCCGTCATCGGCTCCGGGAGCGTGTCCGGTGACTTGCGGACCCGAACCGGGGCCGCGGCTGGGAATTTCTGGAATTTCGACGGGGGCTTCAATGGGCACGATTTAGCTCGGATGAAGACAGCAGGGAACGCACCAAGGATCTGCGGAAACCGTGGTTAGAAGATTTTTTCATGTGAAGTTACAGAGTCGTGTGCGACGGACATAACACAGCACGAGTCTACTTGGTGAGCATGTTCCCGCCCCCCTCACGCCGCTTTTTCGGTGCCACCGCACGCCGGAACTTTTACCAAAAGTTGGATGAGCAGCACCTGGCACTGCAGTTGGCGGAGATTTCGAAGACCGCGTCCGAGTTCCGGCGAGGGTATGAACAAGAGGACTTGATAACGACAGGAGATACGACCTCTGCAAGTTCCTCGTCATCTTTCCCTTCCTATCTGCACGACAGTGGTCCCAGACCAGAGGAGGAAATGGACCACAGTGATCCCTTCGCGCAGCGGATGCAGGAGCCGGGCACCCGCCCCCAGGACTTCGACACGCGGCGCAAACTGAAAGCGTGCGAGAGCATCCCGTTCGAGTCAATGCGGAAAGACAGAATGCCGCTCTTTCAGGATCTGACGCACGCGGAGCGGGTTTCGGTGCAAGCGGACTACAAACGGAAGCTGATGCTGGACCGAAAAGTCTTGTGGCTGAAGATGAACCAGGTTCCGGACCCGAAACGCGCGGCGCGGATGGAGATGAGGCAGATCTTGCGGGAGGAAAGGCGAAAACAAAAAGAAGAATACCACCGAACGCAGATGGAAGACGGGTCAGGCGATAGAAGAAGTTCAGGGAAGAACAACGGAGATAAAACAGACCCGCCCGCCGAAGACGCACTTTTCCCCCCGTCCATCATGAGTCAGCAGGCGGAGCACGCGAACAAGATGAAGGCGCAGAAGGAGGAGAATCAGATGCGGAAGGACGAACTGGAATCGAGAAAAAGAATGCAGATTCGCGAATGGAAGCTGGCGAACGCGAGCAAGCTGTACCAGAGCCGCCCGCCGCTGGCGCAAACCCCGACGGACCCGATCTTGCGACACATCGAGAAGAGGAAAACACGGATGAATCAACTCCTCGTCGCGCATCTCGAGGGCTTTCTGACGAACAACAGCAGCCAAATTTTGCACTCCTTCCTGGAGAACGCACGAATCACGTTGCTTCGCGTCGACGCGAGGAACCCGAAGGGCGTGCACGACGTCTACTACCAAATCGCGGAGCTGCCGCTGAACCGGTCGCGCGAGTGGGTGCAGGAGCGGCTGGACACGCTGGCGCCGAAGTTGCGGTCGCAGTTGGCGGTGAAATTGCAACTGGGGTACGCACCAGAGTTGCGGTTCAAGCACCAAGCCTTTGCGGTGCCGAAGCAAAATCGACAGCGGCTGCACCGGATCCTGGCAAAGGAGCAGCGGGAAATCGCGGGGGCGGACGCGCTGCAGTCCTGGACCGCAGAGATGAATTGGGGACGGGGGTGAAGAGTTGGTGCTGTTGTTTTCACATAAACGTGAGAACGGACTGTTTTTAGAATTGGACTCCCAACTCCAACACGTACCTGACTCTGGTGAAAGAGTCAGATCAGGATCCGGAATAAAAGAGATGCCGACGCAATTTGAATCCGACCCAAGCTTTTCGTTTTCCTGATCGCCAAAGGCACGACATCGTGTTCAGCTCTGGCAATTGTCATCGCACTTACCGACATATAATGTCGCGAAAGTTGCCGAATGTCCACGGTGTCAACCTCAATTCAAAAAAGCGTCTCCATATATCTTGAATCGACAAGGGTTTTTCTTTTTGTTTTTCACTCATAATGGTTTTGCTTTGGCCTTCTTGCGCCGGAAATGTAATCATTATCATACACAACTTTAACTTCAAAGCAAAAAGATGAAGATGTTCCGGCCACCGCGGTGGTCCTGCTTCCCGTGGTTGCTACTCCTCCGCTTTCCAAGCACCGCGAGCGCCGGTAATGCGGCAAACGCCGCGAAACCCCCGGTCGACGCGGAATTCGACATCCAGGAAGTGCTTGGTAGCGGACAGGGCAGCGACGTCTACCGAGTCGTCAAGAGGAAGAAGCATAAGCATAAGCACATACACGACCACGAAAAAATCGACCCGGTCGGCAGGGGTGTAGAAGTTCTTGGCCCTCCTCCTCCTCACCCGCCTCCTCCTCCTCCTTCTCCTCCTCCTGTAGAAGTTCTTGACCCAATTGCAGTAGACGATCATAACGTTCAAGACGTAGAGGTACAGCACAGCCGGGAGCAGGAGGTCGAGGTTGATGTTGAAGAACGAGATGCACCTAGTACTCCTGATGATGAACCACAGGAGGACGAGCAACTCGCGTTGAAGTTTTTCGAGCCTCGGAGGTGGCTGGAGTCTGACATTGCAATGGGGAAACTGGAGCACGTCGACCAGTCGGCGGTCCGGCAGTTTTTCAAGTGGGGGAGGAGTGGCATCCGACACTTCCTGACCGGGTTGGAACTGCTACCAGATGGGATGGTGGAATTCATTGTCTCGCTGTGGACACTGGAAACGGTTTGCGCGTTTCTGAAATGGCTCCTTGGGCTGCCGAGCGGTACAACAGTGATTGAGCTCTTGGCGTTGGCGCGAGGGGAGCAACTCCCCGTGAATTTTAACACCGCCAGCGAGCAGCAGCAAGAGCAACCGGTCGTACAGGAGGTCGGGGCAAATCTAGTCGGAGAGCTGTTCGAGAACGTGATGCAAAACGCGGCGCAGGGAACCAACTTGATTCAGGGTGCGGCGGAGCAACTTGCACTCGGAGCGGTGAATCAGTGGGCCGCTCAACCGCTGCACTACGACGCGCCGCATGGTGAGGGGAGCAGTGGTGGCGCTGCTGGAACGAGAGTGCACCACGGCAATGGCGCTTTTCCGATACACGAGGCTGAGCAGCTCGCGGGACTTCAGGGGAACATGAATGTCGCCGCGGGACGAGACGAAGGCAACACAGTTGTAGATCCAAACGTTGTGGATTTCTACCACGAGAGAGGACCAACACAACTTCCCGTGACGGGAGAAAACACCTCTGGTACAACAACTCCCAGGAGCGGTCGCTCTAGCGAAAATGAATCGGAGCTGCAAGGACGACAGCCAGTGGCGCCGAGGGAAGATGAGAAAGAAATAAATCGACACAGCACTTCCCCACATTCAATATCCGTAGCCGCGCCGCAAGCCGCGGCAGCAGACGAGCCTCCCTCCGCAACGGCTAGGACCCGAAGCTCTACTACTCCTCGCAGACCCACCAGGCACGATCCTGAGTTAGTCGTTCCTTCTGTGTCTTTTGCTACACGGAACAAGACACAACATCTCCTCGAGCCAGGAGGAGATGATCCGCAGGGCGTGGTTCGGGTCGAGGTCCCGCAAGCGACGCAGAGGGACGCGGAGAAGCAGGAGAGTGAGGAAAACTATCCTGAGTAAAAACGTCCCCACACCAGAGTTGTCATGCAGATTTGCAATGACAGGAACATTTGTAATGCGCATCGCCAGGAGAGGCATTTTTAGTCGTGTTTTGGAATTTGTAATGCTGTAAACAGGATAAGTAGATGGATTTATGATGCAGCTGGCCTTGCGAACCTGCACTACAGTACGGACTGCAACTTGTGATGCGTGACCCCCAAAAGTTCTAGGTTTGTGTTGCAAAATCCCCATCTTGACTCTGGTGTGGGGATGTTTTTACTCAGGATAAAAACGAGTTTTTCTTTTCGCCTCCCAAAAGCGCCATCATGTTACCACAAGACGTGGACGGGTTGTTCGGTGGACTGCCGCAAAAAGACAGTTTGAACCTCTTCCCCGCAGCCAACATACAAAAGTCTGCGATGTATTCATCGGGCGGGGTTAACGACACCATGAGTGGGGTGTCCTGTGACGAACAAGCCGGGATGTGCATGGAAATCCCCCGGTCTAATGCTTTCTTCGGCAACGGGGGAAACAACGGGGTTGCCGGGCTGTGGGGCTTCACCAATGCCATGCAGAATGCGCAACCACCTGGAGGTGGTCAGCAAATGAATCACGGAAGTAGTGCAGCTGGCAGCGGTACTAGCGCTTCCCGGCAGACCTCTGCTCACGGCGGAACAAACGCCGGCACTACGGAGGAGAACGCTTTGGAATTGCTGAAGAGTTTCGCGATCCGCTTACTGAAAGATGAGCGAGGGGAAACGGAGGTGAGCGACGAAATGCGGGAACAGTATCAGAGGATTCGGGAGCACATTGTCCAAACTTACCTCCCCACCCTCCGGCGCGAGTGCCAACTCATGTTTCAGGCACACAATGCCTGGGAGCAGAAGGTGGCGGCTGGGTTTTTCCCGAAAGGGCAGTTTGAACTGAAAAACCCCTTTCCAAATTGCCACGTGGACCAAAGTCAACTCACGTTGCCAGCCACAACGCAGGAGCTGCTGCAGATGCAAAATGAATACGCGAAACAGCAGCAGGATCTTTCACGAGACGAGCACGGGTCATCTTCTCTGACAAGTAGTGGTGCAACAGGTCAACATTTCGCTGACCCGGTGCTCGACTTCTTCCAGAACAAGTTGAAAAAGGGCTTTTACATGGTTCTGGACTACGTCAGCGACTCCATACCTCTCGATGCGGTGCCTCACTTGCTGCAGAAAGATTTGTTCCCGACTCTGTACGAAACCTACCTTCTCTCCGCCTTCTCCAACTTCCACCCCTATCCCGAAGTCACCGCTCTCCAGCAAATGCGCGACAACATCGAGGCGCAGGTGACGAGTTACCTGTACTCGCGGGTGTTCGCACGGCTCCAGAACGCCCTTCTGTTCCTGCACGCGGATCTGCATCTTGTCCACAATGACGTGCAGGGCGGGAACATTTTACTCCAGAAATCGAAGTTGGTCGAAGGGATCAGGGCACTGTATGAAGATGTCGCGAATGTGGTCACGCTTGAGGGGAAATTGTCGTACGCGAGCGGTGGAATTGGGAATGAACTGGAAAACCAAAACCAGGAAAACTTCAAGAGCAAGAACGCCTGGGGAGCCGACACGTTCGCGTATCAGAAAGAGCAAGCGTACATCGTCGATCAGCTGGGGGACAGGTTCGGTTTGCATATCAACGGAGCTGCCTCGGGTGCTGGGAGTGGGTCGTCGTTGTTCTCCTCAACGAGAGGATCCGCTTCCAAGGAGGAGTTAAGTGCGCTTTTGACGCTGAAACGGGCGCTGTTGAACATTCGGTTTCCTGCCATGTGGTCGTTGGGCATAACGGTGGAGAGTACAGAGCAAGCGGAAAATGAATTGCAGAATAATAATTTTCGCTACCCAGGTGGAGGTGGACATGCACCAGGTTCTTACTATGCTGGTGGACACAACAACTACAACTTCCAAAAAGCTACGAGCCGGTTCGAATTTCTCGAACTAACAATCGTGGACTTCGGTTTGACGGTTCCGAAGCTTCAGCCCGCGGTTTCCTTCGCACAGGGCTTCGCTTTACCGCTGAAGCAGTTCTGCTTGATGCAGAAAAACTGTCGGCATTTGTCCGTCCCGGTGGACGACATGTTCGCCTTGGGGATCACTTTCCTCACTTTGATCAACGGCCCTACCGCCCTCCGCTGGTCCAGCGCGGAGTTGGAAACCGACCGGGTTACAGCGTTGCGACAGGCTTGGAGGGAAGCAGCCGCGCAGTTGTTAAACTTTGATGGGGCTTCAATATTGTTGAACGGTGCTCAACAATTGGATGCTGAGGGCTTGCGCAATTTAGAGCAAGAGCAGTTTGTTTTCGGAGGAATCAATGCTGGTGGTGGACTACAGCAACATCAAAGTTCCGCGATGCAGCACCTGCAGCAGAACGCGGAGCGCATGCTCGTCGCGAATCAGAGAGCTTCAGCCCAAGTGTCATCAACAGAAAAGGTGAAGCAGCAACATTTACTGTTGGTGAGGCAGATGGAAATGGTGCCAAAAAGAGAACAGATACTTGCCAGCACAGGAGGTGGACCACAACAAGGTAGTAGTAGATCGACAAGCAGTAGTACTAGTGCTTCCTCTAACCACGGCAGTCCGGGGATCTTTTTGTTGAAGGAGAAACTTCTGCCCCACCTCTTCCTTGATCGGGTAGAGAACGGGGACAGCACGTTCCACGAGCTTTCGAATATCGCGTTACGGTTCGCCGACACCATATGGGAGTGTCAGGTTTGACATCGACAAAGTTGAAATAACTTGTAATGCATAAAATCGATACCAGTTGGAAGCCCAATTTCTAAGCGGTGCATGACAAATTTCGGCACCGTCTAAATCCAGTTTGTCATGCTGTTTAGGGACAGACGGCGTCTTTTGTCATGCTGCTTTAGCATCTCTGTCGCAGACCCCAAGCAGGCTGACAGTCGGCTTCACTTGCCATCCCTGCAAGAGAGACACTTCATGCCTTGCAATTTATGCATGAGAAATTATTTCAACTTTGTCGATTTCAAACCTGACACTTCCATACACCATGCTTGCGTTCAAACACCCCCCTTTGTCCGAGCACAACCGGGAAGAGTATGCATTGCAAATATGTCTGGGTCTGGAAGATTCCGAGAGTTGTCATGCAGTTTCTCTAAGCTCCACCAAGTCTGCAATGCAGGGCGTAGCGTCACAGGTTCTGGAGCCCCTTGGACATGCCTATTCTGCATGAGAAATGCCCTCTCAGCATGGCCAGAAATGGGGACCTTTTGCAAGTCATGCAACACAGATTTTTGTATGATCCGCAACACGCGTCACAAGTTGCAACCTTCCAGACCCAGACACTTTTGCATGTGATAAAGAGGCCTCTTTTACCATTCTGCAGCGGAACTGGCTCTTGCTCGTCGAGGTCGTCCATTTGTACTGGCTGCAGTTCACCACTTTGTGGGACCACGTCCCGGCCCTTGCGATTTGTTTGTTGATTTTTTTGGTTTTCTTCCTGCTGTCGATCTACACCTTGTTGCTGCTCTTGGGTTGGTACATGCTGTCCGGGCGCTTGCTGAAGCAGTACAGTGACGAAGAGATGGAATTCACGAACACCTCCAGCTCGCCGGTCAGCGAAGACGAACACTCCTGTACGTTGGAAATCAGGACATATGACGAGAGAAACAGAAACACCAGCAGTGGCAGGTCGCCCGTGTAGGTTGAGGACGTCGGGAGATGATGGTAAACCAATGGTAAATGTTTTTTTTTTGCGCAGTTCCAGATGAAATTTGTTTGAAAATTTTTTACAACGGAAGATTTTAAGTATGTCTTGCGTTTGGTCGGCAGGGTTATTGCAGTGTAGAAAGCTGCACTGGCCTTGCCACCGCCACCGCAGAATTCCATGTTCGCTTGCTGAGAATATAACCTTTGTTTGCCGAAGTTTTTGATCTTAAAGGAAAATGATTTAATGACATAGCGTAAGTACTAGAAGCAGCTGTTGAAGTGGTTGTGGTTTTCTTTTTGCCAAAACTAAGAAGCCAAATCTGTATTCCAGCTGGCGGAAAATGAAGTGAAAATTCCCAGATAGAATTTTGCAATGAACTCGAGGGCAGGACCACATTGCTTTTTTGCGAAAGTCGCTCTGATTTCCTATGAGGACGTAGAGAAAAAAACAGAGAGCTTGTTGGAAATAACAATGAGACAAAAACGCACTTCGTCTAGAGGCTTGAACCAGATTTATTGTCGCGTTAGCATTAGCGCTTTGTGATGTATTTACTCGGTCGGAAAAACTACAAAGATATAAAAAAGAAAAGGAGAGGGTAATTTTTTTATGGTCATTGTCGGTTGTACGGACACATTGTGGTGCACAACTCGCAATTTTAGCAGCGAAAGTCGGTCACGGTCTCGTTTACACGGTAACCCACATCGGTTTTCGCTGTCTTTCCCGGTCGAATATCGGTTGCTTTCTGGTCGTGGTGTATCGTGCAATCTTCGGTACGCTTGTCTTCCAGGTCGGTGGATTGTCTTTCTCTACGTGGCCCTTCAGAAGCACTTGTTAACGCTTAGCGCTCGCATCGGACAGAAATCGAGTCGTCTTTTCGTCGCATCTTCAGTCCCACGCACCCTCAGTGCCCGCTACAAACATTGGTCCAGATTTCAAACGATTTTCATGTTTTTTCGAAGTAGATCTGACAGTTAAGGTTAACCTCACGGATGATCTTCGTCTGCCACGAAAATGGAGGCCGTTGGTAAGAAGCTTTTGCAAGGCAGATTCGCTTGTCTTGCAACGCTCCTGTTGCTGCACGGAGCTGCAGAAGATAATTCCGGGTTTCTTGTACCTTTCGCTGAAAATCAGGCCGCCGCGGCCCCCGGCCCGGGCACATCAAAACGAACAGGAACAACCGCGGCTGGAGGTCAAACTACAGAAGAGCTCGCTGCTGCAGTAGGCCATGAAGCAGAGCCCAGCTGGAATGAGCCTGGACCTGTATCTGGCGGAAGTGGGTCCTCGTCTTCTCTGGGCTCAACCGCACCGCCTGGCCAAGAACGCCGCGGTTCTCCTGTGCGTTCGTGGCCCTTGTCTCCCGCTGCTCGTGGTCGGCCAACGGCTCGCCGCGGGAGCAGTAATGAATCGCGCTACCAGTGGGGCAAAGACAATGCAGGACCCAGCGCGGCCGCAGATGAGGTGAGTCCACCAGCAGCACCTGGCACCTTAGTCAGCGCAGCGGATGCAGCTTCTCCGTACAACCCAGAAAGTCAACCGGTGCCTAGTGTTCTACCCGAGAGGCGAGGGAAAGCTTTCGCGCGGTCCAGGTCGCGTTCTAGAAGTCTTTCCCCCTCGCGTTCTCGTTCTGAATCGCAGCCTCGGTCGCTGTCCTCTTCATCGCGGCAGCCGAGCTCTTTGGCCAAATCCAGCTCCTTCGGTTCAACTCCTGAACGGGGCGGCAGTGAGCCTGAGACCCCAGCCGCACGAGCGTGCGCGGAGGCCCGGTCACAGGAATTCGACGCTGAGGCGATGGCCCGCGGAATTCGCATGCCGGCCGTGGAAGAGCGGTGCGCTGTGGCGGATGACGAAGAGCAGGAGCGGCTGAAAATGGAAGCGTACCGGCGAGGCCGGGGTCGGCGTAGGTCGCAAGTTTTTTCGTACCCGGATCAAGTTGTCTTTGAAAGAAAAAATAGGCTCGGAGAGGTGCAGAGCAGCCTCACATTCTTGAAACACGACATCGTCAACGGTCTGAAGCAAGAGCACTGGGATCGAATTGCAGATGCAGATCTGACGAAAGAATTCCTCGATGGTGTGGAACAAGCTATCTACGGGGACTGGTTCAAGAAAATGTTTGGAGAGAGGGACGAGGTGACAGACGAACTAAAGCCGACCCTTCAGCAGACCTTTTTCCTGCGGTACCTTCCTTTGCACTACCCGTTCGCGGAAATTTTCAAAGCCAAGTTTGTCGGTATGTTCGCTCTGATTTTTGGAGTCCCAGCCTGGAATGCCGTAAGACACGCACGGTCAGACGAGAAGCTTGCCTTTCAGAGCGGGATGACTCCCAACGCAGTACCGCCCGTAGACAGCTCTGGCGCACATCTACATGACCATTGCCGCCCAGGAGGCGGCACTGAAGTTTTACGAAGAAGTGTACACGACTGAGTTTAATCCGGTTCTACAGGAAAGCGGTGCTACTACCTCGGAATTCACCTCGAGTGTCCGCTACCCGCAATTTGCGCGGTGTGGGTCATACCCGACCTACGCGACCCCAGTCTGGGAGAAGGCGCACGACGGGAATCCCGCCTGGAACCGGCAAGTGATGGAGGCCAAGCCGCGGGACGCCATCCATCAGCAAGATTTGATGGACGGATTGGTGGTTGTCGTCGCCAGCCGCTTGAAAACGAGTTTCGCGGCCTTCATTCATTTGCACGGAAAAGACGAGCTGAAGGTCAATGAATTCGACCTGCGCGGTTCTGCGAATCGGGCACACGATATGATGTCGCACAGGTGGAAGGCTCGGGAGCGAGCGCACCTGAGCGTTTTGAAGCACATGCGGCATCTGCAAAACTCGCAGAGCAGGCGAACGGACGGGCAGCCGTTGTTCCACGACAATACATTCGTGTGCTTGTACTGCAACTCGCAGTGGGGCATGTTTCACGAATTGATGATGCGCTGCAATTTGAAACCGGAGCCGCTAGATCTTCCCGCGGATGCCTACATGCTGGACGGTCCCAGTCTTTTCAAAATGTTTGGTGATTTGTCGCAGCACGCAGCAAACTACTACATTGCGGGCTACTACGATTTTGAGACAAAACTGTATCACAACGAGGAGGCAGAGCAGCAGCAGCAGCAGCAGCGTCGTTTGCAAATGCAGCGGCAGGAGACGAGCCTCAATCTTAATGGTGGGGGAGCTGGCGGGCCGGTATTGTCGCCAACCTCCGGCACGAGCGTTGGCACAGGTACCGTATCACAGTTGGAGGTCGTTGCCCCGCTGAAAAACGAAGCAGTGTTTGTGAATCCGTTGTCCTCAAGCTGGGTTGTCGGTGAACTGCGCAAAGGCATCGCGGGGCTGAGCGCGGCAAGCGCCGCAAGAATAGGACAAGGGGCAAATAAAGGATCCTCCTCGGGGACGCAGTATGTTCCGAGCGTCATTCTGGCCTTCGCGAACACCGCCGAATATCGGCAGAGCTATTCATTTGCTATCTCAGAGGAGGCGGAAGAGGAGGAAGGCGCGCCAGAGTTTCATCTAGTTTCCTTCGACCTGCACCGCATGCCCACGATCGATTTACACGAAGATCCGAAACAGGCGGCGTTTTACCGTCGCGCGGGCGACGAGGTGCCCCGGCTGGACGGCGGCACGGCGGGCACGCACTGGGACAGGACGGAGGTGGATCTGATTAAATGGGGCATTGAGTATGAGCCGAAGCTAGCACAAAGACTGGACCAAAGCAGAGGCACTGTAATCCAAAACTACGGATCCGATGGTGTCGCGGTGAATCCGATCAAGCAACTTAAGTACGGTGTCTTGAAGACTTTCGCGCAAAGCATCTATGGAGAATTGGAACCTTCTCCCGTGAAAGGCGAATGGCGACGGAAGAAAGAGAAGAAGCAGCGGGAAACCGGAAATGCGAATTGGGGAGCAAACGCGGAAGTCAAGGACTGGGTGCCCGTGAGGAACCTGGGGGGAGTGGTGAATCCGGGGTCTGTGGAAGCGCCAGGCGGCTCTTCGGGATCTGCGAGCCGGAAAGAGACGAGGACTTTCATGCGGACGCGCTCCTCGAGCTCGAGCTCGAATACATCTTCGCGCAGTTCCAGCAACTCCGCATCGGTCGGGGAGCAACTCAACAAGGTGGAGCCGGAGGTCTGCAATGTGGAAGTCCTGCAATTGGGCTTCATGCGGCACCTTGAGTCGCGTGAAAGGGAATTACACGCACAAGAATACCCGAATGTGCCGTACAGGACATACAGCAGCATGAGAAGTAAAAGAGACCTGCCCGGGGGGTAGAACGCACTATTTATAAATTGATTATTTTCATCTGACAGAAAGTGAGGCTGACTCACAAGGTTTCCAACGTCGGGCCATTTTTGGATTTGTTATTGTTTTTTGCAGCACATTACATCCATTCATGCATATTAATATTTGTTATCAGCGCTGCTCTACTCTGAACAATTTCACCTTGACCTTGAGGCTTCGTACGTCGATTATGATTTGATACCGGTATGATTCACATTTTCTATGAATGGCAGCACAAGTTTTTGTGTTTTGTGATGGGTACTTGGATATAAACCCGACTTCGAGGTGGAAAGCTGCAGCTTTTCTGTCCTGTGAAACTAAAAGACATAGACGTACAGTGTTTCACGTCGTCCCTGAATACAAACTCGTACAGCCTGGCCACACACAAATCGTACACGAAGAAGTATAAATCCCGATTCGGTTTTGCGCAAAACGAATAACGACGTCCATCGAAAGAACGCCATCGGTTTTTTTTCGTGCTGACTGATAATTTTTTTCCAATCGTTTTTTTCATCGTTCTCACTCAGCATGGCTTCGGCGGCAAAATACTCGTGAGAAGTTCACGTCAGCAAGAACGACGTCCAAATTACGGTTTCTTTCATCCAAATCGCGGTCAGTCGTGGTCCCCTTCCTTTGGCCCGATTCTCAAACTTGTACTCGCCCCCATTTTTTCAATACTTTCATTCACTTTTACGTCTTCATACACCACATTTATATGCCCGCGCAACAACACCTACTCCCATTGTCATTTCCTATCTCTTTCTCTGTACATTAGGAAGTTTTTCTGAGTAATTTTTTCAACAAGCTCCGCTCCAATACTAGATGTCAAAAATCACCCGTGGTTCCATCGGTGGCGGTGGGGATGCGGGCGCGCAGGGGGGTCGTCGCGGTTCCAGTTTCATGGGCGCGATGTACGATATCGGCGAGGACGCAAAAATTCTGAAGAACACCTCCGAGATCACCCTCAAACAGGCCGCCAAAGACCACGACTGCTACTGGAAATCCCATGACGCCAAACCACACGAGATCATCTACGATTTCGGAAGAAAGGTAATAGTCGCTTAGCTCGTGGATACATGACAAGAATCCAGTACGACTCAAAAATATACTACGGGTTGTGGACAACTTGCACTTCTTTTCGATTCGTTATCATCTTTATCAAAACAACAGGTATCGCTGACGTCAATCCAATTTACATTACTCGGGTGCGACACCGTGCAGGACGATATCAGCTACAACCCGAAGTGCGTCTCCGTCTCCTACACACAAGAAAACGAGCTCGGCCCCGACGCCCGATGCTCCTGGTTGCCCGCCAAGAGAGTCTTCTGCCCAAAGGAAAATGAGGATCTCGAGGTACTTCTATTGGGTTTTGGAACAAGTAAACGTGCTCGTGCATGTGGATGATCATATGATTTTTGTTTGCTTTCTTCTGAAAAAATTCTGCTTGCTTCTTCAAAGACTATTCTCCTCTGTGATTTTGATTTCGAAAGAACATTCTTGTTCCAAGACCACACCCGACATAGACTGCACGACCTCTCACACACCACACGAAAGGTTTCCTGGCGATGCGAGGAGCCGGCGAGGTACTGGCGGGTAGAATTCCAGTTGGCCTGGGAAAAGGCGCCACACATGATCATCAGTGCCTGCAAGCTGATGGCGGAGGACGCTATCAAATGTAAAAATGTCTGGGTCTGGATGAAACTTGTGATGCTGTGTGGCGTATCATGAGGAGGCGACAATTGCTGGCTCAGCATGACAAGTTTCTGAGCTTCTAGGTGTTGCCTATTCTGCATGACAAACTACGTTTCTGCATGACAGAAAAGTGGGGCTCCTTGGTAATGTGCATGACAGATTTAAGAGTCATGCCAGACATGCATGACAAACTTGCATTCTTCCAGACCCAGACATTTTTACATTTGATAGACGCGGGCGCAAGACCAAAGAACTCCGACCTGAAGGTTATGTCCAAGGAACAAACCTCGAAGCTGACCAAAATGGCACAGGAATTCGACATGGAAAAGAACCTGCCACCAGAAATCATTGAGGTATACCTTCATCGATGTATATGTATATCAATAATAGTGCGGCGGTTTTTTATTTTTTGAAAAATGAGGACGCAACAAACGAATGGGGCTCTTCGATGTAGTTTGTATGGCCTGTGAGAACAGGAACAGCATTCTCCGAACACGAGCACGATCAAAACGTATGATGACAAACGTTTTCCAAAAGGCCTCCTAGCGTCCAGCTCTAGTGATAGACTGGATTTGTGAGGACCATTTGAAATAAACGAGAAGTATTGTCTGAGATCGTTTTTTTGCGACGAAGCTGTTTTCACATTTGGAGGCTGGTAAAGAAGACTTGTTGTTGTTTTCTGGCAACATCAATGAAAAAATTCTCATGCACAAATTCCTTGAACTTGAATGTAGTGAAGATCTTGATAAGAGTAAAAGCACGGAATTTTTGATGAAAAGCGAAACCTGATCTACTTCCAGGTCCGAGCATTGGCGAAGAAAGTCGGTGTGTCAGTGGATGACGCAGAAATGCTGCGAGCAAAGTTCAACGAGTTCGACGTAGACGGTTCCGGATTCATCGACAAGGACGAGTTCAAAGGGGTAGAGCTTAGATAAAATGCTTCCGTGCATGACAATTTAGCATAAGTACTAACTTATTTCGAATGGCGTGAAGTTTTGTAGTAGATCTGCATGCGAAGGCGAAGGCGAACTTTCATTGCTGCCAATAAATCACATACAAACAAACTACCACCACAGGTGCTGAAAGCGTTTATGGGCAGCCGCAACGAAATTTCGAAGGAGCGATTTGACGCCTACTGGCGGGATGTGGACCAGGATAACTCGGGCGAGGTGGACTTTGAGGAGTTCCTGAAGTGGTACCAAGTCACCGTGAAAACCGGCGGGCTCTCCCCCGAGGGCTTCTACGCGACCTTCGGGCTGCAGCGGCTGGGCCGAATCGCCGCGGCAGAAGCGGACTAAGCGATCTCGTCGTTGTCTTCAGCAGCACACCTCGTTCTATCCCACCAGTATTTTGAAGCCAGTTTGTTCTGTATAATGAATGAAATTTGACAACTCGTCGTCACGAGAACAATACGAACATATGCAGTTACATTTGCACAATTTTTCGAAACACATTTATTTGTTGGTCAATCAATCTAATTTACGTATAGCAGTTTTTGTTACCAGTATCAATTTCGTGCCACACCCCAACATGACACTGTAGCAGATTCAGGGCGGTTTTACTTGTGAGTACATTATACCCATGAAGAAATAAATCTTGACGGCCACTCCACCTAGGCCAGCAAGAATTATGCAAATGTACCACACCAAATGCACACAGGTTAATGTCATCAAGTAGCAAACACAACCCAAACCCCACTAGTACACGCGGCCCTTCTACTGTAAAAGAAAAATTAAAAATAGACATCATTTCATTTCCATTTAATTAAGCGACTTTTACTCTACTTATTAGACACACTTGACAAGAAGCGATCATGTTACATATTGGCTACGGGACGAAGTGAGACCACATGTTGGATTTGCGATGCTACAAGCGAAGCACCAGGGGCGGAGCATGAACGAGCAACGCGGTTCATCATTTTTTGGGACCCATATTAGGAAACACGACCTGACCCACCATAGCAAACTGTACATGATGTACTTATTTAAGCGTCCGGACTGACATGAAATTTGGAATAATTTTTTCCCGCACCGGTAAGAGAAGGTAAAGGGGTTTCAACATTTCTTCACTCGACAAAGAGGGTGTTCGTCGTAGTCGCAGCTGCGTACGTACATTTGTTTTATAGTCGGGCGAAGAAGGGCAAGGGTAAGCGCTCTTGAAGTCGTCCAAGTCGATTCGTTCCTGCACACAGACATTGCGTATGCGTGGGTTAATCAAGTGTTTATTATGCTAGGTACCGGGCGGGAAGTCATTCTCAGACTCAGTTGATAGAGTTTATGTGGGTGTGCGCTGGTTTCTGATTCGTCCTTCTGACTTTTCGTTTTTATGGTTTTCGTTTTCGTACAATTTTCGCAAGAAGCAGCAGGTCGTTCTATGTACTGTCAGAGATGATTCTTGAGACGTTCTCCGGAGACTAGCGATAGGTTGGATATACGAATCCACGTGCAGGAGGAGCAGACGTGAGAAGGAGAAGTGGGTCCGGGATAAACCTGCATTCATAGTGTCACCAAATTCCCCCAAGTCCGACAATTTCAGGCTCATCCCCATTCATGTACATTTCTTGTCAGCAACAATTGTGTTTGTGGCTTCATAACACGAAGTAGTACGAAGGAGCAGGAGTTGCAGGAGTTAGAATTACCAGTGACACTGCTGTCGTGCCTCTAGTGTACATAGCTAAAGCTGTTGTGTTCAAGTTCATGGAAAGCATCGGATGGCGATCATGAACAAGCAGCAAATCAAAAAGGAAGTCGACCGGGCGAGCCGAAACGGCGGCAACCCGGCGCAGTTGCTCACGGAGACTGAGCGGAGTTTCTACCTTGCGCCCTGGATTCTGACCCTCCCACAAGATGCCGACTCCTTCCACGACAGGAAGTGGTGGGGGCCGCGTTGCCTTCTCTGCCGGCAGCCAAACGGCTGGGACGCGGAGGGCGTCGCGCTGCTGTCCGCCTTCAAGCACTGGGACACCGCGCACGCGCGCGCAGACGGCAAACGAAACAAGTGCAAAAGGCGGCACTTTGCCAGGAGCGCCAACGAGACCGCGAGCGGCAGCGTGGAGACGATGAATGACTTGCTGCAGATCCGGGCGGAGGTTTTGGCGCTGGATCAGGAGTTTGTGGGCGCAGAGGGTGAAAATAGTATCCTGGGTCATCCCGACAACCAGCTCCTCCACCCTTTCTTCCACAACTACCAAGTGCCGGACAGAGCTGCGTTCTTGGATATCGCCGACGATTTGTCCGCCACGACGTGCCGGTCTTTTGCGTCGATCCGGACGCGCTTGACCCGAAACGAGCCGGCCGACGGTGCCCAGTGGAATCAGCAGGAGAAGCTCGAGGAAGAGAAACGGTTCGCGAGGATTCTGCTGCGGCTCCGACCCTGGACGACAGATATGGTGGACGAGGAATACGACGAAGAACCCGGCGAAGAAGAGGAGCAATTCGAGCTACTGCATATGAACAATGGGCCCCGTGGTGGCAATGATAGCGCACAGGATGAAGACATAGATGCACACTATGAAGAAGAGGAGGAGCCGGATGATGAATTCAACGAGGACATCGACCTCCGATCCGTTCCGATGACGCCCAGCTCCAGCGGCATCCGCAGCGCGGGCGCTATGTCTGCTGCAATGCTCCGTGCGGGAATCTCGTCGGTCGCTTCGTCGGTCCGTGCGGGAATCTCGTCTGTTTCGAGTTTCTATCAGCAAGCGCCAGCAAATCCGTTTATGGTGAACAGCAACGAAGAGACCTTCTCTGCTGCTTCCACGTCCTCGAGTAAGCCGCCGGGATACTACATGCGCAACCAGCAACAACCGCGCCGAGAGGTGCACTACGGATCAGTAAACTTGAGGCAAGCGGGAAGTGGCGCACCTTCATCCTCTAGAGGGAATGAAAATGCGAACAATAGAACCAGCGCCAACAGCCGCAATAACGTCGCGTCCTCATCTTCCTCCTACCGGCGCCCCCGGTCCCGTTCCCGTTCCCTAGAGGAGCGACGGGGCGGCAAGGGCAAGAACCGAGGGGGCAGAAATTACGGAGTGAACAACCCCGGTGGTCCTGGGGCCTCGTCGAGTAATCGTGGAGGTGGTCCTGTGCGCCCCCGGTAGATTGTTATTCGGTCAAGTTGAACTAGAATTCAGATTCACGCAGACTTCTTTTTTTTCAAACAGTCAAGCGAAAGTGATAGATGAATATTCTTCCCGTTCCGCTTCCGACGACACGTACGTATTGCAAGAGACAGTGATCCCTTCCTGGCACAACTATCTAATGCGACCATTTCCGATCTGTACATTGTGTATCGCTCCAGAATGAATCAACTTTGTCCTCCTGTTCCTTTTTTTGTGTTGGCGCCGATTCATTCGTCATGGCCTTTGTGTTCCACCACTTTCACCGCAAGATCGAATGGAAACCACCTGGATGATCTACTTTTTAGCAACTGGACATACTTCTAATCAAGGTTCCGTGCCGCGTGTCGGAGCGCAGTTCTTTTCAAAAGAATATGAAGGATCACACTGTTGTTTGTGTGGGTGCTTGATCTATGTATTACTTCGAATAGAAATCGTACTGGAAGCACAAAGAGAATACGCATTTTTGCAGCCCGCACTTGATCACTGTGAGGATCATGCACAGCTTTAGATAGGAATAGGAACCCGAACGAGACCCACCCGGTTCGGAAATTCTGCGCTCACGAGCGGATGGAATGTAATGGTCTCTGAGCTGTACTTAACGTCCATGCTGGCAGGCATCCTGACCTGAATCACTTGTTTGTATTGTTTTTCGCAGAGCTTTTTCGCGCTGATACAAAGTGAAAGAGAACGAGAAAGAAGGATAAAAGGAACTACACCAATGACAACCGCTAGTACATCAACCATGATGATTTGTAGTTTTCCCTCGGTTGCGGTTTCATCCCTAGAAGAAGCATCTTCAATAAAAACGCGACAACGACAGTACTCTTAAGTGACTTTACCTTTTTCTATAGATACCCTATCCCTAAGAATTCGAAAATCATGCCGGGCTCCTCCTCGAGCAACAAGAAGAGCGGCAAGACCCAGTGCTGGCGGGATATTTGCTCCATAGTAAACCAGTCCCGCGACCTGGACCGGCTCCTTACCGAGGAAGAAAAGGCATACTCCGTTGCGCCCTGGGTGATGCAACTGCCCCCGCCGGAGGACGAAGGTGTGAACGTGTTAAACTCGCATCACTGGAGTCCGCGCTGCTTGTGCTGCCGCAAACCGAACGGGTGGCAGGTGGACAGCGGCGTCGCCTATTGAGAGGAAAAACCCCCCCCTCCCCACATTGAAAAGGTATGTCTCCGGAAATTTGTATTGCTGATTTGAGGTCACAAATCACATTTGTCTTGCAAGAAGACAAGGGCAAAAGCTTCCGCCAGACTATGGAGGCGATTTGTCATGCCGTTGGGCCTAAAGGGGGGCCGTTTGCCATGCTGAGCAACTAGACCCATACACCCCCACCTAGCCTGGGGATCTGGCCGCAATGCCTTTCTGCAACACAAATCTGATTTGTGTATCCAAATCCAGCATCAGAAATTTCGTTTCGATATGGGGAAGGGGGATTTTGCCGTTTGATATCGCCCTGCGGAAGGTCTTCCGGTACTGGGACACGAGTCACGCGCGGGCGAATGTATCAAATGTAAAAATGTCTGGGTCTGGAAGGATACAACTTGTGATGCTACTTTTGGAATCTACATAGAAACTGTATTGCATGAACAGCAAAAGAGGTGTAATTTGTGCTACGCGGATAGGGCATTTCTCATGCAGTATGAGCATCAGAAAGCCCTCGCAAAATCTCTGATGCTAGGGCATGCATCACAGACCTCATGGGTCATGCAAAATCTGCATGACAGACTCCTGCATTCTTCCAGATCCAGACCCAGACACTTTTGCAATCCATAGAATGGGAAGAGGAACAAGTGTAAGAAGCGGCACCTGGTGGATTGCGTCGACGCGCTGGACCAGATCATTGAGACGCGAAACGTCGTCGCCCGGACGGCCCTGCCCATGGATGAAGAGAGACAGCTACCCCTGGCCCACCCAGACGACCACAACTTGCATCCCTTCTTCGGCGAAACGATCGCGGACGACGCGGAAAAGGTGGCCGCGTTCCTGGACATGTCGGAGGAGCTGTCCTTGCTCACGACCCGATCCTACAACCGCATCCGACGGGACTACGCGAAGAGGGCGGAGGACAAGAAAAACGGGGTGGCCATTGAAGAGGCGGATGGGTACGGGTTGGACAGCGCGGAAAAGCGGGAGGAGGAAAAACGGCATGTCAAATGCTTGATGCGCTTAAGAGACTGGGCACCTCCGCAAATGGGAACCAACGAGGACAGGGACGAGAGTGCTGAGGACCTCAGTTCGTTCGGGGTGGGTGGAGTAGGAGGTATTATAGACGGTTCTTCCCCTATAATCACGTCCACGTCCACCTTGGTGCGTCGACATCAAGTGCGCTATCCCGATCGCGATTACAGAGAAGATAGTCGAACTCGTCAGATAGTAACTGGTAAACAGCTCCCGCTCTTGGGCGTAGAATTAGTGTTGTCACTTTCTAATTTATTCTTGATGCGAATACTTTAATTAAATAAGTACAGATGGAGCAATTGAGTTTGACATTTGCAGAAGACATGGCGTGGCCGCACTGACATCAGCAGCACAACTATCTTTGTATTAACACAAACTAACAACTCAAAAAACCAGGTCGCGCGGCCACCGCTTCCTCCTCAAGCCGCGTGAAAAACCGTCAACCCGGTGGCATCCTGAAAAACGCGGGGTCGCCCCAAAGATTGCCGATGGGGTTTGCGTATCAAATGCAAAAATGTTGTCTGGGTCTGGAAGATTTTGAGATTTGTCATGCTTGTCTGGCATGACCAAAAAGTTTGTGATGCGTGTGCAAGAAGAGCCCCTTTTGCCTGTCATGCAAAAACGCAGTTTGTCATGCGAAAAACGCAACACAAAGAAGCGCAGATACTTGTTCTCATGCTTGCCTGTGCATCACAGAGCATTCACTATTCCCAACGCAGCATTACAAGTATCCAGACCCAGACATTTTTACACTTGATATTGCGAATGACGGGTACAAGACGAAGCGATTTGTTTCGGATGCGGACGAGATCGAGTCAGAGCTGGAAACGAGTAGGGAGCAAGACGAGGTTGGAAACGGAAGCAACAACCTTGTGGTAGAGGAGCAAAGTCACTACGACAATCGCGCCGAGGAAAGCGAAAGCAACGTCCAGTATGCGCAGGGACCCTTTGATGTCAACCCAGGCTCATCGACCAATCGAAAGAACCAGCAGCGCACTAGAAGAAATCGCAAGGGCAGCAGTCATATTGCAAATAACCCGTTTCACGCCGACCAAAGTGATGAAGATGACCGCTCCTATTCCCGATCTCGATCCCGCTCGCGGGACCGCGCGGGCGGGGCAGCAGCAGCGTCGAGTCGTGGCGGTGCTGTGTACTATCACAGTGGTGCGCCTGCTGCTCCGAAGAGAAGGGCATACACAAACAACCACAACAATCCCTTTGCTCAATTCTAAAGACGGAGTTTGTGGTGCGGTGAGTGTTGTATTAAAGCCCATACCGAAAAATATTCACATAGCACTCGAATCTACACCAGCGGAAAATGAATAAAGCATAATTGATTTTGCGTTCCAAAACGACAGTTGTGAACTACAACTCATTCCACATTCTACGCAGCGACCAAAAATGTGATAGGCAAGAAATGATGAAAAGAGTTTTCTCTGCAGTGATGTGTGAAACGAAGAGCAGATTCCTGTTCAGGGTGCGGACTGGGTGCAGTTTCTCCGCTGTTCATTTAGGGTTTTTTCTGATCTTCGGAATTATTTATGTCGGTCCATGTGATTGTCTTTCGTGACCAGGATCAGTCGTGAAGCAACCTGGTTTGTGCCCCCCATAGCGAAGATCTTTTGTTTCCTTGAAGAAGCAGCTTTTGTTTTTGGATAGGAGATTTCGCACATGAGACCTGCACACTCGCTTCCATGATTGGCTTTGCCGTAACCATTTTTTCTCAAGGATACCGATAGAGACGACATGTGTGTTTTCTTTCTGAAAGTAAGGCCAGGCCGCCCATGTCGTCATTGCGGGCACTAGTGTCAGAGTTGTGGTCACATTTGCTACTATTCTTGAGGTGGCCGCGGCTGTCGCGCTCCCTGCCCGCACAACTCATGGTCTGCGCGACCGGAGCAACGCTTGCGGGGGCGTTGCTCCTTGTTTGCGGGAGTGAAATGGTGCAGGAAGTGAAGGCCAACGAGGAGCACGCGCTCGAGTTCCACCAAGTTAGTAGAAGTGCGCGAGGGCATACACTAGCAGCCGAAGATGGCAACCTGGTCGGTGTACAACAACATCCTGGAGGCGAACAGTCGCAGCTGCTTTCCGACCGCGCTCCTGCGCCCAAAAGTGGTGGGGAGGTGCAGGACGAGCTACAGACTGGGGTCGTGGTGCCAGCATTTTTCCAGTACGAGACACGTGGGCCTCCGCTACTCGAGGACGGCGCGCAGTTTGATACAGTGGAAGAGTTTCTGCAGAGCAGTGCTGAGACACGGGACGCACCTGAAGAATTACCGGCTACGCGGGTCGGGAACGAGAAGCAGCAGGAACGCGAACAGACGAGAACTCCCCCTACCCCGTCCCCCACCGACGAAAGCGACGTCGATCGAAGGTCTGGGTAGAAACTCTGCGGACCACGAGCAGCGGGAGTGGCTTCAGATTGGAGCGTACCCTACATCGGAGAAGAGAAGCATGGCAGTGGGGGCCACTGCCACGGGAGCGCAGAAGGAGGAGCTACGCTTCCCAACGGAGCAGCAATTTCGCCAGATGCAGCAGAAGATGGCAATACTCGAGACGGAGATGCAGCAGAAGATTTCGACGCTCGAGACGGAGACGCAGAAGAAGATTGCAATGCTCGAGGCGAACGCCACTGCCTGCGCCAACAGCGTGACAGATGTGCGCCACGCCGGGGGAACCGTGGAGGAGCTGACTGGATTGCTGATGGTGCACACGTTCGGAATATGGCGGATGGATTACGTTGCCGCTGTGGTGTGCCTCCTTTCCGGGTTCGCGGCTGCGCTCATTGTCGTAGCGCTGCCCATTCGCTTGGTTTTTTTCCCAAGGGAGTACTGCCCAGAGGAAGAATCAGCGGGTGGCGAAGATGTCACTGCGGGGCCGCAGCAGGAAGCGACCGCCCTTGCAGGTGGTGAGCAAGCAGACCCTCTTTCGGCCGACCGCCTAAATCCACCATCGGCGAAGCGGGAAAAATACTGGTTGCTTCCATGGGATTTCGCCGAGCAAGGGACTTTGTCAAGTGTGTGCCAGCGAGGGGATAGCACGGAGGGCAAGATCTTTATTGCGGGATTGGTTATAGCCGAAATTTGCGCACTGCTCTCGCGCTACACGCTGATCGTGTACGATCACAATTGTAGCGGCTACGACACCGTTTTGGAAACGAAACTGGATGTCATATCCACCGAGCACATGATCGATCTGGCGCTTCGTGTCGTTTGGCTGATAGTTCCGTCCGTCCTTATGATCATCACGGCTGCCGTGCCGAGCAACAGTTTTAGGGCGAACGCTCCGAATGCAGCCCCGACGACGACGGCAGGAGATTCAGCAGGTTCGGGAAGGAGCACAGTCCGAACTCGTGTGTCGGCGATACACGAGGAAGATACCCGGATATGGTCGCAGGCGCTTCATACCACCGTATTGGCCGCGGTCGGGCTGCGATTGATTTTCGAAACGCGGCAGGTGGTCCGCGAGCGGGTCGACATCTCCGGTGCACTGTTTGGGGTGTCGGATCCGTTGGACGAGCAGGCGCTACACGAGTGGCGCACACACGGCGATTAGCGAGTGTCGATGCGATGCGCAAGGCCGGAGACCCGAACTGCCTGGGCGCAGGCGTATCGGGGCTGTTACTTGGGTCGGGTGGTGTCGCTCTTTCTCGGTTGGGGTTTTTCGCTACTATTCGCTGTCCTGGTCGCTTGCGTCCAGTTTCGACATGCGGAGGTCCGTCCAGCTGAGCACCGCCCGCACGCTGCGGCCTATCTCGAGGGCGGTCGCTTGGTTCCGCAGTCGGCGAGCCTGATGCTTCCGCGGCTTTCGTTTGCGACCGAAATTCTTGCCATGCTCACTGTGCAAGCGCTACCCTTCTGGCCCGTTATTCTGAAGCTAGTGCGGTATGTGGAAGGTGTTCCTTGGGTCACGCCACTGACACCTTTCGGGCTTTTGATCCAAAAGTCGTTCGGAATGACGTGGGAAGGCTATCCAGAGTGCGGCCACTACTTTGATACGGACAAATATTGTGAACACCAACACGACCACCTCCCGCACTTAGCACAGAGAAGCTCTATGTGGTGGGATTTCCAAGAGAAATAAAAGACACCATAAGGGCTTGAAATGAAAGAAAGTTTTGAAGATCTTCTGTGATGATGACTGGTCTTGAGTGGAGATTGATATTAGAAATAGGGAATAAGTTTGTCGTTGTTCAACAAGTTGATCCTAGGCCACTTCGTATCCAGGCTGCTGAGCCGCCGGTCTTTCAGTGGACCATTTGTATGCCTAGTTTCTCCTCGGCCGTGGGTACCGAGCCGCTTCTTCGGGAAACCCGAGCACCTGCCACCGTCAGACCGCTCTTCTCACTTTCGCGCCTTTTTCTCTGATTTAAGTAAATAAACCGTGTCTCGGCCGTTTTAGGTCGTAGGATCGGCAGTTTACAACCATCTCGGCGCGGCTTGTATGCCATTTTTGTTTTTGATATTTTGTAGCATTCAAATGTTACCACGACTTACCGCACTGCAGAAAATGCAAGTATGAGTCTTTGGCTAAGGGTTTGGTGTGCTGAGAGGGGTACGGACTGGGAATTGCTTCTTCCCAATCAAATAAATTGAAATTGTTGCGTCTCGTGCCTAACTACCCTATGATCTGATTCTTGTCGTATATCCTCAAAAGAGCTCCCAAGGCTGCAGAAACCAGGTAGGTCTACAACTCAGTATGACGCGTAAATGTGTCAAGCCCTACTCGTGCGGAAAGTCGGTTTCTTTGTTTCGATCCCTGAGCAGATCCTTGACATTGGTGCACGTACAAATTGGATGTCTACTTTCTGCATTATTTTGTCTCGATGTGTTGTGTCTCTATGAACAATATGTGGCTTCTCTGCATTTTTACGTTCATGCGAAAGCCACAAAGGCGCTGTTACTTCGTTTCGAAAAGGAGCAGCTGTTTGCAGACGGGCAGAGCGGCGTGAGGCACGCCCATGAAGAAAGTCCAACCGAGTTCTTCCACGCCACATCGTCCGTGGCTCAGAGCGGAGTGCTTATCAATCATGACGGAGAACCATCCCAACAATTCTTGTCCCAGCACCCGGAGGTGTTCGTGGTTTCGCTCGCTGCAGAGGCAGGGGGAGAGCTTGATGCCGAAGGTGACAATGAAAATTATACTCCGTCGGCAGGCGGACGTGGAGGAGCTGGAGCAGCGCCAGGACTACAACATGCAACTACCGATCCCGCGGTGCAAGAGTATGCCTACTACAAAACGCTTCTCGAAGCGGCCACTGCCTACGTCTTCAATGCCTTCCACCGGGAAGGGGAAGAGAATGCGGTTTTCCAGGGAACCACGTACGCCTACTCAAAAGCGGTTCCAATCCACACGGAAGAAGAACTGCAGCAGCAACTACGAGCACACCGGCACCACGGCGGTCGTGGAGGTGGTGAACACGGAAGATCCTTGTCCCCAGCAGATGATTGGGGCGAGCTCCGGCACAAATTTGTTCTTAGCCAACAGTCGCCAAACCGGGGCCAGAATAGGACGCAAGTGGAAGACGTGGAGGATGTTTTGCAAAGTTCTGTCAGGCACAAGTTCATCTTTCCCAAATTCGTTGGCGTCTTGCCCGTCTACACAGCGAGCTGCGGGATAGAAACTTCAGCTGGTGGTGCTAGTGGCACGACAAGGACAACTTCTAGTACCGAGATGAATTCTGACCAGCGGCAAGAAGATCAAGTAGACCCGGTACTCGCAGAGCACTTACGGAAGAAACTCCACCACCTACTCAAATTCTTCGCCGACATGTACAATATGCACTTTTACCTCAGCGTGGACGTAAAGCCCGCGCTAGAAATAACAAAATCCTCTTCCTTTGAAGAAGTGCCACTGCCATCAGAAGTACTATCAACATTCTCCTGCCCGACAGCGACCACGAACCGCAACACGAAACTCTGGCAAGCGATTCGCCTCGTCGACGCCACCGACTTGGTCCGGTCTGGGAAAACCTTTGGGTTTTTGGCGGTGCAGAAGAAAATAGGGGATATCAGAAATTTAGGAAGAGAGATACAAGATTCTCTGACCACCCAAAACCCGTTTCTCCGCAATGGGCAGGGCGCAATAAAGAAGCACCTTTACGACTACAGCAACGTCCGCGCTATGAGACTGGAAGTCGACGAAAATGGCAATGCGGACGAATCGATGGTCGACCCTTTCGCTTGCCTCACCGATTTTCCGTTCCCACTAGTGCTGGCCGCGGCCGCGCAGGGCGGCGATTGGCCGGCGTTCGAGCACTGGGCGGACCACCAGGGGCACCAACCGTTCGGGCCAGGCGAAAGACTGCCGCAATTGACGAGCACGTTTTTTAGGAACGAAACATTTCACAATTTAGGCTTGGAGGAATTCGCGGTGGCGGACTTGCGGGAGTCTCTCCTCGCCCACCCGAAGAAAGTTCTGCAAGACGAGCGGTTCCTATCAAATGCAAAAATGTCTGTGTCTGGAAGATTCTCAGATTTGTCATGCATATTTTCCATGAGCCATGACGTCTGTGATGCATGCCGTAGCATCACAGATTTTTAGAGGGCTTTGCGATACCTCTACCGCATGAGAAATGCCCTCTCCGCGTAGCACAAAGTGGAGTCCTCTTGCTGGTCTTGCAATACAAATTTTTTTAGAATCCAGAGACAGCGTCACAAGTTTAGAATGTTCCAGACCCCGACATTTTTGCATTTTATAGTTCCGGTTCTGGGACAAAATCACGCGGGTGTTTGACTACTTCGAACTGGCGACCAACGCGAAGTGCCCACTGGCGGGGGTGTATCAAATGTAAAAATGTCTGGGTCTGGTGGAAACTTGTGATGCTGGGTGGCGTCTCATGATGAGGCTACAGATGCTGGCTCAGCATGACAAGTTTCTGAGCTTCTAGGTGTTGCCTATTCTGCATGACAAACTGCGCTTCTGCATCACAGAAAAACGGAGCTCTTGGGTAACGTGCATGACAGATAGATTTAAGAGTCATGCCAGACAAGCATGACAAACATGAATTCTTCCAGACCCAGACATTTTTACAGTTGATAGGGTGGTGTTCCGCTCGATGCAGTACACGATGCCGGAGTTCGAGTTCATGCTGCCGCTGTACTATCAAAAGGAAAAATACCCCCTTCCCATATCGAAAAGGTATGTTGCCGAAAATTTGTGTTGCTGATTTGAGGTCACAAATCACCTCTGTCTTGCAAGAAGACAAGGGCAGAAGCTTCCGCCCCATTATGGAAGCGATTTGTCATGCTGTTGGGCCTAAAGCTGAGCCGTTTGCCATGCTGAACAACTAGACCCCTACGCCCCTACCTAGCTTGGGGATCTGGCCGCAATGCCTCTCTGCAATACAAACCTGATTTGTGTACACAAATCCAGCATTAGAAATATCGTTTTGATATGGGGAGGGGGGATGTTTCCTTTCGATATGTACCTGTTCATCTACATGCCCTACAGCTACGACTTGTACGGGCAGTACCTGTACTATGGAAGCGTCAGGATTGAAATCGACAAAGTTGAAATGATTTGTCATGCATAAAATGCAAGGCATGGAGTGCCTGTCTTGCCGGGATGGCAAGTGAGGCCGATTGTGAGCCTGTTTAGGGTTTGAAATAGAGCTGCTAAAGTAGCATGGCAAAAGACGCCTTCTGACCCTAAACAGCATCACAAACTGGATTTGGACGGTCCCGAAATTTGTCATGCACCGCTTGGAAATTAGGCTTCCAACTGGTATCGATTTTATGCATTACAGGTTATTTCAACTTTGTCGATTTCAAATCTGACACTTCCATATGTACGAAAAGATCATGGACCGACTGCTGGTCTTGCCGCCTCCATCCAAATTGATGCCACAGCAGGAAGTGGAGGACCGGGTAAACGTGATTAGCCGGCTCGTCGTCACCAAGGACGTCGGCGCGGTGGTGACCGGAAAGGGGTGTAAGTTGCGCAAGGAACAACAACGCCGAGGATCTGTCGGAACTTCCACAACAAGTCCTGAGGACGAGGACCACATCAAAACCGAGAGGGCATCATTTTCCTTTGCCGACTTCGCAAAAAACCGAAAGAATATTAAGCTGGATCCAGAGGAAGCGCTACGGGAGTTTCTCGAAGAGAATAAATCTTCGAGTGAAGAAGATTACTCCTCCTCTACAAGAATTTCATCTCGTCCCAGGGGCCAGGAACAACAAGAGCTGTTCGACTGCTTAAGCGACGAAACCCAGGTGCAGTACCTGTACAAGCCCGAAGAAGAATCTCCAGCAGCCCAGGTGGTCGAGCTCGCGATCGGTGGCGACCTGGCAAGTGCGATTCACGCACAGTGCTTGAGCAGAGCCCTGGTTTTGCTGGAGGCAGCCGGGATGGCGTGGTTCCTCTTCGCCTACATAGCCATGAAAGACAAGGCGTTCGCCCACTACCAGAAATGGCGCGACCAGGTCTGCATTCCGGCACTGTTGCGGCAGAGTGAGATGAAAAAGGGCATCGATTTGCAGAAATTGCAGAAATATAATCCGGCTGATGTGCATCATGGCGAATTTGTAGAAGATGGAGAACTTCTACGCTCAGATGACTCGACAACACTGAAGGAACACGAACAGGAAGTGGAACAACCCGACACGTTGCAAAATGACCGTACCACAGCTCCGGATCAACCTACTTCGCAGTCCAAATACAAGGCCTCCATCCGGCCGCGGAAGAAGCGCAGTGTGACCAGCGAGAAAAAGATCAATCCAGCGAAGCCAGCACTTGTTGCAGAAACTGAAACGAGCGTCGACAAGAACCAGTCTTCGAAAGGAGACTCTTCAAGCACACAGCAAGAGGAACCTGCTGCTGCGGAGAAAAGGAAGCTTGTCCCAAGAAGTAAAGAAAAACTACGCCGGGTAGCTGCAGCTGGTGCAGCTGTTAACCCAGAAGTATTCGCCGTTCAGGAGAAAATTCTCACCTCTCCCACCACGCTCCACTTAGGTTCCTCTGCCAGCATGCTGAATCTGCTACAGTGGCTGATGTTGTTCTTTTCCCAGATTCTCGGCAACAGCTTCTTCCGCAGGGAGAGACTAAACGCTTTGGTCATGGCGGGGGGGAGCGCAGCAAAAACATCCCGGCACGACGACGACTGGAGCCATACGTTTGAATTGGCCGCGCAGGCGGTCTATGAAATGCAAAAATGTCTGGGTCTGGAAACTTGTGATGCTGTGTTGGGAATAGTGAATGCTCTGTAATGCGCAGCCAAGCATGAGAAATATCTGCAGTCCTTTATGTTACGTTTTTCGCATGAGAAACTGCGTTTTTGCATGACAGGCAAAAGGGCGGAAAAGGGTCTCTTCTTGGACACGCATCACAAACTTTTTTGTCATGCCAGACAAGCATGAGAAGCCTGGATTCTTCCAGACCCAGACATATTTGCATTTGATACGGTCGGGCTGTTCGATTCGATCATGCGCAAAACCGTGCCCGTATCCTGTGCAAAAGTATCGTATTCGTATAAATGCAAGTCTTGCATCACAAATCTTTCCTTGTTGCCTGAGATCCAACAAATCTAGAATAGGGGGAGCTATGCCGTAGAGTAGAAGATGCGATAATTCACAATCATTTTACCACCACTGACACCACGTCGGTATCTCCCCCGACTCCCTGAAGAGGAGTTTCGAAAGAAGTAGATAAACACCCGAGCGTGGCGGGTCCGCTGTGCCTCCCTTTATAGTAGCCTACTAGATCTCAGGCCCCCCTTTACACTAGCCGAGATCTCAGAACCAGCGCCCCGTGCTGCCGAGTACCCCTCCTAAAAATGACCTCCTCCCCGCCCGGACACGGTGCCTGAATCCTGCAGCAGTCGTCCACGCACCATCCTGCGCAGCAGCAAGGTCCTCGCTTAGCCTGACGGGCATGGGCAGCAACTTCTCCATGTTCGCGGCGTCGCCGTTTACCGTCCTGCGGGTGTCCTGAGGAGCGGTAAATAGTAGTCGTGCCGTACAACCGCAATCCGGGGAGGCGAGAGTCGGCTACCACAGAGCGGAATGGAACGGTAGGAGTCTCCTCAAATGCGGCAGGGCTAGAGGAATTTTCAGCGGTAAGCCCAACAGGCGGCTTACTCCCGTAGCACTCAACAACAGATGTGTAGGGGCACTCAACAACAGAAGCGTTGCTGCAAATTCCTCGGCCCCAAGCATTTGCCCCAGCGGCGACAGCCAGCGAAGTGGTAGAAGGAACGAGTGGCGCGGCGGATAGACCAGCGGCAAGGACACGCCAGAGCCCGGCAAAGGTCTCTCGTCCCCCCCAGTCCACAGAAAGGGCCGCAGTTCTTCAATTTCCGCATCTATGTCCTGTAGTTGCACTGCGTGGAAGCTCTAAAACGCCCTTGCTGTAGATCTACGAGATCACCATACGGCTTGGGTCTGTTAGCTTCCATACATTGATCTCATTGTATAGCAGGTTTCTGGGGGTCTGTGTAATCCAATCACGGATTCCCTGTCTGCTTCTATTACAGTTGTGAGCGCAAAGTATGGTCAGAAAAATATAAGAGTGCCCGGGGATGAAGAAATACTCGCGATGTTTTCGCGGTTCTGACCCTATGCCGCTCCAGCGCCTGCGGAGGCTTGCTTCCCCAGTGATAATGGACAATGGCAATGTCGGTGCGGTTGTTTTAGCATCACAAATCTTTCCTTTAAGTTGTATCAGCATTACAAATTTTATTTCTCATGCTGAGAAAATTTGTAATGCATTTATACGAGTACGATGCATACTTTTGCAGTTCATAGCCCGCCGGGAATCCGAACATTAGCAGAGTTGCCGTCCGGGATATCATTCTCGACAAGAAAACGGTGGCGGCGTGGAGAAGGCGAAGGCGAAGGCAAACGAAAACTTCAAGTATCAATGTCGAGGACGAGAAACACGACAACATTTCAGCAGCACAAAAAGGCACACATCCAGATCCACCACCGTCAGCAAATAGAAAGAGTCAGCGGGAGGTGAGCAAGAACGAAGATGACGACTTCGCCCTGCAAAGCGTCCTGCGCAACGATGAGGTGATGACCACGTGTCCGGTAGTTTCAGACCAACTCCTCGGGCAGGCGGTCAGCATGGTCAAATCGGATGAAAATCTTGCCAAAGCCAATCTCGACCACAACTTCGAAAGCTGCGTCCTCTGGGACCAGTACCGCTTGTGTGGTGGCCCGTTGCGCCTGCCGGTGGAAGGCTACCCGAGCGAGCTGATCCTGCTGGGGCTGGGAGTCGGTAAGGTCGTAGATTTGAGAAGGAGGAGAGTAGTTCCGACAGCTTCTGCCGACGCAGGAGTTGTAGAGACCACTTCACCACCCTCCGAAAATAAATTTGTTCTCGAATTCGCCCTTCGTTCCGTGAACGGTGCGGCGCAACTGTCCATCGAAACCCCCTCCCGGTGCGAATTGCTCTACGGTGCAGGCTACCACCGGGCGTGGCTGGAGAACACGGCGTGCTCGGTCATCAAACACGAATCTTTCGTCAACGAGGTGCAAATGCGCAGGTTCTTTCCCCGAGCCAGTCTCCCCGGGTTCGTGATCCAGTGCGTTATCTCCACCAAAACCTCGGAAATCGCGCGAAAATTGGCGAAGAAAGACACGCAGTTTCTCTCCATCGACTCCTTCAGCCTGACGTTTGAATACAGTGGGGTGCAGGGCCACCACGTGAAGCTCTTTCTGCATCAGCTGGAAAAGTTGAACATTGTGAAGCAGAAGCTCAAGGAAACGGATCCGAACTACCTGTCGAAAGTGTTGGACCAGAACAACTTCGGCATGATGAGCGACCGGATGACCACCCTGTTCGCTGTGCCGGTATGCCGGATAGCAGAACCACCAGACGAACCTGGATTATTAGACGAGGGAGATGCAAGAAAGAGGAAGAAGGTGGTGATCAAAACCGCTGCTGACGTTTTCCGCCCAGCCTTTGACGTTTTATGGAGCCGAGCGATGGAATTGGAACATCAAACGACATCCGCTAGTAGTAGAAAAGGCAGCATGTTGACTAGTCCGAAGAGTATAATTGACAAGCAGCACTTGGAGTTCGGCACCTGCCTGCCAGGGTTGTTCGGACTCCGCAGAGCGGGCATTTTCCAGCAGCAGGGAGTGTTGCTGAACCAGTGGACGGAAGTGCAGAAAGCGCAAATCGCCCCCCGGCAGATCTCCATGTACGAGCTCGGTCCGCCGGACACGGCCAGGCCGGACCTGGAAAAGCTGCGAGAGATCTTAGGGGAAGATGACGCAGCCGCGTCCCATGAACTTCCACATGATGTTGACAATGACAGCACGTCGAGTGATTCGAAAACGAAAAATCTTCGGCCACAGATGAACCATCAGCAAAGCAAAATGACTAAGGTCGAGAGCTTCTCGCTCTACCGCGTGGCGCCGGAGCTGATGACTCTGTACTGTGAAGACCGGATCAACAGCGCGTCTATGGAGTGGGACCTGGTCGCCGCGCAGGGACTCGTGAACACGGCCTGCCTCTATCGGAATCGCCACGTGGACTGGCTTCTGTACACGGATCTGGACGAGGCAATGGTCCCGGGGAGCCGGTACACGTGGGATGAAAATGATCAAAGCACAAAAAATAAAGTCGTAGCTGAAACTATTGAGAGGAAAAATCCCCCCTCCCCATATCGAAAAGGTATGTTTCCGAAAATTTGTCTTGCTGATTTGAGACCACAAATCACGTCTGTCGTGCAAGAAGACAACTCCGCAGGCTCTGCCGCATTATGCAGGCGGTTTGTGATGCTGTTGGGCCTACAGCATAGACGTTTCTCATGCTAAGTGCCTAGGCCAAAACCTCTCTACTCAGGCTTGGCAGGAGCCTGCAGTCCTCTACTGCAAGACAAACCTGATTTGTATACGCAGATCCAGCGTCAGAAACTTCCGTTTGATATGGGGAGGGGGGATTTTTCCTTGTGATAAAAACTACTGCACAAACCCGCCCAACTACTTTTCACGAGCGCTTTCGCACCTACTTCGGCACTATCAAATGCAAAAATGTCTGGGTCTGGAAGATTCCGAGACTTGTCATGCAGATTTTCCATGATCCATGTCATCTGCAATGCAGAACCTAACATGACAGATTCTGCGGGATCCCTATCATGCCTATCCTGCATGAGAAACTTCCTCTCAACTTCGTCAAAAGCGGGCAACTTTTGGCATTCTTGCAACACAGATTTTTGTATGATCCAGAATTAGCATCACAAGCTTCAACCTTCCAGACCCAGACATTTTTACATTTGATAGGCACCACGCCCGTCGGGTACGCGGAGAGGAAAACGGCGGAGTGCAAGATTCCCCCAGGAGTCTTTTCAGGCTCTACTAGTAATGACGCTCCTGCTGTCAACGTGGCATCAAGAGCTGCATCTTCAGCCGCCCAACCGCACCAAGAAATAGGTTTCGAGTCCGCCATTACCCTCCCTCGGCCCGTCACCTCCGGCGTCTACATCCAGGAGATCACCTACGGCGGCCCCGATGACTTGCAGCCGCTGTTTGTGGAGAAAGTGGAGCAAATTCCGGACGCGGAGACCAAGGTTCTGACCGACTTTGACGTCGTGTCGGAAGTCTGGCCAACGCCCTGGGACCGCTGGTCCTTCCGCCTGCCGATCCCGAAAACGCCGGTGCGGGAATTCGTGTTTCCCCGTGGGCCGAAAGTAGAGGATGAAAAAACGAGTCTGGAGAAGTTTGGCAGCAAGACTGGAAGCAGTTTCCCGCACGGACACATGCTGCTGAACATGATGAAGCGGGAATTCGGCGAGCCGTATTCCGTCCAAACGGTGATGCAGACGACGGGGGGCGAAAAAGCAAATATCCTCTCCGAAACGACGCACGAGGACGGCGTGCCGAGGTTTGTTTTTGAAGATCCGGAGAGGATGTTCCATGACGGCGTAAGTAGTACCAATATAACCCAGGGCGGTGTATGCCATCTCAGCCGCGACCGCGTGCACCAGATCGGCCTGGAAAAGTTAGAGAACGGAAACAAATTGGCAGGCGAATTTCTCCAGAGCCTCACCGTCATTGCTCCGGATGAGTACCGCCCGATCAAGGAGGCCAATGCCGCGGGGAGCCGCAAAAGCATGAAGAGCACCGCCGTGCGCCCCGGGGAGATGCTGCTGGTCGGGCAGCGGTGCATGCGCGGCCGGGTCGGGACGCAGTTGCACATCAGTCGCATGGCCGATTTGAGCATCCACCACTACCGCTACGCGATGAGCCGCCCCGCCAGCGATTTTGCAAAGAAAATCAATGTGATACCCAGCCTGGAGGAAAAAGCGAAGATCGATCGGGCGAACAGCGTCGAAGAGGTCTACCCATCCAAGGTGCACGACCCAGCGGCGACTTTGCGGCTGCACACGGTATTCGACCCGGTGTTTGCACAGCAACTCAGCCGGGAGGAGGAGTATGGGAAAAAGATACAGATAGCTGGGAAAAGCAAAAGCGATGTGTTGAAAGAACCAGAAATTATATCCACAAGAAGTACATCAACAACGACCACAAGTACGACGGCACTACATGAAGAGTCTTCGTCCGCCCGCGCCGAGTCAGAATCTTCTGCAAATAAGCCGGAAGATCTTCATGGGAGTACTTCTACCTCCGTACCTCACTTCAGCTGCACCGAGGTGGTCGCTTCTGACAGCTACCTGCAGAGAACACTGGACATCTTCCTCAGGCCCGACGATGAGAATGATGAATCTTTAGACATCGTTGACACAGGAAGGGCGTCCCGTCTCGAGCGAGAAAAGGAGGAGGAGGAAGTTTTCCGGGGTTTAGGGCTGTGGTTGAAGCGGGTACTGAACCTCGACGAAGGCCCGATCTCCTTCAAGCGGTTTTTGTCTTTGGTGTACGACAACTTTGTGGAGCTGAAAACCGTGCCGAATCTAGCTTTCGAAACGCAACGGTACGACAAGAGAAAAATCCCCGGGATCATCGACGGGAGGACGCCGACACTGCGGGACGGCTTGGTCCGGCTCGTTTTCAGTAACAAGTGGCGGAAACTGATCAAAGTCGTGGCCGAAGCGCTGGCGGTTCCGTGGCAACACCACGTCGCGTTACACGACAACGCCGTCTTGGAAGACCGGCATAAACTCTTCGCGGAATATATCAAATGCAAAAATGTCTGGGTCTGGAAGAATGCAACTTGTGATGCTAACTTTGGACTCTAAAAAAATCTGTATGGTATGACCAGCAATAGGAGCCCACTTTGTGCTACGCGGGGAGGGCATTTGTCATGCGGGATAGGCATCAGGAAGGCCTCTAAAAATATGTGATGCCAGATCATGCATTACAGACATCTTGAGTCATGTAAAATATGCATGACAAACCTGGCAACCTTCCAGACCCAGACATTTTTACATTTGATAGAGTACGAACGGGGGGACGTGGCGTTTAAGGACAAGGACGAGAATATGAACTGCAAATATGTCTGGGTCTGGGAGATTGCGAGATTTGTCATGCTCGTGTGGCATGACTCTAAGCTCTGTATTGCGTGCCCGCGAAGAGGTCCTGGTCCTATTGTGTGTCATGCAAAAACGCAGTTTCTCATGCGAGATACGCAGCACAGAAACACGAAAAAACTTGTAATGCTTGGCGGCGCATTACAGAGCACTTTATTGTTCACGGACTTGCATCACAGGTTTCCAGACCCCGACATTTTTGCAGTTGATAGCGAACTTCCTGATCCCGATCCTCTACCTGGCGAACTTGCAGGATTTGAACCTGAAATCGGTTTCAGGGCCAAGGGCCTTAAAGGATTACCGCAAGCTGGTCAGCATCGAGCAACGAAAATACTGGACGCGGAATTTCGTCCGGGACTGTCAAAACGCGTTGCAGTTGAACTTCCTCAGCAAGACAAGCGGTAGAAGTACGACAGCTGGTGCGGCGCAAGACCTTCTCAAGAGTACTGCCATCATTGCTTCTTCTGACCAGGACGAGACTACTAGCAAGGGAGCTGCAAGTGGTCATTTTCAAGACGACGAACAGCGGCTCACGTCCTTTCAAGTAAAACATCTTCGGGACGACAGCCACATCTACCCGTCGCTGCGCAAGCTCTACCTCCCTGCGTACGCGACAAAGGAAGAAGGTACTAGTGCGACCTCGTCCTACTCCTACGGGTTGAACTATGTCCATCTGCGGCCGCACATCCTGGGCTACAAAAACGACACCACCGACGCGGAGAAGAAGCACCACGAGGAGCGCATGGCGGAGCTGCAGCAGGCCGGGCGAAATTCGCAGGGGGACTACGCCATCAACCTCGCGTCGGCAGATAAGCTGCTGGAAGAATTGAGCAGTATCGAAGAAATCTACGCCGAGGCGGAAGGGGATCCGCAGAGGATGGCCACCGGCTACACCGAGGAGCAGCAGTCGCTGCTGCAGCTGTTAGCAGACCGGGTGTTCACGCAGCTGCAGACGTCCGCGCCCAATTACAAGTCCGAATTTCTCGCGACCTTTCCCGTGTCCCCGCCAGACATGGAGTTCTACCGCTGGCCGGACTGGTGGCAGGCGATGGACTTCAACATCACCAAGGAGGCATACTACACAAGTGCTTCCAGAAGTAGTGCAGTAGAGCTTGATGTTCCAGCAGCTTCTACCTCCCAACCCGTGTGCCACCTCCGGGTCGCTCTTCTTGCCCGTGCGGAAGAAGTGTTAGCGTGGTACCTAGAGGAAACCATGCAGCGCACCGAGATGTTCCAGTCCCAAGTCAACCGGTTTTCGCGCCTCGCGTATTACAATGAAAAATGCCCCCACCCCCGAACTTGGGAGCATTTGTATTGCAAACCTTTGCAAATGAAACATTCGCCCTCTTGCATCTATCAGCATCACAAATTTCCAATCGTGAATAGAAAAAATTTGCATTGCGCAAGATCCCAGCAAGAGCGGCGCTTGTCATGCAAGCAATGCGATATACGGCGAGACTCTGCATCAGAAAGATTCATAGTCCTTTCATGCATGACAAAAAGTTTTCATTTGGAAACTTTGCATCACAAATCATTGCAACTTTGGGGGTGGGGGCATGTTTCATTGTAATGTCGCACTGAACCACATGCACGTCCGCCCATCTTCGGTGGACGACCCGATGCTGCTGCTTTTTTACTACCTGCTTTCTGACTATGGGAGTGTCAGGATTGAAATCGTCAAAGTTGAAATGATTTGTCATGCATAAAATGCGATACAAAAAGTGACTCCATTGCAGAGAACGCACGGGCGGCGGATTATAGTCCTGGTAAGGGTCAAGAGTTGGACTGCTGACTAGCATGACAGAAGGTAGCTCTTTTGCCCTAAACCGCATGACAGACTCGCTTCCAGGACCAGGAAAATTTGTCATGCACCGACTACAAACTGTGGGTCTAACTGGTATCCGTTTTATGCGTGACAAACTATTTCAACTCTGACGATTTCAAACCTGACGCTTCCATACTGACGCGTTGTTCCCACTGTTGTACGCTTATAACCGGGAGCACCGGCTGGCGTTTGACCAAGTGCACCGGCACTACCTCCGGGAGTTTGTGCTCACGAAGGAAATGGCGAAGGGGTACTGTACTTGATCGATGAATAGACACGAGCAACAACATGCCAAACTTTTCTTGGTTTAATGCGCTTGGCTCGTTCCTACGGAAGGAAAAGGATAATCAGATGCGTGTGCCGCGTTCACGACCGTGGTCTCCGTCTTTGCCTGTCTACTTTTAGTCAAAGTAAAAGCGTAGGCCTTAGTGGAAGTGAAACAGAAATAAAAAACAGGTTTGGTGTCCTCTTCGATGAGGGCGGCGGCGGGGGCAAGTGGTTCGAGTCGGAAAATGCACAGGGCGCACAGGCGAAGTTGGGACGGGTGTACGCGCGGGTGTCGAATGATCCCAACCGGTTCATCAAGGTTATGAAGTTTTTTTTGTTCTTGAAGCTGGTGCAAATTGACAACCGCTGCGTGATGCAGAGGTGGATGTACAAACGCGTCACGAGCTCGTTTCTTTAGGTCACAAGATTTGCATTTCATAGACACTTAATATCACATTCACACTAACACTTAATGACAATGATTCGGATTCTTTACCATTTCGGAGCTCGATTTGGTGAAATGTATGAGAATAAAAACTACAAATAATATGGATTTTTGAGTCGAAACTTCATTTCGCTAGTCTCGTCTTTCTTTCACTCTGCTGCTGACCTATCTTCTTTGGCGATTATCAAAAATCAAAGTGAAAAATAAGATTATGATTGAAACGAAAATCACAGATACAGATGACATGTTGAATCTGGAAAAACAACATATGTGGCAAAAATGTTAAGCATAAATAATGGAAATATTTTCACTTTCAGAATATTGCGACTCAGAAGGCCATGATATCGCATGTGAAAGTTCATTGACCAAGTATGTAATTTGAAGTTCTCTAGCAGGTATGGGCGCAAGAAGCGAAAGTTACCAAGGCGAAAGTTGTGGAGCAAAAAGTAAAAGAGTGATTCAGGCACCCCGATGATCAAATCAACACCATCTTCATCCGAGGTAGTTTCGACAATGAGCTTGACTTGTTATCACATTGCAACCTGTTGTGTCGGACGTTTATAGATTTATGTGTAGAGTATAAAGTTTATTCATTGCACTCTACAATCAAAATGGTCTCCTCTGGTGGCAACAGTAGCTCCTCATCCTCCCACAGCAGTGCCACAACAGCTCTGTTAGGGTTCGCGACTCTTGCGCTCGCGGCCGCTTCCGTCTCGTACTGGCAAGCCAGGAAACAGCGGCGAAGGAGACGAGCAAAGGGCGAGGACGAGGACGGGGAAAGAACCGAAGACGAGGAGAACTCCGAATTCGCCCTTCTTCCGTCGTTGCGCAACCGCCGTTCGGTGTTCCCGAAAGATTATGTGCAAGGCGGAAAACCCGCGGAACCCCGCGTCGTTGAATCCTTGCTCCAGGCGGCCATGTGGGCGCCCTACCACGGTCCGGTTCCGCCCTGGCGTTTCGTCGTCTTGGGAAAGGACGCCATGGTCGAGATGCAGCGGCTCACGCTGGCGTTCTACGACCAAAATTGGCGCGAGGCGGGGTTTCCGGGTGCGAACAAAGTTCCCGCCGGACAGGAGAGAACCGAGGCGGACTACGAGAAGTGGCGCGAAATGACCGAGGGCGAGATTTCCCGGCGCTGGGGGCCGGTGTCCTACATGATCGCCATCGTCATGCGGCGGCAAGCCAGTCCGAAGAAGCGCATGCAGGAGTGGGAAGAGGCGGCCGCAACGGCCTGCGCAGTGCAGAACATGCACGTGCAAGCGACCAAATTTCCCAGTCTGGCCTGCTACTGGAGCTCGTGGCACGGCGCCGCGCGAGACAGCGCGGAGATGGCCAAGTTTCTCGGCATGGAGGACCCGGAAGACAAGTGCTTCGGCTTTTTCATGGTCGCCTCCTGCCGCGAACAGTTGCCCGACCGCAGGCGGCGGAAGCCAGCAACGCACCTAGCCGCAGAGTGGCGAGTGTAGAAGTGACCCTGCTTTCTGCCCTTCATGATCCCCGTGCTCGCTTAATAAAGTGGTTTTTTTTTACCGGTTGTATAAAGGTCGATGTCGTCCTCGCGCCATGTCTTGAGTCTCTATGCGACCCGACTACATTGTACTAGTAAATACAAATAGACATAGATGAAAAGTGGGTTCTCTGGATGCCCGTTTGAAGATTTCAGTTTTATCAACATAGTGGTTTCATCATCATTTGTATTTGATTACTGGTTTTGGTCCGGCCCCCCACGTGGATAAAGGAAAAGCAAAAAGTGAGAGTGAGTAGCCAAAATTGGATGAGTATCCGGATCCAGACGGGGGTCGTGCTGCTACTACACCGCCGTAGTGGGAGGGGGATTCCACTTTCGAATGCCCCACAGTCGTTGTTCGTCGACCCAATTGATTTACAATCGCACAGACAGCCGCCCTTTCCTCGACACAGTTGATTAGAAATGAAGCAAAAGATGAAGCTCGAGGTTGAAATTTATGTACGAGTTGCTATAACGACATCGAGAGTGGCAGTGGACAACAGCGAAAATGAGAGATGAAAATTGGACTGTGAACTAGCGTATTGTTATAGCTGTACGAGAAGTACTGAGATAAGTATGATCCAGTGTGGTGGACAAAAAGAGCATGCGTTGTTACTGCCTAAGCCTAGTTTGTCAGTTTTTTCATCCATAACCTGTTCGTTAATTTTTCCGGGTGTTTTTGTCCATCTCGTACTCGTTCTCGAGGCAGTACATCAGAAGCAGAGGTAGTTGCTCTCTCCGTGGAAATAGACGGACCACTCTTCTTTCGTCTAGTATAACACAGCGGGATCTGTTTCTCCCAGAAAGAAGGCATCAAGATGACGCCCTCCCTCCTGTCCGACCCTGGGACCCAAAGCATCTTGCCGTTTCTCGGCCTGGTCGTGGCCGTCGCGGCCTTGTCGTGGTGGTTTGTGCGACAAATTTTGCTGACCCAAACCGCTCCAAGCCTTGCAGCGCAAAATCTAGCGACGGATTGTTCACCGGCAAAGATGTCGTCCGCGACTGCCGGAAACTTGAAGAAACCCTTCCTGCAAGAACCGTTAATTGAAAACAACAACAAGGAGTCGGGCTATCCCCGGGCCGAGCGTAGTTGCACACAGCTAGACCACCACGACGATGACGGCAAACATGACGCAGGAGGCGCTACCACAGCGACCTCCGTTCTTTACGACCACCTCGGGCGTCGCTTGAACGTCGCACGAACAACATCAACCGGGAACAACAACAAGTTCTTTGAGGACACCTCGCTCGGGAACCTGCTGGAGGTGCACAAGGCCTTGTGGCTCCCGGTCGCGATACTCTGCATGCTGATCACTGACAACTTCTCCACCCGTCCGGCGCTCATGGCGGGATTGTTCGGGGCGTATGGTGTGAACTGGGTACTGAAGAGCAATTTGTTCCCGGACCTGCAGTTCTACAATTCGGAGAAAGCGAAGATCCAAGGGATTCTTGACTACGTCGGCAAGTTTTGTCTTATCGGCGTTTACTTCCTGTACCCGATCGTGAGCTGTTGCGAGAACAAGAGCGAAAATGAGCTGTACCATACGGGAGCAGAAGATGCGAAGAGTACGGCTGCATCCAGTACAAGTTCGTCGTCTTTGCCGGCTGAGCATCTTGCAAACCAGCAGCAAGTGGGACGCGACGAAATTACCTGGCTCGAAATCACCGTTGGTTGCCTTTTCTTCTCGGTTGGCAGCTTCTTTCACTACGCCGCGGACGCGCAGAAGTACTTTCAGCTGAAATACAGCCCGGGGAGATTGATCACCGACGGATTTTTCTCCGTCGTCCGCCACCCGAGCTACTTTGGCGAGATCTTGATTTGGTTGGGAATGACGGTCGTCGCGGGCGCCACGAATCTGTACGCGTGGATCCCGGTGGTGTGGCTGTTGGTCATTACGGTGGTGGTCGGAGTTCCGGAGAAGGAACAGTCTTTGAGCCGCTACGGAGAGGAGTTTGCGGAGTGGAAACGGAAGGTCCCGATGCTGGTGCCCGGTGCTGGGTGGCGGTCGTGAAGACGCAGCGCTGTTTTGCAGAGCGATTTTTCTTTGATGCGGGATGTTTATCTTCACTCAGATGCAGAAGATGGAGATGCAGAATGGGATGGAAAAAGTTTTTTGAGTTGATTCTTTGATTTCTCTGTTAAAAATACAAATACAATAGCGTTTATGTGCCTTCTGCGGAGGTTTTCGAAGGAAAAAATGAATGATTTTTGGATTTGCTGCCTAGTACTGAATTTAATAAGGAATGCGAGTGAGAACAACGAGAAGTAGCATCAACAAGCTCTTTCGTCGTGTGCCTCTCTGTATGATTTTACTGAGAAACTATTGAATGCTTCTACGCTTGAAAGATGAGAACTGGAACCCTCGCAGATACCTACTTCACATCTTTTTGGACGGTACTGATGAACTTACTTGTAGGTGATTATGATTAACTGCGTTTCTTGTTTTTGACACCACCCTGGATGGGGATTTTGCAACAGAAATACAAGATGCTTTTAATTCTTGCGAGCTTTTCTTTTCTGAGAGTGAGATGAGAAATGAATTTTGTTGAAAGCTTATTACCATGCTATCTATGCGATGGCTCCAACTCCAAATCAGGTTGGAAAATAAATCTCAGACACCGAAAACCGTGATGTTCAGCGCTTTTCGAGGACGTGCGATGGCGGTCAACATTTTTGAGGTTCACCACGGCAGCACCGTCGTCACGTCTCGAGAAGCTGTCCCCTCACCCACATGATACTTAGGGGACGGAGTACTAATTTTTATCAGACCATAGCTCCGAGCAGGATCAAAGACAAGGACGTAATTTTGATCTACTTCGGGAAGCACGTGATAAAGGAATTCTGTGCATGTTGAGAAGATGCTCTACTTACAACTTTTCTTCGTGCACCAACATGAGGCCGCACCAGAAGAGAGACCAAGTAGCGTAGTGCGTCGGCTTGCAAATGATGTCGTCGCTCCATCTTGTTCCACGAGAACCTCCTTTGGTGGACCAACCCGAAGGGCGATGACGGTCGTCCGCGGGAACGACCTGCGGAACGACGATGCCTCCTGCTCCTGTCTCGACGCACCACGAGAGTTTCGAGCGGCAGCGCGTATGCTTAGTGGGGAAACGAGGAAACCTGCTGAAAAAATGTCGAGGTGTCCTCGCCTTTCTCGGGCTGGCGGATTGTGGTTTTCAGCGCGCGAAGATGATTATAACTCGGGCTGCATCATCAATTCGGTTCTCCCCGAGTGCTGCACCTCGTCCGCGGGCATCGTGTGCAGTGTGGCCTTGCATGCGGGTAAAAATAGCAGGGCAAGCAGTCATTCGGTGGGCCACGACCTATCTAGCGTTCTTGCTCCTGTTCCTTCTGAAGCTGGCGCCCTTTTATCTTCAATTACACTTTCATTTCGCGCGCGCGGATCTGACGCCGGAAGAGGAGGAGGCCTGGTTCAAGAAGCACAACCTGGATGGGAAGGCGGTGGGAACCAAATCTCTGAAGGATCTGAACATGACGGACGAGGAGATCCGAGTTATCCTCCAGGACCACATCTACTCGCGCTTCATCGGGAAGGATTTTACCAACATCAACGGGCAGGAAAAACTGTTCCTGTGGCAGGAAAACGAATTCTGCGAGGAATGGGGCTTCGGCATGGAAGAGTATAACGAAATTTTGCAGCACGTCTACACGGTCGACTTCGAGGCGAGCGAACGCAAACAGCAGTGCACAGCGGCGTACGAGAAGTACCACCAGCAGGTGGAACTAGACACGATCACAGCAGGGGGCAACGCGCGGAAAGATAATGTGGACGATGCAAAGGAGCATAAGCAGCTGCAAGAGAACAACGTGATCACTGTGCAGTACCTCGTATACGATGGGCAGCGACCACCGGGACTGGGGGATCGGCTGCTGCATTTACTCGACGCCGCGACCGTGGCCTTGACTCTGGAGTCCAGTGCAGCGTTTCAGGCAAACATGCGGAAGGCTTGGAAGGAGAGGGTACTGCTTGCTGTTCAAGAAGAAGCTTCTTCTAGTAGTACAACAAATTTGGGTGAATACGAACAAAAGAGTAACGGGACGAATGCATCATTATCCTCGCGGGCATCTTTGCACTCAGGAGAATCTCCGGAAGGCGTACCTTTCGACGAAAGACTTCATCAAAGCGGCGACGACTATCCACTGCAAAGGATCTACTTGTTCCATGCTGGTACTAATGATCGAAATCATGCATTCCAAACTCCATATCTTCTCGTAGATAAATTGGTACTGGTACGATTATACTTTTGCACGTGCATAACGTCGACCCTTCGGCAATAAAGATGCACTTCCGCGTCCAAGTCCTCACTTACTGGGATGAATCGTCCATCCACAGTGGATTGAAGCGGGACAGCTTCTTCCACGTTTTCAAAAAGGAGCTCCCAAAGAACATTGTTTTCCTGAGAGACGAGAAGCACATGTGGGAAGTGCTGGACGATGAAGGTCCGAACAGCCGCAGCCGGTTTTTCGGTCGATTTCGGGACTACCTTGGCGACAGCAAGTTGGTCGCGCGGAGCAACGTGGCAAACGACTGGCGCACCGAGTACATGCCGAAGGAGCGGTGGTTTCAAATCAAAAAACAGGAATTCTTGTACGAACTGGGCGAAAGGTTCGGTCGCCCCGTCGAGAGCATGTCGGACGAGGAGCTCATGGTGCGTATCCTTTGTAAAAACGTAACTAGTTCATCTTACCCTTCTGCACAATATTGCGATGTGCATTTTTGATTGTTCCCAAAACGCCTCCACTAATGCGGATTTGCTTCAGGGGGGGGATCAATCTGCGTTGTCGTGTCTGTAAATTTGTTACGCGCTCGCGTTATGATCAGCACGACAAGGGAGTACTGGCGGGTTTCTCCTGCGGCTAGACCAACTAGGCACGGCTGCTGCGTTGACGCCACACAGTCTGTTCTGCATGTTGTCCCGCGACATGTCGTGTGATGGTTCCGAAAGAACTTCCGGGATCGTCTTGCCGAGCTCCCAAGAACTTGAGTTTCAATTTGTGCTAGGAGGAGGTAAGTACGGCGTATTTCCAGAGCATGCTGCGACTGTCTTTGCCGCCCCCAAGTGAGCTCGGCAAGATGTACGCGGGCATGACAGCAGGCGGGAATGAAATTGGAATTGAGAAAATTATAAACGCTGATGGGGATGCGGCTCTTGAACAAGTACAAGGAATCAAAGAGGAAGTTTCTTCACAAGAACTATCCGGACGAGACGAAAAAAGTTTCCCGAGCAAGGGAGCCATGCATGAACCCGAACAAACGACTGCAAGCAAATACTCCGCGACACCGAACACGCGCGCAATTCCCCTTCTCCTTGACCTGATGCCGCAGATTGACTTGTGGTCCCCCCCGCAGCACGGCTCACACCCGGAGAAGCGGTTCTGGGAGTGGCGGCGGACCGAGTGGGGGCGGCTGTATTTTGGCAATGACTACCTGTGTTTTCTGGAGCGCTTCATGTTCTTCGCTTCAAAAATATCACACAGAAAAAAACTGGCAGGTCATATTTGTAATGCAAAAATAAATAGACGAAAAGATTTGCATTGCATATCCTAAGTCGCATGCTATGAGGCCGCCAATGACAAATTTTTCTGTGTATTTGTTTTTGCATTACAAATATGCCCTGCCAGCTTTTTTCTGTGGGATAAAAAATGCAGATGGACGTGACAGCGTTCTTCACAACATCCTCAACCTCAACAGACGGGCGGAGTGAGCTTGGTTCTCCTGCTGCAAATCCGCATGAAGAGCAGGAAAATACTACATCTCCTTTGCAAACAAGATCCGAAGCACGAGCGACAAGTGCAGCACGGGTAGCGTCCAACAAGAAGGCATCCTCTCCTTACTTCGCCCTCCATGTCCGGGTCGGTGACCTGCAGCATACGAACGACCACGACCTGTGGCTGCGTGCGGAAGTGTTCAAGCAGTTAACCGAGATCGCGCAGAGTCAGAAGAAAGCGGTGTCCTCCCACCTCGCCAAGATTCCCTGGGTCCTGGTCGGCGACTCCGAGCAACACCTGCTGGCGTACCAGCGGTTCCTCGCTCAGAAGCTCAACGTGACCGTGCTCACGCCGACGACTCTCGGGCAGTCGCTGTTCGGGGAGGCGAACTACCAATCTGCGAGGCCGCACTTGCAGCAAAGTGGCGACTACGCGACGCTGTATGATTCCTACGTGTTGTCGCAGGCCGCCGCGATAATTGCGACAACCAGGAGGTCCGACGGGTGGACCGCGTTTGCAGCGCTATCCGCGTTTTTGAACTGGGACCGGGAAAGGTACAAGTATGAGTTGCAAACGCGTCTGGGTCCTCAGGGTCTGGAACAAGAATGGAACTAGGCTTTATCTGTGACATTATGCGCATTTTAGCGATGAATGGGCATGGGGCATGTAAGATCTGGGATGCATGAAGCTCATGATGGCTCCCCACATGACACTGCTTGTTATAGCAAAATGCGAAGACTTCTCATACTTACTATTGGTGCCTTATTGACGCTGCACTCTGTAGCACCGACCTCGGAAAAAAAATCCTAAATCTGGTGGTGCGTCGAGGTGGGTACAGAAGTCCGCCTCCGTTTCTCATCATGGAGACGCCAGCAGTACTTCCTGTTTTCCAGACCCAGACCCAGGTATGTCTGCATTTCATAACAAGTATCCGGTGCCGATTTTGTCTCTGCACCGTCTTTATCCTCGATGCAAAGGTATCGTCTACTCATACTAGTTGCGACAGCACTGCATGGTGACAGATCCGGTTTCTTGATGCCCGAAACTCGACGATGAGTATTTCTAGATGGACTTATCCGGGCGCAGAGGTTTTGAAAAAATTTATGTGTCTCTACTATGATGTGCACGATCCTTTTTCAATGCATGGCCTCCACATGGACCGGGACCGGTATCGGTACGCACAGTACGAGCGCGCAAACTGCAGAGTCGGCCCGGTTGCGGTGAACGTATTTCACTTTCCGGAGCAGGAGCTGTTTTGGCGGGTAGTGTACCAAAGATTACGTGGCACAGAGGAGGTCACGCTGAGGGCGAAACGCGGCGCGTGGTTCCATCGGGAAGCGTATAGTGAAGAATACGCGCCTGCTTGACAGGACGTTGTTGTGTGCTGTCCTTGCATGATTTTCTTCACCATGAGGAGCGTGGTTGAAGGTAAAACGCGGCAGGAAAGATAGTTAGACGCTTATGCGGAACGATTTGGCGGTCTTGGTCGTGTCGGTACTAATAAGTAGTACCACTGCGTGCGCGCATTTACTGTTTGTTTTTGTTATTGATGTTCAGTGGAGTTGATTTGCATTACAGGTTCGCGGGAGTGCTAACGTCGTTGCCGTGAAGTGATTTCGTAGTTCATGCATTTCTGCACCAGCACTGACAACGAGCTACCGCGGCACGCATTGCAGCTGAGTTTATTAATTTTCGCTGTCGTTTTGTGATCGGAACAGTCGCTCGCTACGAGCGATGGCTTCTGCGTCCGTATTGTAGTTAGTTCGCTTTCGCTATCACTTCGTTGAGGGATTATGGCAGTTCTTGGAGTGTGTCGCTGGTCGTCTAATATCTATCAATCTAAACGCCTTCCTTTCAGATCACGAAGTCTATCAATCTAAACGACTTTTGCCTTTCTCACGTGATCGGACTCGTCGGACATCTTCCCGTACTAAATTCATAGGGAACAACGAGACGATTCCTACTTTATTGCTGGAGAAAATTTTTTCTGCCTCAAGTGCAGCATTCGGTTTTAGAAGCAGACTCATTGTCCTTATCAGACTCATTGTCATCTTTTGAGGGAGGACAAAAAATACGACGATGCTGCGCTCCCACCTGGACACAACGTACACCGCGCTGCAGGGCTCTGGGCGCACGCCATCCTACCCGTCGAATTTCCCTTGGGATTACAGCCGCGAAGCAAGTAAGACGAGCAGGAGACCGGACCAGGAATTACCGACCACCTGCTTCTACTCGGAGCAATCGCAAGATGTTCATCCGGGCCGTGGCGGCAAAAATGGCCGTGGAAATGGACTGCAAACCAGGTTTGTTGATCTGCGCGGCAAAACAACCAGCTTTCAAGGTACAGAAGGGTTTTTATGTTTGCAATAAGAATGAGCACATTGACATTCCATATGCGAACAGCATGTTTATGTCTTCTCACTTTTAATACTTTGACTTTCAACAAAGTTATGGCAGGCGGCGGCATGGATACTTCTATGGGCAGCGGCGGCATGGGTGGCGGCGGTATGAATGGTGGAGGGATGAACGGCGGCGGCATGAACGGCGGCGGCATGAATGGTGGAGGCATGAACGGAGGCGGCGGAATGGGCGGTGGTATGGCAGCTCCCGTGTTGGGCGAGGAGGCGACGTCTTCGAGTCAAAGCTCGTATCCCAGAGAGAAGTACCCCCATAATGAACATTGCTTTGCTGGTTATTTATTCGTTCACATCAAACCGCTGATCCGCAACAGAGTCAATATCCTCGTCGTGGTAAATGGAGAATGTAATGCGGACTAGCATGACAATGACTAAGACTAACAAAAAGTTCTCCAAAAAATTTGTCATGCTGGACAGCCAACGCGATGATACAGAGAGCAGCATGACAAGCTTGTTCAATGATCTTTTTTACTATGGGTGTAGTACTTTTCTTTAGGATAGCTCGTACATGATCGACGGGAAGCTGTACGACACCGGAAAGGATAAGAAGGAATGCAACCAGGCGTGTGAAATGCTCTTCGACGATATTGGTACTACTACATGTGTAAATATTTGTTCTTTAATACGCATCAAGATAGTTCGCGTATCAATCTGTGTATCTGTCTAGTGTCAGGCCGCCCAGGTGGTTGTCTAATTCGAATGCATGTCTGATCGCATGAAGAGTTTTGAAGAATGAAACACATACAATTTTGATTTTCCTCACCCTCCTGCCCAGCCGTCCTGAACCGGCAGGCCGAAAAAGCCCGGGCGACGAAGGAAGCGACCGCGGAGATCGGTGGGGCCGCCGGCGGGGAGGGCGACTTTATTTCGAAGGGAGTGGGCACGATTATGGCGTCCTCAAACGTTACATTCTCAACTGTTACATGAATTTGTGATGCACAAATAGCAAGAGTGAAAGAGAAAGGGGGAACATTGCGCCTCTTGCAATACAGGTTTGGCACAGATTTAGATGCTGTTTAGCCCTTCCGAAATTTATCATGCGAAGCAACTTACTTGATGGTGTAGATTCTGATGAGAGTTTTGCATGACAAATTATGTAACAGTTGAGAACGTTTGAGAACACCATAACGATTACGGCCGCCAAAGGTGCGATGGGATCTGCGCAGGACCTGATGGGGGGCAAGTCCGCGGATGATATTGTGAGGAAAAATCCCCCCTCCCCATATCAAAACGGGATACTTCTGAAAATTTGTGATGCTGATTTGAGACCACAAATCGCCCCTGTATTGCAAGAAGGCAAATCCAAAAACTCCGCCGCATTCTCCTGCAGGCAATTTGTAATGCTGTATGGCCTACGGAGGATGTTCCTCCCTTGCTAGGCGCCTACACCAGAACGCCCCTACTCCGGCTTTGTGTCTAGTTGCAGTCTTGTACGGCAAGACAAAGGCGATTTGTGTACACAAATCCCGCATCACAGATTTCCATTTCGATATGGGGAGGGGGGATTTTTCCTTTTGATAGATGATGAAAAGCGCGACTGCACCAAGCACTGCACGAACACCTTCGGCTGGTTCTGTATCGCAAGAAAAAACTGTTTCACTGTGAACTTGTGATGCATAGAATGGAACACAGAACTATTTGTCTTGCTACACCTGCAAGACCTTGACTCTTGAGAGGTGTTTGCCCTTTGAAAGCGCGCATGGCAAATTTTCTGTGTCATGTGTAACAAACTTGTGATGCAGATCTTGCAAAATCATCACAGTGAAGCAGTTTTTTCGTGGGATATTCTGGGAGAAAGACACAGTGTGTTTTGCGGGAAGCGCCAAGGTGCTGGTGCGGAGAGAGAAGATGCAGAAATCCTCCGGTGGTAGGAAGAAGGCCGCTGCGGGAGCTGGAAAAAATCCAGAAGCCAGTTGTGGTTTTTTAACACAGGAGGAGCTCGGGAACCATTCGTCCAAGGTGACTTCTACAAGAACCACGCCGCGAGCCAGAAGCAACAACAGGTTTGGAGGTTCCTGTTGTCACGGCGCACCGGCATTCGAAGATGTATCACCTCCCTGCTGTCCAACTCCAAGCACGACGGAATACGAAGTTTCGGAGGTCGAAATGCGCGAGCTGGCGGTGGGGGACGAGATAGCAGTGGGGAAGACGAGCGATGGACAGATGAAATGGGAGAAGGTACTTACTTGTTCTTTCGACAGTATGTCTTGTATGATTTAGTTTTTCATGCTGCTGCAGGAGTCCGAGTTTGTCACACGATCCTAGACATACAGTCGTGCAGCTCGTTGCGCTGCCGGCTCGTCGTCTTCCCGTTTAATTATTTCGATAAGGTCTTGCCCAAGGTTTGTCTTGCTAGTTTTTGGGTCCTTGTGTTGTATATATAATCTTGTTCTCGATACTCATAAAAGAATCTATGCAAGAGAAGTTCGTGCGTTGCGGTTGGCCTCTGAGATTGATCACTTTTTTTCCCGCTCTCCAGGTTCTCTGCTGGCTGCACCGGGACGAGTATCAACTGCAAATGTGTTTAGGTCCGGAAGGCTGCAGAGGAAAGAATGTCGCATTTGCATTTGCTCCGACCGACGAGCTCTGAAAATAAACAGCGCAAAGAACAATTCTTACAGAGTTACGAATGCTCTCCCATAGATACGTACCTTTCCGGTATGAGCAAAGCTCCCCTCGTCTTTCGGTCGTCACACAAAGAGGACAGACTTTGCTATTAATTTATGCAAGACCACGGACTCTGATGTTCATGTTTTGCTTTTGTCGTGTCAGCCAGCGCCAGCATAAGCAACAAGGTAGCATCACAAGTTTACAACATGGTCTTTATTCTAAGTACCTAGATCCAAACATATTTGCAATGCATAACAAGACGGCAGATTGCTGCTTCCTCGAGGTTGAACTTCAGCCGGATCTTATCCTGTCGAAAAACTGACCGCCAATCGGGACTTGTCATGCGAATCTGTGTTTGAGAAGTCAAGTTGTCATGCGCTCATGAGGATACCGATACCTTTACTTATGCATACGCAACGATCACGTGTCATTTGATGCGGCCACGCTAGGCGGTTTTTACTTACGGATATTTGGCGAGTGCTGTTTTGTAATGCCTGACTCCCGATAGTACCGTTGCAGCTCGAGTACCACGGTTGTAGTGTACTAGCAAAATTCTTTACTCCCAGCTGGACAATGAGGTACGTTTTTGCACAGGATAGCACTGGGCTCCGAATTTCTCTTCAGCTCCGACGAAAGTGGGAAAGTAGACGCCGGTGACGACGGACCTTTTTCTGCTGCCGATAATAGTGCAAGAACATACGAGTCCTGCGAGACGACGACTTCGAGAACGTACTCGTCCTCTTCTATGAGATTGCACAATTTCTCGTCCCCGTCGTCCCACGCTCATTTGCAAACGCATACTTATTAAACTACAGCGACACAACATCAAGTACTAGGAGAGATGCACGTGTGGCCTCCGCATGACAAACGCACGCACCGACTGTAGTCGTTGGTGCGGTCCTCGTTTGGGCTTCGGAAAAGTGGCTTGCAGAGTGATAAACAAAAGGCAAGAAATGGTGGAGGTCGTGTCTTGCATGAGAAATGAGACCGGGTCGTAAAAGAAGGAGAGTTCGTGTGCACTTTCATAGATACGACCAGGTCTCCAAGACGAGCGTGGAGAAAACAGTTGTCCTCACGTCTTACAACTCCACCACGGTTCGGAAAGAACTACAGCATGCCAGTCAGGCTTCGGACCTCCCGCGCGCACCTGGTTTTCAGCGCCGACCGGGGGGAGTTCGTCCGCGCGAAGGACCTGATCCCTGCTGAATCCGAATTGGAAGTGATTGCAGTAGTAGACGGGAGATGCGAAAATGATAATCGGGTTCACGTGCTGGGCGGCGAGGACGAGGAGCAGATGAAGTTGTGCAGCTGGTGGACCAACACGCAGCGAGAGAAAGAAGGAAACGCGGGCTTTTCGTCCAAGAGCACAGCACGACCTTTCGTCCAGGGTGTTGACCATCGCGCGAGGACGGGGGGACCGACAGGTATCAGTGCAGGAGCAGTTGTCAGCACACCACTAGCTGCACCACCGACCGGGCGGAGCGAAGAAACGGTGGCTCCTTCGCCAACAACTACAACATCAACTTTGCGCCGCATTAGGACGAAACAAACCTTTCTCCGCGTGAAGACCGTGCGCGAGGTCTACGAGCGCGGGTTTTACTGTCCCTTGACTTCCAGTGGGGAACTGCTGGTGGACAATGTGAGGTGCTCTTGCTACGCATTACCCGAGGCATATCACGACATGTACTCCCACGTTTTCAAGCTCGTATCCATGCAGGCCGCGTGTCACTACGGGGTCTGGCCGCTGCGGAAGTACCTCGAGACATGCGGTTCAACGAGTGTATGCACTGCAAATTTGATAAGCCTGGGTCTGGTGGAACAAAAAGGCTGCAGCACGTTGGTTGGTTGGATAGCGCCTGTCGCCGGAGCAGATAGTAAAGATTCTTTGCCTTTTATGCGAGAGCGCAGTTTGCGTTTCTTTTGTTCCCATACTGAATGTTACGCAGCACTGACTTGGCAGATCAAAAATTGTCATGCTCGGCTGCCTGGTGGACGAGGCCGCCCTTTGATACTCACAGCCTATCTTCACCACCTTCCACAAGATGCAGGCATACTTTTGCAATCCATAATAGAGTTTGATGATGGAAAACCATCATGCAGAGCAGCGGCGGAGAAATGGAACTGCGGCAATAGAGAATGTTGCTGCGCACCTCCAGGATACTGCTTGTGCCTCCAGTTGTACAAATGAAGCTCCTCGGCTGCATATCCTGTGTAAAAACCTCCCCACGCCTTTACTTGGATGTGTGACGCAAATACTGTAAATTTGATGCAAGAGATTTGACATTTCATTTTCATGTCTCTCATGCGGCTCATGATGATACGGCTCTCCAGGAGAGACATACACTTTCTAGTTGTGTATTCAAAGTTTGTGCTCCTCACTTCATGCTCGAACTAGCACGATCAGCAAGCTGCCTCCTGATAGATGCGGCCAAGCGAGCCCTTTGCGGATTTGTCTAGTAGATTTTGTCGCGCAGTGGGATGTTGCCTGAGACTTGCACATTTGTCTAGCAGAATTCATGCAATCGTGACCGAACAGTTGGGGACGTTTTCACGGAGGATACTGCAGAAGAAGCAAAAGAAGGGCCCGGCGAAAGTGATCGAACAGCCAGCGCTGATACAACTCGGGATGCTGGGGCCGAGCGGAATCCTGCATTTGGCGATGTGGACCATGGGCGCTGCGGCCGCACTCGGTGTCGTCTAATCAAAAGGATTCAACTTCTAGTACTTCCACCACTGACGCATCAAAATAAAATACTTATCACTATCTCGTACGACCAGGCGGGGACCGCTTAGTTCTCTCGCTACGAGTTGTACGTGGTATCAAAATCAATCCTTTCAACTATGATATTCACGCCCATTGGCATTGCCGAATGAATGAGAAAGTCGTAGAATGCGTGAACGAATGAATGACTCGATTAGTTCTTTCAGTTTTCGTTTCGTAGAAAAAATTCACAAATCAAAATCAATAGAATCGCTTCCAGCTGCAGTGCTTTGCTGGTGAAAGCACCGCGAGATATTGAAATACAAAACTTCGTAAAAATTAATTCATAAAACCGCGTGGAGTGCGGTAGGAGAGAGATAATGACTCTTTTCTACGTGCGAGCCAAGAGAGTTTCAAGCTTAGTTTCAGTTAATCCGTTTCTTTGCAGTTTTACACGGAAGCAACAACACCCAAAAATATCAATCTCTATCTCGGGGTTGTAGCCCTTGAAGACACTTCCTGGGCGAACTGCAGCAATAAATAGTCTGTAAAGTAGGTCGGTCGAAAACGAAAAGCAGTACCAGTTGCAGTTGTTTTTCTTGGAGCTCAGAACTTTTCGAAGATGATTGACACAAGAATTTTCGAAGATGACTACAATCAATCTGAATTTTCGACGTTCTTTCATCTATCTTGTACAATTTGACCCCAGAATGTTGTTTCAAAGTCCCAAATTAAGTGTGTGACCGAATAAATGGAACGAATTTGTTCGCGCGCGAGTAGTTTTTGATGTCGGTTCTAATTCTCTTTCTATGACCCTGTCGTCTCAGACAGCCTGTTGTGCTGTTCTTGGTCGCCCTGTCGTGTACCGTGCAGATTTCACGGTAGGTATCCCTCCGCAAGGAGGTGGACTCTGTATGTGATCGCACCGCAGAAGAGGTTTTCGTAGCACTTGTGTTGTTATGCGTTTCAATGAGAACCAGTTGCGCTCGGGTTTCGTTTTTGGTTCTCAGATGATGCGTCCCCCAAGAGGACTAGACGAAGACCGACTGGCGAGGAATATGGAGAGCAACTCACTCGTGCACATTTGGTGTCAGGAACGTATGCGCATTCGATTTTTTTGTGCCTACATGCCAAGCAGTTTGCATCTACCTGTCCAGTACCAATTGTCCTTACGTTGATGGTACAACATGATATATTTGTACAACTGCACTCGTCTCCGTCTGTCCTTGCAGCCGCTATAGTCGTATCGAGAAGCCAAACAGCCAATCGGTCGTTTTTTAAGAACTCGTGCATCTGTTCAGATTTTTCCTCGTTCTTGTCACAAAAAGTAAATAAGTAATCGTCCTGTTGTAGTTTGAACTCGTAGAAATGAACACGAATGCGGTTTCGTTTCTTAGCTATTTATTTTCACACTAAGTTTTCAAATTCAAACTGTACACCTTGTTTCTCTGCGCACTTCACGTATATGCAGATCGTCATCTCCTTTATTGCAGTTCCCTTTCCCGAGCGGGTTCCTGCCACCGCCGCCCCTTTTTTTCAAAATAGTTAATAGACTTTTATTTAAAGCAGCATGCTAACTCCTTGCTGAGCTCCTGGTTCTTGTTCTATTTATTTTTTACAGATCTCGTCATTTATATTCGTACCATAAGTAACCATCTCATACGTAGAGGTAGACGGCGGGTGTCAACATTTTCTTCTTTCTATTTCGCCGACCTTCATCACCGCCTTTATTCTTTCTACGTCATTTTCTCACGTGGACCTCCGTCGGAACTGTCTTCAATGGACAACATGAGTACTAGGGCCCCACCCACGTTGCAGGAGGTGATGCCGCAAAAATTGTCTAGTTGCTACTGCGCCACCTCCACTCTTCCGAAGCAGTACCCGCCGACCGGTGTCCTGGCGGACGCCAGCGACCGGTTTTCGCAGAACGTGTGGCAGACCTTTTACTGCGAAACCTGTGGGCTGCCCTTGCCAAGAGATCCGCTGGAGGCGAAAAAGGAGAGTGAGGTGCTGGATTACATGGTACGGGAAGCACTGGTGAAAGCGCTGGAGGAGATAAAAATCGTGTCCGGAAAAAAGGATGACACGATGCTAAAGTTGAAATTTTACCAGCAGTTGCAAAAACTGGACGAGCCGTCGGACGAGAGTAAATTAGCCATGGAAAAAGCCTTGCAAAGGTACAAACAACCGCCAAAGCCGATCACTTTGACGTGATTTTTAGCAGAATAAGGAATTACTGCTTTAATATCTGCATACTAGGAACTTGCTTTTGAAATGCGTCTCTACTTGATTTGTTTGGTCGGGCGACCAGTATAGAAGCTCTGGTTGATGTCGATGTGCGATGACGCAAAGAATAATTATGAAAAGTTTGCGTGTTCTCTAACTCTATAAGTTGGGCGCAAAGTTGGATCCATTTCCGGCTGTTCGCCGATGATGACTAGAGGCAGGTCGTGGCACCGAAGAACGCTCAGTGGCATACTGAGATTCGATTCCGGGTGCATTTATAATCCACTCACCTACGATCATGCGCGCCATAGTTTAGCCGAGAATCATCAATTTGGTGGAATGGTGCGGTAAGCACAAGAAGCTGACAATTGTCTGGCCAAGAGGATCTGTTTGGATCTTCTCGACGAGGGAGCAGCGTTCAATATTGCTTCTGAGATAGTACCATCATAGCAGGAGTGTGCTTCGCTCTTGCGGCCTCTGGTCTATCAGTGTAAGCCTTCATATCGATTTGAGTATCCTCCAAAACCAAGAAAGTAGTTTTCAGGTCGCGTACTACACGACAGGAGGTTTGATTTTACTTCAGCTGTCAACCAGGATTGATTTTCACCCATTTTCTTTCGTTGCAACAAGAACAAACAGTCGAAGACGAAAAATCAAAATGCAAGTGGAAATTCTCAAAAAGGACGGCAAGGTGATGTTCGTGGAGTCGGGCAGCGACTTCGCGGACTTCCTCACGGGCACCTTGAAAGCGCCCCTCGGGTCGCTGGTCGGGCTGAGTTCCGCCGGTTGTGGGGTCTTCGGAAATTTACAAAGCTCGGTGAACAGGGTCCGGGCGCCACTGTTTCTTGGCAAGAAGGAGCAGGATACCGCCGTAAAGCCGCTGGATTTGCAAGCTATTGCGGAAGGAAAGTCGCAGACGTGGCTCGCGACAGAATTGGCCGTTGTTGGGAACTCGCGGTATGTGAGTCAGCGGTCGGTAGTAAACGGTGAAGAGTTCAAATGCACTGTTGGTCAAGTGCCCGGGAGCTGGCAGGGGGTCGCCTTCAGTAAAGTGGATCAGTTCGAGCTCTCTATGGACTACCAGTACTGGCAAAGTTACAACGTGATGATGGGCTTTTTTCCATCGGACAGCGCGGATGTTGGAACTTTGGTGCAAAATGGAGGATCACCATTTTCCCAGGGCTTCTTCCTGTACTTGACACCTGGCGGTTTGTACTTACACAGCAAAAATGGCGACAATGGCACGCCGTTCCACTTGCAAAATGGACAAACGTTTCCTGGCGCAGCAAGCCGGGTCGTGCGTATGCGGTATGGCAAAAGCAATGGCAATGGTAGGAAGCAGCTGGAGTTCGACTTCTTCAGTTCGGGGCAGTGGGAAACTGCTTCGTTCACGGGGCAGCTGCCATCCGAGGAGGTGTTCCCAGCTCTGCTGTTCTATTCGAATGTGAATCACAATGCCCAAGTCATGATCAAGCCGTACAGTGGTGCCGCGGTGCCCAAAGTTTTCCACTCACTGACGAAGTTTCTGGTTGCCAACGACCTGACACTGTGCGAAAGCACCTCGCTGAAAGCCTTGGAAATCCTGCGGAAGTTCGGAGTGGGCAACGCCGATGAACTAGAGATTGAATCCGTCACCATTACCGAGGACGTCTTGCGCCGGTTGCTGGGCCGAGCGATTTCCGGGCACCAGGACGTCTTGCAATTCGCCTTCGAGCAGGGGCTTGCAGAAGCTGCTTCGGCGCAGGGAGGAGCGTAGGAACTCCGAGGGGACGTCGAAGACTCGGTGGACCGCTACATCCACGTCGGTAGTCGTTTTTCTCTTCGGCATGAATTTGTGTGCAGCTGCAACACTGAAACCAAATAAGAAAAAGCATTTATATGCGCAACTGATCGAAATCGAACTCGTGTAAAGTATTCAGCTCTGATGTTGACACTCACACTGATGCAAGACTGCTCTGAGGTATCAAAATTCGAAACAGTTTTGCTGTTTCCTCATTCAAACATGGCTTCTTCTGCAATTTAACAAACCAGTATTGCCCCCTCATTCGAATCATTCGTCGCGAATCAAAAGACGAAAAATGCGAGCTACTCGATTTGTTTTTTACACCAGCATGCGCATACAGATAACCAGGCTCAATGCAATTGGCAACACTTCTGATTGACAAACGTCGAGCTGTGTTTCGTAGCCCCACGTGCAGTGCTTTTTTTTTTCGGCCGGTCCGACTCGCCTGGGCCGTGTTACAATTCCCGAGCATCTTCTACATCTTCTGCTCTGGATTCAGTTTCCTGGTGGCTAAGGGGACATGCATCGGTGTCGCTTCGTTTCCTGTGGAACAGTTTGTGTCATGATCCCATTTCGGTTTGCCCTGAGCTGCGACGTCAGTCTTCGGATAAATCAAAAACTCGCGCAAAACTCAAATTGAAAAGTCGGTTTGTTTCGCAAAGGTATAGTAATCGGTAAAATAAAAATTCGTGCAGTGCTAGCGCGGCGAAAACAAAGCTGTGCCAAAAAATACACTGACTCGACGACGTCGGTCGCGATGAAAGGAAGATGGCTTCGGTGTTGTGCTTGTCTGCATGCTCGATCGCTCTCAACAACTGGACACAAAATTTTTATATGTTGACGTAGCGTAAGATTAAGAATATGAATAAGTGGTCGTCGTGTCCGTACCACAAATTTAGGGTACCAATTTGAAAATTTGATACATGACCTCCCGCTTGACGATCAGAACAGGATAAGGAGACCCCAATCGTCTGATCATAACTCAGTCGGGTTCATTGATCAAATTCAAACCCACAAGTAAAGAACTTTCAAACCGCTCACTCACTCGCACCGTACAAGTTTTGCTCCTGTAATCGGACAAAACTTTTTGTGCAACAAGAACCACGGCCGGTCTGGTACCAAAAGAGCTGTGACTAGCTAGACCCACCCAAAAAGCTTTTCAAGATGGGAAACATGTGCTGCAAGAAGCGCCTCATCGATATGGCCTTCTCAGGCGTTGCGTGGACATCTGTTAAGTACATGAATTACAACATACTTCTACTTGTTGTGAAGATCATGCAGGAATTTATGGAAACAGAAAGAGGTGGCATGGTTTTTCGCCTTTTGCATTGCAACTCTGGCACGGATCTGCATGCCGTGCAGCGCGGCGCAGACTTGTCACGTGCACAAGCAGCGCGATCTTCATGCGGAGCGCCATACAAGTCCAGGTGTTGCGTGACAATGACAAATGATCACGATGGCGTCACGCAAGAAGCGTGTAACAGCGGTTCATGCAACGTTTGAGACTTCCATACTCGAGGGCGATATGAAGGATCCCAACACGCTGGCCAACGCCAAGGGACAGCTCTGGGGCGTCAAGACGAAGCAGGGATCGGTAAAAATGTTGCGATTTATTGACTGGCATGTGGTATAGTCTAGTGCGTACTACTTCTAGATGGCAATTTAGTCTAGTCGGTACTTCTACTAGGTGTTGAACAGTAACCAATATTAGCGAAAGTTGAAACATATACTTACATAGGATCTTCGATGCAATGGACGGGTACTAGATGTAGCTACTATCAGTATCATGTTTAGAAGCGCAGGGCTTCTGTCAGAATCCAAAAGCAAAACTTTCACCACCTGATAGAAAATCATCATGGATGATGTTTGGGTTCGCAGCCTGCAGGTATAATTCTTGCTCGCACTTACACTTTTCAAATAATTATCAGGGCGCCGCTGACCCGGCCGCTGTGAAAGCCATGGTTGATCTGTACAACCAGTGTGGAGGGGATGTCGGCGAGTTGGCGAAGATACGCATTGCAAATATGTTTTCGTGGTCTGGAAAATTGTATTGGTGCTACCCGCAAGAACGCAGACTAGCACCACAAGTGAGTAAGTAAGTAGTTGTTCAGGCTTGTAGCGGAGTCATTCGTACTGTTAGTATCAAACGCATGACAAACTGCCTTCCAGGACGACAAAAAAGTAAGGCCGCCAATCGTATTCCTTTTCCTACATTTTTACAGATCTGGTTTTCCTTCAGATCTCGCATCACCCGTCCAGATGACCAACATCGATATTTGCAATGCATACAAGAAGACGGGTTCGAACATGAAGCTGATGAAGGCTAACCCGCTATGCTGTGTAAAAACGTACCCACCTCCCCATATTTGTCATACGTTTTTCCATGTCGTGTCCAGGACACACATCTCTCATGCGGGTTCCCATGGGAGGCGTTTCGCGTTTTGTAGTCCTATTGGGAAATTTGTCATGCTCCAACCAGGATAGTGTCCTGCGTGGATTTGTCATGTGGCTCTATAACAACGCCTGAGCTCCTCCTCGTCTACACATGCGCCAAGCTGGTCATGCGGAGTCCAGCAAACTTCTCGACTTCTCTAGCACACTTCACATCTGCATCTTGACTCTCGGGTGGGTACGTTTTTACTTAGGATGCCCCCCCTCCAGTGCGCAGGACTTCGCAAACAAGTTAGTCACCGGGGCTTACTCGAACTAAGAGAACCGAAGGTCGTTCCTCCATCGTGGAACAAGAGCCCGAGGTTTACGTGGTATTAGGCGGAAGAGCACCAAAGGAAGATAGTACAGAATATGATCATGATGCCTTTTTTTGCAACGACCTGTTGAGAGGTCATACTTCAAGTACCATGCTGTATTGTTGTTCTTTTGAAAAATACACATGCTGGACCTTTGTAAGTATATAATTTTTTTGCGCATGGCTACACAGTACTACCATTTTATTCGTACAAGTGAGACGAGGGTAGATTCATTTGGGGCCAACAAGTGCGATCCCTCGGGTAGGAACTCGATCTCAGCTATCGAACTACCGGAAATAGAAGGAAAAAATAGATATAGATTTTACAAGTAAAATTCTCTTTATGATGTATGCCGTGGCTAGATGCAGCACGTTTTAACAGATCGCCTTCTCTCGTCTCCCGCGAATGAAGCGTTCTTTTCTGCGCTTGCGTCCCCGGTTGTTGCTGCAACAAGGGTCCGCTCGTCAGCAATTTTCACAACACGGGAGAGGAGGAGGCGCTCTAAGCACCTTGAGATAAAAGCCGCAGGCACACAAAATATAAACGTACTACATGCAAGCGACTAAAATTTACTAAACTCGTGCGGGATTGAAAGATCATCGCTCCAAATATATAGTCCTCTTGCGCACAACTTTCTTCGCTACCGTGGTATTGTTGAGGACTGTGATGGTTGTACTATTTGAATAAGTATGCTGCGAGCGAAATTTTGTAGTCCACGAGTTAAGCAAGAGCAAGAAAAAAAAACGACCGCCATGTGAGACTGTATGACGCTAGTTTGGATGAAAAAACTCGGACATGACATATTAGACCGGCTAGCATTACATTTACGTCTATTATCGAAGTTGAACTGGTGGAATCTTCTGAGTTCGTTGTGGCGCAAAAACCTCCTTCACGCTCGGATGTTTCGCTAGTGCGAGTCTATTGACAGATGCTCGGTTATTGAACTCACAAGGTCTTGATGTGGTCAAAAAAGAAAGCCGCGAAGAGCGTGCCAGGTGTGCGGTTTCCCTTCTGCTTGGAGAATCCATTGTGTTCCATGGTTCGCAAAACCGTAAAGAACAACTTTTGAAACACGTTTGACAGCACAAATTAATGCTTGTCATGAAGGATTTTTCATACTCGTAACGCAGACAACTTTGATTTCCGTCGCATTTCCACCCTTGAACAAATCAACGTCGATCGTACGAAAAGAAATTCACAGGCATGAATGATCCTCTCGTCTTGTATGGAGCAAAGATGATTTCCTATCCGATTCCGAAGAGTGAGTTAAATAATTTTGGGAAGGTCTCGGATTCATCATGCATTACTGCTGTATTTAGGTCCTGTTTCGTGTCAATTGTTTTACCTCTGTTCGACGATTCCTTTCGCAGGACCTCGTGCCAATCGAACCAAACCCAAGTAGACTTCAGTTTTTTTCCCAATACGACAGATACACCTCCCTGCCTTAGAAGTAAACGGTGTTGAAAAAAGCATGCTATACAAATTTGCATAGCACCGACCACCTCTTGCGACGTCCACAGGTCGTGAGTAATAAATAAGTACACACCAGTACTAGTAAAGATCGGCTATTCGATCGACGTGTATCAATCCGGAAATTGAAAAATGATCATCTGCCTCGGTCCGGTTTGCTGCCCGATCTGGCCGGTGATTTTTCTCGTTCTGAAGCCGTTGTGGAACTACATTCCGGAGGAGCGAAAAAAGGATCTGAAGTCCTGTATCCTGAGTGAAAACGCACCCACACCAGAGTCAGGATGGGGATTTTGCAACACAAACCTAGGAGTTTTGTGAGTCACGCATGACAAATTGCACTATGCAGTGTAGTGCAGGTTAGCAAGTGCAGCCGCATCACAGATTCATCTGCTCATCCTGTTCACAGCATCACAAATTCCAAAACACGACTGGAAATGGCTCTCATGGGGATGCGCATTACAAGTCTTCCTCTCTTTGCAAATCTGCATTACAACTCTGGCGTGGGTACGTTTTTACTCAGGATATCCTTCTGGGACACGAAATGCTACCCCTGGGTGAAGCCGGTGCTCGACCTACTGCCCACCAGTGTGCGGAAGTTCCTCTTCTACGGCATGCCGAGTGCCGCTTGCGGAGGAGGCAAAAAGCAACAGTCTTCTACTACTTCGACGTGTTGCCCCGCCTCCGGGGTTTCGACCTGCAGCATGAAAGGATCGGCGGACGGTGTGGAACTTGCAGGGTTGAACAAAAACAAGCAGCCAAACTCCTCCGCGGCTAGCACGGCCTCCGGCGTGTCGGACGAGGAAGACAACTGGGTAGCTGGTGAGGTGGTCTACTAGGCATCGCAAATATGATCTCAGTCTGGAACTGGAAGATTGCAAGATTTACAATTACTTATGCAGATTTTTGTCTTTTGAAGTAGATTGGTTGAACGATTTTTTGCATTGCAGATTTTTGTCGGACAAGACGGCTGTGAAGTTTCTCATGCACACACGACGTCGCAACGGCAACAGGTTCAAGATGAACATCGCGAGGTGCCTGTATAGTTGCTGAAGTGCCGCGACCGCTCGCGCGGAAAAAAAAGAGCCCCTAGAAGTAGAATACTTTGTCATGTTTGCGAGCATCAAATTGTAACCCGAGAGTTTATATATTTATAGTACCTGCTGATCATCAACACCATATTCCGCGAATCATGGTCAGCATGACAACTTCCCTCCAGACCGAAACTACATGTTTGCATTTGATACCTACTGCAAGTCGGAGGAGCAGTTCGAAGCTTTGCGGAAGAAAGCAGAACAGCGACCGATGGTCCTCGACTTCACCGCGAGCTGGTGCAAACCCTGCCAGAAACTGAAGCCGGTCTTCGCGCAGCTGGCTGCTGCGCACAGCACCGCGGCGTTTGTAGTCATCGACGTGGACGAATTGGAGGAGATCACGTCCGAGTACGAGGTGACGACATTGCCGGCATTTTGGCTGGAACACGGGACCAACAGAACGAGGATGACAGTGACGCCATCGGAGCAAAACTTGAAAGAGTTTGTGAAGGCCAAGTTGGTGTGATGAAAGGTATGGTAGCCGAATGTTATATGTAGGGGTGTAGAAGTTTCGTTTCTTCAATCATCTTACTTCCTACTGCCTTGTCACGGCAAAGAACTTTTTCGACCCACAAGAACTTCTTCTGTCCAGAAGATTTCATCAGCGACTACCCGAAATATCACCCTTGCTCAGGCGACAAAAAAGCAACTGTAAGCCGTAATAAAACCTGGCTGAATTACCTAGATCCAGCTGCTAGTGCCGCTGGCAAAAGAAGTCCAAAAGCGCGCGTTGATTGGTTGCTTGCCGTCAGCGATTCTTCTTGTGTTCACACGATAGAAGAGGTCCCACGGTGAACGCGTCGCTAGGGGTCGGTCGTGATGCAGATGAAAGTCCGACTCTGTAAAAAGTTCAAAATGATCGGTATAAAGTAATAGTGCGCACTTTTGTCCCTTCCGTGGTCACATGATCATCGTACATCATTTTCTGCAGCTCGATTGTGGTACAGCAGCACGCCTGTTGCCCGCTTGTTCTGCAGTGACTAACCCTTCACAAGATATGATCCTCACCTTGCTCTCTGTGAAGATTTATAGGAGAGCACATTTTTACTGCTAAGAAAAGATGAAACGAGGTGAGTGCTTCTAATTATGTGTAATCGCGCGAGAGCAACAACAGAAGAAGCTCCTGGCGCAACCAAGTAGAAGAAACACTTTTCATCATCGATATCGCCTTCAATTTAGGGTTCCTAAGTCGACCTTATGTTCACTTCATTTATCGCTACTTTCTCTTTCGCTTACTAAGCTCAGTATTAGTTGCATAGGAAACTTTCGAAACAACATGATCCCCGGTGTGTGCAAAATCCCTTTTCGCGAGATTGCGATGCTGTACGGAACCGCGTGGAAAGAGGATAGAACTACGGACTTAGTGAAGAAAGCCTTCAAGTTATGCTGGGAAAAAAGTGTTACAGTTGCACATTGTGTTGCAGGCCAAGCAAGAGAGACCAGCGCTGTCATGCCGGATATGCATAGGAGCTTCGTTTCATAGGTGTTTTATTCCCTTTGGATTTCTGCATTGCAAGTTTTCTCCCTCATGCAGAGAAATTTGTGTTGCTGAATTGACAACAAATGTGTAACTGTAACACTTTTTTCGTGGGATACAAGGCCGGGTTCCGGGCGGTAGACACAGCCTGCCAGCCGAAGCACTACCAAGAACATCTAGTCTATTCTGAGCAAAATCAGCCGATACCCATACTCCAGTTCGGAACTCGACAACACAAACCCAAAAGTTTGAATGATGGGGAGGCAGCACGCATGACGAGTTATTTCTTTCCGCAGGGCATTGTTGCGTAGGAAGGAGAAGGACCACGGGCGCGTCGCGAAGCGGCCACCTGTTTTTATACCCTGTTACTGTGTACTTACAGCATTTGTAGAAAGGATTCCACAGCACAATAAACACGACCGGAAATCTTTTCTGTCTCGGCAGAGGAGATGCGTTCCACTTCCTTTCAGAAGATATTCCTGCGGCCCATGCGAGTCTTAGTGTCGGTAACAGCCCGCGTAGAGTATGGGTATCAGAATTTCACATGATATTTTCGGGAAGGCTCTGCGCGAGGTATTCGAGGAAAAGCTCTGTTCTCGGGAGGACGTGTGGATTCAGACGAAGTTTACCAGTTTGGACGGACAGGACAAAAACCGGATCCCCTACGACAAAAATGCGCCGCTGGACGAGCAGGTGGCGCAGTCGGTAGAGGTGAGCCGGAAGAACCTCGGCATCGAAGTGATCGACTCGCTCGTGCTACACGGCCCGGTGAAAGGGAGAGCGGATTTGACCATGACAGCGTGGCGAGCGATGGAAACCGCGGTCGACGAGGGCAAGGTTATCCTGTGTAGAAACGTAGTAGTGCTCACATCTCCGCCAGATTTGTCATGCAAATTTGCATGTTCAGAAGCAAGCAGTAGCGGAGTGTGTTTCTGATACGTAAGGGCACCATGAGAGGACGAGGGGGCACGCATTATTTCCACGACTTGTGTACGAATATTGGTTGTGCTCTAATCTCCCGGACGAAACTTCTCATGCTACTACACTACGGACCCGACCTTGTCAACATGCGCAAGAACATCTACAACATGCTGACTTGTATAAATAGGGATGAAATATCATAGAAATTTCCAATTTATTTGACTATGTATTTGGTACTTAGTATGGGTACTGCTTATCGCTTTTTACACAGGACAAAGCTGCGTTTTCTCGGCGCTTCGAACATCTACGATCTGGATTTTTTCCAGTACCTCTTCAAGGAGGCCAAGCACAAGCCCATCGTGCTGCAGAACCGCTTTTATAGCGACACCGGTTTTGACCGGGAGTTACGCAGCTTTTGCCAGGAACACGGGATACGGTACTACGACTAGTTCGCAATTTTTCTGTTATTGCAAATCAATCAATTGTTCCCCAAGAATTCTCGGTTACGTTTGATGAGATTGTGATTGATGCTTCTCAACACGAGCATGTCGTTTTGGTGTATCGTTTTTCATCTAGATCTTCGACTGCACATTGCAACGAACGGAACTCCGAGCTTGTTGAAGAATGAAACCAAATCGAAATCCATTTTTTGGAATCAGGTACCAATCCTTCTGGACTCTGACCGCCAACCCTGGCCTGATGGGCTCCCCACCCGTCCAGAGCCTCGCTCAGCGGCTGCAGGCGACCCCCGCACAGATCATTTACCGATACATCCTGGACTACTGCGAGGCAAAGTGCCCCCACCCCTCATCGGAAAGGAAATTTGTGATGCCGGATTTTAGTTCTGTGTACGCAAGAAAGTCTAAGTCATTGTCATGAAGATGTTTTCTATTTTCATAAACCTTGAGAAGCGCACGCGTCATTCTATTTTCATAAACGATAAAGGACCGGCGAGGGCCGCTTTTCGTCGCAGCCCGTTTCTTTTCGGGAGATAGCAGAGCACCTGTCTGTCAAAAGAACAAATAGCTAGTCGTTTCGCGGCTGCACAGGCGAACTAGCACCAACCAAGTACTGAAGTGCCTTGCAGCAATACAGATCTGATTTGTACTGTAGTACACGCACACGACTACTACACGTCGGCAGCACGAATTATTTCCCACTATTCGGTAGGAGGGGTTACGGGGGATTTTTTCCTTTCGATCCAGACAGCTGCGGCGGGCAGCCGCTGACGGGATGCAAGGACCCGCAGCACGTGAAGGAGGCAGTGGCGGTCAAGGATCTGCCGCCACTGAACGTGACGGACATTGCGGCCATGGAGGACATTATGTACGGGAAGAGGAGAAGCAGTCGAAAGGAATTGTAGAGATGGACTCTGGTGAAGTTGTCTACGCTAGCGCTAATATCGCCATTGCAGTACTATTAGCTGCCAGGACGAAATGAAAAAAGCCTTCCAACTGTGTATGCAGAACATAAAAAATCAAAATCTTGATGATACTCGGAAGAACGAATACTTGGATCGATCGCAATCACCAATTGCTCGCCGGCGGTGGCGGAGCTGATAGCGAGATAGATTTTGCCCTGAATTTCGATTCGTGCTGTTCGTCGTGTGACGAGGGTTTGTGGGTCGTTTTGGGAAGAAGCCGTATCATCGTGACCGATTCATCATCAATCGTGTATTCTTTCAATTAAGTACTTTTTCACATTGGAAAAAGAAAAGACTAAATTGGAAGCACTGCTTCACTTTTGGTTAAATTTACACGTGAGTAGAGCAATAGCAAAGTTTAACAAGAAAAAAAATGACACCTACTTAATCAATGCCTTCAAGGCCGCTCTCCCTATTTGAATTTGACTTAAGAACTTCCACGACTCTCTGCTTAGTATCTATTCATTTCTCATCCCATTTGTGGCCATCACTCATGGTTGGGCTCTCGCTTTCTCGGACTAGCGTTTTCGCTTTACTTTTCCACGAAGAAGATTTTTTTGATGTTGGTTTGTTGATGTTTCGTCTTCACCTCTGACGTAAAAATTGGGTCGCAAATAAGTCTTCATGAAAAAATTCATTTACTAGACCACCTCGGACGCGAAAGCGTTCGCCACTTTACTGAAGAACCCCTTTTTCCCGAAGAAAGTTGGACATCAAAATGGCTTTCCCGAGCAGGAAGCGACCGTCAAGGCCACCTTTTGCCACCGCGTTTTTCCTGTTCGCGAAACAAGTGCAACAGATTCTCTGCCTGTCCCCAGTCGAGTCGGTGCTGGCTGACGCTCCGCTCCACAACGCGTGGCAAGATCGAGCCAAGGCGATCTTGGACCACCCGGAACAGTTTTTTCTCAGTCGCGAAAACTGCCTGGATTTGGTCCGCGCCGCGGAGTTCACGCAGCAGAACTTCGGTTCCGCGTGGACGAGCGGGGACTTCATCAATTTCTACACGAATTGCGTGGAAGAGTTGAAAAATGGGAAGTTGGATGAGGGAAAGGATCGGAAGAGCGTGGCGGTACTTTTTCTGGTTTAAGAACACATAGTCATAGCCAGAATGGATAAGCATAAGGTGTTGGAGGGTCCTCTCGATCCCAGTGTACAAGTAAAGGTCGATTGTATGCTGCTCTTGCATCCATGTTGGTGAAGACCACAGGTACGGGTACCCCATGAATAATTAGAGTGAGAGATACGTACTTACACGAAAAAGCTACTTAATTTTTTATCGCAAAATCAATCTATCGCATTCGCAGGTCGGTGGCGTCCATTTCCCGACCGTTCTCACTTCCAACCACCGTACGCCGCCGATCTCCCGAACGTGGCAAGACAAGTGCTGGCCGGGGGGCACGCATCTGGACGTCCGATCTTGTTGCGAACCCGGCCCCGCTTCCGGTTGCTTCGACGATTTTTTCACTTATGACACGTGCTGCCTGGGGAAAATCGAAAGGGACGTGCCCCACCACTTCCTCGCCCCGGCCATGGACATGAATGTGGGCAACGCGGTGCGGCACTGGGGCACGTTCGACCTGGCGCAGTCGTACGCGATGCAGTCGTTTCTGAACGAGGGCGACGTGGTATTGGACATCGGCGCGAACGTGGGCGGGTTCACCGTGCCGTTGGCCGAGAAAGTGGGGGTGAGCGGGAAAGTGTTCGCGTTCGAGCCCTTCCGACTGCTGTTTCAGCAGCTCACCGCGAACGTCGCGTTGAACGGGCTGACCAACTGCTTCACGTTCCAGCATGCGATTGGGGAGTCGAACGACCACTTAGAATTGTACCAGCCGGACTTGACCAAGTTGTCCGTCCCCAGCGCCATGCGCGTGGCCGAACAGTACAAGGTGGGCGCGGAGGCGAAGCAGCAGCACCTGGCGTACCAGGCGGAGGAGCGGAAGGAGTTGGTGGATGTGAAGACGCTGGACACCGCGATCGAAGCGCTGAGGCAGAAAAAGTTGCTGAAGCCGGACCAGAAAATTAACTTCATGAAGATCGACGTGGAATTCATGGAGATCGCGGTGGTGAAAGGCGCAAAGCAGCTGCTGACGAAGGACCGGCCGCGCATTTGGGTGGAGAATGAGGCCTACTTCGACCGCGAGAATCCGGACAAGACGTTCGTCGACCTGATGGAAAAGGAGTACAACTACCTGTGCAAACCGGTCACCCATCTGGAACTCCTCTGCCGCCCGCAGGAGATGGAGCACAGCGGGTTCAGCAAAACCTTTGGGTCCCTGATGAAGGAGGTGAACCGGGTGGGCAGTCTATCACAAGGAAAAAATGCCCCCACAACCAAAGTCGCAAAAACTTGTGATGCGAAGTTTCCAAATAATGCAAACTTTTTGTCATGCATAAAAGAAGTATGAATCTTTCTGATAAAGACTCTAGGCGTGTATCGCATCGCTCGCATGACAAGCGCCACTCTCGCTGGGGTCTTTTGCAATGCAAATGTTTGCTATTCACGATTGGGAATCTGTGATGCTGATAAGTGCCAGAGAGCGAATGTTTCATTTGAAAAGGTTTGCAATACAAATGCTCCCAAGTTCGGGGGTGGAGGCATTTTTCACCTTGATACAGTCCGCACGATCTCGGTTGGTGGTTCTCACTGGGGGTGGACTACGTGGCGGAGGGCTTTTATGGAAGTGTCAGAATCAAAATTGACAAAATCCAAAAATTTGTGATGCGCAAAATCTATGCCAGTTGGAGACTCAGTTTCCAAGTGGCGCATATCAAATTTCGGGAGCACCCAAATCCAGTCTGTCATGCTGTTTGGGCGAAGAAAACTGCTCCTGTCATGCTACTCTGGCATCACATTGCATACCCCTAAACAGGCTTGCAATCGGTCTCATATGCCTGCTCCCCAATGCAGGCCTTCACTGCTCTACATTTCATGGGTTCTCTGGGTTACCTGGGTCGAGTTGGATGTGCGGTTCGATTCTTCCTATGCCCCTGCCCCTCTGGTCTGTGCCGCTGCAGCCGGAGGTGTGCGTTTTCATTCGTCAGCCGGCCTCTAAGAGCTGAAGCCACATGACGTCTGCGTTGGGGAGATTCTCTACGGTCCCTCAGGGCATTGCCCCGTTGCTCGCTCTTGGTGGGAGGTGGTTGAGCTTGCTTCGGGAAGAGTAGCCGGAGTTGAATTGGCTCTTAGCCTTTTCATTTGTGAAATCGAGGGCAGTGGTTGGCAGAGGTTGTGCGGGATATTCAGTTTTTGTTATCCCGGGACATTTGTGTTCCTTACCCACTTCCTCATTTCCTGGTTGACCATTTGGTATGGTCGACTATAGGTGCCACCCTCGTTTCTCACCTCCAGGGGCCCTGGGCACCTCACCATTGATGTTTCACTTGGTGGAAGATGACAGGGTACTACGAGCTATTACGGGTGTCTATTGTCTACATTTTATGCATCACAAATGTTTCGATTTTGTCCATTTCGATTCTGACACATCCATAGGTTTGGCGAAGCCGGGGAAATGGTCGTGGAAAACGTCATATCCTGTGCAAAAGTATCGTACTCGTACAAATGCTAATGCAGGTCTTGCATTACAAATCTTGTTTCCAAGTCAAATCTGCATTACAAATTTGATTTCTCATGCTGAGGAAATTTGTAATGCATTTATACGAGTACGATACTTTTGCAGTTCATACGTCACGCCCGGGTGACAGGGAACAGAAAAAGGGGCCGTCGTGGGGACTGTCGTGTCTTCCGGCGTTCTTTTCGAAGATGCTGCTTGAAAAATTGGTGTCTTCGTTCATGATCGCGGGAGGACGTCGAGGACTTCTTCTACGGCGGACATTGCATGCTCCTTTGTACCAAACCAAACCCCCGAGCAGGACTTGTTGCAGTACGTACGACCTTTAGTACAACGTCTACCTCAAGAACATTGCAACGAGGAAGACTTTTATGGAGTTCTTCTTGGTCGTACTCGTACTTCCACCCCAGGACCAGGACAGATCAAGAAGAAAGAAAGAACCCCGCGCCTGCCTTATGCTGTACTACAACAACTAGGAACTACTAACTTGGCAAAGTAGAGAAACGGATGAACGAACCATCATCAAATTCAAAACGACAGCGGCTGCGAGACCCATGACAGCACAGCCCAGTATTGTGGTGCCCGCGCCACGGAAATAACATCCGGACCAGGAACATGATACGGAAAACGAACTGCCGCGAGATAAAACGTGGTATAACCGATCGAACGTGGTGTACCCGATCGAACGCCGAGCTCGAGAAGTCAGCCGGCAGGATCATCGTCCCCAGCTCCAGGTCTAAGTTAGACCTCGACGCACGGCATCGATTGGAATTTTTACAAGCAGCTGTAGAAGTAGAGGAACGATGGTGCCAAAACAGAATCATGAACGGATAGGGTGATCTTCATGAGGATGGGTAACAAACTACCAAGAAAACAACTAGAACTACGAAGCACGCCAACCGGGGGAAGGGAGAGACAAAACGAACTCGCGGTGGCGGGGGAAGAATTAAATTTTATCACATATACAACCATATTTATATCAAGGACACGGGTTGCGGCTTAATGCAAATGGCACTGACTCGTACTGGAATGGATGCTACACGGGGTAATTTGAGTATCGGTTGCTGGTAGAAACACGAAAAAACGTGGAATGTCACTTCCGATCGCAGAAATCCTATCTAGTTGACTTGGCTTTTCTTGCGTATCGAGATTAAGTATGAATAAACCGAAACACACACGCTTCGTGCCGTCGAGAACAGTAATTGAAAGAGGGGATGGAGCAGGATCCAAAGAGTAAGTAGATGACACAAAGAACTACGCCACCACCGTTGTAAAAGTGCAGCACTGATGAAGCCATGAACCAAGTTCGATATACGATCTCTTACGCATAGTTTGGGTTTCAAGTATATAGCGACTTTTATCAAAAAATTAAACTTGTATTCTAGCACCACCACTCCACGCGCCGGCGAGCCTTGTTCGTTCGCTCGATGGAGCGTCTCGCGTGAAGATGATGATGCCCTGTAAAAATGCATTTGATGTGATGTTGCACAATAGCAAAAGTTCATCAGTTACTTGTAAGCCTATTTGTTGATACTTCGAATCTATTCTGTCGATAGCAATAGCTCCGGCAAGTTGAAGGTCGAGCAGCTGTCGTGCTCAGAAGGAACTTCAAAGAAATTTATTGTCGATAGTTGGAAAAATGCCTGTTGGTGTTGAGAACTTGGGACAGACCAACCTGTTGTTGCAGATGCAGTTGTATCTCGAGACAACATCAAAATAAAGTCTTGACTTGCAGTACAACGTAGTAAGTCTCGCAACAGTCGGCCCCTCGCTTGCTTATCTCGTATGTTCAACCTGAAACTCGCATTGCCAGAGATCTTGATTAAAAAGAAAAACTGCGATAAACAGATTGAAGATGTTGTTCTGGTCCCTCACTAGGTCCTTCCCTTTTGTTTTCCCATGCTGCTCACAAGTCTTGCTGTCAATGCAAGGTTCATTTTCCATCCTGCGAGATCAGATGCCTGCGTCGACGACAAAAAGATCCAATGTATTTAGTAGGCACTTGGTTAATTTATATGTTTTATCGTGCCGCTTGTGACGGAAGTGGAAAGTCTGTCTGAACTCTTTGTCGAAGCACCTCGAAGCGCGTGTATTATGTTGCGCTTTTCTTCTTCACACTTTATTTCACTTTTCGCTGAAACTAAAAACAGTCCAAGTTTGATTGGTCTTAATCGCATGTTATACAGCTTGAGCTTCTGCTAGACAGTTTCAGTGCTTTTTATGGTTCTCACTGGCCGGTCGTAGTAGTTGCAGTTGGCCTCCTTATACGCATTTATTTTTCAGTTTGAGGATCATACTAAAAGTAATTGTAGAGTTCAGTGCACGACTTTACGTTTACGCCAAGAGTAAATCCTTCTAAGCAAGTCCTGTGCCTCACTCAAATTCTGAAATTCGTTTGTAGTTTGCAAAAAGTATTCCAAAAAATGGCTGTCTTTCGCAACCTCGTCCTGTGTGGAGCCGCGGTCTGCACCAGCGTATTGGCTGCCGTTCCAGGAGGTAGGCGATTTTGCGGGTCTGCTCCGCCAATAAGAAAGTAGATGCGATTTTTTTTCCGAAAAGTGCTAGCTTCTTACCACGATCAGAAGTAAATTGATGCAAATTTTCCACGACTTCTTCCTTGAAATAAAACTGCAGATGCCGACCTCTCCCTGCCAGTGACCCCAAGAAAGGGCGGCCTGCGTTACCGTTCCAATATGACTAGCCGCAACCGCTCCAACAGCCCAGCGCGTGATGACGGTAATATCAAATCGACGTCCGCTTCCCCGATCGGCGGTGACCTGCGGAAGATTCCTTCGTTCCAAACGGAGTCCACAGAGGCGCCGGGGTCCAATCCAAACTTATCCGGAATGGACGACGGCAAGGTGGTCAGCTTCGTGGATAACAGCGACGACAGCAACTCGGAGCCCGGTAATAAGGATCTTCAGTCGCAGTTTGAGTTTTTCGGGGAAAGAAAAGTGTTGTGTGAAGATGCAGCATTTGTACAAATAGCATCTTCTACCTCCTCCTGCTAAAAGTTTGTAAAACCTCTCTTCCAGGTTCTAGCTCTCGTGCCGCTCCGCGTAAGACCGAGGAGCATTTCGAGTCACTCGCCAAGAATGCCGAGCCAGAGGAGCCGTCTCGCCGGGGATTCCTCAGCTGCTTGTCCTGCAAGAGGCGCCAGGTGGAGCCAGCCCGGGAATTGACTGTATTTTTCATGTTTCTATTTTTATTTTTTCAATCTGCTGTGCAACACGTGAAAGAACACATTAAAGTTTGCATGAAGTATTAGCAAGGGGTTGCGGCGCTTACATTTACAATGGATGAAAATACAACAAGTAGAAAAACTAAAACCCAAACAAAAACGTAACCCACGCAGGCGCAAGAGCGCGAGGCGGCCAGACGCGAGACGGCGGACATGTGGCGGGGCATGGCCACACTCGGTGTGCTGAGCGCGGGCGTGCAAGGGTTGGCGATGGCGGCCTTCTCGGGTTTTCCGGGGACCGCTGGCCAGCAACCGCAGTAGAGCGCGAAGTTCTCACGGAAGAAGGAAGAACAACCAATGGAATTACGGAATTGCCCGGTCGTCTTTTGCAGTGTCGTGGTACGTATCAAACGTAAAAATGTCTGGGTCTGGAAGGTTGCCAGGTTTGTCATGCATATTTCACGTGACTCAGGATGTCTGTAATGCATGATCTGGCATCACAAATTTTTAGAGGCCTTCCTGATGCCTATTGCGCATGACAAATACCCTCCCTGCGTAGCAAAAACTGGGCTCCTATTGCTGGCCATGCAATACAGATTTTTTTAGAGTCCAAAGTTGGCATCACAAGTTCCAACCTTCCAGACCCAGACATTTTTACATTTGATAGTACGATCATTCACAGTCGGGTGGAATCGCATGCGGTTGAACTGCTTCATCAGGGCTCGAGCAGTAGTGCGTGTTACGTCCGTCGATACAAATAATTTTTTGAATTGCTCCAAGAAAATCGGGCCTTCAGGTTCAGTGTGCTTCATAAATGTGGACGGAAAACAGTTGTAATGTAAGTAGCTGGTCGTGAATCCAATCAAGTTGAGGCGAAAGCAGCAAGAGAATCCGGCATAAAAAACTGCGAAAACCTTCAGGGCCGATCGTGCTAGAATATGTTGTACAGATACCTGTGCAAGAAGCTCGGAGATCGCAACTCATGAGAATAAGTACTTCTGCGCGCAATACTGTCTCACTAGAGAATGACATGCGACTCTGCGAGAGCGGCAACTTCCGCTTCCTAGAACAAACAGAATTTTTGGGTCCACTAAAGCCAATAATTTTTTTCGCTTCGAGGCAAAGACTTGTGATGTGCGCGAGTCTTTACGTATTTTCGTGTTGTCGCTTGTCAAACAATTTCTATTTCACCTCATAGAAATGTACGAGGAATAAAGAAGTGTCACGGTCTCGTCATATTTCCTGCGAGAAAAAAGATAAAGTTAAAGAATACAGAGTTTTTGAGGATTACAGTCAGTTTTTTTTCGCTGTAGATAGCAACGCTCAGTGCTTTTGAGTATCTTATCACGGCACGCCGATTTTTGGGTGGCAATAATTTTAGTTTTGAACGAGATTTTTACAGATTAATACAGGAGAAAGAAAAGCCATGCATCAAAATATCCAGAGCCACTTGGTTCAACCGTTTGTTACGCGCAGGTTTTTTTTTGGGATCCACCGATTTAGTACTTTCATAGCAAGTTTGGAGATAATCGAAACCACACGCTATATTCTTTAAACTGCGACTCCAGCATTCTCATAAGGATGCTCCGACGTTCACAGGCGGTGCTTCAGGTGCATTTGAGGCTCTGTGTCGGAAGCCTGCACCCCTGCGCAGGAGAGGGTTCCGTCTCAGGCTCTCTGGAATATGCAAGAATGACCATGGTCAATACAGCGTACGACAGATAAAAGTAGTACCTCGCATGGGCAGAAGAATATTGCTCTGTATTTACAAAAAATCTGCCAAACAGGAACAGGACAAGATTTCGCACGCACGGCGCACCTAAAATCTTTATCCAGAAATTTAGCTGTAGCAGTACTCACTATCGTTGAAGGGAATTTCATGATGTACGTCTAAATCACGCATAGTACGATCTTCCACCTTCACACTGGTGGTTTTATCTTTTGCAACCTCTCACACAAATCCATGTCCATGATGATCACAAGGTCATTCAATGTTTGTTGAACTTGAATTGCACTGAGATGAAGGATATCTGCAGCTCGAAAGCCCTTTTCCTACTGTGACAGGAGTAGCCCAGGAGCATGAGAAAGCGGTCGTCTACTATGTTCCAAGTTTTATATAAGTGTTGCTTGCGATTGTAGCTCTTCTTGTGCGTCGTTTGCATCTTTGACCAGAATGTATGTCATTGTACAAGTGTTGTAGTTGCAATTGCTTTAATTCAGATAGCCATGCGCTCTTCCTCTTGTTGTTTTGAATTATTGTACTCGACGACGGAGCCTGGGCCCGCCGCCCAATTCGCAGCTTCTTCTTGTTCAAAGTTGTACCGATTTGATTCGAGGTAGACAGGACAGAACCCGGAGGCGGGAAAGTATGCGAGCGGGCACTAGTTTGGGCGTCTCGTCGTCTTCCTGCTCCTCGTCAAGCAGTGGACCTTTCCATTATCGAGGCCGCTATGTTTGTCCACCACGTTTGATCCCCCGTTTGCCAAACTGCACCCGGGCTACGTCCTCCGCCTTTGCGACGCCATCTTCATGTGGCTTTGATGTTGACCGTACAAGTACAACTAGGCGACCGGTATCAGATAAACGCTGTCCTGTGCTATCGCGAGCGGCCCGGACGACAAGGTGTACCACCCGTGCAACCAGGTTCTTTGCCACCGTGGAATATCCGAAGCAGTCGGAGGTCGACCCTCGGGTTCGCTACCCAAAGCAGTATTTGGACGTGCATGCGTTCAAGCGGCGGCTTACCGAGAAAAAGCAGGAGCTGTCCCGGGCCGAAGTGTCCGCGGTGCGACGGGAATACGCAAAGCCGCCGCCCGAAGGCTGGGACGTGCGGCGGTTCCTGAAAGCCATCCCAGACCTGTTCAAGGAGGATGAGAATCAGTTGGAAGAGGTGGCAGCATTGTTCGACCCCCCGCACGGGTCTTGGGCAGACTTCGCCTCCATGGATCAGAAAGAGGTATAGACAAGTTTAAAAATATTTTCGTCGTACTAATATGTCCTCGAACTCGATAGTCATAGTTTTGAAACCTGAGTTACAACCACTTGCGTTGGGTGCAAGTAGTACGCGAATCAATAAAAGTACTCCCTCGAGACAGATCCAGATTCTGCGCTGCTCCTTCGGGTGAACGATGGTAGGAGCATCGGGTATTCAATAGGGTATCCGGGTAGACCAGGGCCCCTGCTCAGACCAGGGCCCCTGGGACCAGGGCCCCCAGGACCAGGCCCCCCAGGACCAGGGCCCCTACGGACCGGGGCCCCTACGGACTGAACGGCGTCCCGGAAAAATCTGGCACACGGCGAGGCGCGGCCGGAACCGGAGCTGTCTGCCAGCGTATCTGGGCCACCAAGTATGCGTGTCATGTAAGTCCTAGCATCGGGCCAGGAGGTGGAAGAAGGCAGGCCACACGTAATACGTGACGCAGTCTGCTGACTACCCAGAGCATCTCTTTCGCTTTCTATATAATTCCTCGACACGCGTCACAAGTTCTTAGTTGTGCAGACCCAGATCTATTTACAATGCGACGGGCGCCGTTTGTATTCGAAATGTTTCCCAGCAAAAGCACTGCTTGAGTGGACAGGGATGCAGCTCAAAGTGCTAACGAGAGACATCTCAAATTGTCACCATGAAAGTCGAGCTGTGCTTTTTTTGTACGTAGAGGGACGCCCCAACTCTTCCAGATCCAGACGCCGGCACACCAGATTCCGGGACGCCAGATTCTGAGACACGACTGGGGCCCCAGTCCGTAGGGGCCCCAGTCCGTAAGGGCCCCAGCCCCTAGGGGCCCTGGTCCTAGGGGCCCTGGTCCTGGGGGCCCTGGTCCTGGGGGCCCTGGTCCCAGGGGCCCTGGTCTACACCTTTACCATTCAATAGGCCTAAGAACTACTGGAGCACGGTAAAAAACGACAAGTAGCCCCTGCGTAGGAAACTATGATATCTGACAAAAAAAGGTGATGCGCATCCCGGGGCTGACCGGTGCGCAGCGGCGGAAGTATGACCCACTCAGACATTACAATCTCAACTGTTACAATAGAATTTGGATTTTGTGCTGCAAGAAGCAAGTGTATGATCTAGCCAACTCGCACAGGGTTGCGCATGACAAGTTCTGGAGTGCCAAACCGCACTAGAATCATCTGGCGAAATTTGTATTGCGAAAAGCGCAAGACTCTGTACGTTCCTCATTCTCTGCATGCAAGGCAGGTTCCAGATTCTATTGGTAACGTTTGAGATTGTAACACCTGAGCAGGTTATAGGAAGTTGATCCATTTTCTGACCGAATTTAACCACGGCATGTTTCCCAAAGAAGTGTATTCCGAGAACCAGCTTTCTGTGTTTGCCGGCCGCAAGTACGCGAAAGAGGGACTTCCCTGGACGGACGAGATGGACGACGCGCTAAAAGCGTCGTGCGACTTATGCATTGCAAAACCATCCTCGTACGTACGTAGTCTACGTACAAAATAACGGCAGTAGAAAGTTTTCTCAACTTCGGAATTATTGTGTGTAATCTTCAATGCAGCTGCTAAATCGATGACTACAAGTACGATACGAGTGTCAACAGAATACCACTATTGGGACGTAAACTTCGGGGACCCTTGGATCTACATCAGCAACCACTGTGAGCGGCCGGCGCGGGAGGTGAAGGAGCGGTGGCTGGAGATTGTGAAAAAGCCCCAGCAGAGACGGCAGCGCTGCGAGCTGACGCTGTCGGATTCGATGAAGCCCCTGTTGATGAACCGGCATTTTCGGATGCTACCCCCGACATTATTTTTAGTTCCCTCGAAGAAGAATTTTCCGTTGGCAAGGCTACCGAAAAGTCTAGTCGGAGACGAAGTTACAGCTGGAATAAAGGCGGGACGAGAAACTGGTCGCGGGGACGAGGAGGAAGCATCAACATTCGACATGGATAAGCTGCTCCCGAAAAACCTGCGGTCCTACCGCGACGGGAACAATTTTGGCGATGGGAAAAAGATCACCTCTGAAGCTGTGCATGAGTAGAAGACGGATGATAGTCTTCAACTGGGAGGTATCGAGGTCGGTTCTACGTCTACCGCATTTGCTTTATCTTCAGCTGCGGGTGTGTAGTGCCAAGAAGACGCTGCATGCGTAAAGTTTTCAAAGTCCATCACGATCTTTCATGCTTGAGAATAAAGATTTTAGCGGTTGTGCACCGACTGTGAATGATTTACGTTTTCAAAAATGAACGCTCGCGAGCAGCTGCATTGATTTCCGGAAGTGGCGGGCCATAGCCCATTCCCACGGCACGTCCGTCCTTCTCAGCTCGACAAGAGCCGGACGCAGACAGACGTTTCCAAAGAAGTGGATAAAAATTTTGGACTGCGACGTCGAAATGCATAGAAACTGGCTGCAATTTTCAGAATCAGAATTCAACAGCCTTGCGCGCGAGTGGGGGGAACAAAAGTTTTATTGGTCCGCAAACGTCAACGAGGGCCATTATACATGTTAGCTGCATGATTGTGCACAACTCTAACCTCAGAGAGGATGAGTGATGGGACCGCGGCCACAGGCCCGGTGGTTCGTCAGCTGAGCGAGTGAGAGCGGATGCCGAAAGGATCACACGACACCAGGCTGCGTAGAGACCACAGGCCACTCCCATTGACAAGATGACCCCCTTTCTTGCGTTCTTCCTTGCGTTTGTTGCGACCTTTGCAGGACAACGAATAAAGGCTGCGCAACATCAGCCAGGAAGATTTTTGGACAGCAGGAGAATTACACCACCGCAACAGGACGAGCATATTAATTCGGCTAGTGGTCTAACGCTTTGCGGATCCTGCGCGCACGAAAGCGACAGCGACAACGAGAGCAGCTGGTCATCAACAGATGACGAAGAGGAGGTGTCTGGACCTACCTCATCTACAACTCCATCTGAAAGAGGAGCACCTCCACCTCCAGCCCTGTTGGTACCTGATCCATGATGTCACTTGGGTAGAATTTGCTATGTCGTGGCGGAACACAAACTTCTTCCCAAATCCCCAAAGCGCTGGCGCCCCTCGACGGCTGCCAGCTTTTTTACTTCGTATGTTCTCAAAAGGTCACACCCTTCACAGTGGTGGAACTCCGGCTCTGTATAAGTAAAGGCGTATCTGCGCTGCTTCGCAGCGTCTTGTGTACTTCTACTAGATACAGCAGCGAGGCGTGCAGCAGGGACCGCGCCGCGACGTCCGCGCCACAGAGGTGGCTACGGGCGTCGCACTTGTCCGCCCACAGACGTGGGTCGAACCGTGCTCCAGCACTGCAACGAGAGGTCGCAGCGCCGGGTGCAACAGAGGCTGCAACAGGTCGGGTATCGCGTGGCCCAAACCTCCATCCGAAGTCGCCGCCCTGTGGCCCCTTGTCCGCCACGCGTATCCCGCCGGCTTTGTCGCGTCTACAGGGTGGCCCACCGGCTGTCGTGTCTCGTCGCATTGCGCCACACCACCGGGGACAGAGATCGGAGCCCGATGTCGTATGCACCTAAGCCGCGCAGCTCCTAACTAATCCACGCGCCACAGAGGTGGCTGCAACTATGCTCGGCTGGTGTGGTGTCAATCGTCCTCGGAAATGCAAACAGTTCTAAATCATGCGTAAACGTATGTAGTTGCTCGTTGGCAGAGTGCGTGCGCATAAGCAGATCGAAACATGCAAAACCCACCCCGTTCACAGCCTCACGTCCTAGATCCTTACTAGCCTGCCAGAGTGCGCACAGAGGTGCATCAACCAACAGGGGTTCCGGCTGAACCAGTGGCACAGATGGTGCCTACCGGTATGGGACGGCAACACTGAATGGTGTACCTCGTTGAACTTTCGTTCAGGTTTGAGTCGTACGACTCGCGCTCCAGTCGCCCAGGACGCACCTGCATTAGCGACCAGCGTCATCAGCTTCGCCATATCGGTACGTGACCTTAACGTGCGCGCGCGTGGCAGTCGCGGGAGGTTGGGCCCCTCCCCACCTGCTCTCGCTGACCGTCCGCTTGGGCATCGGTCACGGGCAAATTCCGATGGTTGTCGGAATTCTGTGTACAAAAATGGGACCACAGAGGTGGTTAGCCCATTCCGGCCCTCACGAGGTTCGCGCTGGCGCTGCGCGACCTAGTCCTACTTGTGATGCCTAGAATGTGATGTCTTGAGTTCGTTGGATAGATTGAGAATGAATTAGGTACCTTGTGGGCGGCAGGAGCGCACGGCGCACGAATCTACAACTCCATCTGAAAGAGGAGCACCTCCACCTATGTCTTCAACGGTCGTTAGCGTACAGAAGTGTGAATTTGCAGTGAATTTGTATTGCATGACTTGCATTTACTTAAAAGAGAAGAGCGCTACGTATGGACACGAGCCCAAGCATACCACATAGCCTGAAGGGCTGCTCGTCGCGTGGTGGCGCTTGCAGCACCAAAAGAGGTGGTCTTGCGGGGGCTCGCCGGGCTGTGTAGTGCGTATCTAGCGACCAGAGAAGGTGGGTCGGGGGGCTCTTATTCTTCTGCGCGTCTGCCTCAGAAGTTCCTCTCCGAAATGGTCGAAAGGGAGGGCGACGCCTGAACACAGGGGCACTAGTTCAACATGTATGCTCTCACGAGTTGTGGTTGGCTCGGCTTGGACTTGGATATCTGGGAGCAGCCTCGGGTGGAAGGGGAGGCACGATTCGGCCGCGGACGCTAGCTTGCTTCGCCTGCTGTGCTCTGCTCACAACTCCCCACGTGTCTTTTTGCCTCCGGAGCAAGTCTTATTCGACGTGATCCCCAGGTCAAGAATTCCCTTGGTGAATTTTGGGACTTTTTGTTTTGGCGACACTTTGTTGAAGCCCCAAAACCCGGAGTTTCTCACGCGCTAGCGAATTTTGAAAAGGAGCCGGAGGACAAAATTCACCGGCGTCCTTTTCAAAATTCACCCCAAAATTCACCGAGCGCCACTTTTCGACCGTGATAAGCAAAGTTTAGCGCAGAAAAGTGCTCAAAAAAACGCACAAGTAGACCCTGGGAAGTGGGGCCGAGGGGAAAAGACAGGCGCCCGCTGTTGCCCTAAGCGCCTCTATATTCTGCCGAAAAGGCCTGGAGAGTTCACGCGCCTGCCGGATAGACGCGTCAAAGCTCTCGGCCGGGTCCTTTCGCCTTTGCTTCCGCGCCTTCATCTTGCCTAAACTGCGCTTATGTGCTTCGCGGCTCTTGTTTTTGGCGTGTTTGCCGCGGCTGCTGCAGTGCTTGCTCTTTTGCAAGCACAGGAAGACGAAACTCACATGGCCAAAGAATGACGCCCAGGCCATGTCCAGCTGCCCGCCGCATAAGCCTGGACAACTAACTTCTGCGGTGTGCAGAACCCACTTCCCAGAAGAGCAAAAGGGACAATGTCCCGGCAGTCTCCTCTGCTATTTGTCATGCAAAATTCACTACAAACTCACCACTTCTCATGCTAACGGGTGTTAAAGCTCTAACGCATCTACAACTCCATCTGAAAGAGGAGCGCCTCCACCTCCAGTAGCTCATGCGCACGCGGAAACAGGAGTTTCAATCATACGGTCCGCACAGCGCTCTCGTGAAGTAGAGTGTTCAACACGCAAAAAAGCAGCACCAAACGACCAAGCGGTTGATGACTTCAAGAGTGACGACGACTCCGCTGCTGAGGCAATTTCCACGCTCGAGGATACTATTAGCGACAATGATGATGGTGACTGTACTAGTCCCTTACAGTGGAGCGTGGGGAAGATGATCACTGGAAAACTTTGCGGCGCAGTTTCTACTACACCATCACGGCCACAACTGCTGCACGAAGTGGAAAAAAATCCAACTGACACGACTAGTAGAAACAGCGTCAACTACGATGTTGTTGATGAAGGTGACGATGAGTTTATCACCCTGCGCGGGTACCACGGCACCGGGTTGCTCAACGTTCCCTGGATTCACCTCCTCGGCTTCCACCCGTCTGCCACCGGCTTCTACGGCCCGGGTCTGTATCTCACCAATACCCTCGCGACCGCCGAGCACTACGCGGCGAAGCACTGCCCTTTGCCGATCACCTTGCTGGTGACCTTTCGGGTTCGGAAGGACAGGCTGTATTACGACGTGCTGTTGCGCGGGGGAGGAGCAACAGCACCCCCTGGCGGAGAAGAATTTTTAGGAAACAACATCACTACAACAGATGAAAACTACGCAAGCAGGAGCCCAGCAAGAAGACCTAGTAAAAGAATTTTGGCAAACTACCGGGAAGTTTCTCCAACTCCGAAAAGGTCGCGACGGTCGGTACGCAGCAGAATTGTGTCGCCGCAGCACGACGGAAAGGGAAGTACGAGCACTACTAGTACTGCTACCTCCCAGTCGCAGTCCCACCGCCGGAGGACCTCTACCTGCGTGACGTTTCCGGAGTATGGACGGAGATACGATGTGCTTTTCCGGGTGAATCAGATTCTGGTCCAGCCAGAGAAGGTAGAAATTCTCGACGTGCACATGGTACACGGTACGGCGCTATCAAATGTAAAAATGTCTGGGTCTGGAAGATTCCGAGATTTGTCATGCAGTCCACCAAGTCTGGAATGCAGGGCATAGCATCACAGGTTCTGCAGCCCCTTGCTGATGCCCATTATGCATGAGAAATGCCCTCTGAGCATGGCGAGAAATGGGGACCTTTTGCAAGTCATGCAACACAGATTTTTGTATCATCCGCAACACGCATCACAAGTTCGCATTCTTCCAGACCCAGACATTTTTACATTTGATAGGCGCTAGGTGTCAGACTTCACAGCTACTTGTGGAATCGCAGTCCAAATCTAACGGAAGAGAATTTGGAAAAATTGGGTTTCGCGAGGGAAGAAATAGAAAGCGCTGTGGCGTGAAGATTTATTTTGGGGAAGTTGGTCAGCCGGCCCTTGGTCTTGCACAGTCGTCGCGGATGTTTTTCAGGCTACTAGGGTTGCGAATGGTCGCTCCAACTGTGTGTTTGCATGATGATGCTGCACTAGCGGATGGTGTAGCTAGAGGCGGACCTTCCAAATTTTTCCAGCAGGCTCTCTTCTGATAAGTGGATATGTAAAGATAGAAACTCTGTCGTCTGATTAAATGCAAAGACTGGTTTCATCACAGGTCGGTGTTGTAAGTTAAGTACTTCTAAGAGTAAATGATCTACAATGCGTATGCGTGCTAGCACTAGGCCATGTATTAATTAAGTAGGACAAGGTGGAATGAAAGTAAACGGTCCGGCGTTCTAGTCTGCAAAACGAACAGGAGTTGTACAATGATATCAGATAATATAATCGGCCGCACCCAGCCTTGAGGGTCGAAGTGTGGCATTACCGAGCTTTGCTTGCCAATTGCCTGTTCGTCTGCGGACGCGTTGATGTGTTCCGCGATTCAAGCCGAAGCCGGCAGCCCGCATGTGGGCGGAGTTTGTTGTCTTCATTGTGTTAGTCGTGTCGATCATTCAGGAAAAAGTGCGTCGTTTTCGAATGACTCTGTCATACTTCTCATCGAAATGGAAATCATATCCATCCAGAACTGGCCAACCCATACCCATCCAGAACTGGTCATGCGGGGGCCACTAGCTGCTCCGAGGAGGCGCCAATAGTCAAGGTGTTGGAAGTGCTGCTAGATTTATTTTATCGACCACGAAACCCAACATGTCGATCAGCTTCCCCGACCTAGACGCAGGGTTAGGACTCTGTGCTGGTCGATTCTGTTGCGCTGCAAGTCTTTTGGCCGCAATTCCTGCATGTGTCCTTGCGGTCATCAGCGCAGCTTCCGGCCTGGGCAAAGCACATGACGACGCTTTGCTAGTTTTGGCAATTCTCGGGTCGGTTTTTTTCTTTTGCGGCCTCGTGTGTTGTTGCCCGTGGATCATGCGCAAGGGCACGCCGTTTGACCCCTCCTGAGACAAGTAATGTTTTGCATTGAGAAAATGTTGTGCCACACATGAATGAGATTGTGAATAGTATGCTGAGTTTCCGAGCCACTGCTCCTCCTCTGTACAAAGAAAAATCCATATCTGCGCTTGTGAATTGGATTGCACCTCTGGCTCTGATGTTTCATGCCCAAGTTTCTTCAGTTCTGTTGGCGTCATCGGAGATAATTACACATCTTTGTCTTTTTAGGCAAGAGATAGCCGGTGCTTTTTCGTTAGTTTAACGTAGTCTTCGTCGTGCGAAAACGAAAAGTTCGTCCACAACGTTTTGTGTTGCTCTTTTTTTTTCGTGCAGGCAAATATAGCAATTGTGATTGTCTTTTTTCGTGAAGCATTGTCGTACAAAATAAAGAGTTTTCACGTCCATTCGTTCTTGTTTCTGCTGTTTCGCTTTCGTGTTTTTTGCGACGTCAGTGTACGAAACCTCTCGGTGTTCCAGATAATCATTGGGAAGCAAATCGACTTGTAGTAGTGCATGAACTTGAAGACACAAGTCCACGAACCCCGATAGACTACGAACCCCTGTGATATTAAACAAGTATCTCGTCCCAAGCACATCAAATTTCTTGTTTTTTGCCCGCAATTTTTTTGAATGCAGGGTCTAGGACCGCAAACGCAAAGTGGCTACTTGTAGTACTTACTTCCTCGGACATCCGCATAAATTTTCCCAACCACTAGATGCTTTCCTGTTGTAAGAGCATTAGCAGACCGCGTTGAGGTCGGGCAAAGTACGAGTAAAAGATAAGCTTCGCGGTGGTTGCCTGTATTTGTTGCGAGTACAGTAACAGTACGCGGCCCGTGACGGCGATCATAGAAGGTCGGTACTAGGCCGTGGTGGACTACTTTTCCAGTAACGCACCAAAAGATCCGACACCATGACGTCGACTTCTTCCGCGCACTTCGTCTACCCCAAGTCCGGCGAGAACCCGTGGCAACGAGTGCTCTCCGGCGATTCCGCCCGCGCCTGGCGCCGGTCGCTGCAGTCCACCGATGTCCGCTTCTATTCGCAGTCCAAGGGGCGGCTTTTCGACAGCCACGACCCCCGGGAAGCCGTACGGCTGATGCGGGAAAAGGAAGTGTCCAAGGAACCCCGCCACACCTGCATTCGTCCGCCGTTGGAGTTTGACGCGTCGGAATTTTTCGTAAAAGATGGTACTAGTACAACAACACCAAAAAAACCGATGACTGCGGACGGCAGCCTGATGAGCACGACGACGACCCCAGTTGTAGCAAAGCAAGAGCAGGAGCTTCCGACGTTGCTCCGGTCCGCCAGCAGCCCAAACCACGGGCACAACCTGAGCACCAGTACTACCAACAGTACGAAAAAAGTCGCGTTTACTGGCACCGGCGAGACGCCACCCACCACCGCACCGGCGAAGACGAGCTCTTCTCAATCGCCTGCAGCTGCTTCCTCCCGCGGGAGAGGACATCAAACTGCGCATACCAAAGCAGACAATGGATCTTCAAATACCGGCAAATATTCCACTATGTCCACCACCCTGATGGGGAAAGACTTCATGGCCGCACCCTGCAACAAGAAGAAAATCGTCTCCAAGCCGTTTTTCGATCCGGGCGCGACGCAGCGGCTCGACCCGGACGATACCTGCCTGTACGAGACCGCACCGGAAGACAGAGCGTGGTCGGCAGATGTGGAACACAGGTGGAACCGCCCGAACTTAACCAACTTCTGGACACACCAGACGCAATGCAGGATCGAGTACTTTTTATTTGCGTGGATTCTTTTTGGTCTATGACTATGTTATAAGATAATGTACAAGCTTGCGGTTTAGGATTTTATTCCGCATGACAGATAAATTTTTAATTTTGATTTGCGGTTTGTAAGCTGCTCAGCAACTACAGCAATATATCAAAAACTTAAAAACCCTAAACTAATCGAAACAGGTACCACAACAGCGACGTCCCCGACTTTACTAAGGCGATTCAAATCGACGACGCCGGGGACATGCGGATCAACGGGAAGTTGGCGCGGTTGAAGGTGCCGCAGTACAGGCAGAATATGCTGTACAAGGACTACTACTTGAAGCAGCTCTACAAAAAGGACAAGCGGAATTCCTCCATGGACACCAAACAGTCGCTCGACAAGACACACCACTACCACTGGAGCGACGCCGACAAGTCGTTTACGAGCGGTACTACACGCATTTTTATACGTAGTGATGTTCATTTCAGCTCATACGCACTACAATCTAAATTGAAATTATTGTTCGCAATTTCTTCAATGTTATATGCTGTTTTTTGTGGAGCTAAGGCTGGCCCGCGCTCAATCTACATACCAAAAAAAAAACATAGACGAAATTTTCGAGCCGAATACGAGCGTCAAAGCGCTGCGCTTGACCGATCTCACCACCGATTTCGCGCACCACGGCTTCCCGCGGTCGGACTGGAGTGTGCCGGGGCGGATGCAGGCCTTCCACCAGCAGCGAAAAATCATTCCGGAGGCCAACGACGCAAGGGCGAGGCGGCGGGCCGAGCTCGCGGCAATGAAGCAGCAGAGACTGGCGAACACACAAGTGTACGGCGACAACCGGGGAGACGCCTGGCACCCGGGAAAATTGTACCTGCGGGGGCAGGGAGTACAGTAATATAGGGGTTCATGATTTATTTGGGTGCTAGTAGGTACAGCTAGTTCTTTTTTGTATTCATAAATTAGTACTTTTTTCAGTGTGAAATAACACCCTAGTACCATCGTTATAGTTGCAATGCCACAAAATTAATACCTTCGTCTCTACTAAAGTAGAAGTGCTTTACTTCTACCCCGAGGAATTGTCGTCCCCCGGTTTATTTCCGAGATCCCTAAAAGTACTAAATCGTTTGTTATTGCTTGTATCCCACGACCCCAAGACTAGCTACGCTGAAAATTTGTTTTTGTTTTTTTGACCATTTGAGGTAATTTCTTGAAGTAGTCACTCTGTACTCTTCGATTTTTTTTGACCATGCATGCTTTATCCATTCAAATTCAAAATAAAGGGAGCAACAGCAGGCAATGGCCGTAGATTTTCTTCTTCCCTGCGCCAGCGCTGGCTTTTCCTGTTTCCATCTCTAAACTTGATCTTCATCACACCCCAGTCTCCATAGGAATGTATACTTCTTTGCAAAGAAAGTGGTACATGCAGAACAAAACATAAAATAACAACAACTGTATACCATTTTGTTTCAGGATAAGAGTCAGGATGTCCATGTACAAGAAAACTCCCTGTTGGAGCAAAAATTTTAATCGAGAGCGAACAATCAAAATAAACGTGAAGAAACCTTGCGGGCCGCGATCAGCTTCAATATCAGGTTCGTTGTGCCATTGATATATAATCATCGTACCATGGGCCATGTTCTTCTTTATTTATGTGGTCGGTCTCTGTAATGTGGTTCGTCTTCGTAAAGGGAAGGAAGTCTACGGTCTTGAAAGGGTCGTCTTGATGTGCATCGGAGGTGGGTGTTGCTGTATTTAGGATTTTCGTTTTTTTGTTTGGCATTGCAGAGGATCCGCGTTCACCAGAAAAGTTAGTAGCTCTAGAAAAGGTCTAGATCTTCGTCGGCGTCGTTAGGCCCATTTGGGTGAGAAAAATCCACTAAGATCAAGAGATGCGTCCTCTTATTTGTCGTGTCAGAAGAGTCACCGCAACTGCCATCCCCTGTTGTTTTTTCGATCGATGTGATGTTGCATGCACGAAACAAAAACATTGACTCATACTTGACAAAATATAACAGCTCAGGATGTTATTTTTTCAAGCTAGAAGGTATTTTTGATCCGTTTCATATTACCGTGACGGTAAATCATCCGGCCACGATTCTAATTGGTGCATCTGTATTCCACGCGCCCCTTCGTCTGTTTTGTGTTTTGTCCCGAACACGTATGTCGTGGTTTCTTTACCCAACAAGCGCGAGAATTCACGTCTCGTGGTCGTCATTCGTTGCAAACCAAACACAAGAACTACAAAGGTGATCTGATCATCTCGACTGGTGAACAAGAGTACTAGGCTGCTACACCGCCGGCAGACCCCCACCCTCGAAGAGCTGGCACGATGAAATAAAGAGGACCCCCGATAACGATAAGGATAACAACTACTTACCTGCTGCCGTTCCAAACCCCAGCTTCCGCCCGCACAATGTCTTCCGGCACCACCTCTTACGCAGAAGTGAAAAAACGCACGGGCGGCGTCCGGCAGACCGCTCCCGTTTTCGCGAATCAAGGGGGATTGATTTCATCTCCCGAGGACCCCCGCACCACCGCGACCGTACCCCCACCGCTGCAGCCGCAGCAGCTGCACGGGAAGTCGGCCCCGGCGAGCTTCACGGCCGAAGCGTTGGACACCGGCGCGTTCACACTGTTCACCCCAGAGCAGCATCCTGTTACTGCCGGCGGGGATGTTTCATCACCTTCTGCCGGGACGCAGCAGGCAGATCGACACGCGGCGAGCACTCTGGACAGGAACTTGGCCAGCACACTGGATCGCACGCTGTCGGCGATGAGAAAGGGTAAGTAAAAGTAAGTACTACTCAGCACGTAGGCGAAGATCATGACGAGTGGTTATGCGAAGACCAGATGTCATCATGCTCCGATCTTTGATATTCTTGCGTTTGCGAGTCGACAGCCGAGGACATTGATGTCCTGTACTTACTACTTTCACTAAACAACCGTGATCAAAAATCCAGAATCCGACGGCGCCGTCCCGTCTCCGGGTGACCGCGACTGTCCACCGCCACCCATCCGGAAACCCCGGAACTCGACCGAGGACCCGCTTCTTCCCACCATGTCCGTTTTTCAGCTCCCCGAGACGGAGTACGAACGATGCAAACGCACCGGCAAACTCCGCTACCTCCGGTCGCCGGGCGGCAGACGCGCCAGCGCGCCGGGAGACATGGAGGCAGAAACCTTCTACTTGAACGGAAGTGGCGGCGGTGCAGCGAAAAGCGCTGGTGCGGCCGGGAATCAGCAAGCAGGCGCCACGACAAGCTCTTTCTCCGCCTCTTCCAGCAGTAAGAGGCCGGAAGAACGACCTGCCCCGGTGGGGGCTGCTGACCAGCAACCGTCGAGAAAGCCCCAGTTTTCCCCAATGCGTGCCACCACCGTCGAGGAGATGCAGCAGCTGCAGGAAGCCGGGGTGGATCGAGCAGGGGGTGCTCCTGCGATTGTGTCACCTCAGAAGGACACCATTTTTTGGAAGATGACCGAGGAGGGATATCTTGAGCCAGCGGACACGGAGAAGGACAGAGATGATGCGGTAGTGCGATATAATTAGCTGCGCTTGTTTGTGTTTCCGTATTTGACATGATGTCACCAAAAGTGCAAAGGTGTTGTCATTGACAAAGAAAGTAGGACGAGACATTCAGATTCGCATTCATGCAACATTAATACTAACAAAAAACGCACCACAGCCCCGGTCGCGCGCCTCTGCGAGTCAGTACGTTTCTCCCGACGAGTTGCTCCGCGACGAACTGATTTCCGGGATGTACAGCAGGGCGAGCACCCTGCAGGACGATGAGGGGGATAGCATGCTGGGCAACCTCCTGTTCGCAACGATGCAGTCCTGGAAATGGCACGAAGGTCCCGGCGGGCAAGGAGACGAGATCCCGCTCCGGTTCTGATGACCACAACTACCACGGGCAGACACAATAAATATCGCGATTTCGTTTTCAGACTTAGATTTTGACTTTAACTTTTATCAAAAACAATAAACAATATCCTCGAAGATAGCAGAATTAATCGATGCATTGCGGGCCCTTTCCATCTTTCCCCTTAGCTTATGAGTAGTTTCCTCGTGGTTTACATGTGTAGAAAACTGGATACTGCAGCAGTCTGCACCAGTCAACGCTCCGAAATGCATTTTCTGGCCTGTAGTTGTTGTTGAGCTGCTGGAGAATCGAACAGCAACAGCAAGTAGTAATAGATGTCCCTGTAGCTACAACGCGAACACATTCGCAGTATTGAAATAGGGTCATGCTGACAACTAGGTAGGGACAAGAGGTTTCACTTGTCTCCACCACTGCCTGTAGAATAGTGCAACACAAAATAAAGAAAGCCGAGGCTGTCGTCCTGCAGGTAGCAACAGGTTTTTTTGCTAGTTCCCAGAACGAGAACAAAAGAGGCACACAAAGGGCGTCTACTTTCGCGTTCTTTCAGGGGCAGTACAATTACCTAGACGAGCCATTGATCATACCTACTCAAATGGTATAGTGCTAGAGGTCTGGTAGCGCACCCGGCCGGGCGTAAACATTTTTGTAACAACAACAAAGAATGTGAGTGGTCTCGTCCCGAAGAACAGCGTTAAGATTTGCGTTTCAACTATTTTTCTTTGCACGCATTGAAATCTATCCATTTCCATTTCGAGATGAGGAAGCAGCGAGAGTTGGATCGCTTTTTGCCCCAAAGGTTGAATTTTCATTGCGCGTTGCGTCGCACAAATATGCCTGTTCCTGTTCCTGCTTCGTTTCGATTTGATGCTTCATCAACTGTACAACTCTATCAAGATCAAAATGACTGATGAGCGCGAAAGGAGTTGGGGAATCAGGCCTCTCCCTCGTTCTGAGTGAGGCGATGACAAGAGCCTAACTCCATGAGGCGCCCATACAAGCGGTCTCCGCGTGGCGCTCCCTGTTTGCCTGAGTTGCGCTCCCTGCTTTTTGATTCATTGTTGGCCCTGCGGTTCTTCATTCGTGGGTTTTTCTTTCTATCGCAGTCGTACCTTGTTGCCGATGAGCTAGCGTTGCTGAAGATCTGACACGAACCCTAAACCCTTGCGCCGTCCAAATCGGTCCCGCAAGTCACGACAGCTTCGAATTGGTTGGAACGTAGTTCTTCTACCGCATTATCCCGCCGGAGCTAGTCGCCTCGCCAAGAAATGTATGTCGAAACGAAATTGACACACACAAATTTATTGTTGTGTGCTATTTAGAAGATTTAGTTTTAGTACGAGTACTACGATCAAGTGCAAGTGCGAAAATGTGGATCTATTTCCCGTTGTGTGACGAAAACGAGGGCGGTAAAAATGGAAAACTTTTGGCTCTGACTAGTTTTGATTGATAAGTAAACGAGAAACAGATACACACAGCACATCGTCGCCGCGCACCTGGGGTCATGTACAAAAAAATGTTGGTCCCTTGCTCAGTATATCTATTGCTGTCGATCAACCGCAACCAGCACAGGGCCAAATCTTCCAATCATTGCGTTACCGTCAGTGACCGCGTTGCCGAATAAACATGAAGAAGAAGGTGACCTGCCAAAAGTACTTACGAGTCGTGACTAAACCGCGGCGCCGCCACCTCTCATGCTAGTTCATCTGGCCAACGTTCATGTTGATCAAATACAATCCGAGCTAGAATCGTCAGAAAGACGAGGTCACATCAACCAACAAGACATGCACAGGCCCCTGCGTTCCGCCGTCTGGTACTACCTCTTCCTCTTGTACGCCCCGCAGGACTACAGCGCCTTCGGATTTCGACCCCTTTTACCCGTGCCTGCCCGAAACAATGCGAACTTAGCAGAGCTGCTGCGCACCGAGCCTGTCTCTGGGCAGCAGCCGGCGTGTTCCACTCGTCCGGAGCAGAGCAACGGACGACCAAGTGGTCGAGATACCCACGACAGACCCGTGACTTGGCGAAACGGTTTTCGTGCGGCCGACCTGCATGGAGAGGGGCCGCGGGGCATCAGTGCTCTTGATGCTGCCGCTACCACGGCAAGAGACCGGGAGATCGCGGCGAGCGTAGTTTTGCAGCAGAATCTGTGGCGGCAGAGGCGCGACGCACGGCGCAGTAGTAGTACTAGAGATGCTGCCGCTGTACCAGCTGCGGCGTCTGGAAGAGCAGATGCAATAGACGACGTTGACCTGCTGTTTGACGATTTTTTTACGGCGCACGCCTTTTCCTACCGGAATGTTTCGCCTGGGACGACAGAAGAGGTGTTGCACCACTCGCCGGGGGTACAGCACGACGTTCCAGCGCAGCAGGGCGTAAGAACTTCTAGAAGCCCGGCCGTCGTTCCACTCGCCAGGAGCAGGACGAGGGACGCCACAGCTGCGACGCCTCGATCGTCCTTGATTTCTGCACACACTGCTGCAACCGGTGGCGGTGGCTCAACAGCTAGGCTGCCTCAGCCTGCCGATCTTGCGGAACGGGGAAGAGGTACCCGGACGCCCTCTGCTCCCCGGAGTGCGGGCCTACAACTTCCTGTTACGCCGAGAAGCCCAGTGGTCGGAGCGGGTTCACTGGTTTCCTCCACAACTTCTATAGCCCCGACCGAACAACAAGAACAAGCTGAACGGCCAACCGTGATTGGAGCTGCAAGTAGTAGAGCACCACGACCTGCAGCTGCACATACTAGTGCAGCTGCGGGAAGCCCAAGAAGCGGAATAACTTTGACTACCACGACGACCAGGGCCGCATCTTCCGCTCTGCCCACTGATGTTACTAGTACCGACGTTACGACTGGAAGTGGTCTACTTAGGACCACGCCCATTCGCCCCGCAGCAAGAACTGCTGCCGTGCGAGAAGAGCCAGAGCAGACCCCAACTCGTGAGTTGCAAAACAACGGCGAGATGATGAATAACGCGTCAACAGTACCTTCAGAAGATCAAGAGGAGGTTTCGTCCATGGCCAAGATGTATCAAATGCAAAAATGTCTGGGTCTGGAAATTTGTGATGCTGGGTGGCGTATCATGAGGAGGCCACAAGAGCTGGCCCAGCATGACAAGTTTTTGAGCTTCTAGGTGTTGCCTATTCTGCATGACAAACTGCGTTTCTGAATGACAGAAAAGTGGGGCTCTTGGGTAACATGCATGGCAGATTTAAGAGTCATGCCAGACAAGCATGACAAACATACATTCTTCCAGACCCAGACATATTTGCATTTGATAAAATGCTTCGGCGGGTGTTAAGCTTCTCGAACCGCACCTTGTCTCTTGCCTCATCTAGTACTAGTACTACGCGGGCGCCAGGCTCTTCGAGTGACGATTTGGCGGTAGATGAACGAATTATAGGGTCCTCCTCATTTTTGATCCCGGAAGACCCTCTGCGGCACGTGCTGCGCCGCCCGTGGAGCAGCGGTAGCGTGTCCTCGTCGGCGAGCTCTAATAGGGAAGTGCGCGAGGAAGCTTATTCCCGAATGTCGCAAGCGCTAGAGTGGCGCCAAGGGACAAGCACATCTGCACAGCATCATGCGCAGGGGAACGAGGAGGAGTTTGTTCCATTCGCGGAGCAGCATCAACAGGATCTTCTTCCGCCCCCTCCACCGCCTCCACCCCTAGCCGGGGTACCTCCGCCACCGCCGCCTGTGATAGATGAGGCAGGTGGTAGAAGAAGCAGAAATGTTGACCGGAACTACCACTCGAATCGTGAAAGCGGAGGGCAGGGGGCGGCAAGAGTGCCCCCGTCAAGCGGCACAAGAACTTCTGCGGCCACACTTGGTTGGCGGCAAGACCGGAGAGGGCACCAGGAGAGCAGCGAGAGCCGGAATTCTGTTGCACCAGCTGCGAACAGAAGCAACGCTAGAACTCCGTCAAGCACGACCACAAACGGTACGCCGACCTCCCCCGCAGAGGCGCCTTTTTCCACCGACAATCACGTCAACCGCAGGATCATGTCCTCCTTCCCGAGGCTAGCGCAGCAGAGCGGTGACGGGAGCAGCGCGCAGCCACAGAATCCTGACGTTCTTCCTCCGCAGCACAGCAGTACGCCGCGAGGGCGAAGACGGGAACAAGCTCACACACCAGGTGGCGTTGCGCAGTTGTCATCATCTCCGGATGTTGATCATCAGCCACGCAACTCCAGCACTCCTTCCCCCAACAGCGAAGACGAGGACGCCCCGCTGCAAACCCGCAGCTCCGGTTCTCTCGGGAGTGCGTCCTCCCTGCACGTCGAACCTGACGAGGACGCAATTTGCGTCGTGTGCATGGAATCCGCCCGCAGCAGGTCCGGATTCGCGCCGAAAACCACACCGATAGAGATGGCGTACGAGAAGTTCCTGCGGGTGCTGGCCTATTGGTGTGGCAGTGCGCAGATGCGGCGCCAGTTCCAGCGTGAGGAGGGGGAAGAGGCGGGGGATTCTGAACAGGCCGACGACAATCTTCTGCCTGCTGCAACTGGTAGTGGTACCCCACAAACAAATGTCCGCGCACAACGAGGGTGGAGGCCAGCGGTCCTTATAGAAGAAGGCGATAGAAGCACGAGGACCATGTTTTCGCCGAACGCTGTTGACAGTTCGCCCGTGATCATTCGTAGCCGCAGCGCGGGACGTCGATCAGGAGGTAGTAGCACGTCTTCAGGGCTCCACGGAGGTGGACAACGAACTATGACGGGACCTCCAGCTGCTGCACAGCACGCTCTGGAGGTCCTCGACGTGCAACCTCTAGTTCGGTCCCTTTCTCTGGGCGAGCTGGCCGACCAGCTTCCGGACGAGTCGGCCGTGGCGGGCGGCCGCTTTTGGTCCGTCCACTTTGTCGGTCCGCGCGGCTTATCAAATGTAAAAATGTCTGGGTCTGGAAGAGTGCGCGATTTGTCATGCAGCTTTTCCATGACCCATGAGGTCTGGAATGCAGCGCCTAGCATGACAGATTCTGCGCGATCTCTCTCATGCCTATCCTGCATGAGAAACTCCCTCCCGACTTGGTCAAAACTGGACGACTTTTGGTATTCATGCAACACAGATTTTTCATGCTTCAGATTTAGCATGACAAGTTGCATTCTTCCAGACCCAGACACTTTTACATTTGATACGGCTTCAGCCCGCTGTTCCGGGTGCGGCTGCCGCGGTTTTGGCGAAGCGGTGGAAGTGTGGTGGAGACCACAAGAACTCGAAGTGGTCGTACGACCAACGGCGGTACTACACCGCGAGCGCCATCGAGATCAAGGGCAAGAACAGGTCGTGGAGGAGAGGCAAACTACTGCTCCGGTTGTAGTAGAACAACATCATCGACCTCGTCGTCGCCCACAGTAGAGTCGAACTGGGTACAGCTACAGTGCTGCCAGGGCCGGCAAGGGTTGCACCGGGAGTGTCTGCGCCTGTCGCATTACAAGTGCCCGTTTTGTCGCAGCGTGGTGGATGCAGGGGGGCGGCAAGTCGTCGATGCGACAGGGCGGAGGGCGTTGGAAAGAGGAGCGGCGGAGTAAAAGTCCATGTGGCAGGAGCTGACGTGGGCCGCGAGGCTTCATTGCGCATGATCAGCAGAACCTGCGCACCATCAGCAGAACCAACAAAAGGAGTTCTTCAACGGTTGGCTGGCTGCTCTTGCCAAGGAACGTGCCAGCCTTTGCTGCAGGGGGGCGTGGCGGCCAACGAAATAAAGTTTTAATATTTGCCGATTTGTGAAAACAATATGCTTTGACGTTTTGGAAGCTCGATAAATTTTCATCATTATTCTGCTGCCGTGTTGAGACCGCGTCTGCTGAGATATTGATTGTTGTATTTGGGAAAATAGCTGCTTTACGCATTTGCTCAGTTCGGTCACTTATTACGACCGAGAATTAATATGCCGCAAATGCAGAGTATGAACATTTTGTTCTGAGTGTTTGCATGAAATAGGGTGCCTGCGTATAGGATACAGACCACATCAAAAGAACGATGAGTACGTTAGGCCTAGGAACAATTGAACTGCAAGCACGTACTGTTTCATCCTCTTCTAGAATAACAAAAAATATTCTGAGGCGTAGTTTGCAAAATGCCGAGATTTGTATGATCTTTGTTGATTTTAGGGTTGCATAGCTTGCAATCGGCCTCCGAGACGGTTTCTCGAGAGAAGCGAAAATGAACAAACGGAATAACGGTGTGAAAGACTCCGCGGTCGTTCTTTCGGCGAACGAGGGCTAGCCGCTGATGTTCATCGTTGTTTCGTTATTGAAGCTTGAAGCAGATGAAGCCACAAATGATCAGATAAGGGCACGGTCCCAGGCCCACGGTCATCACGATAAAACACTGTAAACTGTAAACTGATCAGTGAAATTCTTGATGCTCACATCGAGATCGAGAGAAGGACGATCGGTTCATACTGAAGACAATTGTTGCTTTTAGCTTTTGCGAACGAGCTAATCTTACGCGGTCATCGCTTTCGAGCAAAGACCTATGCTGGAGCTGATGCAGTAAGTGCTTGTCTCTATAGTCTTACTTTTCGGAACAATTCTCACTCTTGCGACCTCGTTTGCTCGTACTTGTTGAAGTTCCAGTTTTCACCAGTACTTGTTTTTATCATAAAATGTAGCCCTAGTGGCAAAACAAAATGGCGCCAACAGAAGCAGGCACTGACGACGCTGCACCGGCACCGCACACATCTGCAACAGAACTCCGCCCCGAGCTCTCGTTCGTCACAACTCTTGCTCGCAGTGTCGGCGACCGGATTCGCGCCAGCTTTGGCCTCGGAAACGACGTTATCCTGAGTAAAAACGTACCCACACCAGAGTTGTAATGCAGATTTGCAAAGACAGGAAGACTTGTAATGCGCATCCGCATGAGAGCCATTTCCAGTCGTGTTTTGGAATTTGTGATGCTGTGAACAGGATGAGCAGATGAATCTGTGGCGCGGCTGCACTTGCTAACCTGCACTACACTGCAGAGTGCAACTTGTCATGCGTGACTCACAAAGCTCCTAGGTTTGTGTTGCAAAATCCCCATCCTGGCTCTGGTGTGGGTAGGTTTTTACTCAGGATAGACGTGTTTTTTGATTTATCGGACGTAGACATCAAGTTGAAAGCCTCCGCCGCCGACCTGGTTACCGAAGTGGACGTGGCGGTAGAAAAAATAATAACGGAAGCGATCCTGGCCGACTTCCCAAACCACAAGATCCTCGGGGAGGAAACCGCGATCGAGGGGGTTTCGAAACTGACCGCGGACAAAACCTGGATCATAGACCCGATTGACGGGACGACCAACTTCGTGCACGGCGTGCCGTACGTCGGCGTGTCGATCGGGTACTACGAGAATTTTATCAAATGTAAAAATGTCTGGGTCTGGAAGATTCCTAGATTTGTCATGCAGATTTTCCATGACCCATGAGGTCTGGAATGCAGGGCTTAGCATGACAGAGTCTGTGAGGTCTCTGCCATGCCTATCCCGCATGAGAAACTACCTCCCAACTTGGTCGAAAGTGGACAGCTTTTGGCACTCATGCAACACAGATTTTTGCATTATTCGGATTTAGCATGACAAGTTTCAATCTTCCAGACCCAGACGTTTTTACATTTGATAAATTTCGAACCGGTTCTTGGCGTCGTTTACAACCCGATTTTGGACGAGTTGTTTGCGGCGGAACGGGGCAAAGGAGCTTTCTTGGAGTGCTTCGAAAGTAAAACAAGAAAGCCTGGATCGACGAACATCACGGTGCAACTAAAGAAGATCGCACTGTCACGCCGAAACGCGAGCAGCAAAACACTGCAGGAATCTCTTGTAGGAACAGGGTTTCAGGTACAGGAACTGGCGAAGTTAAGAGACACGACCCGTCGGGATGAACTGGATGAAAAGCAGATCGCCGCCTTGCACCGGATAAAAGAGACGGTCGCGAGAAACACCATGGCCGTCGTGCTTGAATCCCGGGACCTCCGCCGCTCCGGATCCGCGGCGTGCGACTTGTGCAACGTCGCCTGCGGGAGATTAGACTGCTACTTCGAAACGGGCATAAAGGAATGGGACGTGGCTGCGGGAATCCTGATTTGCCAAGAAGCGGGTTGCGTCATTGCGGATTACACGGGAAAAATGCTCGCGAAGGAACTGGATGGACGACGGATCGTGGCCGCTGCGAATCCAACAATCATGAAACAAGTCGTGGAGCTGATTGAAATGTAGAAAAGGACGTTTTTGTTTGCACTATCGCGAGGACTTTCCGCCACACTCCATACCACTACGTGAAGATTGATGGAAAATAAACACACAAAAGCAGGTCAGCGATCATCGCTCGCTCCGCCTCGAACTATGCTGCTAAGAACGCCGTTGATTTTGTCGTCAAATAGCACAGCACAGCACAGCAGCCACTATATCAATCTCATTAGTAGTACAGGATAGCACCTTTCCGGAGGTTTTGAGTACAGTAGAACCGTACCGCCGAGCAGCCGACGCCAAGCAAGAGCACGGCTGCAACTTTGTACACGATGAAGAAAAAAAATGTTCCTGCTATGCGGAAGAGAGTAGAAGGCAGCTGTGAAGTGGCTTTGCTTTATTGTTGTTCTTTTTGGTGGTTGTTTAGTATGTAATGTATGCAACGTCGCTTTTTTTGATGGCTCGATCTCGAGATGATGGAGCGAGCTTGGGGCGAGAGAGCAAGAGTTAATTTGAGATGCCTGTACGCAATCGCGTCGGACGCTTTGAAATTAGTTCATCGGTAGTGCTCTCCGGCCTGTCATCATTGTACCTTTTGAAGAGAGCTGATTCTTGTTTAGGCAAACTTGGTTGTAAATTAATGGACCACGATCATCTTTCTTCCACGAAAACGAATTGGCCTCGATGAGCAAGTGAATCTTCTTCATCACTTGATCGAGAACGAATATAGGCATTTGGGATCAACAACTACACCCGCACCCGTACCTTCTCCATACGGATTTGCCACTCTCTCACCAAGGCAGCTTCGCACTGCGACGGCCCACGACGAGAACGAAATTCCGCCTCTACCACCACGCTTTACTCCTTCGTCACGCTGCTGCCTACGTGGTTTTGCGGTAGTGCTGGTGCAGTGTCTGCTCCGAGGGAGACAGCACAAACATCAGGAGAGGTCGCCAATCGGAAACAGCAGAATACTTTTTAGTGAAGAACGACCATCTTCGCTGAAGGAGACCCCCCTCCGACCCGAAAATGGTGACATACCGAGCGGCCACAATAGACCCCACCACCAGCGCCAACGAGGAGCAGATAAATTACCGAACGGTCGGCAGGAAGCATGGGGGCAACATTGTGCACAGTGCGAAATCAAAGGCTGAACAGGCCGCCTCATCAGCGTCTGCGCCGGTATAGTGAGTGATGTTGTTCAATCTAGCCACTTTTCTCGCAAAGAGAGATGAAGATTGATAAGGTTCATTTGGTTCATTTTTTTCATCACCGACAGCAGGTGCAGGCAGCAGCACCATTCATGCTGCCACTGGAAATCTCAACAGTGCCACGACACTGACTTGAAGAACGTACTATCACAATCGCCGTATTATTTCATCACAGACGCCCTCCATCCCCTCTAAGCTGGAAACTATCCTCTTTCGCGGCGAACGCGAGAACAAGGCGTTCGGCAGTCGTGCCCTCCGCTTCGAATCCGAGCGAGAGGAGAACGTAGCGGGCCCCGGTGCGTACAGCATAGGGTCCTCCATCGGCAAAATCCCCTCCGGCTGGGGCAAAAAGGGCACGGGCGGGTTTGCGTCCATCACGAAGAGGTTCCACGTACGGGGGGGCGGAGGCGCCGCCCCCGGCCCCGGGGCGTACACGATTCTGAACCACTCCGTCGAGCAGCACGTCGCGCCCATAGCGCCGGGGAGCGCGACGCAGGCGCCGCCCTCGGCAGCTTTCGTCCCGGCACGGCATAGCAACCCGCTGAAGAAAGAGGACGAAGTGCCGGGCCCGAAGTATGATGTCAGGAAGGACTTGCTGCAGAAGGCGGATCAGGGGACAAACGCCTTCACCAGCGCGTCAGAACGGACGTTCGGGAAAGTGTCAACGTCGCAGCAGGGGCCCGCGCCCGGGACGTATACGGTAAAGAGGTGATGATGAGGAAAACTTGCTAGTGTCGTCCAACATGAGCATTTTTGCAATCTGGATTCCACCTTGATTTGCATTGGTTCTGTTTGCTTGGTGGTAGGGCTGTATTCCTGGTAACAAGTTAAGTACTTTTTTTGGAACTTGAGGACACACGACAGAGACACAGTAGATCAAATTTCCACTAGAACCTGCGTTTTACGACATTATCTATCAGGTCGAAAAAAGTTTAGTCCAGCCCGATCGGCAACACATGAACCGTAATTTCGCGAATCCGACCGACCGGAAGAAAGTCAGCATGGCTCCCTCGGTGGTGCATAACGTGGCAACTAGTCTGAGTCATGCAGACAGAAAAGGCGAATTTGTTAAAAACGCCGTGCAACTAGCGGAAAAAGTGCAGCCAGAACCGGCCTCATACTCGCTGCCCAGCACGCTGAATACCGGGGCCAAGAATCTAAACCCAAATACAAAAACGGTATAGGTACACCAGATGATGTTGCTGCGTCTTTTGTGTCGTGCTGCACCGGGACTGATGAGGGTGGAGTTTTTAGTTTCATCTGCAATTCCCGATAAAATGTGCAACTACCATCCGCTTTCGTGGCATGACAAAACAAGCAATTCGAAACAAAATCAATCAGGTTATTGTCGAGCGCAGCGAGATGAGCTCGAAGAAATTTGAAAAAGTGAAGCAAGACCGCGAGGAGGCGAAACGCAAACAACCCGGCCCGGGGACCTATGACCCGGTGTCCGCCTTGCACGCCGCGCGACCCAGCGTCGCGCGAGGAATCAGTGCGCTGAAAGCGACGGAGGAACAGCGACCGTCAGAAGCAGTGGGGAACCGCGCACCCGGACCCGCGTACTACAAGGTGGCGCAGGGGAAACCGGGAAAGAAGAGCTTCCACTTGAACCTCAAGAGTGCCTGGGTGTCGTAAGGGGTAAGGAGAATTATTGCGGCGAATAGGCGTGGTGGAGGCGGCCTGTCACTCGTTGGCAGATATTTCTCTACTCGCCTCCTCTCATCCGGGGCTGCAGCAATACCTATTGAACCTTTTGTAGAATTAGTGAACCCGCAACCGCATTGTCGTGCCATTGGCATCGACAAAAAAGCATGAATCATTTCCTTTGAGTTTCGAAAATGTACGAGTAGGCCAAAACAAGCAAAAGCGGATATTTTTGCGAGGGATCTGCATTGCGATCGCCTTTCTCCTGCGACCTCGTTCTTCAAATGAAGCCCTGAATGCACTTTCCACAGTAATGTTCCATCTGGAGGAGCTCTGGATACTTACAATTACGAAGGTCGGTGATTTCTAAACTGTAGTATGAAGATGAAGTGAGCGTGAACGAAATTGCAAGTCGTCGGTTTTTATTTCAAATATTACGGAGCTTCTGCGCACGTGGTCAGAATTCGCGTCGGATCCCCTCGTGAAATTGAATTTGAAGTGAACCGTGTACCTGCATTACGAAGATCTTCCGTCAACGTGAGAAATGGATCGATTGTGAGACAAGAAAAGCGCCCGCTCCTTGGCTGATCCATCAAATCAGTGCATGCGACAAATGATCTTCCGAAAATTAATCATGTGCATGATTTATATCATTATTTGTTCTGCCGGAGTTCATCAAAGTAAGTTCAAGTTTCGCTGATCTCGCGCCAATTTCATCTCTCATTTTTCCGAAACAGCTCCCCCTGCAGGCACTAGATCTCTTTTACATAGTCCTGCGCTGATTTTCTTCTCGCGGTAGCTTCCTTACAAATTGCATCAATTGATTCTCACTTGATACTTAACTTGTCCAGAAACAACTCTAAGTGCGCAACACTTAGTTTTACAGCACCACACAACTTACATCAACTTTTCGCCGTACTACCCCGTTATCGACCATACCACGCGTTGTACTTGCTTGTCCCCGCTAAACGGTTCCGACCATCTATTAATTAACGAAAGACTCATCTCTTCGTGAGTCCCTCTTCGTTTTTATCACCGTCTCCTTTGTAAAGAAACTGAGAACCACGACCACCCCACACTTCCGACACCATGGCGTCCCGTACGAGATATGAAAGTAGCTCCGAAGTTGGCGTCTTTGCACGAGTAACCAACAGCTACGCGTTGGTTGGGCATGGCGGCTCGGAAAGTTTCTACTCCAGCATACAGAGCGAACTGCCGGAAAACTTTCCAGTTGTGCACTGCACCATCGGCGATTGCAGAATCGTTGGCAGATTGACGGTATCTACTATGTTGCTTTAGGAACTGCTTGTTGCCATGTTGCATGAAAAGGTGGAAGAGAGACCGACGATTATTGTCATGCAAGAAAAGAAAACGCGAAGGAATTATCAATTATGGGAATGTTCATCTTGCGGTTTCTGGATAATTGTGCCACTGAAAAATAAACTGAATCTTCATGATCTCAGGTCGGCAACCGCCACGGGCTTCTTCTTCCTAACACCACCACCGATGCGGAAATGCAGCACCTGAGGAACAGTCTCCCCCCGGAGGTTAAGTTGCAAAAGGTCGAAGAGAGGCTAAACAGCCTAGGGAACGTGATCGTGTGCAACGACTATGTTGCTCTGGTCCATCCGCAGCTTGATAAGGAAACGGAGGAGATCATCCAGGATGTCCTGAAGGTACTTTTGAAGGAGTTGCTGCATTGGTAAATTTATGAATTTTTTTTACTGGGAATATAAAACATGCATGAAAAAAGACCGGTGTGGTCAGTTCATTTGCACGAAGAAGCACCGCATGGTGCGGGAAAAACTGAAACGGCTTTCCGAAATCCATTTTTTTTTACCAGGTTGAGACCTTCCGGTACGCCATCGCTGGAAACGAGCTGGTCGGCAGCTACTGTGTGCTGACCAACAGAGGAGGATTGTGCCACGCACATACACCCGTTGAGGAATTGAAAGAACTTAGTAATTTGCTGCAGCTGCCACTCACTGCAGGTACTACTGTTTTTTTTGCATTTTTTTCACCATTTATATTATTTGCTTCAACTGTAGCACGAGGACGCGCATGGCAGCCCCCTTTGTGATTCTGTTCTTCGCAACCCAAATTCGTCCGATTTTCAACATTTTCATATTCTGCTCATCTTACAGGTACCGTGAACAGAGGTAGCGAGGTTGTCGCAGCTGGCGTGACCGCGAACGACTGGCGAGCATTCGTCGGTATGGACGCAACCGCGACGGAAGTTGGTATAGAACAATTCATTTGTGCACATACATAGATTTAATAGATGCTAAGTAATACTTCTATGAGACGACCGGTTAGTTTCTTGACGCGCATGAAAGATGATTTTCTTTTCCTGTTACTGTCACTGTTTCGCATGACAATCCAACATTCAACACAGCGGTGGTGGAGAACATCTTCAAGCTTCGCGAAGTCGACGACAGCATGGCCGGAGCGCTTATCGACACGCTTGCATAGGAAGTTTAATCCTCATTTGATGATTATCGGGCTGGTTTTCACGACCTGCGGAGGAGCAAAGTACAGGATTCACGACATCATCAATAATGCTTGGTGTCTTTCTCCTGCTGTTTTTGTTCTGATGTACTACTAAAAAGAACTACCGCGTTGATTGGGATTCGGATTTCACATATTCGCTTTGTGGAAGATCAAGATCACCTTTGACACGGACAGAAATGCGACTGTAGTGGCTCCAACTCCATTGTGCGGAGGAGCTTCTTTGCGGGAACAGAACAAACGGTCACGTCGTGTGCTGGAACTTGGAAACCCTGCTGCTTCTCTACTGACAGCACACAAGGCGGTTCTGATGAAAAGTGGTAAAAAGGAAGCTGGAAGTGGAACTACTTTTGCATATGTAAGGAACAACAACTCGTGGCTTCGGAATCATAGAGCCACTGGACTTTTTCAGCATGGAGACTGATGGTGTTCTGTTTGCGCCGCATGGTTCTTCTCGGACGAGAATGCGCACCAACTTGTTGTTCAAAACGAATGGCCATTTTTCTGTGGAACAAGCCGAGGCACACTTCGAAATCGTCTTAACTTATTGTTATTCCGAGAGGTTCGTCTTCGTCCAAGGATTTATTGTGTCGAAAACCGCAAAATGTTAAAGCTTTGCTGGTTCTGGTTTTCGACGCTGACCTCGCTTTCGTTTTCGGTTTTGCACAAGAACATTGCGTACATCTCGTTTCTTCCGGTGCTTCTAGCCACCCCCCAGCACCGCTTCGTCTTCCCGATAAATCCTTTGACGCCCCGCGACTCGGTGAAATTCCACCCGGAAACAGGGCACGTGTTTCGGGTCTCCTTTGTCGGCGATGAGGTGCGCGGGATACAACAGTATTTCTGCAATACAGGTGAGGAACAAGGCGGACGCGATGGAACCACTACTGCGCATGAAGACAACTCCATGTTTCAACCCTTCTCCGTGTATGAGTCGCAGGGCGCGATGGTGTGCAACAGACAAACCCTTGATGACAATAAGGAACCCGTTGTCGTACAAGAAGCACCCTTCGAGCACCCAGTTTTCTCTTCCCCGACGGAATTGCAGTTTTTACGTGAAAACGTGCGGTGCGAATCGCTGCCAGAAATAATGGATTTCAACACGGGTGGCGGCGGGACGAGCATTGAGGAACGGTCTGGAGGAACAATATCGCCCACTTTTTATTTCCCTGTAACGGCAGACAAGGTGAGTGAAAAGCAGGCGGAAATGGATTGGACAGTCGGAGCGGCTGCAGAGCAGTTGGCTTCCAAACTGAACAATTACACCGAGGGCCTTTTCATCGGAGCATCTTTTGTTCCGGAAGATGATTCCGGTGGAAGTACAACACGCTTTATTTCCTACCTTTCAAGCGCCCTGCTATGGATCCAAGAGGAATGCTTGCGCGGAAGCTTCTTCCGTGACATGATGGACATTGTGCCGCGCGAGGGGTTCAAATTCAATGCTCCTCCTGCCGACGGCATAGGAGCAGTTTCTCCTGCTCGAACATCAACTACACATAGTACGACCCTCAGGGAAGGAAAACGAGCCGAGGTTCTAGAGCAATTCAAAAAGAAGCAGCTCCGGTACCGTGTGGGCAATTTGGACCAGAATCTGATTCTGAAGTACTGTGGCTGGTTGACGCAGGGCAGCGCGGGTGGGGACAGTTTGAGTTCGGTTTTGTCGACCGGAAAACTGATGCACAGTGTCGTAGGGCAGTTGTTGCAGATGAGGACACGACCAGATTTGACCACTTCTCAGAACAACCAGGAAAACGTAGACGAAGACTTTGAAGATGAAAAGCAGATAAAAATGTCACCATCTTCGACGACGGCGACGGCGCGAAGCTCACCATATCTTTTCCGTAGCGTTGCAATTGTTTCGGCAGACGGTTTTGCGCTAGAGCACTTGGTGGAACTCGTCTCAACGTCCGACGAGGAAGCTGTAGAGAAGAAAGCTTTCCGCCTGCAACCGGATGGTATTCTGTCTCGCGTCCTCGGGGATGCGGGAATTCCTGCCCGCCATGACCTTTTCGTTGTATCCGAAGTAGAGTCATCCGGAAAAGCGCTAGTTGCGGCCGCGGAAACCGGGAGTGGAGGCACCGCGGAGCGGCCAAGTGAGAATCAGATCAAAAAATCCTTCGACCCAGAAAAGAAGCTTGAACATGTCCAACAAGATGTGCTGCAGCACCACAACACGCAACTTGTCGCTCACTTCGTTCAGGACAGGCACGGGGCCGAGGTCGACCTTGCGACCCAGATTTTGTCGATTCTCCGACGAGATAGCACTACTACAGATGCCGCCGAGAGGACCGACGAGACGGGTGTACCTCCGCTCCTACGACCCATCGCGAAAGACGAATTGAAAGTGGATTTTTTGACAATCACTTTGGCCGCTCCTGGTTGCTCACTTTACCAGCAGCTTTTCCAGCTTGGGCTCCGACCGAAGCTCTTCTCCATCCCCATCAATCACAGTATTCCACCGCCTTTCGAGTACGCACCGAACAGGAGACTGGGGGCGGAGATTGACGCGTCCTCGAGGAGCAAAGGCAAACAAACAAGCGAGGGTAGTTCTCGTGCAGATTATACTCAGAATGAGAACGTCGAGGAAAACAGTGAGAATTCCGTGGTGGACGCCATGTTGAGCGACTCGTCGATCCCAGACATAATGAAAATCGCCAAAGTCACGGCTTTGGAGGGCTGGGAACTTTCTTACGCGCGACCGAATTTTCTGCCTCACGGCTTCACAGGTACGGCGTACGTCCCGCAAGACACGGAAGACCAACTGAAAAAAGTGCTCCGGAACCGTCTGTCCACTTGCAGCATCTCTTATGTGCTGAACCACGTGATATTGCCCTTGCTATCAAGCGGAGATGATGATGAAGGACAAAAAGAAAAAGCAGCCGCCACACTAGGGCAAGCAGATTCATCATCTTCATCTGCGCCCGCACTGTTTATTTACAAGATGCTGGTGTACACTGGTGACGTGGCGGTCTTTGCAAGTACAGCTGCACTGGAGGAATTCCAGTTAGCGCAACAACCCACGAACAAGGCTGCGACAACGACAGCAGCAGCAGCTCCAGATGCTAATCTCGTGGTTGAATTAGAATTCCCCGGTGTACTCGAGCAAGTGCTGTCCTCTGCGTCGAAAACCACCCTACTGGACGAGTTTCAGTGCTATCTGGAGAGCGGGATCCGATCCGACGGGTTGTTGTTTCCTGTCCGCTTTATCCGGGACTGGTTTTTCGCGGGCACAGGTGCTGACGCGGTAGAGCGAGTGTCATCGGAAATCCGTTCGAACTTGATATCCAGGAAAAAAGCTGTGTTAGTGGAGGTGTCTATTTCTTGGTGGAGTCCTAACAGAACGACCAATTTGTTCTGCGTGGCAGACGAGAAATCCTGCCATGCGCAGGTGCTGCGTGATGTTGAAAACACGCATGAAATAAACGGGAAATATAAATATGGCTGGCCAGCATGACAAATGTAAATCCCAGCTCGGTAATACTTACATACTTTGCATTCATGGATACACTACGCACAGTTTTTTTCATGTTGCATATTTGACGAGAATAGTGCAGTACTTGAAAGGTGATCCTCGCGGTATTGTTGTAGACAGCGATAAAGAACTACCAGCTCGTCGTGGTCCAGCAGAAGTGAGCAATACAGATACCAAGCCTGATTTTTTTCTCAGTGTAAGAGATCTCAGTCAGCACGAGTTCCATCAACCTGAGCTATCTACTTACAACAATTGACCAGCACGAGAAAAAAGCGTGCCAGTGATGGTGTTCTTGTAGATCTATGTGGGGCGCTGACTGTTCGTACACATTCTCGAAGAACCCAGCACTGGGGTTTTTTGCCGAGCAGCTGGCCATTGCGACTCTGCTTGTGTTATACGCACGAGTTCTGCGATGCCGCATGTGTTTGTAGATCTTTTGTGATTCGCAGTTGAGCCGGAGGGTACTTTCATGACAGAAAGAGTTATTGCACTTGCGTGAGAGTTCAAGAGTAGGTTCGAAGAGTCTTTTTGTACTCGGGGAGTGTGCAGTAGTCGTTCTCGTGCCTTGAGTCTTGACCTGAGTGCCCAGAAATGTCGTGAGCACCCGTTAATATTCAGTGTGTGTTTCTTACGTTTGCGTTTCTTGACAGCAGTGAGTTCTGGCATTACACGTACTAGTGCAGCTGATAGCTCGCCGAACAGTTTATGCCGGACAAGATGAAGATTATAATTGCATCCGACTAGGAAATAAAATACAAAGATCCAGCTCCCCAGAAAATGATGGACCAGTACAGTACTATGATGCCTATGTCTCTACCAGGCCAGGAAGAAAACGGCTCTTCTTCCGGGGACTCAATGCAGTGGGCGGTAGAGCCGCTGCTAGAAAGCCCGCTGTATTCCCAGCAGGGTCTTTCCCTCCTTGCTCTCCTGAATGCGCCAACGCGGTCCAGCGCGGAGATTGAGCCACACATCGCAGCGACGCTGCAGATGGTACTCAGAGACATTTGACTGCTCAAACACTAATTAGGAGTCCGACCTGATCAGAAGCAGATGGACTTTGTCACGCTCACTTTCTAAATGCTGCGATCTTCTAGGATATGAAAGAGACATGGTTATTTGCAGCAACTTCACGCACTTCTTCGTCGAGATGATATTAACATGCAATTTCAGGTATCCCGTTCGGTTCTGGACAAACTCGCGACGCGCTTGTTGGTGCACTGGAAGACGAATCACACCGAGGAGCGGAGAAGAATCGCCGGTCAGCAGCATGTTGGCTCACAACTGCAGTCTGCCTACTTGGCTAAGGAACACACGACCGTGGTGGACCCGAAGTTGGCAGTTGCAAATCGTGATTCTTTGGCAACTTCTACGTTAAATTCCAATACCGCACTAAACGCTCCTCGCCTGTCCGCCGCCGGAGTAAGAACTGGCCCGACGCCGACGGAGCATCTGATCTGCACACCAACGAATATGGACAGCGGCTCCACGCCGAAAAGCGAAAGTAGCCAAACAAGCGCGACAGCGGGAGGCGCAAAGTATGGGGCAACAAGCGGGTCAACTTCAAGCGCAGTCGGCCATGCAGGAGCTTCCTCCAGTGTAGTTGACAACCTCGACGAGGAGTTCGGTTTGGCGGACCTCACGATTGGTGCGCCGAATATTGTCGGCGGCATTGCGTTATGGATTGCAAAGATGTCTGGGTCTGGAAGAATGCAACTTGTGATGCTTTTTTTGGAATCTAAAAGAATCTGCATTGCATGAACAGCAAGAGGCGTCCAGTTTTTGCTCCGCGGAGAGGGCATTTGTCATGCGGGATAGGCATCAAGATACCCGCAAAAAATCTGTCATGCTTGGTCATGCATTACAGGCATCATAGCCCATGCGAAATATGCATGACAAACCTGGAAATCTTCCAGACCCAGACATTTTTACAGTTGATATGCGTTTCCAACCACGCCCGGTGGTTCCTCGAACTCCAGTCCAGTCGGGTTTTCATCAGCGCCTGGGGTCGTGACAGACGCACCGGCTGCGACGAGATCATCATCTTCATCCTCCTCGAATACAACTACTACGGGTAGTTCGACTGCGGGTGCAGCTGCACCGCTTCTGAAACCCCGGGCTACTGCCTTACCTCGAACGCAGGATTTTATTTGCGAGGCTGGTGTTGAAGAAGAGGAAGCAGGAGGACATGATCATCTCCTACCCGCGCCGCCCGAGTACACACTGGCGCCGTACGAAGGTCGTGGCTTAACTGCATCTGGAGGGGTCATCGCATCAACATCTTCCAACGCTGTGATCCCTGCTCGGGAGCACGATGATCCACCTACCACCTCCTCTCCTGCCCACGAGAATCACAGCGATTCGCTGCCAGGTTCCCACGAAGAATATGAAAAACTGGAGGTCTTTATCAAGTGTAAAAATGTCTGGGTCTGGAAGGATGTAACTTGTGATGCGCATTTCAGAACACACAAAAATCTCTGATGCATAGGCAGCAAAAGCTGCTCACTTTCTGTCACCAAAGTGGGGGATTTGTCATGCGGATTCGGCATTGCGGAAGCTTCTCGAAACCTGTGATGCTAGAGCTTCCATGCCAGACCTTCTGTGTCATGCAGAAACAGCATGACTCTTCCAGACCCAGACACTTTTACATTTGATAGTCTTTCCCGCCTCCAACGGCGGCAGCGTGGACCAGCGATTGCCCTACGAGCCGCCCAGTATCAAATGTAAAAATGTCTGGGTCTGGAAGAATGTAAGATTTGTGATGCAGGTTTTCCATGACCCATGAGGTCTGAAATGCGAGACCCAGCATGACAGATTCTTTGAGGTCTCTATCATGCCTTTCCTGCATGAGAAATAACTCCCTCTCAACTTGGTCAAAAGGGGACAGCTTTTGGCACTCATGCAACACAGACTTTTGCATGATTCGGATTTAGCATGACAAGTTGTAATCTTCCAGACCCAGACATATTAGCAATGCATACCCAGTTTGCACGAGCAACTGATGGAACTGCGCCGGAAGGCGGCGCTAAACACCAGCGCCGTCAAGAATGGTCGTTCTTCATCGGCGAGCAGCAGCTCCTCGTCTTCATCGTCGTCGTGCTCAAGCTCTAGCACGTCGCGAGCTGCTGGTGGGAGCAGGAAGACTGCTACGGGATCGCAGTCGATATCTTCGCAAGTGGGAGCGGATCAAGTGTTGTTGATGAATATCAATATGCCACACACGTCAACATATCCTGCCGAACATGATCATTCTTCAGCAAAATCGTCGCCCTCTGCAGCGTATGCATATGCAAATATGTCTGGGTCTGGATGATCGCCAGGTTTGTCATGCATTTTTGGCATGACCCATGATGCCTGCAATGCATGACCTAGCATCACAGATTTCTAGAGGGCCTCCTGATGCCTTTTCCGCATGAGAAATGCCCTCTCCAAATAGCACAAACTGGACTCCTCTTACTGCTCATGCAATACAGGTTTTTTTAGAATCCAGAGACAGCATTACAAGTTCGCATCCTTCCAGACCCATCAGACCCATTCATTTTTGCAATCCATACCACGAACGGTCCCCTCTATTCCGAGTACCGGGTGCGGCAGCTACGCCTGGGCGGAGATGCAGCGATGGTGAGTGAGGGTGGGGTTCCGCAGGTACTGAAAATCTCACGTCTTTTACTTTTGTGTACGCATGTAGTTCGTGATCATCGTGTAGGCTTGCACAAAGATGAAATTATGCCGAACCGAAAAACTTCAACTTACTCACACCGAGTCACGTTTATTGACTGCTTCCTCCTTGTCCTCTTTGTAGGTGTCCGACCGACCGGCCACGCACGACGAGCCCAGCGCACCGCAAATCGTGGACCTCTTCCCGCCGTTGGATCGGACTGACAGCAAAAAGCGAATCTTGACGTACGACGAAGCCAACAAAGTGTACGATCGGCTCTGGCACACCGCGGTGAAGGACGTTGCGAAAAAGCGACAGCTCGAGGAGGAGCGCCTCCGCCGCGAAGGGCCGCCGACGCACCGGGAAAACAAGACTTTGCGCGAAGTCGTCGCTGGGCGGCGGGCGAGCGACCGGCTCTACCGCGACGCGTCGAGGCGGCGAAAACGCAGCGTGTCTTCGGAAAGCATGGGATTGCAGGAGACACACAGCTCGGTGTTGATGACAGCAGCTTTGGGGGGTGGAAGAAGCGTGGAGAAGGTGAAGGGAGAAATATGCATTGCAAAAGTATCGTATTCGTATAATTGCATTACAAATTTCCTCAGCATGAGAAATAAAATTTAGCTTGCGAACAAGATTTGTAAAAAATGCATGTTTGCAATTACTACGAGTGCGATACTTTTGCACAGGATAAGAAAGAAAGAAGAGCGACTTGGGCTCGTCGATTGCGACGACTTCTGGAGGATCGAAGCTGACGGATAGTGGCTATCAGCAAGGTATAGGGATACAGATATTACGTTTCTTACGTAGATACGTCGTTTTTCTTTTCTCCATTCTAGGAGATCGGAACCGCAGCTCCTTCTGCGAAGTATCTTTATTTAAGTATACACAACTTTCCAGTGGTCCGGCGTCCCCGCGTCCAGATGCGAACCCGCAGCCGCTCCAGCAGTCTCGGGCGGGAAAGCGTCGCCGAACGGCTCTACCAGGAGGGCTTTACTTTCAATGAACGCAGAAAGCGGATGCAGAAGGAGTACGAGAATGCGCTGAAGGAGCTGTCCAACCGGGCGGCGTCTAACATCGGCAACAAGAATATGGCGTTCTCAAATGTTACATTCTCAACTGTTACATGATTTGTCATGCAAAATTGCAATCAGAATCGACACGATCAAGCTGCTGCGCATTACAAATTCTCGAAGAGCCCAACAAGCTGGGAATCTGTGCGAAATCTGTCATGCAAGACGCGCAAGGTCCCCTCTTTCACTGTTGCCGCCCTTGCGTCACAAATCCATGTAACAGTTGAGGATGTAACAGTGGAGAACGCCATAAAGAATGGATCTGGAGATCATGCCTCTAGTACCAAGCCGACAAAGGCGAACTCCATGAAACAGTACGAGGGTGCACTTGTGTCCAAACTTGTTGACAAAGTGTTTGCCAATGTGATGGCACAAGAGCAGAAACGAAAGCGAGCGGAGTCGCTGAATTCGCAACCCCAGCCAACATCTTCCTCATCGGAAGCGGAAGTTCCGGATGAAGGGGTCAAATCGGGAGCGGGTTCGAAGGTAGAAATCGTAAGTCCTGATGAATTTTGTAATAAAATTCAAGTTTGAAGGTCAATTTGGAATGTAAATGTTTCTCGGAAGCTAGAAATTATCGCGGAAAATTAACAATACAACGCAACAGCAAGCGGAATCTTCCCCAGCGGATCTCGGCACGCCTTCCAGTGGACCCGACGCCAGCCTTGAAGTTGAGGAGCACGACCATACCGTGCGACAGAGCGAGTCGGGGAAGAAATTGGTATATCAGAATGAAATCTCATTTTCTTGCAGAACTCTCTGCTTGTTAGACCCTTGTCTCGCAAGAGATCACGGGACGTTGCCGACAGCAACATCTGATGCCCATAGTATTGCATTCTGTTTCTCTCTGCGCGTGCGCGATCATGTTGACTATTAGGGACTTAAAGAATAATGGATAGAAAGATCGCTTTCGACTCATCTCCATCTGTACTTGGTCTATCCCGCAGGTCCAGGCTGTCCGTAGCAGCTCATCTTCGAAAACGCGACGAAAATACGCCCCTGCCGGTAATATTTTTATGGAGGACCATATCACGAGAAAAAAGTGTTACAGTTACACATTTGTTGGAGTTTCTGTATCACAAATTTTCTCTGTGTGGCAGAGAAAACTTGTAATGCGAAGATCATAAGGGAAAACAGGAAGGAAACGAGGCTCCGAAGCATTTCCTGCATGAGAAAGGTTGTCTCTGTTGCTAGTCTTTCATGACAATGTGTAACTGTAACACTTTTTTCTTGCGATAGACCACGTGCTGAAGAACTTCTCCTCGCCCCTGCAACTGCATATCAACTGTAAAAATGTCTGGGTCTGGAAGATTCTGACACTTGTCATGCGCGTTTTGCATTAGCCCTGATGTCTGTGATGCGTGCCCTAGCATCACAGATTTTTTGAGAGCTTCTTGATGCCTATTCCGCATGACAAATGCCCTCTCCGCGTAGCAAAAACTGCATTCCCCTTGGTACTCATGCAATACAGATTTTTTTGGAATCCATATGCAGCATCACAAGTTGCATTCTTCCAAACCCAGACATTTTTACATCTGATACTGCAAACACTGATGCTGAAATCCCCGCCTGCGTTGATCACCATCCGCGGGAAGGAAAAGCTCCTTAGCGCCCAGCCGCTGCCCGGCGGGGCGACAGTCTTCGTCCGCGACCCGAGTAGGAGCCGAAGCAAGACGCGGGACCAGGATCGGAGCGGGAGCAGGGTAGATGACAAGCATCAAAATGGTGTAGTTCTTACAACGACATCAAGTGCGGTAAGTTCAGCGACCATAATTTCCGCGGGTAGCGATGAAAATGCTACTTCGTTCAGCACGGGAGGGAAGATGAACAATCAGCAGATGTTGAAACTACAGCACCCGCCGGAGCAGGAGAATTCTTATTCCACATCTACCGATCGCATCACCGCGAAGAACACAGCAGCTAACGCCGCGACCCGACCCCGCAGCGTCAGCGAAGACGCGGGTTTAGCGGATAAAAATTATCATGCCGCATCTGGTAATAGTATAACCGGCTACAAAGGCGCGAAGCAAGAGCACATCGTGAATAGCAGTCGCCACGCCAGCACCGGGCGAGCAACACAATATGCTAGTACGACAATGAACAGTACGCCCCCAAATGCAACACAGTTTGGAATTGGTTCGACGACGAGTTTGACCTCCAGTGTGTTTTTTGCATCGCCCGTGCGGTCGCTGAAAAGTAACAGCAGTCCTTACGGAATGATCGCCGGACTGGTCGCGCAAAACGGTGGGGGAACAATAACAAACAGTGGATCCAAGAAGCCTGCGATAACCTCCATGACGTCTGGTTCCCCAATGAAGCCCATGTACAATCCGCCACCAAGACCGCATTACAGCCAGCTACCGCGGCCGATAGACAATCAGACTGCAGGAGGTGGCTCCTCTTTCACTATTGGGCCAACGACAAGTGGAAATACGTCGGGATCGCTTCCGACATCCCTGGCTGCGCAGTCTCGTCCCGGGTTTCGACAAGCAACCACGAGACCCAGCCCACAAAAATCGTCAAACTACTTTATGCAGCGGGTGTTGAAGACATGACCATGAGGGGGGAGGTAGCGAGCAGCTGTTTCAAAATAGAAAGAACCAGAGCGACATCAAAACTACTTGCAGAGTCAATGGCTGAACTCAACCGAGCGAAAGCCTCTGTGTGCGCAATCACGTTAGATCAAGTACTCCTAATATGAATAGCAGAACCGACCTGGATAATTAGCTTGCGAGCATCGACGATAAAAAAACGAACTTGTTTTCTTTTGTTTCAACCAATGTAGTCCTACTAAATCAATGCCACAGGCGTCCTGAATAGGATGCAAAAGCTAGAAAACCGAGAGGTCTCAGGCACCGTAATGGTTACACTATAGAACACTTATTTCACGACCTGATGAATAATGAAAATGATGTGAACTCGTTTTTTCTGTTTTACGTCATGGCCAGATAGCTTGGACTTCGGAACAACGGAGCAGGAAAGAAGGAAACAAAACGACAGAGCTACGGTAAATGAAATCGGATGAACCCTGCCGCTTTATTTGAAGTCAATGAGTGTGATGTCGAGATAGAAGAGAAGATGCATGGTTTGCCACTACTAGCCTTCACGGCCAGAAGCGGACGAAACGGTTTTCAAAGCCAAAGTCCAAAAGTAGTTATGTTCGCTACATTGGCGTGGTTAAGTAACGACTTGGTCTTGTTCGTGCTGGTCGTGTTCCACTCAACATGCCAGCGAAAGAATGCAATGTGCTTTAAAAGTTAGTGACGATGAGGAGTTTGTTTTCGTGCATGATCAGCGTCTGTCCCTGTTGTTCTTACTAAATGCTAATTTCTTTGTTCGTGGTTCGTTTTCATCTTTGCGAACCTTAACGTGCAAGCAACACCAATCTGCTGCCAAGAAGTTCTTGTAAAAAAAGTACTTCAGAAACAAGTCTTCCGAGCCCTCTACTGACTGTGACGCGCCGCGTTGTAAATCCGCTCGTGCACCAGTAGACCTAGACGAGCGCAGAACTTGCCTAGAACTAGGAAGAAGGAAGCTCATGTCGCGACACAATTTTTTGTAGAAGCTGCTCCGCTTCTTCACCCGCCAGTTTTTTTTCCTCGGCGCCAGTGCTTGAAAACGACCATTGTTACGGCTAGAAGTACCGCAGCAGGAGGACGCAGGGCCGCAGGTGGAAGTTGTACTTAGCTCGCTCATAGGGCGGGAGCCGCCACGCAAGATCGTCATGTTTCGCAGCTCGATCACTTCATCCTCATCATCGGCGGTGATGATGGGACCTTCCTCGTCGTCCGCGACTGGAACAGCGACGCAACATCTTCAAACCTCCAGAAGTAATACAACTTCCTCCTCCCAGTCCCACCCCCCAAACGTGCTCGATACCCGGGAGCTCCGGCGGGTGGAGCTCGCGAGAAAGGAAATCAAGGAGGAGATTGAGCGGATATCCTCCGAAGCGTACCGCCTCAAATACCGCATGCAGCAGAGGAAGGCCCTGCAACTGCAGGTCTCCTCCGCGCTCGCACAATGTAAACGGGCGTCCAGCCACACCTGGGTCAGTCTGCGGATGAACCTGGAGCAACCGCCGCACTGCGGCGCGGCGGGAAAATTGATTGAGTCCTTCGCGGGGCTTTTTTTGAAGAAGAAGGTACTTGTTTTTCTACGTTAGTTACTTCTTGGCCGTGGCCCAAGAACTGCAACATGTTTAGTAAAAGTTTAAGATGCCGTTGCGACTCCGTATTTATTCGACCCATAAAATAATGATCGCATTTATATTTATTCTTATTCTTCGCCATGCAAGGTCAACACCAGCCAATTGCCCCAGGACGAGTGGGTGGGCATCATCCGCCGCCTTTTCCGGGATCCGCACCTGCTTCTCGCCAAAATGAAGCGAATCGTCGAGGACCCGACCGTATCAAATGTAAAAATGTCTGGGTCTGGAAAGTTGGAACTTGTGATGCTAACTTTGGACTCTAAAAAAATCTGTATTGCATGACCAGCAAGAGGAGCCGATTTGTGCTACGCGAGGAGGGCATTTGCCATGCGGACATGGCATCAGGAAGCTTTCCAAAAATCTGTGATGCTGGATCATGCATTACAACCATCATGGGTCATGCCAGACAAGCATGACAAGCCTTCCATTCTTCCACACCCAGACATTTTTACATTTGATAGACCGCCACCGACATTGACGACGAGGGGCAACAGGCAGCCGCCTACGAGCACGCGTTAACGCCTGGGGCGCTGTTTCTGATGGCGGATTTGCTGGAGCGGGACAAGACGGCGCTGCGCAACAAACTTGGCTCCGGACCGGCGAGTTTGGTGGAAAATTTGCAGAAATGGCTGCAGGCGTTCGGGGCCATGCACTTTGAGAAAGGTACCACACATGATGTATAACGCAGTGAGTCAACATCCGACTGACGTGTTCAATTCTACTACGTTCGAACACCAGAAAAGGGGAAATTAAGTTAGTGAAGTGAAGTGTATTAAAAACAAATTCGCGGTTGCGGATGATGACGATCGTGAATTCATCGCAGATGACAGCGAGAGCCTGTCCGCGATTTTGAAGGAGCACGAAGAAGACATCGCGGCTTTGCGGGAACGGGACGACGAGCTGATGCAATCGGCGATTGACATCACCAGAACCTCCATCAAGCAGGAACATCAAAAGGACAACAACTGCTTCAACAACGACCGCCTGTGTTCCACTTCTAACTCCCAACAACTTGTTTCTACTTCTTCGCAGCAGCTAGTACATCCCGTCGTCCAGAGACAGCCGTCCGTCCCGACAATTCCCGAGGAAGCAGATGACGCAACAACGTCGCCGAGCGTAGTTGTGAACCGGCAGACAGTGTGCAGCGTGGGCAGGATATCGGTGGAGATGGGCGGGGGTAGAAGTAGTGGCTCTTCTGGAATTGACGCGGATCTACTTCACAGCACCGCGATATCGATTTCGAACTCGCAAAAGGTCGTACAGCAGCAGGAACACCAGCAGGGACTTTTGCAGGTTTCGTCTGCATCCAAGGACCAAGTTGGAGGAGGTACTAGTAGCAGTACCACTACGACTTCTACTGCATTGAACAATTGTCGCAGTCCGCTGGCGGCGCACAATACCGGAGCGGGCAGTTCCAGTTCGAGCTCATCGAAGATCAGCATGGGCTCTTTTCACAAGCGGAGTGTCAGCTGCATTCAGGGAGGTGGACATGGAGGAGGGATGAATCCGAATGCCAATCAGAATTACGGTGGTACCATCAGTCAACACCAGCAGGGCATGAGTTCTAATTCCTCTTCATCGACGGGCACGAATGGCTTTCCGATGTCTACTTTTCGTGGCAGCACCTCGCCTAACCGGTACCAAAACGTGGTGCCCCACAGTCCCACGACAAGTTCCTATGCAGCTTCAACGAATTTTCCCGGCGGAGGCGGTGGACCTGGACATCAGACCACATTGCTACAGGCCAACAAGCTGCTGCGCCCCATGAGTGCGGCGGCAGCGAGCGGTGGGGGCACTTCTAGCAATGGGAAAATAAATACAGCAGGAGCTGCAACGAGCGCAACCACGACGAGCACTGACTTATCGTCCTCGAATAGCGGGGCGAATAATCTACAGCGGCCGGCCTCCTTGTCTATGGTGCTCGAGTCGGTGGATAACGTCAATAACGCCACGTCCAGTAACAAATATCACATATTCAACACGCCGAACACGCTGCACGGCAGTGGTATCAAATGTAAAAATGTCTGGGTCTGGAAACTTGTGATGCTGGGTGGCGTCTCATGATAAGGCCACAAATGCTGGCTCAGCATGACAATTTTCTGAGCTTCTAGGTGTTGCCTATTCTGCATGACAAACTGCGTTCCTGCATCGCAGAAAAATGGAGCTCTTGGATAACGTGCATGACAGATCTAAGAGTCATGCCAGACAAGCATGACAAACATGCATTCTTCCAGACCCAGACATTTTTACATTTGATAAGTGGCAGCAAGCAGCAACTGTCAAAGACACCCACGGGGTCGACCTGCAGCACGCAAATCTATCAAATGCAAAAATGTCTGGGTCTGGGAGATTGCGAGATTTGTCATGCTTGTCTGGCATGACTCTGAACTCTGTGTTGCATGGCCGCGAAGAGCTCCGCCTCCCTGTCATGCAAAAACGCAGTTTCTCATGCGGAGTACGCAACTCAGAACCATGGAAAAAACTTGTCATGCTTGGCAGCGCATTATAGTGAGTTCACTATTCCCTTTCTTGCATCACAAGTTTCCAGACCCAGACATTTTTGCGGTTGATAAAATCCCCGGGTCGACGACTACCTTCTCCTCCGCTAGTCCCTTGGACGGCGACTACGGCGCGAGCTCGAGCCTGTCCCCGCCGCCGCAGCACGCGGACGCGGCCTGTTATGACACCCTCAGAATGGAAATCCTCAAAGTGGAAATAATTTGTGATGCATGAAATGCGACACCAAAAAGACTGTATTGCAGAGAACGCAATGGAGGCCGACTACTGTGCTTCTACGGGTTCAGAATTGGCCTGCTGATTAGCATGGGACAAGGGCACCCCTTTGCCTAACTAGCATGACAAACACGCTTTGAGTGCCCGGGAAATTTGTCATGCGCCGACTATAAATGGTGCTCGAACTGGCGTCGTTTTTTTGCATTACAAATTATTTTCACTTTGAGGATTTCCAACCTGAGGCTTTCATATGTGTCGCCAGCTGTACTGGTCCTCGGTGAAGCGGAGCAGGGTCGAGACGAGCCGGCATATCAAATGCAAAAGTGTCTGGGTCTGGAAGATTGCGAGATTTGTCATGCATATTTCCCATGACCCATGATGGCTGCAATGCATGACGAAGCATCACAGACTTTTAGAGGGCTTCCTGATGCGCCTTCCGCATGAGAAATCCCTTGTCCGCGTAGCACAAACTGGACCCCATTTGCTGGTCGTGCAATACAAATTTTTTTAGAGTCCAAAAACAGCATGACAAGTTGCAATCTTCCAGACCCAGACTCTTTTGCACTTGATACGGCAGCCAAGCACACTACTGCCACCGTCGGTGGCGAATCGCTGGCAGCCGTCGGGATTCGGCACGGCGACGGGCAGGTACAACGTATTGAAAGCGGGATTTGTGTTGTGCTTGGACCTGCCCTTATTTCTCTTCTTTCTTCAGAGAAAGTCAAAAAATATGAAACGCAATAAACATGCGACGTTAGTAGATGTCAAAAGTGGATGAAGAACATAGCATGTAAAGGAAAAATCGAAATCCAGTATAACATAACACCAGCTGCAACACATCCAGCGGTCCCGTGGTTAACCTGTCCAGCCGTCCGCTCAGCGGCGCTTCTACAACCCACGCTTTCGGCTCTACGCTGAAGCCGCACGCCAGCAAGCCCGCGCCGAAACGCATCAGCCCGTCGCGGCCGCTGCAAAATCATACCACGCAACCGCACGGGGCGTCGCAGCACACAACGACAACCTACCGTTCCCCAGATCGCAGTCGTTTGTACGCGCACGTCTCCCCGGACTCTCGGCTGCAGCGGCGGGGGGGAAACACAGGAACTATGACCCATCAAAAGCGTTCCGTGGTGGAGCAGGGAATGCAGCGCGTCAGCTCGGAGAAATCGGTCATGCTTGGCGGAGGTGGAACATCGGCCGGTGCGCACCAAGCGGGCAGCGGAGGCGGCACGGGAACCGGGTCACGGGGACACACGAGAGCGAACACAGCGCATCAATTCAGCCTGCTCGGACCGGGGAACCAACACAGCACCAGTAGCTACAATTCCACCGTCGCAGGGGGTGGCTCTTCCAGTTCGACAACTGCGTCCACGACCAACGCGGGTACTATGGGGTCCACCAGCACGCTCTCAGGTGGTCCCCGCCCTCGCTACCTGTCGAATTCCAGCAACCACACGCAGGCGAGCCGGACCAGTCCGGGCCCGCACGCGGCATACGTGCACCAGCCGGCTCTGTACCAAAACCAATCCCGCACGATCACCAACATCTTTGCGCCCGCGCCGCAATCATCGTTACCAAAGCTGGGCGGCGGGACGAGTAGGGGTGGAGCGACGACCGGGTTTGGTGCGAATGCGAAAGCGACGGTCAAGGCAAAGGTGAATCATCGGCACATCTCGCCGACCACTGCATCGTCGTCGACGAGAACGAATCTGCAGCAGGGGAATATTAAGCCTGGTACTCGTAGTAGATATATTGATGTTAGATCGTGCTACTTTTCACTTCACTTCACTTGGTTTTGCTTTTGATGCAATTCTAAATTGTATACAGTTTTTGTTTTTGGTCGTGTTATGGTGTTGATCTCATGGTCTCCAGAATGGAAGACAATGACAAACTACACCGTATACCTGTTAAACGAAAAGGTGGTACCAACTTGACCACGGGGCTCCGAGTGAGCAACTGCAGCATCCGACGCTACACCTCGCCCGAACAGGCACCCCCGGGCACCAGTCTTCCCCTGACTAGGCAACGGAAAAAGCGGAGCATCGACCGGCCGCCGCCGATCCGCGAGGAGGTTGGAAGCTGCGCGTCCGCCACGGAGAACAAACACAACTCCGACGAGCAGCTTTCCAAGAAAGCCTCGGAGCCCTCCTTGCCCCCACCGCGGAAAGTTTCCTCGTCGCAGATGACAGTCGTGGCACCGCCAGATACGGTACTACTTAATAGGGAACTGTGGGTTTTCTGGTTAGCGCACTTCTGCTGGGAATCGGAGTCGTGTTTAGAGATCACATCCAGAGGACCACCCGTATGTACTAGGCTCACGAAGATCCTCTTCTTCGGATCAGCATCATCAACATGACATGGTGCATAAGTACTTACATAGACTTAGACTTCATCAAAACCCATGCCACAGCTCAACATCGACGGCGTAGACGCCTACGTCCCGAGCGACGACGAAATGATTCCTTTTGAAGTCATCGACCGCCGCGAGTTGGAGTCCGATACCGAGGTGGAGCTCAAGCGCTTAGCCGAGATCATCGTTACCTCAACTAACGCCGAGGCGCCGCCGCCCGCGCCCCCAGACCCAACGGCCGGCGCCAACGCCTTCCAGGGACCCGTGCAGAGCTCGTTTTGCCCCGTGCCAAGATAAGTGGAAGCTGTGACGTCGTGGTGTTTTAGGTTACTAGATAATTATCGACAAACCGTAGGAGGTGGGATAAGGATAAGGAAGCATGCGCTCCACGAGAACAAGTAGTACATAATGATGAAGATAGATAATGTTGAAATGAAACTGAGCCGCAGAATTTTGCTCGTTTGTACATTATACGCTTACGACGCTTAGTTACAAGATGGTTAATATCGTACTGTGAATACAAGAAGAACAACACCAAGACGGAGTCGCAATCCCTTGCCTCTGCCCCAGCACTGCAGCACATCAACACCGCGACACGAACGGAAAAAAAATAGTTTTCAGCCCTGACCAGAATGCCACCTTTTTCCACGAAACGTAAGTTTGCCACAACTCCAAACGAGAAACGAAACAGATAAACAAATGCCATCAAATAATCTTCGAAACCATGAACCGACCGTACAGCGGCAGTGCAGGTGCAGCGCCTCGTGAAAATAAAGCTTCGAAAAGTACTTCTACTTGTAGGACGGCAGAATCCACGGAAACACAAATAGAAACGTAACTTGAAAGCGATTGATGTTCGTGATGATTTTATGGCTGCGATGTCGAGAGATGGTCGGTGCCAGAATAAAGCAAGAAGAACTTGACTGGGTGCTTCATGGCACGGCATAGAAAACATGATTTTTTACTTTTATGCTTTTTTTCGCTTAGCAAGTACTTACTTTCCGCAGCAGAACCCGGGTACACATCATAGAAGATCGAGACACCTTTCCGCTTGTCTTTCTGCAGCTTCGCCTCGGGTTCGCAAGATGAAGAGTGCGCTCAACTATTTTTTATACGTTGCGATACGGTCCTGAGGACAAAGTGTCGCTTTTCAATCGCAAAGTTCCGTATGAATATGGTTTTTTTTTGAAGATAGTTTACCCGTGCACGCTGCCATTCCTTGCAATTTTTGAAACCGAACTTTTCGCTTTCCTTACATCTACACTCCACCTTATCCACTATTATGTTCAAGCGCTCGCCAATTTTGCACAAGAACGGAAACAAGAACGGCACGCCCCAGATTACCCGGACTAGCAGTACAACCCAGAAGCTTTCCGACGCGGCGCAGGCCGGGGGCAGCCCGTTTTCGATGCAGGGGTCTTCTGGAGGAGCTGGAGCAGCTGCCAGCGGCATGACGACCGACAGCGACCGCGACGAGGAGCAGGCGCTTGCCTCTGGGGAAGAAGGCTCCTCCTCGAGCAGGAGCCGCTTCTTGGCCGCGAGCAGCCCGCTGCCGCGAAAACAGCGGCTCTGGGTGGAAAAGACGACCTGGCGCAGGTGGGAGCACGAGGTCGAGAATTTTCGGGTTTTCTCCCGCCCGCGGTCGGTGTCGGTACTGTATCCTGTGCAAAAGTATCGTACTCGTACTAATAGCAAATGTGCATGACAGATGTTTTTCCTAAGGGAAAACAGCAATACAAATTCCACTTTCCCTCTTGCCAAAATTTGTGATGCAATTTATACTAGTGCGATGCTTTTGCAATGCATATGCTGTGCTGCCTGTTGACGGTGCTGTTCATTTTCGCCTGCTGGAGCGAGGTGGAGGAGTACAGGGAGACAGTAGAGAAGGGTGGGAGAATGACAGATCTTGAACGCAGCGCGCGGACCGGTGTACCAGCAGCCGAAGGAGGCGACGATCCTTCGAAGTACTTCGCCGAAACCGGTATGAAAACGGAGTTTGTCAACACGGTTTGCGGTGAAGATCGGGTCGACACATCAAAGAAAAAGAGGGACGTAGAAGAAGCAACAGCTCCTAGCATGATCCTTTGGCCTTGGCAGCGTCATGATGAAGCGGCAAGTGCAGGCGGAGAGGACTCCGCGACACCGGATACAACTACAGAGCGCCGCCTTTCGCCGCCAATTTCCGCAAATCAAGTCCCCCGCGACCCTTCTTCGCCCCTTACCGTCGGCAACCCCGCAAAGTTGCTCTGGAAGGGCTGGCTCGCGTCCTCGGTGCTGATCCTCACCGTGGCCGCGGTGTCCTTCCCGGATGGGCCCTTCGAGCGGCCACACCCGCTTGTGTGGAGATTGGTGTTGGGATTGACCTTGATCTATTGGGTGACTCTGATGTTCATTCTCTGCGCCGAGTACGACCAGGTCCGGGCCGCTCTAGCGTGGCTCTACCCAGACGAGCTGACACCGGAAAGGTGGAATCCGCACCCGCTCCCCTGGGTAACCGTCAGCTTCCTGGACTCCCCAGAGTACGCGAGCGATTGCACGCTGTCTTGGGAAAACATGCAATCGAAGTTTGACGTATCAAATTGTTTTTTACTCTTGCTAGAAGTACTAGTGAAAATGAGATTTTGTTTGCTCAAGTAGTTGAGCTGGTGGTCAACATCGGTCGTGGTGCAAAATGAAGGATACTGGCAGAAAATTATACTTGAAGAACTACACAAACCAGGTGTTCGTCACGTGCCACTTTCTCGGGTGGGCGGCCAAGGGTCTCATGGTGCGAAACTACACCTTGTGCTGGATCATGAGTGTCTTTTGGGAGATCACGGAGCTGTTCTTTGCCTACATTCTGCCGAACTTTTCCGAGTGCTGGTGGGACAGCTGGGTGGCCGACGTGCTCATCTGCAACGGCTTGGGAATTTGGTTCGGCATCGAACTCTGCCGCTGGCTCGAGGTCCCGCACTACGAGTGGCACAGCGACCACGCCAGCAGCGAGCAAGACGACGAGTTCGTGCTCGAAGCGATAGACAAAGGAAGCAGGAGTGAGAACAATGTAGTCTCGGGGCAGACCAAAAGCAAAACTGCCGAAGTGGTTGAACAAGAAGAGGGTCGTCCTCCTCGTGCAGTGACGATAAAACCACCACAATTGGCAGGATCGTCGTCAACACCGCCGCCGAGAATTGGAACAGGGACGGAAGATGAAAACAACCCCGGGATGAACATGAACATTTCGCAGGCGCAAGAGCACAAATCAAGTTCCTCCTCATCTTCCGCGGCGATGAATATTGCAACTCCCAATATTAAGCCAATCCAAGCTTCGCGCGCCAGCCGCACGAAGAGCCAGCTTCGCGCGATTAGTAAACGACTGAAGACGAAGGTGAAGCTATCCTGTTTAAAAACGTCCCCACCCCAGAGTTGTCATGCAAATCTGCATGCTGAAAATGTTTTTCATGCGGAGCCCCATGAGAAGCGTTTCCAGTCGTGTTTTGGAATTTGTCATGCTCCAATCAGCGTGATAGAGTAGATCTGTGATGCTGCTGAGCTAGCTCAAACAGCACTGCGCTACGAGTGCAAATTTGTCATGCAAAACAGCCAAAACTCGTGGAGTTGTCTAGCTGATTCCTCATCTTGACTATGGGGTGGGGACGTTTTTACATAGGATAGAAGCGGAAAATCTACCTGATGCTCTCCGCCAAGGACGGGCGGGAGCTGGAGAAAATCCAATGGGAACCGTACTACAGTGAAAAATGCCCCCACCCCCACATTTGCAAGAATTGTGATGCGAAGTTTTCCAATGAAAGCTCTTTGTCATGCATGAAAGGAGTATGAATCTCTCTGATGCAGAGGCGAGGCGTATATCGCATTGTTTGCATGAGAAGCGCCGCTCTTGCTGAGATCTTTTGCAATACAAATTTTTGTTATTCACGATTCGACATCTGTGATGCTGATAGGCGCAAGAGGGCGAACGTTTCATTGGGGAAGGTTTGCAATACAAATGCTCCCAGATTCGAGGGCGGGGGCATTTTTCCATGCAATAAACCGCTGGAGACACGGAAGCGATACGTCGTCTGCATCCTGATGGTGTTCGTGAACCAGATCGTGGAGCTGAACGCCTTCATTCTCAAAAACATCTTCGAAATACCCTCGCCGCACAAGCTGAACATTTACCGACTGTTGTTCTGGGCACTGCTTTGCCTTCCCGCGTGTCGGCAGGTACTAACGGGACGAGAGGATATTTATATGATGGTCTTCCGGTTTACAACTTCAAGATCAACGGTTTTGCTTTACCTATTTAGTGGCAGAACTGTTCAATCGCAATTTCAAAGCGGAAATCTCAATCAGGTCTACCTCTTCGCCATCGATGAAACCGTGGGCCGCCTTGGGACCTACGCGTGGTTTGGGCTGGGAACCGCGCTTACCGAATTGCTGGTGGGGCTCAAGTTCGGTTTTCTCATGTCCAACCCCGTCGCCCCGTGGCCGGTATGGACGACGCTGAAGGTGACGGCCGTGTGGCTCGCCTGCTTGTGTGCGTTCACGACAATCTGGATGTTTATCTCGCGGATGCTGGAACGCTGGTACTTCAACTGGCGAAGAGGATTGGCGGACAGTATTTCATCCGGGGGCATTGTTGCGGGTATTGCATCATCTGCACGTGAGAAAACAGAGTGATGCATGTTGTACATCGTAATTATAAGTTTTTAATTGGGATGTAGAAGTTGGTATAAATACGTGTAATTCGGCAAGGGCATCCTCCTTCCGTGCCACTGACATCAGTGGTGGTCTTTACTGCGTATTCCGAGTTGATGCATGAGTTCTTGTGTTGCGAATCGTAAACATTCTCTCGGCAACATTCATTTAAGAAAAAGGCTTAACTTTGCTAAACTTGTTCTTTCCACAAAAGAATCATAGACGACCCTCTCTCCTACACCCTTCTTGCACGATTTCAATTCGAATTTTCATGGCCTGGTACTCTGGTCGGAGAAAATTTGGGTTCTTCTGTACTAGTTCTCAAGAATGTACGTCCAACACAGTCTGCAACTTCCACGCGCATGCAGGCATCGTAACAAGAGGAAATTAATATCACACAGCTTCTGCACTGTGCTGTGCTGTGCTCGCAGGTGAACAAGCACGCCATCGCGTTTTCGATGACGAAAGCGTTTTTGATTTTCGACTAGAACTAGATGAAAGCAAATATTGCGAGCAAGTTCAAGTAGTATTGGAGGAGTCCTTCGCCTTCTCGTCGTCTTGTGTGCTCGCTGCTAGATGAGCTAGATCGGTCTGGTGTGAGCAAGAGCGCAGAAACAAAGAATCGGTGCCAGAGCGCGCTGGCAATCATGATCGTTTCTTCGTGATGTACAACGATCGCCACCAGTTGCAATCTATCGAATAGATTGTGAAGTCAAGAGCAACACCAACATACACACTCCAAGTCGGTGTGCTTGATATCGCTTTTTTCGGCTTCTCTACGAGTTGCAACTCGGAGTTGGTGGACGAAGTAGAGAGCATCATCATGTCTGATTACAGCGTGGAATCGAGATGAAAGCTTCCGTTAAAGTATGTGTATGTCTTCAACTTGCACCTAGCTAATGCTACAGCTGCTCCCTGTCTACCCACTTTTTCCCAGCATTACCCATTCCAAAATCTCAGCAACTGCAGCTGTTTTTGCTCGCAGAAGCTGTGAATCGAAGAGAACCAGCGGCCAAAAAACTTGATCCTTGGAAGTTCGGACGTCAAGAACCTTCCAACGTGAAGATCTCCTTGTTGAAAGCCCCAACAACTTCTCCAAAAGATGGGCGACAAAGCGCCAGCAGCTCCGGAAAAAGGCGGGCGATATGGCCTGCCCGGTATTCCGAGCTATGTGGATCGCGTATCGCAAGAAAAAATCTACAGTGACAAAATCATCGGGGAAGAAAAATACATGGAGTCAAGTATTTTACTTTTTGTTTTTGTTTTTTGTACATGTTACGTCGCCGCGGCTCAGCAAAAAAAGAGGATGTTTACCGCCAATCTTTTGTAGCCTTCACGCAAAGTTGCATGTTTTTGACAAGTAAGAAGGACAAAACCATAGAGATGTACATCGCAGATGGCGTTTGTAAACCCATTTAGTGCAAAGGAGCTGTTGGTGTTGTTTGATAAATTTTGAGAAATTTTTAGCAAAAGCACGACGTGGTTGTGTTGTGTACTCTTTTTTTGCAAATTTTCAGAATCAATCGTCAATCAACAGGAAAAGGCATCGAGATTGGCGACCACAAAAAATCTTTTGGCGTCCTGAAGGGCTTCGAGATAATAAAGTTTCCGACCTACGTCGAGGTGCGAAAAATCTATAGCGAAGAGGAGCTGGCGAGCAAACGTACAGATCAATATCCTTCAATGATTACGGTATGTACAGAAGTTAGTCGAAATAGGTGTACTAGCTTTAGCTTCCCCAGCACACTTACCATGTTCGTGCGTTTTGGAATTGGAATTCCAGAAGTGAGATGTAATCGAGTATGACAAGCTGAAGCAAAGTTTAACCGCTCTACAAACTCAGCCGAATTCCCGGTAGACGATGGGAAAAGCTCCTCATCCTCGAAGAGAAAGCCAATCGAGCAGCGAATCATGGAAGCACGAGCCGAGTGCAACCGAACCGCCCCGACATACGCGTATCTGTTTTTTGGTTTTTTTTGTGTAGTTTGCCTTTGCGTTGCGATTAAACCGCGATTCGCATGAGAAGGGCTTGGAGATGCATTTCGACATTTTTAGAAATTATCTATCCACGATTTATTTGAATCGAATACGAATTACAGGTACAAATATTTTTCGGAGAAGCACATGGCAGTGAAGCGCGGGGGACCGATGGCCAACAAGAAGGCCATAACGATGGAGGATCTGCGCGAGCAAGGGAAGGACCTTCCAAGTATCGAGGACGTGCTGCAGGTCCCGCAAAGGGTGCCTGCGCCCCTACCAAATCTTGACGACCCCGAGCCGGTCGAGGAACCCGCTACGTCAAAAACAATGTAAAAACTTGCTTTGTTTCCTCTGATCGTCGTGTTCGTGCTTGCTTCGCGATGCTTGTATTGAGTACTTACTATCGTCGTGCACGACGTTTTTAGATTGTTACAAAATAAACTAACAGCCTGGTGCAGAACTCCGGGACGCAGAGCAACAAATGAAGGACGACAGTCTCCTGTCTCTGCTCCGCTGAATGAAACGACATCAACCACACACTCCCGGAGAGCTGCAGCGGATGAAAAAATGCCTAATAAATCTCACACCTGTTTCGAGTAAATACGCTAATCTTATTACGACGAGTCGACGACCAGGAATTGTCCCCGTCGCCGTGCTTGAGAAGTAGATATTTTCACTGTGCAAGACGCCGCGGCCGTGTGCCGCTGCTATGGTCGTTACTAAAAATGTACGCTGCAGAAATCAGCAGAAGATCGACGACGCGCATGTACAAAGAACTTTGTGAGCACTTCTGAACGCTGCAGAAGTGCATTGTGTCACCTCTGCCAAAATTGTCCCGGAATAAAAGGAGCTACCTTCTACACTTGTAAGATTTGCCATCAACGCTACAAAATCAAAACGAGAAAATCGAAACGGAATTCAAAAATGCTAGGTTCATTGACATGGTTCGCCTGCTCGGTGATGCATTTGTTTTTGGTGTTGCTGTTGGTTTTCAGACATCAATTGATTAAGTAGTTGTGATGGAGCAGCCCTCTGCGCGGCAGTCGCATTTCGGTCTAGAACAGCGGGTTTGAGAATTTCTCGCGACAGTGACAAGCATCAAATAAGGAGACCGAGCGGAGCAGTGAATGAAATGAGTGTTGCGAGAGTAAGATTGTCCAAATAAGTAGAACTCTTGCTGCAACCCTAGTACAACCAACACCAGTGAAAGCTGTTGGTGACACAACATACAGCAACCAAAAATAATCAACCCAGGAAATTAAAAACTGACTTGCTTACCCCGCCCTATTCACTTAATTCCCTCGTGTACCAAACTTCTTGATCGGTGTTGAGTCAACTCCGTTCTTCGTGATTCATGTCAATCCCCATCCTAAAGACTCCTGCTCGGGAGCAAGTCTGATTGCGCTCGATTTCGCATTATTAAAATCATCGTGACGTTTCGATTACTAAATACTAATTTTCTGTGCTCTTGTCCTGGACCACACCAAACAAAGTTGTGTTTGAAATTTCTACTAGTTTTGATTGTGCTTGTATTTACCTACTCCTACGACTCCTGTGACTATGCTCCACCAGATGAAGAATCTCCGCCGTTCTGGCGCTGTTCGATCGGCCAGTCGTGCGGCAACCGCGCCGCTCGCGTCTTCGTCGAGGCAGGCAAGTTCCTTCGTTTGCTCGCCGGTGGTCGCAAACACGACTGCACCTCCATCGTCGGCAACATCGTCGTCGAGTAGCTCTACCGCAAGAACATCTCGAAGAAACTTTGCGTCGATGCGTACGTTGGCAAAGGTGCACGCGGAGGAGGGGATCTGGATGAACGAGGTGCCGATCCCGAAGCCGGGCTATAACGACGTGCTGATAAAAATCAAGAAGACCGCGATTTGCGGCACCGACGTGTCCATCTACAAGTGGACGCCCTGGGCGCAGAACGCGGTGCCCGTCGGACTCACGGTCGGCCACGAGTACTCCGGCGAGATCGTGGAAATGGGCGAGGGCGCGGCGCAGAAGGGCCTGAAAATTGGCACCCGCGTGTCCGGGGAGGGACATTTGGTGTGCGGGATGTGCCGCAATTGCCGTGCGGGGCGCCGGCACCTGTGCCGGAAAACCGAGGGGATCGGCGTCAACATGCCGGGGGCGTTTGCCGAGTATCTGGCGCTGCCGGCGGAGAACGTGTTTATTCTGCCAGATTCCATCTCCGACGACGTCGCGTCGATCCTCGATCCCTTGGGAAACGCGGTGCACACGGCCTTCGCATTTGACCTTGTCGGGGAGGACGTCTTGGTCACGGGCGCGGGGCCGATTGGAATCATGGGCGCCATGTTGGCGAAGAGAGCTGGGTACTGGAGGAAATGTTGTCTAGTAGGGCATGGCTTTTTCTGCATGAGAAAATCTAGTGCAACCTCTTCTACTGCAGATACTTATGATATTATGCAGCTATGCATCCACAATTTTCACCGCGAATATATGTATCCAAATACAGTGCGCGGCGCGTGGCCATCACCGATGTCAACGACTACCGGTTGGAGCTCGCGAGAAAAATGCCCCAGATCGACCGCGTGGTCAACGTCGCGAAAGAAGATCTCTCCGAGGTCGCTTTCGACGAAATGGGGTTGAAAGAAGGATTTGACGTCGGGCTCGAGATATCAAATGCAAACATGTCTGGGTCTGGAAGAGTCCGAACTTGTGATGCTGCATTTGGATTCCAAAAAAATCTGCATTGCATGACCAGCAAAGGGAATCGATTTTGGCTACGCGGAGAGGGCATCTGTCATGCGGAATAGGCATCAAGAAGTCCTCAAAAAGTCTGTGATGCTAGGGCATGCATCACAGACCTCATGGCCCACGCAAAACGTGCATGACGAGTCTCAGAATCTTCCAGACCCAGACATTTTTGCAGTTGATACGAGATGTCGGGGAACGAGCACGCGTTTGTCAACATGATTCATACCATGAACAACGGGGGCAAGATCGCGCTGCTCGGTCTCGTGCCGGACTCCGCACAAATCCCCTGGTCCGATGTCATTTTCAAGGGGCTGGAAATCAAAGGTATAACTCGTTAACTCATCAATTTGTTAGTTACTTCCCGGTAGTACACGAAGATGTGCCGTTGCGCTTCCGCTACTGCAACAATAGAGGCTATGGATTCGAATTCCACAAACACAAATGCGGCAAAAGCGATTTTCTCTTTTATCGCAGGTATCTACGGGCGTGAAATGTACGAGACGTGGTACAAAATGATGGCGGTTCTCGACTCGGGATTCGACGTTTCGCCGATCATCACGCACCACTACGCGATCAAAGACTACCAAACCGCGTTCGAGAAAGCGGTGTCGTCATCTTCCGGCAAAGTCATTCTGAACTGGCAAGATTTGTGAAAAAGAAAATCATGTCTACTGCTGCATATTCAAGATGGACGATGCACAATTGCGGGCACGGCTCACAAATTCTTTGAGCTTTAAACGAACAAGTTCTTTATTCCCGCCTACATTTTTCACGCCGTGACGATGTTTGACTTTTTGTGCATTCAGTTTTCCTGTATGGAATAGAAGGCCAGATGAAAATGCTACAACAACGTGCAGCTTCACCTTTACTATGAATGAATGAACGCGTATAGACGACGCGAGAGCAAAAGATCGAAGATACCGTGCCTGAGCCGTTTTTGATCTCTTAACTTTTGGTACAGTTTTTTCGACCGTATGATCAATCTCGAGAATCTATCTATTTAGTTTTTCCATATAGAAGGTGAAGGTACCCGCTGTACATCTCGTACTAGCGATACCGCTTATCCCCACAAGACGGAGCAGGAGCTACTACACAACTGGACAGGCGATGTATTTCTCACATGAAGTTTTTTCGAACGGATGAAAATGCTCTAGCAGGCATGGACCCGTAACGTTGTCATGCTTGTGGCCAAGAAAAGGATGCAAACTCATACTTACAGAATTAGGAGTGTAGTGGTAGTCTTAGTGTACGATAAGAGTTCTCGCGTCTTACGTTTCGAAGCAGATGAAAACCAAAACCCTTGTCGGCCGATGTTGACCCGGAAGTTTTAAATGATACCAGTGGAAGATTCCGAAAAATCCACCCCCGAATGGTCTTCAAGGCATAAAACTTGTACGGAACCCCAGTTCCATTTTTGCATCTCGTTTCGGCGAAACGAGACGTAAGTAGTCAACACAACGATGGATTTCAAAAAAGAGCAAGGTACTGAGGAGCAGTACCCGGTGCTAAAGCAACTTGTAGGTCCTTTGACGAATTGTAGCCTGTTCCATAGTACAGTTACAGTGCAGCCGTGACTTTGACTGCTCTTCAACCACGCCACGATTAGGTCCTGGCTTCTCAGACGGTCGAGAAAGGAACTCAAAAATCGGTATCGTTCGATCGACCACCTGAAACTTTCTCTATTCCCATTTCTGCACAGGCATAACAGCGGCATTGCCGTCGTGTAATATTTATATCAAGATCTTCGAAGATTCGAAGCTAAGATGCCTGAGCATACAGCTCGATTTCTTTTTGTCCTCCGAGTGGTTTAGTAGGTTTTCTCAAGAGCTTATTTCTTTTTAGCTGGATTTTTTATTATCGACACAATTTAGCTGCTTTCCGTTTCGATCGTTTTCCATTTTTAGGATTAGGATTTTTGTAAAGGGTCAGGGAAGTGCAATAAACTTTCGTCAACATTTTGGCAAGTGTACAGCAAAGCATTTCACTCACGAAACAGGACTTCCTCCCGCTTGACTATTTTTGGGCTTGTGATTCGACCCCTTGATTGTTCATTTTTTCTGTGAATACTTACGTTGATTTGGAACAGGTAGACGAATCAATTCATTGTACAAAAGTACAAATTATTTCAGTCATTTGTTTCACTTTTTTATTTTTCAATTTTTAGCCGATCCGCCGACCTAGTGCCGGACCATGACGGGACACCATCGCCGGAGTGGTTTGAGCGCTTTCGCGTTCCTTTTCCTGTCGATTGTAGGGGTTGTGGAATCCGCCGCCGCGGCTACATCAGACGCAGCTGCGTCGCATGAAGCGGACGGCACAGCAGCTGCGCGATTCGGAACGACTCTGCCCACCCTCCCGCTGCCAAATTTCGCACTGGGCGAACTCCAGGCGAAGAGCGATGAGGTGGCTACCGTTCTGGCCGAGCAGGGAATTCTTACGCTTATCAAGTGCAAAAATGTCTGGGTCTGGAAGGTTAGAACTTGTCATGTTAAATCTGAATGATGCAAAAATCTGTGTTGCGTGAGTACCAAAAGCTGTCCGCTTTTGACCAATCCAAGTTGAGAGGGAGTTTCTCACGCAGGAAAGGCATGATCGAGACCTCAAAAAATCTGTCATGCTGGGTCTCGCATTCCAGACCTGATGGGTCATGGAAAACCTGCGTCACAAATCTTGCATTCTTCCAGACCCAGACATTTTTGCACTTGATAACGCTCTCCGTGCCCCGATTCAAGGAAACCAAAGACGAGGCGTTCGCCGTATGGAGTTCTCAGATGTTACATTCTCAACTGTTACATGAATTTGTAATGCAAGAAGGGCAAAAGTGAAAGGACAAGGAGGAAGATTGCGCCTTTCGCATTACAGATTTGGGACGGATTATAGTGCTATTTAGCCCTCCGCAAATTTGTCATGCGGAGCAGCTTGATCGAGAGGATGATGATGGTGTTTTTGCATGACAAATTCATGCAACAGTTGAGAATGTAACGTTTGAGAGCCCCATACGCCGCGATCGCGAGCTGTGCACCAAATAGCGCGGTGTCAAAAACCGAGAATGGCTGGACAAGGAAGTCGCTCGCGGGAGCCATGCAGGCCGGAACGCTGAAACGCTTCGAGGGTGTGACGGAAGAGAATTGTCCTGGTATAAAGTTTGATGCATCGATGCCGAAGTTGGAAGGTTAAATCGGTCTTGCACGACACGCACATAGGGTTATTAGTTTCTCAACAACAAAATCGAAGTTTCTCGCCTCCAATTGTTGAGATCTGTAAGCTAGAAAGTGATTTGATTTTCTACGTACAGGTTTCCAGGCCAAAATGCTTCGGTTTCGCGAACTTGTGCGAAACGCGGTGCTGAACCTCCTTCAGGCGTTGGATGAGGTCGACAAGTCGGAAGATCAGGAGCTAACCCAGCTCCTGTACACGGCACAACATCTGGAACATATTCACCACGTGGTGAAAGCCACAGGAGCTCCGCAGAGTGCTATCGGAGAAGGGACTGGGACCGCAGTAGGGAACTCGAACCTTCCCCGTGGATCTACCGCAACAGCGGCCCTGGAAACCGACGAAACCGCGGCTGCGGTTTCATCCGCGCCCACAGCTGCGACTGGAGAAGCTACTCCACGAACAGCAAACACAGATGTGCTCCACCCTCTGCACGTTGACGCGGGGTTGCTGCTTGCCATGACAAATTTGCACCAGTCTAGCACGGTGAAAACCATATTCGAAATCGAATTGGCCGACGAGTCGACGGCTGTGGTCAACGTCGATAACTTGGATCGGTTGCTCATTATGGGTATCATTTGTAAAGATGTCCCCATCCCAGAGTTGTGATGCAGATTTGCAATGACAGGAACATGTGTAATGCGCAACTCCATGAGAGGCGTTTCTATTCGTGTTTTGGCATTTGTAATGCTGTAACCAGAATAAGCAGATGGATTTGTGATGCGTTTGTCCTTGCTAACCTGCACTACATTGCGAACAGCAACTTGTGATGCGTGAGTCCCAAAACTTCTATGTTTGTGTTGCAAAATCCCCATCTTGACTAGGGGGTGGGGACGTTTTTGCACAGGATAATGGGAGGTCTCGGCTTCAACAACTGGCACATGGCCCGGAACGGCCTGAAGGTGCGAGCCGTGCCACATCGCGTGAGGTTCGAGAAGGTGAGTGATACTGCGTCGGCAGGTCAGACGCAGCAGGAACTACAGAGCCAAATTCAGGGTGCTACTACTCAGAATCAAGATACTGTTGCTGATAAGAGATTATGGTACGGTATGATGCTTCTGCCTCCACAGAACTACGACATCGGAAGGTTCGGCCACTCGGAATCCGTTCCTTTTTCAGAGTTGGCCACACTCTTGAGAAAGGGGGAGTACACCAAGGCTGGCAGTCTCGCCTGCGGCCCGGGCCTGGTCCTGGAAGAATGGTTCGACAAGCGAGAACAAGAGATGCGGAGAAGGCAATTAGGTACAACTAGAGCGGGGGGTAGTGGCAGTGGTACATCAGGTCAACAAGGTCATCAACAGCAACAGCAGCAAGGAACTTCTCCTCAAGTCAGTGCTGCGCAGAATTATGCGGGCGACGAACCTGGCTTCCTCCACAACCTTCGCACCGGTGTACAGCAGCACTTCGCGCCGCCACAGACGCAACTGGTAGCCGCCAACCGCGCTTCCTCAGGACCAGACGATGATCTAGATGAGGAGGAGCGGGAGCGGCAGGAAGCGGAGGCCGAGCCGGAAAGCGAGAAAAACAAACATTTGCGGTCCGTCTGCGATTCCTACGGGGGGTACTGGTGCTGGCACCGCTGCATGTACACGAAAGCCGGCCCCTTCGAGGAGCACCAGCAGAAGAAGCAAGAGAGGAGCGAGTTCGGGTCGAACTTTTTGTACGCCAACGGGTTGGAACAATGTCCGGACCGCGACGTGCTATCCTGTGCAAAAGTATCGTACTCGTATTGCAGTCATGCATTACAAATCCTTTTGCTAAGATAAATCCGCATTACAAATTTTGTTTCTCATGCTGAGGAAATTTGTGATGCATTTATACGAGTGCGATACTTTTGCAGTTCATACATGCAGTGCGTCTACAACACCCCGAAGCTCGAGCCGTGTAAAAACGGCCACACTTGTAAACTGCACTGCGACGTGGACAGGCGAAGGCGGAACACCACGAACCCGGCGGGTGCGCCAAATCCTGGGAATAATGCTCAAAGTGTGAATCTTCAGGAACCGAACCCGTTCTGCGGCCCGAGCGAGACTATGAATTGCAAAAATGTCTGGGTCTGGAAGATTGCAACTTGTCATGGTAAATCTGAAGCATGCAAAAATCTGTGTTGCATGAGTGCCAAAAGCTGTCCACTTTGGACCAAGTTGGAACGGAGTTCCTCATGCAGAATAGGCATGGCAGTGGCAGAGACCTCGCAGAGGCTGTCATGCTTAGTCCCGCATTCCAGACCTCGCGAGTGATGGAAAAACAGCATGACAAGTCTACACTCTTGCAGACCCAGACATTTTTGCGCTTGATAGAGACCGACATGTTCATGAACGGGTTCCAATCGATCCTGTTCGCTTCCGAGAAGCAAGACTGCATCATGCTGTTTCACAGCGCGATACTCCTCGACACGCACTGGAAGTTTGCGCTCGGGTTTCTCTTCATCGTCGCCTTTGGGGTTTTCACGGAGTGGATTGTGTCTGTGCGAAGGAAGATCGACACGGATCTGCGAACCGTTGGGGGAAAACTGGTGAAAGTCAGCTTGTTTGCCGCCAACATGACCATCGGGTATCTGATCATGCTATTGACCATGACCTACAGCTTCGAACTCTTCCTCGCGGTGATTCTAGGCCTCGCCGGCGGCCACTTTCTGTTCAACAGCCGAGCCCCGGTGGGGGAATCGGTCACCGCGTGCTGCGCAGGGCGGAACAACCCGCAGGGGCTGCGCCAGACGCTGTTCGCACTCGAGGAGCAAATGCGAGACAATGAGGGGAACAGTGGCGGTCGCACGGTGGCGATCGTTCCACCTGGCGAAGACGACGACGGGAGCGGAATCAAGGATTCTGATGTACAGTAGATCTGTTTATTCATACTATTGCTTCCAGTTGCTGACGAAAGGAAGCATAACTTTTAGCATTTGTCGTCGTCATCCTACCCAATCCCTTTTGTTCAACAAGTCGTGGCGTTCTTCGGGTTCGTTTGCTACATCGATGAACGTTGATATGAATCTCTAGTAGCTGAAAAATCCCTTATTTCGATTTCGCATCATGATCCGCACGAAACAAACCTCAGCTTCTCCTGCAGCGCGGATCTGGCATCAATCAATCCCAACCGATGGGCGCGGGTAGTGCCAGTTTGTTGCAGAACGGAGGTAGTGGTTCCGGGGAGCGAATTATCATCGGCGTTACAGGCATGACCTGTGGAAACTGCGAGATGACGGTCCGCAACGCACTGAAAGTGCTGCCTTGCGTGGACCAGGTGCACTCGGTGTCTTTTGCGCAACAGCGGGTGGACTGCACCATTCAACACTTGGAGCAGCGGGCCGACGTCGTCGAAGAGATTGAAAGTCTCGGATTTTTGGTGAAGCAAGCCGTGCCGGCCTCCGCCTCGCGACAACGAGGAGCGTGAAACCAAGTCGTGTAGAATGAGTGCCTCGGCACTTATAGATATGGAGGAGAGGTATTTACAACCTTTCAGGTACGATCGATAATTTTTCCTTCGATAAATATTAGATTTGACAGACGTTCATTGGCTACATTTTGCAACAAGAGAGTGGTTTACGCAACACAGAACGGCAGTCCAACACATGTAAATAAACATAGAGATCAACTTGCTTTTACCACGAAAAAACGCGATAAGAATTTGCCGACGACTCGTACTCGCACAACCTCGTCTAGGTGGTCGTCGGTGCGCTTCCTTCACAGCGAGATGTGGAGGCGCCCGAAGTAGGAGCATGTTCTTCCGCAGCTACGGCTAGTTGCGGCTGCACGTCGTCGTGCAGCTGACTTCGTATCGGTGTAAAAGCGAAAAGTCAGTAGTACTGTATGAATGTATTGCAGCGCGCAAACGCCGACCGAAAGCAGATCAACATAGAACAGGAGATTGTCGATTCGGTTCAACATGTTTTCACAATAGCCACGCAGTCTTGCCAACATCGCCTCATGTGTACTATCAATTTGAGTTCTTATCGTGTGGGTACAGCACATCCTGATCCGGTTTGTACAGACAGTTCTCCTCATCGCGCACACTCAAATCGATGAATCGGTTTAGGTTCTTACGTACATGAAATTACGATATTCACGGTTCTTGTCCTCTAATCGGTATTATCAATTGTTGTGCGAAAGTATTGGACAGCATATTTGTTCGTCTATAACTCTATTCGCATCCGCTTCCGCCCTGAAAAATGACTCTAGTTACAAAGATCTAGACCCACTACCTCACTCACATGGGTAACAGCGGCAGTCAAGATTTGGGTCCCCACGGGGACCTCCGGCTGCAGGCGGACCAGATCCGCTATGACGAGGCGAAACAGTACGAAGCGATTGTTGCCGGGAGCACCGGGGCGTCCGGTCGCGCGTTGGTTGCGGCACTGTCCGCTCGCCCGAATTGCACACGGATCCACGCGCTGGTCAGACAAGGCAAAGGAATGCCCGACTTGAAGCGGGACGAAGTCCAGAAAGCATTTCCGGGGATAGAATACGACAAGCTGAACATAGGGAGTGCTGGCGGCGGCACGTCAGCACGACTAAATGTTGTCGAATTTGACTACGAAAACGCCAAGCCGCTGCCAACGATTGCGCAAGGAACTGAAGTACTTACTGTTACTTATATCTGCACAACTACGATTATGTTGAAGCTGTGAAAGGATCCTTCATTAACGACGGAGTCATGACGTTTGGTCCTACAAAGTCTCTTGAATTTTCCTATCGCGTATGTCTAATTTGTCAGACCGTGTGGAGAAGTTCTCCATTCGGTCGTGTTGACAAAAGGTCTCACGTTTTATCTACATACGAGTGACCGCTGCTCTTGCGCGCAAAACAACCAAAAACGTCCGATTCTAATGCAGTTACCATTTGTCAGTCTTGCGAGTGCGGAAAGCTGAGTCAGTTTTTCGCGCTCGCATGGCTTGATGCTCATAGTGGTTTTCTGTTTCGCTGTCGCGACGACATTGGATTGATATAAACAAATGTTTGCTCCTTCGTTCCGTCTACTAAGAGAGGGACTTCTTGAAAAACGGAAAAAATTAGAAATTGATTTACCTCACCCCAGGTGATGGCTTTCTGTGCCCTTGGTACCGCCCCGTTTTCCGAGCTGGTTGATTACACGTATTCCGTGAACTTTGCCGAAGCCGTTGCGAAGAGCTACGACGTGAAAGCTCTCGGCTTGGTCTCTTCGCAAGGTGCCAACAAGGACTCCATGATGGGCTACATGGAGACGCTCGGCCGACGAGAAAACCAGTTCGCGGAATTGGCGAAGCAATACAAATTTCCCACCATCTTTGCCCGCCCCGGGCCCATCGACCGCGACGAGCTAGCCGAAGAGCGACTGAAGGAGCGAATTCTTGGCGCTTTCTCCTTCGCACTCCCTTTCGTGCACACATCGCAAATTGCGGCGAGTTTGATCCAGGGGGCGGAAACGCTGGGCGGGAACGCGCAGAAAGTGAAGCTAGACGAATCGCGAGAGCAGGAGACTTGGTATTGCTACAGCATCGAAAGTGGGCAGATAGGCACGCAGAGGAATTCAAAAGTGTTTTCATCTGAGGGAGGACCTGCGTGACATTGTAGTTGATTTCTGAAAGGCGTGTGGTTTTATACGTCGGACTATCACTACTTGTTTGCAGGAGCTATTAAACTATACACGCGCTGTGCAACTTGACGAACCAGCAAGTTCATCATCATGGCTCTCCCCGATCATGTTTACCATCAAGATTGATATGTGAAAGCGAACGACCCCACAGAAGAGGGTAAGGATCACTCTGGTTTGATGTTGGGTTTTTTTCTCCTTCCATGCTTTTTCGGGCGGATCGTTCTTTTTCTTTCACTTGGACAGCGGAGCGAAAAAGCAAAGCGAGTGAGGTCTGTCTTTACTTCTGCCCAATGATACTTTACTCGGCCTGATATCTATTTCACCCATTTCACTAGTTCCTCAGAGCCACATCAAGACATCTGAAGATCTTTGCTTGTTATTTTTTGGTCGCGCCGCACCGTGCGGCTGCGGCGTGTCAGTCTGACCGTTCTTTCCGGATCATGTTCTACGTCTCCGGGCTCTTTTTGCAGCTACAGCTGCTGCTGTTTGACAGTTCGTTTTTGCAGCGTAATTCTCCCGTACACGTCGTGCACGCGCAGCCCGGCGGCTCGCGAAAGCCCGTGATCGATCACCGCCAGCCGATGCAGTTGGAGTCCGAGAAAATCCGGTTAAGGCTGGAGGCGGAAAAGAGGCGACAAGAGGAGGAGGCGGAGATGGGGCCGCGGCAGTTACCGAAATCGCTGCAATTTGACACGTCGGTTGTCCAGGACATAAAACGGTCGCTTAAAGTCTTGTCGAATGACCTGCTGGTGATCATCGACCTGCTCGACCAGAAGCTGGGGCTGCGACCGGAAGACAGCGAAAAGATCGACGAGACAACGCTGGCGAGAAGAAAAGCGGAAGATTTGGAGAGACAGAAGATCGAGAAAGGTATATTAGAGATAGTGGCGTTGTTTGTTCTGCTAAGCTCCTGGAGAGAAGATTGTATAGCGCATCCTCAATAAGTGCACATGCCTCGTCCATTTTGAAATTCTATAATAAAGAAAAAAATAATAAAAATGTCAATGTATGATCAGGCTATGTCCCGGGGAATATTTGTCGTACGCACGTCGGCAAGGATATTGGCACCTCCATCGTGCATGCTGGAGCGAAGATTTTGTTGCTTTCCAAAAGGCCGGACAGTACCGAGGGGGATCGGTGGGAAGTAAACATCGTCGGGACCACTCGGATATCCACTGCAAATGTGTCCGGGTCTGCAAAAATGCGAAAAAACTTGTGATGGTGATAGAAAGAGTTCATTGTTTGTCAAACCGTGCAGGCGCCTAAATTTTAGGGTAGCACAGCAGATGACGAGCCACCTACCCACTCCGCCAATTAGATATCCTCATGACATAAAAGTCAGCCTCTTCCGCGACCTAGAACTGTTTGCATTTGATAAAGCCGCGTCTCCTTTCACGAATTAGAGATCCAATGCGGTATTGCATACTTCTTTTTGGATGTTGATACTTGCTTTGAACCTCCAGCTCTCATGCTCCGCATAGACGTTGCTGGCGCAACATCTTCAAAAAGATAAAATCTTTGTCAAATCATGAAGATAGTACACGAATCGATGCGAAATGGAAATCCATCAGAGCCCAAACCGGTAACCCGTGCGGACAGCAACCTGGATCCCGAGGAGGTGCGTTGGTTGCAAGAATGGAACCAGTACGGCTGGTGGATCTACGTGCGGCAGGGGTTGTACTTCCTCGGGTTTTTCTTGGACATGGCCCTGTGGACCTCCATGCAGCTTTTTCTCGATTCCGCAGCCGCAAAGAAGCGCCGGCGGAAGATCTTCCAGGACGCCAGCCTAGGCCAGGCCGCGGTCGTGAGCGCCGCCAGCCCCACGCTTAGCAGCTCGTCCAGTCAGGCTTTGGGCAGTGGCCCTGGCGCGGGGAGTGGCAGTTCGTCCAGTCGGGGAGTAGATCACCACCAGCCTCCCGTGTCGGGCGACCGGAAGAGCCGGCGACAGCGGAGCAGGTGGGAAATTTTGATGCAAGAGGACGTGCTAGCACAGTTGGTCGATGAGTACGTGTGGAAACTTGCACTTTCGTTTGTGATCGCGGTAGCGCTCAGGTTGCCACAGTATTTGCTGGACACCGGCGGCGTTGCCTACTCCATGCTGCTAAATCTGATAATAACACTGCGAGCCTTGGCGGCGGTTACCTTTTTCATCGGAGATAACTTGGTGATGCCGGCATAAAAAGTGAAATTCATGCAAAAGAAACATCGCATTCAGCATTTACTTTTTTGCATTCTTGCAATCTCGAATATCAGCTTTTAGGCATTCAAGGGGCTGTTCGAGTTGCTTGCTTTATGGTTATGACTGCCGCACCTCATCTTACTTCGTTCGAGTGCTCTTTTTTCCTCTGTAATCCCACTTGTTTTTTGGAAGAGAATTTCATTGTTCTCTGAATGAGAATGAAGTTCTGAATGAATGGAACGACGAAAACGATATTACCTTCGCACCATGGAATTCAACGTCTATGGTTATTGTTTTGTAGTTGTAGGTAGCACAAAACAGATTTCGTAGAAATCGCAACGCCACCCATCCAATGCTGCAGAAAAAAGAAAAATAAAAAAATTAGAAAAGTGTGTTTTTTCTTCTGTATGTTTTCTGTTGACCCATTTTACTCACCGCAAGCTCCAGATCCAATGCTACTAGTGATCTGCTGAGATCACCATTACTCAGTGTCAGTACCCAACATCGTTTCAAAATTTGATTACGGAGTGTATCAACATTTTTTTCCCCCCGCCCACTAACGTGATACTAGAAAATTGAATGCTCTAGAACCACGAGGACCAGAAGATAAAAAACCATGGCGACCTCGGCAGCTGTCCCGCGAAACCGCATGGCCCACTGGGTGCTGCGGGTTACGGAGCTCGAGAAAACGGTCGAATTTTTCAAAACGGTCTTTGGAATGGTAACCATTCGACACGAGGAAAACCCGGCGGCGTGCAAAATCACCTGCAACGGAAGGTTTGACAGGCCCTGGTCAAAAACGATGATGGGATACCAAGGGCACACTGAGGACAAATGGTATCATTCTTGCTTGGACTACGACTAGAAGTTCTTTCTCTTTGAGTTGTTTACACTTGCATGACTACGAAATTCAGAACGATGTATAAAAACAGCCTGAAAAAACAAAAACTTTTCTGCGCAGGTATTGCCTTGAGCTCACGTACAATTACGGCGTTAGAAAATACGACGTCGACAATGGCATCAGAGCTATTTCAATTACCACACCCTCCGACCCAAAAACAGTAATAGAAACGGCCACGAAACTTGGGTACGCCGAGGGGCCGCCGCAGGACGACGGAGCCCGAACGATTCTCGGGCCCGATAACTACCCGTACGTGCCGATACAAGACACGGCGGAGGGAACATCACATAAATCCGAAGAGCCGTTTGTCGGAGTGACCATTGTCGTGAACGACTTGGAAGCCTCGAAGAAGTTTTACACGGAGGTACTGGATATGGAACCTGTCGAGGAAGCCGCGGAAGGCGCAGCGAATAAAGTAGTGCTGAAGTACGCGACACTGGAAGGAACAGGAACCTCGGCGTCATCAAGAGGAAACACGACCTACCTAGTGCTGGAGCAGAAGGCAGCAGATGCGCCAGGTACTACATATGCTTGCACGACGAAGCATCGTAGCTATGTTTATCTACCGATCGTGAGTAATTGTAATATATCAGTCGAGAAGGAGAAGATATCAGATTTTTCCATATGCCTGTTCAAAATCAATTCATTACAGCCATCAAACCCAGCGCGCATTCTGGTAGACTCGCCATTTCCTGTGGGGACGTCGCTGGGTACTACAAGAAGTTTGCGACGGATAAAGTTTTGCACGAAATGCAGATACTAGACGAGCCGCTGGGGAAACTTGAGATCGCCATCGTGCTCGATCCGGACAACTACGAGATCTGTTTGGTAACAAGCAGCGTCTTCGACCCCAGCACGAAAGCCGCGGCCAATTGGGAGGACCCCCCGTGGGAGAAGCGAAGGGAGATGGGTGGGAAATGATGCGGGGAGATGAATCTGCAAGGACAAGGTTCGAACAAATTATATAAGTGTCGTCGGAGTAATATTACCTTACCACCGGGAAATTCATCTTCTAAATTGTTTAGTGTAAAGAGAATTACACGCGGTTTAAAGTCGAGCACACAAAGAAAAATCAAGGCTCTATGGATTCTTCCCAATTGGACCTGATCTTGATTCTGAAGTGAAAAGACCCCCGATGCTTTTCTTGTGTTCCATGAAGACCGTCAGGAGGGCGCTACAATTACACTGACGCGCATGGAAAGCGACGAGACTGAAATCGTTGCGCCCCTTATGGCCGCGAAGGGTCTGGGATTCGGCACTGCGCTCCCATGGCGCGACATTGATGCAGAGCCTGAGGGGGTGCCGGGCGCAAGGCTGCCGCACTTGCTGCGGCCGGCAGCGTGCGCGACGGGGGGGGGGGTTGCCCCCGTTGGCGACGCAGTACGGCGGCAACAGCTTCGGGCGCGGGTGGCCCCGTGTATTTCCGGCGTTCTCTGGATGCAAATCGCGCGCGCCCGCAGCCGCGTCCTTGCTTGGCGGTTGTTCGAAGCGTATGGCAGCGCGCGCGCCAGTGACTGGCGCAGCACCCGCGCCGCGTTGCGAGGCGGGCCGCGGGTTCATTGGGGCGCGGTGGGGAAGTGTGCGGCCCGGATTCGGGGGGCCTCGCCCCCCGCAGCCACATCCATGCCGGCGCTGGCGCCCAAGCAAGGCGCCGGCCTGCAGTTCCTGCCAGGTCCTGCCGCCTGCCCCGCGGGCTGCCATCCGGCGGCCGCGGTGGCATAACTGGCGGGGCTCCGAGTCCTGAGGCCCCCGCGGCGTCAAGGGCGAGGAGGGCCAAACATATTGAAGCTTCCTTGCTGCGATCTGAAGCGTCGCGCCTTGCTGCTCGCCCGCGTGTGCGGAAATGGGAATGCTTCCGATGATGATGCATTTTTCGGCTTCCGGACCGTGCTGCGGTCTCGTCCCATGCTGAGGAAGATATTTGGTGGCAGCAGTGGGACCCCAGGGCGCGCTCCCCTGCTGAGCCGTCTGCAATCCATCTGGAGCCGCGCCGCTTTCGCGGAAGTTTGTTTCCGGAAGTCCAACGGGCAGAAGCAGGAGGCTCCATCGCCCTTGGTGTTGAGGGGCGCCATGGTTGTGCCAACCAGTCTGGCAGTGACCAGCGCCGCCCAAGGAAAAACGCGACGCCAATGTCGAGCCGCGGGGCCGGCTTCCGGACAACAGCGAAAGGGCCGGACGGACGCGAAGGACACAGCTCTGCAGCACGGTTCCGATGGACGTAGACGGAGCCGGGCCCGCGCATTGCGCCGCGCCGCGACCGAGTCAGTCCTGTCCCTCCGCATGGGCGCGCAAAATCTTGGGCGCCACGGCGCCGCGCCCCCTGGCGGCCCGGTTTTTTTCTCCCAGCCGGGGCCCTTAGTCTTCAGGCTGTGCCCTTTGCCCCACTTGGCACGCAGGCGGCACAGCCAGCCACAAGGCAGGCCCCCCCGCCCCGCCGCGCATTCCCTGGCGCGTGGGCGCACCAGCCTGCGTCTCCGGGCGCGGCCGAGGTTGTGATATGGAAGCGAGGCGGCCCGGGTGGTGTGTGATGTTGATGTGTGTTGGCCCCCCGGCAATGGCATCCATTGGTGGTTTTTCGGTTCGGCCCGAGCCTTGTTTGAAGGCGGCCGGGTTGCCTCATGGACTGGGCGCGGTTGCTGTGCCGCTGTCAGGGTTACTGTGAGGGCCCAAGCGGCCGCGCAGGTGCGCGACCGATTCCTACTTGCATGCAGCGTCTACATTTTGGAATGGCTACCGGATGCCACGGCCGTCTCATCGCTCGCAGTTTGCCTGCCAGCCATCGTTCGCATTTGTGTGTTGTTCCAGCGGCGGTCAAGGATGGGATGAACATGGACAAAATCCTTATTGGGGAAAAGGCATGAGCGTGGATACAATTTTCAGAAAAGCAAAGCCGTACCAAAGTAATCGTGCGGAACCAAGACGACTTCTTATCGTGCATGAGCGTAGTCTTTGCCAACGCTTTTGTCCCGGCCCACACGAGGATGGATCAAAACGCTACGAGTTGTCTCGGAGTCGCTGCAAAGTTGTCGACAGTTTTCTATTCGCCGGAAAGATGGCTTAGATATCGCCGCTGGCATTGCCCCACAGCAGAATCACAGCTCACATGCCATCTCTTTTGGGGCGGAAACGATGACAAGTGAACTGCCCGCTCTCCTAGTCGGAGACTAAGCGAAACAAATAGTGAGAAAGTAGATATGATCCACAGGAGTCAAAGCAACAAGATGCAGATGAGCGACGTTTATGTAGTAAGGATTTGAGTTTGAACGACGGTGTTATATGTTCAGGGGGTTTAAGACTTTTCTGTTTCAAAATAAGAAGGTAATCGTGCATAGAAGAAAAAAGATAGTGTTTCGCTTATGGTTCCCCAAGGGAGCGGATTTTTTTTCATTTCCTATACTCTGTGCCGGAAGCCCCGAGGCTAGTCTTCATCGGTCAGCTTATGAGGATAGACGAGTTTGTGCAACAGGCTCACGTGCGCGGTGTTCGTATGGCTCGCCCAGGTACCCACGGCGCAGAAACTGTCACGGCAAAGTCAACAGGAGAACGCGTGGATTACCACCGGACCACAAGTAAGTTCGAACAACCGGAGACGGAAGATAAACCGGGGGCTCCGGATGAGGCGGCGGTCAGAGTTTAGATCAAATAGTTGGACTAGCAGCCTTTGTCTCCTTCACGCACAAGTAACATGCTAATGCTGTGTCTAGATGAAAGGTCAAACTAAATGCAAGCTTGCCCTTTTTTAGTTTTTTTTCTCTTTCTATTTAGTTGCTAATTCAAGGTTATAGGATAAGTAGTCGAAATAGGGGTTTTCACACTACCAAAGCGCCCAAACTGCAGTATTGTCGCTTTTTTAGTCAAGCACTTTTCAAATAGGATCTTGCACAACAAGGTCGGCCATAGCTCAGGATCCTGGAGAAAAAAAGTTTTAGATTGCACAGAGCGATATTCACAGAACAAAAAGAAATTTTTCTTGCAGCGTACGAGGAGTTTTAGAAAACTTTACTTAGAGTTTACCCATAGTTTTTTAGTACTACTTTGAGAGAACCCGGTGAAGAAGTTACACAGAGGACCCGCTGAAGGTGAACGCACGTGAGACCTGGACACTCGCTGCCATAATCGGCTTTGCCGGTTGGCTAGCGCGCTTCTTTGAAGCGAATCTAAATAAATAATAAATCATGCACTTTGTGGCTTAGAGTTTGGTTTTCCGAGTTAATAAACAAAGAATGTAAACCACGTAGTAAAAAGAGAAACCTATAAGCAGCGCCAGTAGCATTTTTTATGATATCAATCCCCATCTGGATCTGCAATTATATAATGTGAAGATCAGAACTTGAATCATGCTGGGCCAGGATCTGTTCCTTTTCGCGGTCGACGGCGTATGGTCGTCTTTTCTACTTCTCCGCGTGATTCGCGCGTGGTCGAACCGCGTGAAGCGGGAGGCCAAGTTGGAAACGTCCGAGAAGAATGTCGCGAGAACGTTCGAGCGAAAGCAGCAGGCCCAAACCTTCCACCGCTGGCGGAAAAACGCTTCGCAGCAGAAAAACCTGCGCGCCTTCACCGCGCTTCGACGGAAGAGGGAGAAGGGGCAGCTGAAGGAGTTTCTCCGGTCGTGCTTCCTCACCGGGTTGAAGCAATACGCGATCCAGAAACGGAAGCTGTTTGAAGCCAGCTGCGTGTTGAAGGGGCTGCACCGCGCGCGGGTGCTGCAGGAGGAGTTCCGTAGTTGGAAATCGTTCACCCTCGCCTGCCGGTTCCGCGAGCACCGCAAAGTTTTGAACGCGGTGAGGAGCTGGTACGCATTCCAGCAGCGCGAGGCGGCGATTTCTGTTTTGAAAATCAAAGCGTACCAGTTTGCGCAGAGAGCGAAGCTGCGCTTCGTGTTCCGCGATTGCTGGAGAGCCGCCGTGAGGAGCAGTCAAACAACGAGGAACGAGCAGGAGAAAATTCTGGAGCTGCGGGCCCTGCGCAACTTACTGCAGCGGTCCTGGCAGGCGTGGCACAGTGCACGAGATCGCATTTACCTGCGGTGGGTGCGGCCCAGGCGACAGTATGTGCGCAAGTTGTTGTGCAAGGTACAGTTAGGAGAAAACAACTTTTGAATATTACTCGAAGATGCTTGTCCTTGTCGGAGGAAATCATTTACATTTCCAATCTACATCAAGCACGGGGTATTAAAAAGTAAACTCCACCACCTCTGTAGCGGAAGTTGTAAGTACTTCTTCTCTTCACACAGGTACTGTTTCTCCTGAAGCTTCGCGTCCTTCGCCGCCAGCAGCTTCGCGAGCTTACGGACCAGTTAGCGGAGTCCGTGTCTCTTCGAAAAAAACAGCGCACCGTGCCCATCTGGTTTGCCGCGGCGAGGAAAAAGCGCGACTGGCGGACCAGCACGGAATTGAAGCTAAACGCTTTTACGAGGAACACTCGCTTCCCTGGTCTGCAAAAGCGGAGCTTCTTTCTCTGGAGACATCGCGTGACGCGCAGGAAGCAGTTTGAAGCGTCTTTGGACCAGCACGAACTGGACTTCATCCTCCGCCCGTTTTTCCTCCGCTGGCAACGAGATTACACGGTGCTGCATGCCAGACCGGAAACAAAGATCCAGAACGACACGGCCAGGAAGTTCTTCCGGAAGAAGTTTCTCGGGGAATTTATTTTAAAGTGCTGGCGGAAGCAAACCATAACCGAGAAGCAGAACGCGGAACACCTGAGGACAGCGTTGACGTTCTGGTATCTGATATCAAATGCAAAAATGTCTGGGTCTGCAAGAAAAAGAATGCAGGTTTGTCATGCTTGTCTGGCATGACTCGAGAATCTGTGTTGCATATGGAGGAAAAAGCCCTCCTACCTGTCATGCAAAAACGCAGTTTGCCATGCCATGCGGAATACGTAAGACATGGCAGCCAAAAAATTTGTCATGCATGGTTGCCGCGTATTGCAGTGCGTCTATCATCCACTTTGAGCATTACAAGTTTCCAGACTGAGACATATTTGCAATCCATATCTGAACTCGATGGGCAAAACCGTTCGGTGCTGGAGGAGTTCTGTGGGGAAAAGAAAGGAGAAAAGAAGCCGGGAAGAGCTCGCGATGGCGCAGTTTAGGACCGCGCAAAGGCGAAACACGGTCCGGGAATTGCTGAAATTCGTGCTGTATGCATTGCAAAAGTATCTGGGTCTGGAAGAATGCAGGACTTGTCATGCTTGTCTGGCATGACTCTTGGATCTGTGATGCGTAAGCAGCAGGAGCGGGGCCTCCTGCCTGTCATGCAAAAACGCAGTTTGCCATGCGGAAAACGAAGCACATGGCACGTGCAAAAACTTGTCATGCTTGGCTGCATATTGTAGTGCGCCCACGGTTCACAGACTTGCATCACAAGTTTCCAGACCCAGACATTTTTGCACAGGATATGTTGTTGGAAGAGGAGAGGGAGGAAAACGAGCTCAGGCAGAAGTTCGAAGCCGACTGGGCTCACAAAGAAAAGTATCGCAAGAAAAAAATGTTACAGTCACACATTGTGTTGCAGGAGCCGCAAGACAGACAACCTTTGTCACGCAGGAAATGCTTGCGAGCCTCGTTTCCTACGTATTTTCCCTTAGGATCTACTTTGCATTACAAGTTTTCTCTGACACACAGAGAAAATGTGTGATGCAGAAACTCCAACAAATGCGTAACTGTAACGCTTTTTTCATGGGATAAAAAGCTCGCACGTCCAGTTGCCGACCGGTTTTTGCAACTGCTGCATGTCGGTGCTGCAACGAAAAAGAGCAGGAACCACTCCGCAGCTTACACTGATGTGTCGAATGATGAACCTCGTTCTTCCAGAACAGAAGATCTCCTCCAGCATGTTGGAGGACCTACACTGCGAAAAGAAATCGGATTCGCGCATGCAACTGCTAGAAGTCCTTGTCCTACTGGTGCGCACGTACTAAAAGAACCTTCATGCAACTACTACAAAAAGGAAAGCGAAGCTACGCATATGATGAGGACAGAGCACAAAAAAACTGAGGATCGGTGTCCTAGTGATATGGATATCGACGGGGTACAGCTTCTAGAGGTGCGTGATAGTTCGAATAATGTCAACTACCGCTACGCGATAGCAACTGCGCAATAAAGACCTGCACCTGCTTGTATTTAGTTATGTCACGACGTGTGTCTCCTGTCGTGTGTAATCCTGGTGCCAACATATTGTTCTACTTAGAACTGGACAGAAGTAGGCACATTGAGTTATAATCCCTGCAACAAGATCCGATTGACAACGACAAGAGCAAGTGGCTGATCTCGCGTTTAGATCTGGCTCGAAGTACATAACAACAGATGGATCTGAGAAACGTATTTTTAGGGGTAGACAAGTACAAGGACAAACTGTGGATGTCCCTCATGCAGGGTGACCGTGACCACAAGCAGCATCAGCAAGCATGATGCTATGGCGGATCTATTAGGTTTGCGATTCTTTTGCGTGTAGTGTCGATCTCTGAAGCTGACGGCGAGGATCCCCGTTGATTGCATAAGTTCTTTTAGCCATGGAGAACGGGGTACATTTTTCAATGCGACCACCATTTCATTTTCTACGCATCACGCTATGCCACATGTGATTTAAAGATAGAATCTTCTGCTTTCATGCCTTTCTTTGAGATTTTTCTCTTGTGTTTGCACTGATATCAGGGACGAGCAGGGAAAGAGAATAACCGTTGCCATCATCTTCTCGACGATGCACTATACGGCGCCAATCATCATTTTGCCTTGAACCTAAAAAGTTGGTCTTTTTTTTTAGAACTCACACACTATTTCACGAACGCCTTTTTCAAGCCTATCAAGAAAGAAGCTCAAGGCAATTTTCGCAAATTTTTCTAAGGCGATACGGGAAGAATACAGCCTATATCTAGTACTGCGCGAGCGGGTAGATGATTTTGGTTCGTATGCCCACTATCGCATGATCTAAGGCACCAGCAGCACTTCACTTTAGAAGGGATACATAGAAATTTCAACTTTTCATCTTGCGCGCGCTGCTTAATGGCTGCGTAGGTGATATCAGTATAGCTACCAAGTAGAAAATCAGTTTTATTTCCTAGTTGATAGATTTATTTGCGCCGTCGATATTCTCCGTTGAGAAGAAAAAGTGTAGGTGAATAGGCTATTTCGTGGAATAGGAGGTCTACTACTAGCAGGCGTTTTTTGAAGATTACGCCCAATATCTGAAAGTTCACCGTTCTCACCAACACCCAACTTTTCGAGACAAAAGCACTGAACGACTTCATCGTTGTCTCCAAATTCCCTATCTCAACATTTGGAACGAAGAAGAAGGCACTACGAACATCTGCGCTGGCGTCGAATTGTCCGAGTTTTTAGACACGGAGCTTTTCTTTCCTGGTCCCTCAGCAATTTTACTCATTCCCGACTGCCTGGTGCGTGCACCCGGTTGGAATTATCTCGATTTCTTCCGGGCTTTGAGTTTGTGTTGCGAAAACACAACGTTAAAAGCACAAACCTGATCGCAGCTGCCCTCCTGTCCTGCTTCGGAGTCGCACGGCACCGGAGAACTATTAAAGCGTGGGAGAACAAGCTACAAGGAAGTGTGGATCCATCTGATGAAAACAAATTCCACCCACAAAGACGAACGACACGAAGAACAAAACCGCTAAAAATTTATACAGAAAACGAACGACCACAAGCAAGAATTAGATCGAAGAGCCTAAGGCGCTCTTTTCGATAGTTAGAGCTTCCTGCTCCTGCTGCTGCCGCTTCTTGGGGCCGCAAGCAGACGAGACCAGAGCCGGTAATTCTGGTGTGCAACGGTTCGCTGCCGAGAGTAAGGGGTCGCGTGCTTAAATAAGTGCCTCGACGAGTGCTTTGGGTCGAGTACGGCTGCAAGCAACCACTCAATTTTCTCCGTCGAACCACAATTGTAGGATGTCCATCATCAACGACATCTACGGCCTTTTTCATCCTGGTATTTTTTGCTATATTTTTTTTGGGAACTACACTAGCTTCTAACTGCCGAGGACGTTGGACAGTGAACCTCTTGATGAATTATATACCACAGTATCGTAGAAATTTTTACTATTCGAACCGGAAATTAAATAACTTCTGCGCAAATTGATCGGATGAAAAACACACTTTGTTTCAGGCGCGCCCGGCACCACCTGGGTCGACCGGGTCCACGCGTTTGGGGAAAACTGGGTCTGTGGCATGATCCGCCCGAAAAAGAAGCGCAACCCGGGGGAAATCGATCCGGAGGCGCCGGTGGTGATCAATTTGCACGATGCCATTCCCACCGGGCAGTACCCGCTAAGCAACTCGAAGAAGATTAAACTCTGGGTTGCCCAGGATCCCGAGCGCCACGTTTACATCGGCCGACCCTCCATTTGGGGAAACCCCTTCCGCATTGGGGACCACGGGGACAGCCGTATTTAATTTTCACCAGACAATTTCTTTTGCCCCTGCTGCTGGTTTTCAACATGTCGATTCAAATAGCACAGCAGCTTTTCATCTCGGTCCTCCTTCACGGCTTGTCGACCTCCAACTACTTGCTGATCGAGATTTGTTTGCGATGACACGACCTTCTGGACACGCCAAGAGCTTCCGAAGCAGCTTAAATGTGTTTCAACTGAAGCTACGCTACTTTTCTTTTGGTTTTGATGCAGACTTTGTATTTGCAAGAAAAACTATGAAAATGAAAACAGGTGAAACAGTGGTCCGGAAGTACCGCGAGTACCTGGTGAACGACCATCCAGAAGTCTTGGTTCATTTAGGAGACCTTCGCGGAAAAATTCTGGGCTGCTGGTACTGAGCTATGGCGTTTCAGTGTCCGAAAACTGCATCAGGAAAGCTCGTTTTCATGCATGGAATGATTGTGTTTGTGCAACCAAGTGAAGTGCAAAAATATGGTCATGCATGAATTCTTATTTAAACTTCTACCAGGTGCCATCCGCATCCGTGCCACGGGCATGTGCTTCAGAATCTCTACCGCGATCGCGACGATGCGCGGTTTTGCAGGGCTTGCACTGACCAGCCAAGGTGTTAGCAGAGGGACGATCTTCTACGCCGGATAATTGCAACAGGAATATATTCTCCTGTTCGGAAGAAACATTTTCAGTCGTGCTCGAAGATGATGTCGCTCCACCTACCGTATCTATTAACTTTGATTCGCAATTTTATGAGAAAGAGTTTCTAACTTTTATTCCTGCACCAGGTTTTATCGATCTTCTGTTCGTCTTTCGCCAATCACAGTTTTATTTTTCGCTCCGTCCCCAACCAAAGCAAGTTGCTAGGACGGCTCTACTTCCTGATCACCTCACGAGCGCTAGTAAAGCACAAGCGAGAGACGCTGCTGCTGCATTTCTGCCCCTCCTCCAGGATAAGGATAACACTCCTTCATTTGATAGAAATAAATTTGAGAATATAATAGCATTTTATCATGAGAATATATTTGTTTGACAGTAGCAGGAGCGGTAATGGTCGCTGTGTCTGTACTAGCTTCAAAGCCAGGACGATACATGTTCCTGTGATGATTCATACGAAATAGTTGCCGGCCTAGAAGAGGATAACAATGACTACAAACACATCTTTTCGAAACACGACGACCCTGTTGCCGCTCCATCTGCAGTATTTCTATCAACATCCTTTCTTTTTTACCAACGAACTCTTTTCACGAGCTAAAAGGCATCTCTTGCTTTCCTTTGTTCTAGCCGGATCAGGTAGAGCTATCCTGAACACGCTTTGCAGCATTTGTTTTTTCGTTGTCATTTTCGAACCCCCCCAAAAAAAACCTCGTCACCAAAATTTAGCTTATTTTCTGATCCGCTTACTTAAGCGTCTTGACCGATAAACATCAACCCGCGGACTTAACCACTACACTCGATATAGAAATAGTCGACATTTTCTTGAGCCCGATGTGAAACCTCATACTCGAAATTTTTTCGTTTTCCTCCCTGCAATTTTACCGATATAGGTGTAAAAAAAAGTATTCAACTCAGTAGTCTCGAGCTCGAGGACGGCATCAAAAAAAAACCATTTGCGAGCGGTTAGTATTTGTACAAAGATACTACCAGGACCAGGAGGGACTCCTCTACACGGCAGAGCTTTATTGCAGCGGCATCAATATACTGCGCAAAGGGTTCTTGCCGAGGCGCAGGCTCGTTTATCTTCGACCTAAGCCTAAGCCTTTTCAGTCTGAGTCCCCTGCGTCAATGTACAAGCAGCGACACTTCTTGATGTAACTTTAGAGCTTTGTTTGAGTTTGACAGCAGTGGTTTTATTTCCAGCTTACAGGAAAACGAAAAACAAATTCAATCTTGTAGTCATGTTCTGAGGAGACAGGACGGTATGATCATGATGCTGCCGCGAACTACGACAAAATAAATGATATCACTTTACAGGCTACAAACTATGCCACCAGTTGTAATGTAGAGGAGGAGCGACCTTTTCTATCTGTGCCTGCTGGGCCTGACAATTTTATCGAGACGGTGGCGAAAGCAACAAAACTCTTTGCACTAGCAAAATTGTTGTTGTGAAGTCTCGAAATCGGCGGGCCTGCAGTTTCATGATGGGAGATAGTTGCTTCTTCGAAGTCTCTTAACGGCTCTGCGTAAGTTAGAACGGAAGTTAGAACAAGTAAAATTACATCAGCGACAACTTTTGACTTTTCGATACTTCAGAACAGAGAACAACCTTTCATTCGGAAAAAATGTTGCGGCCCAGGAGCACTTAATGAGTTGCTCCTACACGAGGACCGTGCCACACTATATTACAGACCGTGGGCTCGTCTTCAGATAGGTAGTTTATCCACCGCTTCTTGCCTTCGATAAAAGCAATACTGAGTAGTTCTGGTGCATGCAGGGGATCTCTTGTCTTGGTCTTGCTGTGGTGTGCTGTTGCAAGCGGTATGGGATGAGAGTACCATCCGGAAAAATACTAATGTAAAAGCTTAGAGCAAGGAATATTCAATATACGACGCCGAGAATCCCAGTTTCTGCTTCAGCACACCATCCATGATCACCTTTGTTTCATTGTACTGCAGTCTGGGCTTCTAAAGACAACATCTGGATGAATGTTCATCATTCGACGAGCTGACAGCAACAAGGGTAACGAAGACTGCCACTGCGCACCGGGCTCAACAGTGTAGTTTCTGTACTGCATAGCGATGGCATTGGCAGAGCAGCCCGCTTGCGCTGGCGGGCTAGGATAATGTACTTTAATTATTCATAAATCCGAATGACTTGTTTGAATGCATCGTTAGTTTTTTCGTCAGCTTTCGTGGCGAAGATTTTTATTTGCGATCGACAATATCTCAATCTTTACTTTCTAAAAGAAAGAATATTTTGTACAAGAACCACTCTACAATTGCACAACTATCACAGCTTTTTTCACGCTTGCAGTCATGCCAGCTTGCTCCAAAAATCGTGCAGAGGTCTGTTATGAAATGTCTAATCTTCAGCATTTTCTTTGAGCCACAAAGGAAATTAATTTGTGACAACAGCACGTGGTGTAATATCACTAATATTCCACTGACATCTTCCATGTCATGTGAACGAATTGCCACGGAGCTGTTGCACTTTTTTCCTTTATGCTGCCGAAGGAAGAGTATATGGTCTAGGAAGTGTAGGAGACAATGAATTTATTCACTTCCCTGAAGTTTTTAGACGATATTTTCTGAAGACTTTATTTGCAGTGGGAGAACTGGTATTTTGCTGCGGGTGCTTCTTTATCGTAGTCTAGTTGTATCTGTTCCTGCATGGGTTTGACGTCTCATGTGCATGATACGGCTAGCAAGCTGAGAATATGAGAATATATACTGTTGATTTGCAATTGTAAATGCTTTTATTATAGAACAGGGCTGTTTCGTTTCGAACAGGCAACCCGCATGAAAACGTAAATGACCGCACTGAAGACTTCAGGCTCGTTGAGACGAGACCAAAGATAGAACGTCTGTGGAAAAGAACGCCTTTTTACAACTACATCCCTCGTAAAAATTCGCCTGCCTTGTGCACCCTGGCGTGTGCAGGTGCAGGTAGCAAAGCATGTATGCGATTGCTTAAGATCCGATTGCTTCTTGGCGGCTGTGTTCAGTGTGGTCGTTGAGCTAGTTCTTTATTGAAAACTTTTTCTCGTTTTGCTTCCTTCATCTGGAGTGCTGTTCATATTTTTCTTTTCTTCGATCGAAACAATTTTCAGATCAGAGCTGCTGGATAGAAGCTTCCTCCAAAGGGAAAGACACGATGAACAACATGCGAGCCTCTTCGTCTTCTCGTCGGCGCGTTGCCGTTGCGCTTTTCAGCTGCTGGGTGTCGGTTTTTACTCGATCGAGTTTCGGGAGGAAGCTCAAGCGTAGAAGCTTACTGCACAAGGCTCCACTCGTCCATTCGGTGGCGGACGACACGGAAAAAATAGACCCCGCAGACAGATTGGCGAGCCAATTTGCGACTCTCCGAGTAGCAACTTCATCATTCTCGCGGTCTGGCAATAACGAAAAGACGTGTTCTAGTACAGCAGCGTCTGGATTCGCTTCCTCGCTGCGCCGTCCGTTGCTTGAAGGGAGTACTAGCAGTAGCACAACTGCGAGTTGTAGTGCCAGAGTGGGTCATGATCGTCATCCCGATACTGCTGCTGTTCCGCGTCCTGCAGACGAGCACACGACTTCACAGGTGGTGGAAGAAGATGGATACCAGCTACTCGACAAAATCGGCGCCTGCATGGAAAGCCTCGGAGACGGAACCAGAGCTGTTAGACAATGCGCAACCTCGATGTTGCGGAAAAAACTTTCGCGGGTCCACTTCCCGAAAATTAGCAAGAAGACGCAAACTCTGATTCTCTTGGGCATGATGCAGGGCCTCATCTGCCTTCCCGACGGAACGGTAAACCAGCTGCTGTTACCCAAAATTGCCAAAGTTCTCACGGCTGGCGCCGCCGCGGACGCGAAGAGCGAAGGCATGGGGCCGCCGACGCCGTTGACACAGAACGACTTTCTCGTCGGATGGAAAACTTCCATGGGCGGGCTTGTGTCCGTGATTGGCAGTCACTTGTACGGGGAATTGGTCGAGGCAAGACAGAACCTTCGCGAAAGCGACAGAAACGATGAAGATGGAAACGATCACGCGAGCACGGAAGCCGAAGCCCATCGTCAGGACCTCCAAAGACAAATCCAGCTTTTGCGCAAAGTGTCCATCACGACCGCGGTTATCAGTGTGGCGCTCATTTTTATGCCTGCGTCAACTTACCCAAACTCAACTTACCCAAAAATTTAACTAACCACTTTAATTAGCTACTTAGAGTCCGAACCTACTATCCGGCGCCGCTCAGTCTACACTTACTAGTTGAGGTAAATAGCTATTTCGAAAAGGACGTTTTCCGGCGTGTGTAGAAGGCGCAACCTCCGCTACCAACGATCACGGATCCCCTCCCCAACGATGCTGTGTCTCATGATAAAACTCCTTCGAGTTGATGCTATCAAATCAGATTATATTGCTTTTGCATGGGGCATAGCATCGGGGAAGCAGTATACTTTTAGGCATGGACCAGGGGGATGAGTGATCCCCCTCCCCGATGCTAGGTTTTGGATTGGCAAAAAATCACCCTACCAACGTGATTAGACAAAAAAGATGCCTCGGATTTTTTTCAATTCAATGGCATAAATGATAGAATATCTCAATACCTGTCGCATGCTATCACTTCGTGTATAAATCCAGCCAAGGTATGAAGCTTGTGAATGGTGTCGCAACGCGGTGGCAACGCAGCTCAGCCTCCGCGATCGTTGGCAGCGGAAGGGAATCCGTGATCGTTGGTAGCGGAGGTTGCGGGTTCTACACACGCGTGAAAACGGTCTTAATTAGCTATATGAAGTTCTATCTAGCTAACCATAGCTACTACTTTTAGGCATTACAAATCAGCATGCCTTCTAGCTATGAAAAATCGCTAATAAAGTTTTTGGGTAAGTTGAGTTTGGGTAAGTTGACGCAGTCATAATTTTCCTCGGGCTCGAGGCGGGATGGGAGGAGGGAAACCTCGACAAGGTGCTTGTGTCCTACTGGCTGAATAACTGGCTTTGCGGTGCGGTCCAAGGTTTTATGGCACCGTTAATTGGAACGATCACCAAGGAATTGTTTTCGATCCCGCCCTCCTTGCCCGGTAGTGTGGCCTCGACCTCGAGGGTCAGCAGTGACACGACCAGCTGTTTGCTAGAAAGTGATAGAGAAGAATCGGCAGGACGAGCAGTGGCTGGTGAAGCAGATCAGACTGAGGATCTAGACGTGGTTAATATGATGGTCGATGCTGATGATCATGACGACCTAGTAGGGAACGACGTGAATGATCCGGCTTCATCAGCATCCCAGGAAGCTGCAATGTCTGAGGAGCAGGCGCAAGCGGCGGCGCTGGCGAAGTTGCCACTGTTCACAAACGCGATCCCGGGCCTGGGCCAGTACGTGGCTGCCTGTGGAAGTCCGGACAGCTGGATCAAAAATGTCGTCCTGGCAAACGTGTTTATCGTCACCACTGCCTTGGCCCTTGGCGGAGGGAGTTTGTGCCACGGTGCATTTCGATCCGGCAGGCAGAGCGAAAACAGTACAAACACACCGGCATCTGTATCAAGCTATGAAAAGGACATTAAGGCGAACACCTACACACCCGCAACGACCGCCGCCTGCTCCTCCCCGGCCGCGGGGAGTTCTCCTGGAACTTGCTTTGGCAGCCAGACATTCTTATTCGGCGGGCCCGAGGAAGAACTGTGCGGCGCTGACTTCGGGTCGGAGTCGTCGGCCGAGTGGCGCGGGCGAGGGCAAGAAACGACAAATCAGCGGCGCACAATGTCCACCAAATTTAGGACTACGGATGCTTGTTCCACAGCCAGTGCTGGCAAGAGCAATGCGGCAGAGGACACAGAAGTTGATCATGACCTCGCGGCCACTCTTGTGGCCGACGTTGGTGACGAAGTTCATGAGCACTTGCGGCGAGGGCAAATAAACGAGGAAGAGGAACCCCATTCGTCTGCGAGTAAATCGAAAGACCGCAAGCAGCAGATCCTCCTTTTGACGCAGTGGATGATGTGTTCCCTCGGCACTTCCGCACAAAGCAACCTGGCCCCCAACACCGCCTCGCACCTGTGTCACAAGGGCGCGGGGCTCCCGAAGGATCTCACCGCGTTTTTGGTCACGATGGGGCCGTTGTTTGGTGCGGTGCTTGCGGCAAGTGTGGTGCAGCCCTGGCTGTTTCGGCTGCTGGAGCGGAATAAAGGCGACGGTCCGACGAAACCGGCACACACTGAGGAAGGTCAAGACGCTGCGACATCCGATGGCTGTCCTGCCGCAATGCAGCGTGGTAGGACACCAGATAGCGAGGGCCAAGAAGAACTGGACGCTGCGATGTCGTCTTCAGCGGCACCTACCGCAGACAGTGCCACGACCAGAAGCGCAACAACATCAAGAAAGGCCGCGTCACTTCTGAAAAGCACTGCTCGCCGGGTCAGGAAGTGCATGAAGCGGGATGGTGTTGTGATGCGTGCGGGTCCGCAGCTGGCCATGTTCTGTGCCGTGCAAACTTTTTACACTGTGTTGCCGCAAATTTTGGTGAAAAAAACCGACGACCCGAGACAGAATCAGAGACTCCAAGGGTTGTTTTCCTCGGAACAGGACCAGCGTGACCTGCAGCCCCGCATCTCGCCTGCTGCAATGAGGTTTCTAGCAGCGTCACGAAATGATAGGAAGCGGAACAGCGGCGCCGTGGCTGGTCGTGGCGACTCTAGTGGGGAAAGCGAAACGTCGTCGGCGGGAGCAAAATCCGTAGAACACAAATCACCTCGTTTGCAACGCCTTCCGCCACTGGGCATCACTAGTACGATTCTCCAGGGGCGGTCTTTTGGTGCTGTTCCTCACGACAGTAGAAGCTCCAGAGAGGGTCTTTCAATGAAAAGCGCGATGAACGAGAACGACGATAGAGGACAGGCCTTTTCAACGGACAGAAAGAAGTTGGGGACAACCAACGAAAGCGACACAACCCTCGGCAGCAATACTAGCGGCGGCGCGCAAGAAGATGATGAATTTTTGACGTCGTTTCTGGATGATGCGGATGTATTTCAAGTCACAGAACTCCTGAATTCGCTCAAAAACGACCACGAAGGAGACGATCAGCACAGAGAAAAGCATCATTACAACCCCCGCGCCCTATTGGAAAAGGCGTTCAACTCTCCCCCTACCACGACCGCGTTGGTTCTGCTTCTTTTGATGCAGGCGACCATGGGCGGAGTGCAGGTGCTCGCATCCTCGTCCACGCAACAAAAACTGCATTCCCTCGCAACATTTAACATCATTGACGAGGCTATGAACTACGTGGTCGGGCCCTTGATTGCAAATCAGGTGATCTCACTGTTTCAGATGGCGCAGCAAGAAGTACCTGCAGAGGACGAGGATCTATCTTCTGGGAGTGCTCCTACTACTTACGGTGGCAACACAGGGACAGGCTCTGGAGGAAGCAAAGCTTCTGCCTCCGGTGCAACGAAAATTTCCAGTGAAGATGGTCCCACAACAACTACCGCAGCCCCTCCAATGTCGAAAGCAGCCACAAAAGCCGCGGCCAAGAAGAACGCCCACGCCGTGCAGCTTGCCACCGAGAGCACGCTGCGCTCGTTGTCGTGTTTTTACGTGGCCGCAGCAGCCCTGAACATCGGGTGGGAAGTGGCAATGAATTCCGGACGGAATAAACCAAGGAGAACGAGGACTAGGAGGCGCGGGCACAGCAACTGCCAGCACCTGGATAGGAATCACTCGTCGGGAACAACGACGAGTAGCGGTGGCTCGTCATCCGCAGTTGGGGAAAAGTGAGGAAGCTACGACCGGCTTGCTCGATTTCGATAGATATACGTAGATGTGGAACTAACATTGCATGTGCATGCCTTTCTGATATTTTTTTATGTTGGGCAGGGCCAGGGGCTCTATTTTTGTATCTGCTGAAACCGTAATAGGTAAATTCATCGCAACGACGTGCTGAACGTGCGTCTATGTTGACACGTCTTTATTGGTGGATCTGCTCATTTATGCACAATCTACTTCGTCCCGCTTGGTGTTTTCCATCCAGCGGAAGGTCCGGAGTTTTGGTACAAGAAAATCAACTTGAGAATAAAGATTGGGATGTATCACTCCCTGCACACAGTTTTGAGAATACAGTCTGTGAGTTTGTATATTGAATTTGAATGCGTGATTGATTCTCTCATTTATTTTCGGTTTGGCGGGAAAAGCTGGAGGTGGAGTCAGCACTCTCTCTGATCTGCTTGTCAGCAGTTCTAGAGATCGAGTAGATTTGCAAGTACACCGCGGCATTCCGTAAGTAACTACTTATGATTGATTCATCACATGGACTCCCGCAGCTGCACCACCACCAAGGTAAAGGACTAGCTGCGTGTCGTGCCGGTAGCAAAGAATCTGGGCTTTGTGTGTCGTATCTCCAGGTTGTTCGATCGTATGGACATTGGACCTATCGTCTAGTCGTGATCCGCCCAAAAGTTCCTGAGTTTTTTGTCCTCCACCTGTCGTGTATACAACTTTTATATACTGGTTCTACATTTCAATTTCTAATTACCGCTTCTTGCCCCAGCGCGAGCGCCGCATGGGCATGCTATATGATTCGGAGGTCTAGGTCTACCTGACACACCTACACCACGATCATCACCACCCATATCATAATGGCGTCGAGCAGTTCGTATGTGCCGGCGCAGGCGAAGTACGTGAAGGTACCGACGCTGCACCGCAACAAGAAGTACCACCCGCGGCCGATCGGGTACCGCGTATGGATTGCAAAAATGTCTGGGTCTGGAAGATTGCAAGATTTGTCATGCAGGTTCAACATGACGCATGAGGTCTGGAATGCAGGATCTAGCATGACAGATTCTGTGAGATCTGTATCATGCCTATTCTGCATGACAAACTCACTCCCAACTTGGTCAAAAGTGGACAGCTTTTGACTTTGACCCTCATGCAACACAAATTGTTTCAGGATCCAGATTTAGCATCACAAGTTTGTATTCTTCCAGACCCAGACATTTTTACATTTGATACCGCGGGAACCACGACCATGGCAAGGACCTGGATGACCCGGTGTATTATCAAATGTAAAAATGTCTGGGTCTGGAAGAATGCAACTTGTGATGCTGTAGTTGGATTCCAAAAAAATCTGTATTGCATGAGTACCAAAGGGAATGCAGTTTTTGCTACGCTGAGAAGGCATTTGTCATTCGGAATAGGCATCACGAAGCCCTCTAAAAATCTGTATTGCTAGTGTATGCATCACAGACATCATGGCTTATGCAAAACGTGCATGACAAGAGTCAGAATTTCCCAGACCCAGACATTTTTACAGTTGATATGTATCCGACGAAAGTGATTCCCCACGAGCTCCGGCCGAAGCATTCCACGGACTGGCGAAACGCGGGGCGGGCGTTATTAACGGCGTCGCTGGCGATGATCGAGGGGCAGCGGATGAAGCACTTAGGCATGTTCAAAAAGTGGCAGGAAAAGGGCTACTGCGGCGAACGCTGTCTGGCGCAGTGCGCCTGCAACGCGGATCGGTTCTTCTGCGCAAATCGGGTCAAGGGATCCTTCTTCGACTTCGTCAACGCCACGGACGGAATTCTGCTGCGGTACCGTGGCGAGATCGCGCCGCAGGATTTCGCGAACAAGAAGGGCAAGAAGCCGGTATACACGGTGCCGCGACCGGTGGCCACGCAAAACGAAAGGAAGAGCAAGGTGTACTTCGTGCATAACATCGGAACCACTAGCTTTATTGAAGAATCGGGAGCAACAAGTGCAGTTTCGGATCTGGATCCTGTGACGCAACAAGGTGTTTATACCGATGGTCAGGATCACGACAGGGAACAATGCGAAGGCGCCGCCGCTTTCGGATCTGGGTCTTCACAGGACCGTGTCACCTACCACGGCCGGCACCAAGTTGACCAACTGGAGATAAGCGGAGCGAAAAACAACCGAAGCCAAGTCATCCTCCGTGCGGAGAAAACCGAATTCGTGCATCCAGCGTTCCAACTAGGTCCAGATCTGGAGGACCTAAGGCAGACGGGGGAAAAAGTGTCTTCGGAAAGGTTCCTGGGAAGTAGGTCGCAGAACATGAACAGTATCATCTCAACGCTGCAACATGTTGACGGTGAGGAGGGGAGGAACATACGAGATGAAACCTCTCTGTCGACGACATCTGGTTCTGGCCGCGCTGCCGCAGGCTCTCTTGACGGCTTCAGTGACGACGTTCTGGAAGAAGATGAGGCCGACGCGGAGCTTATCAACTGCAAAAATGTCTGGGTCTGGAAGGTTGGAACTTGTGATGCTAACTTTGGACTCTGAAAAAATCTGTACTGCATGACAAGCAAAAGGAGTCTAGTTTGTGCTACGCGGGGAGGGCATTTGTCATGCGGAGTAGGCATCAGGATCAGGAAGCCCTCTAAAAATCTGGGATGCTAGGTCGTGCATTGCAGACGTCCTGGGTCATGCAAAATATGCATGATAAACCCGGCAACGTTCCAGACCCAGACATTTTTGCATTTGATAGAGCTAGCCTTGTTGCAGTTCGAAGCCCAGCGAGAAGACGACGAGCAGGGGGACGACGATGAGGATGTTGATGCTCTGGAGGGAGATGATTTTGCCGAGGACGAGGGTCGTGACCAGGAGAATGAGCAAGGGTGACTACAAGCTCTAGAAGTAGTACACAAATGGCTCCTGCGTGACCGATGATGTCGTTCATCTCCTGCTCGTGCTGCAAACGCATTGATTACGACGATTTCGCGATGCCAATGCCAAACAAACTTTCTTGGCTCTGCAACATTATGCTCCTTGAGGATTGTTCATGACTAAGTAGTATGCAGTAGAAGTGATCTAATATCATCATCTACCGACAGAAGACTCCCATACGGCCTGGTTTTATGTGCGCCAGAAAGATGCTCAATTGCGATGAAAACGACCAATGAAAAGCAAAGACTAAGACTGACCAAAAACGCCACACGTCCTTTGAGATCCCTAGAAACTTCTATAGTGTTCGCCATTTTGGTAAACAAGGGTTAGTGATGGAAGCTTGCACGGCCTAGCTCCCGATAGTGTGTTCTGTAGCTGTACGCGCGCACCTGACCACTTTGGTGGATTTCAATGAATTGATTTATAGTGACGATTCCATCATGTGTATCGGAACGCACTTACACCTACCAAGCGTCCTGTATCGTGATAAGAATATATGAGATCACGCACGCCTTTACTCATTGTCATTAGAAGAGAACATTTGCTTCTTCCTCCAATCAGAAATGGCATGTTTTGTACTTGGCATATGTACTTTACGTTTCGTTTTCACGTTTTTACTCGAGGACAACATATTTTCTTTATATGGTTGGTAGTTACAAGGACGTTTTCGCATCGGGATTCCGTACCTCCCCCTGCAGGGGCATTCCCTGTGTGGCGGCTGAACTCAGAGAATATGATTTTGAAGTATTGTCTATGAGTGGTTTAGTACTTGTAAAACTTCCTAGATATTAGACATAGAACCTACTTGAGGAGCGCCGTGTAGTCACTCGGTTTCACGATAGAAAATAGAAATACATGATTACGCGGATTTTAAGCAAACAGCCCCTGTAATCGACCACGACGACGAGGACTACGATTACATGACGACCCTCTGCGTCTGTAGTAATGAACGTATTACAGCTTTGTGTGTGCAGTAAACAGCGACCCGCGGCATGAACATGATTGAGGGCCTCGCATCTCTACAACTTCCACGTCATGGATAAGACGACGAAAACTTAGCGACAGCAGCACTCTGCCCTATTGCGCAGACAAACTACAAGAGGAAGAGCGGACACGGCGGGAGCGTTTATTTGTTGAAGAATAAATGATACTTTTACTCTTCGTGAAGAAGACGACATTTTTCTATTTCTCGCGGATTGAACCAGCTGCGTGCCTTGGCAACTTCCGTCACCATGAAATTCGGAAAGCACCTGAAAAACCTCGGGGTCAACGACCTCGAGGGCCATGGATACATCTCCTACGAGGAGCTGAAAAAAGTGATCAAGGCCCTTCTCGAAGCCGCCCAATGTGGGGACGCGAACTCGATGGTATCCCTGCGGCACGAATGGGAACGCGTTTTGGCGAACGATCTTTCTTCTGTGGAGGAAAATCTAACCCTCATGGTGCAGAATATCGAGACGCTGCTGGGGGAATTTCAATTTCTTGTCGTGCAAGTGTTCCCGGGGATCCAGGTTCTGTCCTCCTGTGCGCATCTTTACGCCGCGGTCAGCCCGCAGCTGACGTTCACGACCTGGACGGCAGCTGCAGCCGGCACTTCGTCGTCGGCTCATAATTACATGCGGGGAGCCGGGGGCGGCGGTTCGAGCAGCGGCGTCGGCGGCGGCGCTTATAGTCTGGTCTCAAGTGTGAGTGGCAGCGGGGTAGGGCGCGCGAGTGGAAGCAGAACGGGCAGAGGCAGCGTGTTTACGCAGACCGTGATACAGGTATATTTTTTTGATATTACCTAAATGTCGTGTTTGCTCTGGAAGTCGATCTAGATGTGTGTCGACCACATAATTCTGGTACCAGCAAGAATACGAATGGTATAATCTTACGAGCCCCACGAAAAATAAGATTTCCATTTGATTCGCACCAAGATTAATATTTTTAAAACAGGTCGGGAATAATAGCAAAGGAAGCAAAGCTCGCCCCCTGGACGAGAGGTCTAGTACAGAGAAAGCCAGCGCCGCAAGTCGTTCTAGCTCCAGTAGTAAGGAACATGCCAGCACCGCTTTACAAGCACCAGCACCTCCCCTGGATCCGCTGAGTCAGCAGCGCCTGCACTGCATGCAGGTGTTTCTGCGGGCCCAGAAGGAACTCGGAGATACGTTGGAGTACATTGACCTGAACCTTTCTGGCTGCCGCAAAATCACGAAAAAATTTCATCGCCACATTACCGACCAATTCCTGATTCACTGGGATTCCAGGTCGAGACCGAAGAAAGTCGAAGCTGTTGCCGTTCCACCGGCGGGCTCGTCATCTGCAGAAGGTTCGTCCTCTTTGCCAGGCGCTGCGACACAGGTTTCTGTCTCCGTAGCGACTACTGGTGCGAAAAACTACACGCACGATGATCATTCTGAAACTAACGCACAAGTAGACCACGACCCTGCGCAGCAGGATCAGGAAATAATAGTATCTTCAAAAGACCTACTTTTATCAAGAACCAGGGGTACTACTTTCAAAGACACCAGGAGAACGAAGGAGAAAGTGAAAGCATCGATGTTTCACCCCCCAAGGGAGCGAAACAGCAGTACCGAAGAGATTCGACCAAGCAAAATCTATTTGCGGCCCCGTCGCGGTTCCACCTGCTCCGATACCGAAGCCTTGGCGGAAGCGCACTACGAAGCAGCGGCGAGTCGAATCAAACGCTGCTCTTTATACTTTTCCCCGACGAGGAAGAGCTCGCGCACGAGCATCGACGTCGATCGTTTGAGCTCGTCGTGGCCCGACTTTTTCGCGGCGGGGGCTAGAAGTTCGGAAAGCGGTTTGGAGGGCGTGGAGCCTTCCAATTTTGCTTTTTTAACGAATAGTAGAAACACGACGTCCTATCGCCGTCCGGATGCGGATGATGAGAATTATGACCCGACGAGCTGCCAGGAGTTCTTGTTAGAGAAAAAAAGCAACACGACTTCGACCGCGGCGACAACGTCCGGCCCTGGAGATGGAACAACCATGCTTGCCACAACAGCTGCACAGCAGGGGGAGGTTAAGGTCATCTCCGACCAGAATCCTGTCCTGAGCAACAGCGTCATTCAAGAAATCCCAGCACCGAAGAACGAGGAGATGGTTTTGTCACAAGTCGCGGGAGGTTCTTCAACCACACCTCGCGTTGTTCTTGTTCCTTTTGACAATAAAAGTGACACTAGAAGCGGCACGACGCGTGCAGAGGTCGGCGTACGTCAAGATGAAACCTCCAGCAAACAAGTCGAAACTACAATAGATGGCCGTGGTGCAAACAACGACACCGAGCAGCTTGATGCCGCGACCGAGGAGGACAAGCAGAACGCTACGACTTTCCGCCGGTCTGGCTTGGTGAAGCAGGTTCCCCGGGATCAGAGTTACGACATTGTCACGGAGAACAACAAGAAGAAAATCAACACGAAGGGCATGATGACCCGGGACCAGACGAACTTACATTCCTGCGTGAAGCGGTTCCTGGGCATGCGGTTCCAGAGAGTCTACGCTGCTATTCACATGACGGCGAACGAGCTGAGACGGAAACTCCCACCGCAGGTTTGGACCGCGATTATGAGCAGCTCGGTGGCCATGGAGCAGTGGCAGCGAAGGGAACAACTACGAGACTCAGCCACCCAGGACCAGAAGGATGTTAACCGGGAGAAAGCGCGAGGCGATCCAGCCGGAAGCAAGAAGAGCCAGAACAAAATCCAAACCCTAGACGCAAATTATAACACCACCCAACAAGTAGAAGTACCAGCCACCGCTCCGCAAGACCTGCAGCAAATGCAGCAGACCGCCGCGGCGCTCGTGCAGCTGCAGCCGCCAACGTTTCTGGCCGAAACGCACGCTATGATGTCCACTTTGGACCGCCGGGACGTGCTGGAGGAGATTTTACTTTTGCAGGAGGAACTGCTACTGCAGGACGCGCAGCTGTACGAAAAAAACAACGGAGGGCCGCAACGCGGCGGGGGCATTGGGGGAGGTGCTGGTGCTGGTGCTACTTTGGGGGCTGCCGGGAACAAGATCAAGAATGATAGTACTTCATCACATCAACATCAACAGCAAAATGCAGCTGGTCAGAACAACCTCAAGCATAAAAACCAGCAAGACCACCGCGTGACGACTTCCCAGAAAGTTACGTCCCACGGAGGCACGACAGGAATCGCGACAGCGAATGCAACCGGTGCTTTGGGGTCGTCGGCTATATCATCTACTCCACAGCACCATTTCCATCAAGGCGCTTCCGACGCGCCCATGCTTCATTCGATTGCGGGAAGATTGACGCAGTATACAACGACAGCAGGAGCCACGACGAACACCCACCCAGGAGGCGGCAACAGGTCTTCGAGGAGTAAACAAGCCACAGAAAACTACCAGTTTAACAAGCAGGGACAACATCGTGGCAACAGTAGAAATAACGGGGGAAATGCTGTTGTTGTCCAGACTGGGGGCCAGCAGCAGAATCAAAATGATCTTCAACACAATGTCAATGCGAGTGACCTTTCTCGTCCTTCTCCCTCGAAGCAGGAGAAGCACCAAGAGCAGGAGGCAGCAGGATTTTCGACGTCGGCCAGGACGACAGGACCGTCCGGAGGACCACCACCTCCACCGCCAGCCCCACCACGACTGCCGGTTCCGGGAGCCGCGCCGTTTGATTATGTGCTGGAATCATTGTACAGCAACCCGGGAGAATTGATGTCCAACTTTCACCTCCCGCCCGGTCGAACGAAAGGTGGTTACAACTCAAAAAACAGCACAACCGTCTCTCGAGGTTGTATTAATCGAAACAAAAATAATGGTAAAGGCGACTTCTGGGGAGGCGGGCCCCAGCAGTGTGCCTGGAGGCGTGTTGGGCGCGAGCGCGGCGGCGCCAGGATGCACAATTCGCTGGACCAAGTCCTTGGTCACAGAAATTTTCCGGGCTCCATGTTACCGGGCGGTTCTGAAGAAGACCTGCAGCAGCGCACTGCCGCGCTGGATGACGTGGCGGGTGTCGGTAAAATGAACATTGAAGAGGGAATAAACAACGATTACTTGTTCTCGACGTCGTCATCATGGCCGCACAGCAGAGGGGAGCATCAAGTGCTGGATCCCGTTGGATCGTCGAAGTCCTCGGCGGCAACTTCGGATGAATACAACGGGAATAAAGGTGCTCAACAAGCTGTTCAGTTTCCACCGTTTGATCACCTCCACAATCAAAATCAAGAAGATTTTCCTCAGACACATCAGCACCATGACCCGCCACACTTCTCTCAGCAAAAAGGCGGAAAAGGTGCAACTGGCTTATTTCGTCGAGCGCATTCCAACGACGTTGTTGAGAACACGAGCTACGGTAATAGAGTGAATATGTACAACGGTGATAATTCTTGGTCTTCATCCAGCAACTACTGGGGCGCAAGTGTGCATGCCTCAACGTCACACAAATTGGATTACCAGCAGCAACGCCCTTTTCAAGATCAAGGCAGTGAGCATGATCGCGCGGCGGTGAGCTCTTACAGCAACAACCATAGTGCCTGGGACGGTGGAGAAGGACCACGTGGTCCACCGGGAGGAGGAGAGCCGCTGTCGCGATATGATGACGAACATGACTGCTCACATCTTGTTCACAAGGGCGTTGGGAAAAGAGGCAAGGGTGACCACAATATGACGATCAACATGGCCGCCTGCAACCTGCATGCTGGAAATATACAAGATCCCGCTTCTGCGAAATACAGTAAGTTCAACACGATATCTAAAGCTTCCGCGAGAGCAGGCGATGGTGGAAGTCATTTCGGTGCTAGTACCTTTGCTGGAGACGTCGAAGGTGTGCTACCTTTCCCATCTGCGCCCCCTCCGGCTGGAAAGAAAGGTCCCCGACTTGACAAGGAGCATGCAGACAAAGAGCGGCAACGGCGAGAGGAGCGGCGGGTCATTGAGGAGCTAACTTCGCAGTGCTGGCAAACCGGAATGAACCTTGGCGGAGACGAGGAGAAGGGGAAAAATGGGATGCTGGACACAAGTTCCAACATGATGAACATTTACAACAACCCTCCAGGTGTTGTTGCTGGTGCAAAAAAAGGAAAGAACATCCATTACGGTCGGGGGGGTCTGCTGCATCATAACGTGTTTCAGAACCAGAACAATTCGAGTGGTGGAACAAGTAGCCATAATTCACAACAACTCGTTCGTAATAATAACAGCAGCAGTTCAACATCCAGCACTTTTCCACACCGAAGTGAAAATGGGCAACCCGGTCGTGATGTTTCGCATCACCAGGTGACCGCAACGACGGCGGGCTCATCGAGTGCTGACGTTGGAACGAATAATATCAACAGCTACAGCAATAATTACGTCGGCTCATCTGGAATGAGTTCCAGTTCCCTGAACAACCACTATCTGTCAGATGGAGCAGGGGGAGGTCGTGATACTAGTAAGCCGGATATTAACAGTCAAATACAAATTTCGTCGGCTCCTGGCGGGCCTGCAGGAGCAACTCCCACGATGTTTATTCACCAGCAAGAACAGCAAGCAACCCCGGGCAAGTATTCTGTCGGCGGAGCAAGTACGATTGTAAGCAACGCTAGCGGCCAAGGCCATTTCCAACCTGTGTTGTCTGCTCCCCCAGCTTTCGGAACCTCCGCGGGGGGTTCTTCTGCTGCATCAGGGTCGGTGGTTGGTTCTTTGCTGTTTGGCGGTGGTGGCGGGGGGCCAGCAGTGCAACTGCAACACCAGCAGCATCAAGCTGGGTCTGGATCGGGCTCATCTGTAGTTGCGCAGGTGGACCACGTTGGGCACCAGCAGATGCATCAGGAGCAGCTGATTCCCTTGGAACAACAAGCAAATAACACGACGGGGGATCCTAAGGTCCAGCCGGGGGCACCATTGCAACAGTCTCAGTCAATGACTACAACAGACAGCCAGCATCATCATGTTCATGATCTGGCCCGCAAGATTATGGGCGGAAACAATGACAATTACGTCCAACACGTCCCGCCTTCCTCTATCCATGGGGAGACAGCCACCACACAGCACCCCTCCTCCCTCGGTGCACGGACGCACTCAGGCTCGGGTAGCTGGGCTGGGGGGATGCTGGGAACGGCCAGTGGCCAGTTTAATACCGCGGAAATGCAGCAGCTCGGTTCATCGTCTGGAGTTATTGCAGTCGGTGGTGGACATAATACTAGCAGCCATAATATGAACCTGATAACCGGGGGCCACCTGCAGCAGCAGCAACAGCAGACACAGACTCCCACCGCCCCGGGAGGTAGTACTAACATTCTTGGAACTACATCCACATCAAGTCCAAGTCCACTGCTGTTGAGCATGCCCACCGCTGACTACACGACACACGCAGGCAGTGGGTGCGGAAATTTGAGTGGCAACATCTTCACTACCGATCAACTACATCGCAGCATGAACCACGGCGCGCCGGCATCGGCAAATACAAGCAACCTCTATCCGCAAACGCCACTGCAACAGCCAAACACAACGAGTCACCCGTCGGGTGCAGTGGCCGCGGCCCAACATCGTGTTCAGAGCGGTGCTGTGTCCGCGCATGACGTCGCTGGGTCGACGTTGATGAACTACACGGGTGCAAACAATGGACTGCAAACGCTTGTCGCGCAGATGTTTCAGCAGCAGAACCAGCAGCCACTCATCAACACCAGCGGCGGGGCTGCCTCAAATGTGGGAGGCGGGGGGCCTGCTGTTGGGCCAGCAGCTCTTAATGTCAACCATCCTCCTTCTGGTGTTCATGTTCAACCAACCACGACCAACACTGGCGCGTTTCATGATCTCGTGGGTGCAGAAGCTTCTAACCCAGCAAATCCGGCGGGAGTTGTGACAGATTCTCATCAGAGTACTATCAACCTGCAGCAGGGACTATTGGGATCATCGGGTGCAGCAGTGAATCCAACTACAAATAACCTGTTTAGCGACAGCCTACAGATTGGCGGCCATCCCTTGGTTCGGCAGCGGCACTCGGAGATGCACAGTGGTAATTCGACGAGCAGTACCTCCGGCGAGATTGTCCTCCACAGTACCGTAGCTGGTGCGACAGCACAACCACAACATGATCGTGCACATACATTTTCCAGCAGTGGAGTGGTCTCTAGTACTAGCAGTATCAACAATGTCACTCTGAACCAGCTTCAGCTCCAGCAGAATCTGAATCTGCAAACGCCTAACGCATGCCCGCCTCTTCTGTCTACCGCGTCCCTCAGCGGGTTGAGCACCGGGTCCGCCACGTGGTCTGGCGTTGGTGGAGGGGGACAGCCTCTGCTGCAGCTGCCAGGTGGAGGTGGACATGTTGGACATCAACCACAGCAACAACAGCAGCACCAAACCACTCTCGGAATCAGTTGCCTGAGCCACTTGCTGCAGCAGCAAGGGCACAGCGTAGGAGGAGGTTCACAGCAGCTGCCACCGTCCACAAACAGCAGTGCGGTCGGTGGGGGTGGAGGGCTAGCGCTCCTCGGAGGTAATAGTAGTCACGTTATTGCACCACAGCAACAGCAGCCGGCGCACTCGACGGCTTCATTTGCGACGGGAACAACAAACACGCAGCTTCTCAACCATGATCCGAGCTCGTCCCCAGAGACGTTGCAGAGACTGATCCAAGAAAACGCGAGGAAGAAGCAAGAGAATGATGCGATGCGCCAGCAGCTTTTGGTGCAGCAATTGTTGGAGGAAAATCGAAAATTACACGCACTAATGCAGCAGCAGGTGCAACAAGGCAGCCTTGGAACAGGTGGTCAGCAGCAGGGCCAACAACTTCACCAGCAAGGCCAACTTCAACTGGAGGGCTCTACTCTCCCTGCTGCAAACGTCGGAACAATGACCACAGGCAATCTGGGGTACAATACTAATCCTGTTGTTGGCCAAGTAGAAGAAATTGCACAGAGTGCTGCGCCGGCGGCACAACAGTTGCGGCGGCTTGCAGATGCCGGCGCAGCTGCCGCAGCTGCAGAGAGTCATCGACAGCAAAGTTCATCATCCTCAGGAGAGGTCTTTCCGGCCACGAACGCTGTGCGTTCTATGTCAATGATTCCGCCTGTGACCTCCTCCAGCATTAGTGATCCTTTTGGGGATTACATGACTATGAACAGGCGAGGTGACATAAACCAATCTCCCACTTCCTCTTCCGACGAGGATACAGGGGCAAACAACGGAGAAAATTTGTCAAAATCGCACGGACACAACTCGCCGAGCCAGTCGTACCGGCGTCCGGCGCAGCGCACCCTGCGATCGCTCACGGGGTATGAATACCAGTGAAAAAAGTTTGCGCTTGTTGTTGAAACATCGAGGCGGCTGTCACAATTTTCCGAGTCTTGCCTCTGTGTGCTGCAAGGCTTGAGCATCTCGCTTGCAGTCCAATATTAGAAATAAAAACCAATGACGAATCAAAAATACTTCACAGTCCAGAAGTGTCATCAACGGCCCTAATCTCGTACACTAACAAAACAATGATCTCACTCAACTTCGCTCTTGGATCACACACGCCTGATTATGTTAGTTTATTCTGTGCCCCCCACGCACAAAAAATCCAAAAACAAAACTGACGGCCCTCTATTCTAGGCCACAAAATACATCATGTCTTTGTATTTTTTTCAAACCGAAACCAAAAGCAACACAGGTTTCCATAAATTGGTCTTGATCGTGGCCGAGATCAGTATTATACTTTCGGGGGTTTTGTTTTTCATTTTTTTTTTCGGTTTCCGAGATCCATACATCGGAAGAACGGCATGATGTTTACACTAATGATTATATATAAGCCGGACGAAGAATTATAGACACTTTGACTTGTTAGCTAGGACAGACGCATCTTTGAAGATTGCTATACTGTGTCGATCGCGCCATCTTGTTCAGTGTGGCAGGATCAGATTGAGGTTGGGGCTCTTGCGTCAGAATCAGACTGTGAATGTTGGCGCGGGAAAGGTTTTTGCCCTATGTATAGTCAATCAGAAAATAAATGTAAATTCAATGTTGCACTTATTCTAATGAATTAGAGTCACTGTAAGTTGTTGATGCGACAGCTGCAATGCGGCCCTCGCTGTTGCTCGCACAGGACCTCCAGAAATATTGGCCTTTCGTGCTCTAATATGATTGGTGTGGGCAGGTAGAATCGTTTCCCAGTTTTGTAATTGCGTACTTATATTGGCGATATTAAGATGAAGATATGCAGCTAAGAAAGTGCTGCCTTTCCTTGTCCCCTTATGATGATACGCGAGGTGCTGGGGCTGAACCGTGCAAGGGAATACCTTCTGCAAAGCGTGCGTATGAAGGACTACCATTTTGTATACGTATCACTTGACGTACCGATACACTTTTTGCGATCTACCAAGGCCAGCCAGAAAATCGGAGAGCTATGAGTCTCAGCCACATCACACGTTTTGGTAGCAAAATGAACATATAGACAGCGCAGCTACTTTCCAGCGCAGCTCTCTTATTCATCAGAAAGAACTTGAAAGCCGAGCTTCATGATGAAAACAAAGTCTCTATGATAATCTTCGGCCTGCTACTGCTTTATCTACCTCAACGTTTGTTCTTTCACGTACTGCGTTTACTTTATTTCATGCGGCCGCTAGGACAGCATCGGCCCATGCCTATCTGTAATTTTACTTGTTACAAATCACCTGAAAGCTGATGCTGAATGATTTTTTCCCACCACGGCTGGGTCAACGCTTGAAAGATGTGAACAAAAAACATGGAAATATTTAATCACCAACAGACCTTCAAAAAGGTCGCAAATGTTTCACGCAGAGCTTTATTTGAATGAAAATTTTATTTGAAATTGAATCAGTAATACACCATTCAATGGTGTAAGGCGTTGGAATAGTGCGATCGCAATGGCATTGCGATCGGACTATTTCAAAGGCAGAAGGGCGTTCTGAATCCAGTGCGCTGAGCGGCCTTGCAACAAGTTGCGGGCTACTCTTCGCAACAGAATTCTTTCCGGACGTGGTAGCACGTACTGTACCGGTCTGACCTGGGTTTAGGAGGTTGTTGAAGCATCGTGACACATCAACCGCAGTAGAATGACTCGTCGTAGACTCGTTGCAATTTCTATCCCGGTGGTCTGCTCGGTCTCCTACCATGGATGTCGTCGTGCTGGTAAAAATAATGTTCCGGATCTGGTGGTCGTGCAGATTTTTTGTTCTACTAATATTTCTTGTTTCTTTGAGAGTTCTAGATCTTGTGCACGACTGACACTCTATGTGGACAGATCTTGGCTCTTCATCTTCATCGTGAGAAAGCCTGCCATGATCCCGTTTAATATCACTATCGTAATCTTTCGCTGGTGATGGTGTACACAAGCAAACGCAATTATTATTGGATCTTCTCTGTACATGATACGAATGCATTTCGAGTCGTAGAAGTGGTTCTGTCTGAGTCTTCTTTTTCTTTCTCTACACGACTTGTATGCAATGATAAATTCTGTCTAACTAAATAGATGAGCCATGGCGATGGACGCAACGTGTCAAATAAGACCTGTACTAGTTATTTCGAGAAATTTGCTTTCAGGTTTCGCAGAGGCCACCAGCGAAAAAAGGTTGCTTTCCATGCCTTGGGCCGCTTCGAATCTACAACCTGTGAGAAAATCGTTTTTTTCCATTTTCCGTCTTAGGGCTTTGCCCCATCACCCCTTATGGCCGCGCTTGCTCAGATGCATTCTGTTACCGCTACAAGTTTTCTTGACACTCGTCTTCGCTAACACGCCTCCCGATTTCAAGCATCGCGATTGGGCAGCTGAGCTGCGGTACCTGGGCCGCAGTTTGGAGAGCGATGTGGAGCGGCTCTTGTCGGTGGAATATCGTAAGGAAGACTTCTTAACCGCCGAGGGCGCCGTGCTGCACAAGAATGGTCGCGTGGCGCACCACAAGATTTCTTTATTGCAGCAGTGGGCGCAGAGAGGGTGTGGAGATCATGTTCAGCAAAGCCGCCTTTGGGAGAAAGACGACGACGAGGGTATAATTGGAGCAGCAGAAGCGGGCAACAACGTCGAAAACGTATCTAGCACACCAGAAACAATAAACGATGGCGCAGCCGCTGTTGCGTCAAATGATTCCCCTGCAAGGAGAACGTTGACAGTCAACAGCGCTCCTGCCGAAGAGGACGTCACTGACGGCCAGGAACAGGATGAGGAAGAGGCGTGGCTTCTGGAGGGACTGGCGGAAGCTGCAGGGAGCAGGCCAAAGACTAGCTTTCATGGTGGCGTACTTGCCGAGATGAACGGCTTTCAAGACGAAGAAAAAGCCTGGTGCGCGTTTGCTTTCGCAGAAGCATCAAGTTTCGGAGGCGGGAAGGAATTCGAAGATGTTGGCAGCACCGTTATTTCCAGTGCAGCATCACATGATGATTCGGGTGCAACAACATCATCATCATCATCAAGCCCGAGAACAACCTCCCGATCCGGATCCTTACCTGACGGCCGTGCGGCCTTGGTGCTCGCAAATCGATTAAAGAACGAGTTTGAGTGGCGGGTGGTCAAGGCGGGCTTTGTGACGGAGCCGGTGACCGAACGAGTAGTGGCGTATGACGAGGAATTGCTGGCGTTTGTGCCCGGGAGGACGAGGCTCATCGCGGCGCAGGATCAACATCATGTTACAACAGGTGCTGGCACCGCCGCGCCTGCCTCTGCGTTCGCCCACCCCGATACGTTTAACGCGCTGCCCTCGTGGCGCTGGGAAAAGAAGAAAGAAACAAGCCCCGTCGACGGGGCACATAATGAAAATGATGGTACAACTACATCACATGAAAGAGAAACAAGCAGCATGTCTGATAAAGCAGTCAAGTCGAAAACTTCTTCAACGCCGTATTTCGAAGATGAGCTGGAGGCGAAAAATATGGATGTGTCAGGTTTGAAATCGTCAGAGTTGAAATAATTTGCCATGCATAAAATGGATGCCAGTTGGAGCCCAGTTTTCAAGTGGCGCATGACAAGTTTCGGTGGTGCCCAAATCCAGTTTGTAATGCTGTTTGGGTAAGGAAGACGCCTTTTGTCATGCTACTTTAGCAGCTCTATTTCTACCCCTCAACAGGCTTGCAATCTGCCTCCCTTGCCTACTCTGCAAGACAGGCACTTTGTGGGTTGCGTTTTATGCATAACAAATTATTTCAACTTTGACGATTTCAATCCTGACGCTTCCATAAAAAAAGAGGAAACGCGGGGTCGCGCCATCGTCGCAGACATCATGCTGTCGGAAGAGCAAGAGGAGGAAATGGAAAAGACTCTGCTGTGCCCGATGAAAACAACACGATTTTATTTCGCTGGTGTTGATATTGCCGTGCAAGAGGAGGCAATCGACTCCTTCGCGACCCCGGAATTAGAAAGCAAGCTCCACGTCCGAACCCAACGGTGGTTAAAAAAAAAACACCTCCGTCGTTCCGGCCACGGCAATCGCGACCAGATCCACGTCGCGCTCGGGGAGAACCGCGTCGCCACCGCGCCCACGTCGGCGCGGGCCCGCGGGGGTTTCGGGCCGTTGCTCGGGCACAAGGAGGAGCAGGTGGCCGCCGACGTTTTGGTGATTTACATCCACCCCGTGTCAACCCGGAACTCTTTGTCCACGTTGCAATTACAGGAAATCGTGCAGAACGCCGCAAATTGGGCCGTGAACATTCTACTAGTCGTGAAATCCCCGCATTACGTCTACTGGCTCAACCACTACTTCGGCGCGAGCGTCCTGGAAACGCTTTGGGAGCCGGACCTGAATTTGGATTTCGGGGATTTGGATCTCTGGATGACCATCCCGCGACTGGTCGACTGGATTTGCGAGGTAGCCGCGAAAAATAGGTGTTTCAAGTGGTATCTGCCCCCGCACTTCCTACAATTGACCAGTGAGCAACAGCGAAAGCAGGAACATGTGAGCAGCCAGAGCCTGGCCGTGCAAGGCGACTTCGTGCCGACAACGAACGGGGAATTGCTGCCGGGGTGCTACATCAAACTGTCGCCGCATTGCGGCCCCGAGCAGACGGCGACCACCGTTTTGCATGCCCGAAGACTGGCGTTGGAGCAGAATCAGGTCGTACGAGGGAAGTTATTAGAAGGGTTCGTTGCGGAGCAAGAAGGGGTCGCAGGAGAAAGAACAGAAGAAACTAGCACTTTTTCAGAAACCATCGAAAACGTCGACTCTGATAATCTCTTCGCCCAGCTCAGTGCGACTTCCACGGCTGGGTTAACCGACGAACGTGGTTGGATGCGGGACGCCATCGGGGAGGCGTACCACAACGCTTACGTGGACGGGTTTTCCTGCACTAGCCAACGCTATCCTGTGTAAAAACGTCCCCACCCCGTAGCCAAGATGGAAAATCTGCTAGACAAATCGACAAGCTTTGGTTGGCGCGCATGACAAGTTTTGCCTCGTAGTGTGATCCTGTTTAGGTAGTCCAGAAGCATCACAGATGTAGGACGTCGTGCTGATTGGAGCATCAAAAATTCCGTGACACGACTAGAAAACTGCTTTTCATGGGGCTCCGCATGAGAAACATTTTCAGCATGCAGACTTGCATGCACAAGTATTGGATGCGGACGCTTTTACTTGGGATAAACGCCGGATGATGTTCGACGCCTGGTGCGGGGTCGCGTATCAAATAAAAAATGTCTGGGTCTGGAAGGATACAACTTGTGATGCTACTTTTGCAATCTACATAAAAACTGTATTGCATGAACAGCAAAAGAGGTGTAACTTGTGCTACGCGGAGAGGGCATTTCTCATGCGGTATGAGCATCAGAAAGCCCTCGCAAAATCTCTGATGCTAGGGCATGCATCACAGACCTCATGGGTCATGCAAAATCTCCATGACAGACTCCTGCATTCCTCCAGACCCAGACATTTTTGCAATCCATATCGCGGACGGCGAGACGAAAGCGGCCTGGGTCTCGTCGGCCAGCAATACTGCGCTCCACGACTCGCAAATTCTGCCACCGATCGTGGTCGGGAAGAATTCTGGTTTGCGTATCCCGTGTAAAAACATCCCCACCCCAGAGTTGTCATGCAGATCTGCAAGCACGAGAGCATTTTTAATGCGCATCCCCATAAGAGGCATTTGATTTCCCATTGTATTTTGGAACTTGTAATGCTGTAAACAGGATAAGGAGATGGATTTGTTATCCGGCTCCCCTTGCTAAGCCGCATTACACTACAGCCTGCAACTGGCAAGGATAAACATCTGTCTGTGCTTCCAATGCGCTGATGGACTGTGCTCTGCCAAATAGTGAAGTAATTTGGACTGCTCCAGTTCTGGTCCCGTTGCTGTATATTGTGCTCGGGTGCTGGGTTGAAAGGTCCAACAAATATGTTGGCGTGTGTGTGTGTGTGTTGTTTATTGTTTGGAGTGCCAGGTCCGTTGGGCCCGGGGTGGCGGCGTCTTTGGGTTGATCAACTCACCCGAAACACAATGCCATTCCCGCAGCAGCACAGTCTGTTTATGTCATGCGTGGCTCCCAAAACCTCGAGGTTTGTGTTGCAAAATCCCCATCTTGACTCTGGGGCGGGGACGTTTTTACTCAGGATATTGCGGTCCGACCTGAACAAAAAGTATTTGGTGGAGGAGCCGAAGGACCACCTGACGTGGGATTTGGAAGCCGGAAAATTTCTGTTCAAACGGGAACTGGAAGAGGCTTGGGGGAGGTTGCGGGACGAGGAGGGAAAGAAGAACCGAAAGAACGACCCTTCTCTCACGAAAAGAAAGAAATACGTGGTGTTCGGTTGCCACGCGGGGGCCTACGCCTGTGGCGGCCACGGGGACCGGTGGAACGGCATTTTCGTCAGCTTTTTGCTCGCCATTGTCCTGGGCCGCGAGTTTCTCATCGACATGCCGGACCTATGAGAGTGCACAACTCCCCCTCCCCCTCATTTGTCATGCAAAATTGCAATTCCACGTCCATCCTTTGCCTGTTAGCACTGTTTGCATGACAGATTCCTGAATCCAAAACAGCACTTTAACCCTCTAGGAATCTGTCATGCAAAAGCTGCATCTTTGCCAGCGCTTGTGTTGCTGTTAATGCAACAGCAACACAAATGAGGGCGCGGGCGGGGAGGGGGAGGGGGAGTTGTGCACTGTCATAGGACCCGATCGCGCTCTCGAATTTCCTGGTGCCCGCGCGCGACCCCTTCACCGGGGAGAAGAACGTCGATTGGGTGGTTACCGACGAGAAGCGGGAGAGATTGCGGTTGTTGCGGAAAAAGGCCTACCTGCTCTGGGATTACGACGAGTTCAAACAGAAATATTTCCGAGAATTTCTCGAATCCGACGAGGAAGTGCTGTTGATTTACACGAACAAGAAGTCCTTCTTCGGGCAAGTGTACCTATCCAGGAAAAAACACGCATACCTATCCAATAATTTGATGTCATGCAATACCATGCGCTAGCAAAGCCTTTCATTTGTGTTTTTGTCATCCAAGAAACAAATATTGGGGATTGGTGTTTTATTTTCCTGGATAGTGCCGCTACTTATTCTACGAGAAGCGCGTGATCACAACAGAGTGGGTGCGGATGCCGTATTTGATGCACTACATGTTTGAGTATTTGTTCCAACCTTCCCTGCACATGCTCAAGCGGATGCTGTTTCTGCGGAATCCCTACGTGCCTTTCGATACCGACGAGCTGAATCAGGAGGCGGTGCAGCTAGCCGCGCAGCAACACTACTTGCAATTGGCGGAGCGGTGGGAGGGGGAAGAACAAGAAGGAATTGAACAAGAGATGAAACAGCATGTTGACGTCGCAGAGAAACAGCAGCCGATGAAAGAAGTAGACGACCTAGATGCACCTCAGGAAGTAAGAGATCAAAACGACCTGACCTCCAACAGTCTCGACGTGTTCCGGGAGTACTTTATCGGGATTCACTACCGTGCCGGCGATCTGGTGGCGGGGTTCGGCCAGGTCAACGAGGACCTGGATATCCGCCATGGCACCGATATGCTCGTCCGGATGCTGGGCTGCGCGGCAGAGGTGGAACGAGTGCTAGAGTTGGAGATGAAAAACGAGAAGAACAGCCTAGCAAGCCATTCGAAGCTGTTGAATCTTCTGGAGGACCACGGGTCAGCTGCTAGTAGTAGTACCACCAAAAACAGCACAGCGTCCATACCAGTACGGCCGCGCGTGACGGTGAAGTGGTACTTGGCAACGGACAACGCGGCGGTGCTCTCGGAAGTACCGCAGATCCGCTCGTGGATCCAGCAGGGAAAGATCGTCCACAATGGAAATCTGAAATCGCGAACGCACCTGTCCCAGTTCAATAACAACAAAACTACTACAAGTGCTGGGACAACTACTACCGAAGGTGCAGCAGATTTGGGAGAAGGAGGAAATAATCATTTGCAAGAACAAGACCAGCGCATCCGAGGCGATCCATCTCGCACGAAGCTCGACGAAATCCGGGGCGTCTCCGACGGGTGGCTGGACTTCCAGGTGCTCAGTAAGGCTGTCGCGGTGATCGCCTCCAGCTCAGCGTTCGGCCTGGTAGCGAGCCAGGTGGGGGCGGTGCCCTACGTTTTCTCCGCGGACTCTTGCATTCGGATCGATCTGCAGTGAAAGAGAAATTTTCCAGTACTTTATTGCGGTCCCGCCTTTCTGGTAGAGCTGGCGCTCGCATTCAGTATATTATCCGTAAGTACTTATTGCTACATGCCCCATGCACTTTTACCAGTACCATTGATGGAACACCTACAGAACCACGACGCTGCCTGTCTAAGAAGTTGTACACAGATCCTCCTTGATGCGAGAATTCGCATCCGAGAAGCCGATCGTCGCTTGCGGACATATATAATCTACTTCTTCCACCCAGTCAACAAGTTTTTGTTCTTAAAAAAAAGGAAAACAAAAACATCAGCGGAGGTGTACTCGCGTTTACCGCTACAGTTCCCTCCTGTTTGTGTCCGTCCATGCCTCAATCGGTGCTCCGTGGATGCTTCTGATTCTTGTGTGTGCGTGTTGTAGTATCTGTACAATGAGGACTCGCGTCACTTCCAGTATAATTATCCCGTCGTCGTTTGAGATGAAGATAGCGATAGCCCCGTGTAGACCAACCACTACAGGACTGTGAGAGAGGTCAAACAGACGGGGTGATATTTCCACGTCTCTTCCTGTGCTGGAACGTGTTTCTTGAGTCCAAAAGTTGTAACTTGGGAATAATAGACGTGTGTGCTTCTTGTACTTCTACCTCCACTTCTTTATTTTCTATGAATCAGGCAAATGATTTTTGAAATGCGAGTCCAAAGAAAATCGCCGCAAATGTGAAATCCCAATGATTAGGAAGACAGCCGCCTCTTATTTGGAATCACACATACGAGGAGAGCCGCTACGATTGATCTACTTCTGAGAGACGCTGACCCGAACCAGAGCAGCCGTCCGCCGGCTGGAGGGACATCCTTTCGTTTGAATATAAAAGATGACGCAGAACAGCACGTGGTGCGTGTTGAATTGCGACCAGTCGCCCGATTTTCTTTACCATGATGCCAGCACCGTTTACTTCACCCAGAATCCGGCGGAGGACAGTACTACAATATCAGTAAAGCAAAAATTTGTGTTGTCATACTCGGAATGCAAGGACCCGATAACCATGGAGCAGACCGTCAAGGTTTAGAAGTGGCATGGCAAATCAATAAAAGTTGTGTAGAAAAATAAAGTAGATAAAAGAAAAAAACACGACACAGGTACCGGCAAACCCTACGAGTTCGATGGTATCATGCCTCCGAATACGAAGCAAGACGATCGCTTCACCGAATTCGATAAGAGGTTCCTCGATCCGGCCATTGAAGCGAAAAAATCCGTGTTTCTCTTCGGCTACGGGCCCAAGTCTGCGGGGAAGACGTTTTTGCTCACCGGGGGCAGCAGCTCCTTCGCGTTGCGCGGGCTGATTCCGCGCACGCTAACCAAGCTGTTCCAGGACGAAAGGACAAAGTCCCAGCGGATCACTATCCTGTGTAAAAACGTCCCCACACCAGAGTTGTAATGCAGATTTGCAAAGACAGGAAGACTTGTAATGCGCATCCCCATGGGAGCCATTTCCAATCGTGTTTTGGGATTTGTGATGCTGTGAACAGGATGAGCAGATGATTCTGTGATGCGGCTGCACTTGCTAACCTGCACTACGCTGCATAGTGCAACTTGTCATGCGTGACTCACAAAACTCCTAGGCTTGTGTTGCAAAATCCCCATCCTGACTCTGTGGGTACGTTTTTACTCAGGATAGTCACGGTTTGCTTTTTCGAGGTGTACAAACAGAAAATCGTCGACTTGTTGCTGCACCAAAACTCGTCCACTCCCACTAGTACCGACGCCGGGGACGGAGGCAGCGGGGTCGGGTGCGAAGTGATCCTGCGGAATGGCGGCGAGGTGGTCTTTATGGAAAGCAAAAGTATTCTTGTGCTAGTAGTGGCATTACAAATTTGCTCAGCATGACAACTGGAACTTGTCATGCTGTTTTACCTTGAGAACAGGATTTGTCATGCATATATTGCAATTAGTACGACTACGAGTGCGATACTTTTGCGCAGGATAGTCTTGGATCTGGCGGAGAAGGAGGTTCGCGACGAATCCGATGCCTATATGAAAGCGTCAGGATTGAAATCGACAAAGTTGAAGTGATTTGTCATGCATAAAATGGATGCCAGTTGGAACCCAGTTGCCAAGTGGCGCATGACAAATTTTGGTGATCCCTAAATCCAGTTTTTCATGCGGTTTAGGCAACGAAGACCGATTTTCTCATGCTATTTTAGCAACTCGAGCTCTAACGACCCCAAACAGGCTTACAATCGGCATCACTTGCCTGCTCTGCAACACACGTACCTCGGGCCATGCATTTTATGCATCACAAACTATTTCAACTTTGACGATTTCAATCCTGACGCTTCCATAGCCTACCACCGGCTGTTATCCGATACTGCAACACAACGTAGTGTTTCTGATCCTCCTTGCTGTGTACTGAAACAAGCAAATCTTTATGTTTTGCAGCAATCGATGAAGGCAACTACACTAAGGGGAACTACATAAAGAAGTCGTAGCTTCTCTCGAAATTATGTTGACAAAATTGAAAGTCTCGGACACAGTAGATCGCAAACGGAGCGGCTGTGTAAACCGCAGCAGCTTTATTTCACACATCGCACAACGGCGCCTCATTCAAGAGGGACGCTGCTGCATCAACATTCGGCTTTTTGTATCCGCAAAGCGATCTGGAACACACAGTTATTTTGTACCAAAGCGATAACTTTTCTTCGGCGACCAGAACCGGCATTTCGAGCGCGGTACGGAGACCAGTAGGGGCCACTGCGTTTTTCTGGTGAACATCGAAGATCCACCGTCAAGTGTAATGAAGCCCAGCGACGTAGGAGAGACAAACAATACAGAAGGACCTATCCTGAGTAAAAACGTACCCACGCCAGAGTTGTAATGCAGATTTGCAAAGACAGGAAGACTTGTAATGCGCATCCCCATGAGAGTGCTTTCCAATCGTGTTCTGGAATTTGTGATGCTGTGAACAGGATGAGCAGATGAATCTGTGATGCAGCTGCACTTGCTAACCAGCACTACACTGCGGAGTGCAATTTGTCATGCGTGACTCCCAAAACCGCTAGGTTTGTGTTGCAAAATCCCCATCCTGACTCTGGTGTGGGGACGTTTTTACTCAGGATAGAACCCCCGAAGATCTCATCATCGTCAAAGCCGCACCGGTTCACGCTGTCCTTCGTCGACCTAGCCGCAGTATCAACTGCAAAAATGTCTGGGTCTGGAAGATTCTGAGACTTGTCATGCACGTTTTGCATGGGCCAGGAGGTCTGGAATGCGAGACCTAGCATGACAGATTCTTTGAGGTCTCTATCATGCCTTTCCTGCGTGAGAAACTCCCTCTCAACTTGGTCAAAAGCGGACAGCTTTTGGCACTCACGCAACACAGATTTTTGCATCATTTAGATTTAGCATGACAAGTTCTAATCTTCCAGACCCAGACATTTTTACATTTGATACGCAGACGACCCGGACGCCTCCGGAACGGCCGTCGATGCCGTGCGAGAGTCGCATGCAGCGCTGCGAAGGATGCTCGACGACATGGCGAAAAACGAACGGCACGAGTACTTAATCTTGAAGGAAGTATGGATTTTTCAGTGGATTGAAGTGAGAACCATAAGTGTGACGTCAGTTGTTCACAAGCGTACGCACAATACATAGTACAAATTGTTCATCCTCAAATCATGATCTCACAGACCCAAGGATCCGCTGTGCCTAGTGATGCAATCGCTCTTCGAGGATTCCTCCATGGCTAACGCGTGTAGCTTTCTGACGCTCCGCGAAAACTGTGGCACCGAGGTATATATGACGAGGATGATTTTTTCAAATTCAGGTTGTTCATCTTGTCTAAAGTTACTCATATGCAAAGCACGAGACTTACACTTGTTGTGTTGTCATTGTGATTTACCGACGGTAAAACACGACCCCACGTATCTTCCGTATGATCCAAAAAGTGATGAGAAAAAGCGAAGTTTCTCACGATGGTCATATGAGGCGAGAGCCCATGAGTCCAAATCGTAAAACCCAGCTCACTCTGATAAATTGTTCAAAAACACATTTTTACTTCTGACATCATAAGCTAGTATATGAGCTAAAACCAGAATAAGGATGTAACTATAAAGGTCGTGTACATAAGCGTCCGCATGATCCGATTGCAGAAAATTTATATCCAGGTAATCCAAAGCTGGTTGGAGTTTGCGATGGTTCTCCGAAAGGCGATGCGCAACCAAGCGAAGCGACGTAGAACCCGCACGGTTCACGCGACGTCGAAGGATAAAAATGCTGGTGCTATAGGTGGTTCTACTTCCGCGACTAACCCCAACAACTCCTCAGAGGAACAGCACCAGGTAGTCCCTGCGAAGCACCTGAAGTCGCGGTATTTCACCTCGCCCCCAAAATCCCGGGGCAACCTGTACTATGAGGGCCGCGTTGGCATGCAGCTCGGCGGGGCATACGGCGGAGTGGGTGGAGCAGGTGGCACTACGAGCGTCGGTGCTCGTATGACAGCCTCAGAATGGAAATCCTCAAAATGGAAACAATTTGTGATGCATGATATGCAAGGCAAAAAAGACTGTATTGCAGAGGACATAATGGAAGCCAACCATTGTCCTGCTAGGGGTGAAGAATTGGAGTGCTGCCGAGCACGACAGAAGGGCACCCCTTTGCCTTAACCTGCATGACAGACATGCTTTAAAGGCCCGGGAATTTTGTCATGCGCCGACTACAAATGCCGCTTCAACTGGGGTCGTTTTTTTGCATTACAAATTATTTCCACTTTGAGGATTTCCAACCTGAGGCTTTCATAGCCCGGTTGCTCAACCCACCAACAAGTGTTTTGACTGGCGTAGAACACAGCAGCAGTTCCTATGGCGTTCTCAACTGTCATATTCTCAACTGTTACATATACATGTACATGAATTTGTGATGCAAGAATGGAAAAAGTGAACGGGGTGACCTTGCGCGTCTTTCATGACAGATTTGGCACAGAGTCTGAGCCTGTTTGGCCCTCAAAGAATTTGTCATGCTAAGAAGCTTGATTGTGTAGATTCTGATTGTAGGCTCAAGGTAAGCTCAAGGTAAGCTCCGTCGCGACTCCGGCTTACGCCCCCCGTCCCCCCTCCCACCCTTTGCTTCTGTTGCAGAATAAGTCAAGGAGTTGCACTCTGACCGCCACGCAGAAACTAAGCCGTTAAGTTGTCGCTGTGCCCCAGGTGGGTTGCCAGTCAGCAGTGACAAACAACTGGCCAATGGTTTGACATCTCCGGTTCGCGGCACTTGCCTTTTTCGTCCGTGCCGCAGGTAAGGCGCAAATGGTCCAGCCTCCCCTGTCCGGGTGGGGTTGCGGCTTAAGGGAGAGTCTCGCCCCTTAAGTAGCCCAAAGGGGTACGTCGTCTCTTCCGTGAGAACAAAAACTTAAGGCGTAAAATGGGTCGGGTCCTGGATCGTTCTGTATGTTGGGCTGTCGCGCTCGGCTAGCTGGCCGGGCTGTACTGATCAGGTGTGGTGGGTAGCTCCCGACTGGTTGGCACTTTTATTGGGGCGACTTGCCGTGGTAGCGCTCGGCTTTTGTATGTTGAGGTCGCCGAAAGTGCTTCCTCGCCCACCCCCCCGGGGAGGGGATCCTTGACCTGTGGCGCTGGGTGCGGGTGTCCACTACATGATGATGATGATGATTGTAGTTTTGCATGACAAATCATGTAACAGTTGAGAATGTAACACTTGAGAGCGCCATAGTTCCTCCTCGAGCAGTAGTAGACCAATAGGAGGAGGTGCTCCTGCACATCAAACCAGCTTTTTCAACACGAGCAAGCCAGGAAACAACAAGCACAGTACTAAAAATAGACATCCTAAATTGCTGCAGCATGGAGTAGTTGCGACTGGCGCTAGACAAGCCTCCGGAATGAGCCGGATTTTGTCGCTTTCTTCCTCCGGAGGTCACCACTCGGAGTCGTCTTCAGTGTCGGTCGACCCAGCACCAGACAACTCTTCCTCTATGTTGAGAGTGCAGCAGCAGCAGAAAACCAGTTCGAAGCACGGCTTCGTTCCCCTTCAGAAGATGCAGAAGACGATTTCTTCCGGCACCGAGCCCAGCTCCGAGATGGTTTTGTCAAAATCAAGCTCTACCAGTAACAATTCTGCGATGAACCTGCACGGAACATCAAATAACAACAACCATTCGAACGGGACCACTTCTAATATCGCTGGCGAGATATTAGCCAGTCGACCACCCTCCATGACCATGACATCGAGTGCTAGTCTCCTTGGGGATTATAACGGAATCACGTCGACACGGACCATTTTGCCCGGCTCGGAAAGCATACCAGACGAACAAGAACACGTCGAAGAGGTGGTGCAACAGCAGCAGCAAAACCAAAACTCTTTGTCGAGTCGTTTGTCCCCGACCAACACGCTGCTGGGAATGAACCAAACGCTGATCCAGCGCAACGGAAGTATGACAATGAAAAGTGCCCCCACCGCAGAACTTGAACTTTGGAGCATTTGTATTGCAAACCTTTCCAAATGAAACACTCGCCCTCTTACATCTACCAGCATCACAGATCTTCAATCGGGAATAGCAAAAACTTGTATTGCAAAAGATCCCAGCAAGAGCGGCCCTTGTCATGCAAGCGATGCTGTATACGCCTAGACTCTGCATTAGAGAGATTCACACTCCTTTCATGCATGACAAAAAGTTTTCATTTGGAAACTTCGCATGACAAATTATTGCAACTTTGGGGATGGGGGCATTTTTCATTGTAATAGGAAGCGGCTCTTCTTCTTTCCAGCCAGCAACCTCGCTCTTGCAGATGGAAGTGCCCGTTTTGCCCGGGTCGCAGTCGAGCAGCAGTCGGTCCTCGCCGTTTGAACAGCAGGACCAGGCGGCTGCTGCTGGAACAAACACCGAGCAGAGTTGTAATGCGGTGGTAGTCCCCGCGAGGTCCAGCCTTCATGTCGACGAGGCGAGCTTGGTGCAGAACAAGAAAAGGTCGCTGCTGTCCCCGCCGCCAAATTCCAGCTCCACGGCAAAAATTGTCAACACCAACCCTGGAGGTTCATCCGGAAGCAAGGCTGCGGGCGGTACCAACACAGGCACAGTTTCCGCTTCGGTCCCGAAAGTCGTCGCGCCCTTCGTCATTCAGCCGCCGAAAAAACAGCAGAACAGTGAAATGATTGCAGCGAAGGGGAGTGGGGCGGACCAGTCGACCAAGCAGCAGCTGCAAGTAATTTGTACACGTATTGTGCTGGCGTTACTTGATGTTTTCATGCGCTGCTGTTGCAGTCCTTTTTTTTTATTCGAAGTAACGTAGGCATCGGTTTCGAGAAACTAGGCGTCAGTTCATTCGAGAAGATTTCCATGACTCTCTTAATATCAACGTTCCGTTCTCCATACGTAGGTGCCACAAACGTCCTACTCGGTCCACCCGGGGACCAGAGGCTTACTCGCAGACCGGCCTGGTTTCTGGACGCCCATGATTCGCGGGAAGGAACTTCGACAGCCCGAGCCCCGCGCGCCGCCCGCGATTCTGAGCCCGGTAGAAAGGAGGTTACTTATCGCTTTCTTTGTCACATGAAAAGGAGCAACGGTCGTGACGACATCGTGGTAAACGACCACAGCAGGTTCTTCGTTTCGTGCAGCATCAACAACAAACAGGAACACGCAACGTTACAAACCCATGCGAATATATAACGATAACGTGCAGAAAATAAATTATCCTGCATCAGGTTGAAGACGAGCACGAGGTCCAGCGAGCGGGGCTTCTTGGGTTTCGTTCCCGGTCGGTACGGCCGCGGATTTCGGGTACTTTTTCCGTGATGGTCCCACCGAGGCAGCGCGACGCGACCGTTCCGACGTTCAGAACCTTTCAGCAGCAGCATTTGCCCCAACAGGAAAAATCTACCCGTGCTGGTGGCCCACCCCTCCGCAACGCGTCCCTGAAGCCGAGGCGGATCAGCGGCCTGCAAACCGTGCCTGCCCCACCACCGCCGACCCTCGGCCCGACCGCGCTGCCGTCCGCGCGACCTCTACTGTTGGCCCCAAACACTTCCAGCGCGACCAGCATCAGTGCGAAGGTGACGAGTGTCGTATCCTCTTCATCGAGCGCAGCAACAAAATCCGGTGGTTCCGGAGCCGGACCACACCTCGCAACTCCGCTGACCCGCTTGAGCCTCGGCGCCGGGGCGGGAGCGGCATCTGCTTCTAGTAGTGGGAGTCGTCTGGCTGCTCCAGGAGTGGCAGTTCCCGTCAGAACAGCAGCAGGGGCTGCTGCACCAGTGGTGACACATAGTTCCTCGCAGCAGCACGGCAGCGCGAACCCTGCAGCCCCGGTGTTTGCGTTCGGTAACAGCGGAAATCAAGCATCAAATGCGGAATTTGCGCAGCAGCAGCACAATGCTGTAAAAATCTCTCCTCGTCCCGCTACCATCAAGGACCAAATGCTGGCGAAGCAGCATCAACATCAAACCCTCGGTGTGCCCGAGGCCGTGCGCATGCGGAAGAAGCACAACGTTCCGCGCGCCGCTCCCAGTCCCGTGGAGGAGGAGGGCCCCGAGGACGCGATGTCGCCGCCGCCGCGGACGCAGTCCAGCCTGGGGAAGGCAGGCAGGAAGCCGACCTACAGCAACGACTTTTCATCTACAACTTCCGGGGGAATTATTACCTCCACGGTGGCGAGTAGTTGTACAACAGGCACAACTTCTACAGGAGCAGCTGCCAAGAACAGTGGCTCCAGCCCTACGGCGCAGTTTCTGCAGCAGTCGATGGCTTCCTCTGTAGTTCCCAGTGCCGTGCAAAAAATGAACATTTCCTCGACGCACATTATACCGGCGGGCAGCAGTACGAAGAGGGGGCTTTTCAAAACCACGAGCGCCTCCGCCACCTACGCAACTGGCGCCTCGTCCGGCGGAGGCAGCGGAGGGAGTGCCGCGGCCGCGCGGCTGCCTGCGTTTGGCGCCTTGTCGGCGTTCAAGCCAACTTCGAGGCAGGTGTTGACCACCCGTCCGGGTCCGACGCTCGGTGGAGTGGTCGCGGCCGCGCATCAGTAGAGCGCCCTACGAAAAAACCGGAGGGAAAGCAGCTCCTGAAAATTGATAAATGACTTTTTAACCGCTCCTTGTACTTGAATCTGACTTTTTTATGAAAATCCGAATCACGCAAAAGTGACGAAAAGCTCAACAATAAATCTGATGTCCCCGGCGAGAATAAAGCAAAAGTAAAAAGTATATATTAAGGTGGAATTTTGCGATTTTGATAACTGTCGCAGCAGAGAGGCTCTGATGACTTTCGGGAGGCAACTTCTAGTACAAGTCAAGTCGGACGCGTCTGTGAAGGTGTGAGAAGCCGATGGAGGAAGATATCCAAAAGTAGAGAGCGGCAATTTAGTTGCAACAAAGCAGACCATGTAAAAACCGAGGAAAGAGGAAGATAGGAAAACAAAACAAAACTACCCACGAAACGCTAAAAACTATATCAAAAATTTATGAGTTCGTATTGCCAGTATCACCATGTCGCTCTTTCGGCGTTTGTCTTCATTCACTTCACCTACTACAACGCTATTGTTTCATACATCATACTCTAAGCAATGATTTGTCTTTGTCTACATAAAACGCGCCTGTCTAATATTGATGTATCATGAAGCTCAACTGCTCTGCAGTTTCACGAATTTTTGTCTTTACCACTTTGGTGTGTTATGTAATAACATAATGAACAAAGAAGATACTAGAGAAAATGAAAAATGAATTTAGCAAGAGCTGCAACTACTACCGCTTCTCTCTCGCAGTTCGCCCGCAGCGGTAGGGCGAATCAAACTTTAATGTTATCCCACCTAGGCCCCGCGTCTAGTAGACAAATGAACCCTTGAATTTGATTAAAACTTCGAGTCGCAGTGCGATCGTTGACAGCGCATATAAAACTCGCTACCAGCCAAAGCCATGAACGGAAATCACAACAGTTTTAATGGCATGCGTGTTTGCAATGAATACGCAGAAAATGGAAATTGTTCAGGCTACGTCCTCCACCGTTCTCTCGTTGGTGGTGTCGATCGGCTCTTCGCATGAAAATCCAGATGTCCCACGTTTTGATCGGTTAAGAGTGCGATTTACGGCGATAATTGTCTGAGGTTTGCTCGTCCTTAGTCTAGAATATGGTCATGGAGTCTCCAGTTTCGTGGCGGGATGCAAATAGAATAAAAGTATGTATCGCGGAACCGAGAGAAAAACGTCGCATCGTCGTGGTTAAGGGTATTTTGGCTGAGAGAATTGAAGCACGAACTAACAAGGCGAAAAGGTACTTCGCCAAAAGTATCTTCGGAAAAGGAAAAGAATTGGTGGCGCGCTTTGTTTCATCACAAAGGAGGATAGACTCTGGCAAACATCAATGACTCTCACCCTTAAAAATTCGTATCAAAGTGAAAACCACCAGTGGGCAGAGCTTTTCGGTCTGGTGAGCTTTTCGCAAGCTAGGTTCGAAAAAAACAACGAAACTTGTGGAAAATGAATTCGCTCCGCGGTGTCAACAAACTGCCGTCGTGCTCCGCGGTCCCCCTGCAGTCTCCAAGACCAACGGGAATGCCCGACGAGCACGCACGCGAACAACGAACCAACCAACCAACCAACCAACCAACAAACGGAAGAACAAGAGAGGTCGAGGACCAAATCCTCTACGGTTCCCGTTTGCACAGCCGCGTCGTACTTTTCTATGCATTTTTGGTGTTCCTTTCTAGAAACAAAAGTCAAGGACCAGTAGTAGACTTTGATATCGATATCGTGTTTGATTCGAATATTACGCGTTCACAGGGTCGTCGATGATCTGTTCGTGAAAGCTAAAATGAGTAGAGTATGTGAATGCAAAAACAGGCCACAACTTCAACTCTACCCGCACGCAATCTCCACCACCAGAGCTCGACAGGGCGCTCCCGCTCGGCCGTGGTACCCCGGTTCGTGAAAACCAGCGTGAAGATGTGCCTGGGCAGTGGCGGCGGCGCAAACTTGTGTCTTATGGGGAAGGCGCAAAGCACGAATGCACAAGCACAAGTCGACGGCGGTGGAGACGTGGTCGCAGAGAAAGCGCAGAATGGTGGCACGAGTGGCGAGTTTACGGATGAAGCGGAGTCCTTCCTGGGTGAACAAAGCGCCTTCGGACGGGCTCTATCAGCGGCGAGATCGCGATGGAGGGGCGGGGTACTTGATTATGTAGCCAAAGCAATGCAACATCTTCTTTGTGTAGTAGAAGCTTCTTGGTTCGCGTCGAGCACGTCTATCCTTTGTCAATTTTCGGCATCGAATCAGTGCTGCCACATCTTTACACCGATGCATATTCGACCATGACCAGCAACAAAATCAACATGCCATCCTATAACGTCGAATTCATGTAGTTTAGACCATCGCTCAATGTCATTGGTTTTCCTGTCAGGACTCGTCCGCATCCAAGGCGTCCGGTCGACTGCAAGTGTCGTCCGAGCAGAAGAGGATGATGGATGCTCTCCAGTACGCCAGATCTGAAGAGGAGATTGCGGAGCTGGTGAGAAAGTTGGGGCTGACAAACCCGTCACCGCTAGTGCAGGAGAAGATCGAGTTTCTCCAGCAGACTGCCATGACACGGGTACTTCTCGTTTGGTTTTGTAGTACTAAGACTTAGATATACAGTTAGAGTACTAGACGTGCTACATGAAGACCACGTGGACTAAATTGTTCTTGCTTTGTATTTCGCATTGCGAGGTGTAGTGCGGCAACGAGATGTGGTTGTGGGTGCTTACGTACTGCTGTGAATCTGGAAATGCCTATGCCTCTGCTGTACGATTATGAATAAGAAAGTCAGGAAGTTATCATGTGGTTGCACACGAGCACGACTTGCTTTATTAATCATCGTCACACTTTTTCTAGGTCGCACAGAATCGGCAGGACGAGGCAGAATTTCAAGCGAGAGCACCAGCTCGTGAGGAGGAAGAGCGAGCCTTCCGGGAATCGCTCGGAGAGGAAGTGCGTGCAGTGCAACAAGAGCAAAGGCGACTTGCGAATCGGCAGATGGGGATCGTCCGGGGACCGAACAGCCGCCAGGATGACAACATGTCGAATTTGAGTACCGACACCGGCGGCGGCACCGTCAGCGAGCGGTCCGTCGAATCGACTCAGACGCGGATCGTGGGATTGTAAGTAGTTCACTCAACCTTCGACTAATGGTCTTCGTATCAAACAAATCCTTACTTTCACCTTCTTTGCAGAATAGTAGATAACTGAGGCGGGATGCTTTCAGTGCAAGCAGGTATGTTTGAGCTTCGTTATGAACTTTTTGTGACTATCCGAATCCGGCGGCGAGGAACCGGTTCAACGCTACCGCCATCGGTGGCACGACTTGTACTTTTCTGTATCTCACTCAGGCAGGTCTCTGATCGATGTCTTTTCTCCTTCATTTGAAATTGTCAGTTTCGGTAAAATGAACATAAATGAGTCGCTCGAGAGCCAAACGTCGTTTCGTCAGTGTTGAGGATATTCTAACTGAGAGAATTAAAACACAGACTAGCAATATAGAGAGGTATTTCACCGTGAGCGTCGGAGGACAATTGTTAGTGCGGTTTGTGTCACCACAAATGAAAAACTGTGGCTAAACTTGATGACTGTTTACATTTCTTTTCCCATTATATCGAAAATGAAAACCAGTAGGCAGAGCTTTTTGGTCTGTTGAGCTTTTCGCAAGCTTGGTGAAACAACAAACTTCTGTCAAATTGATTTGCTATCTCCGATGGGCTGGTGGTTGTGAAAGTGAGGAGAGAACCCAGCCCTCCATATCGAAAGAAAGGATGAATCTGAATCCCTCTGTGAACCCGCGGCCTTTTTCCGCGGCCCCGGTGACCATTTCCGCACGGTCCCAGCCGTCCGCGAGAACTCCGGCCTCCGGTGCACGAGCGCAGCGGCCGCGCACCGCAACGATGACCACATCTTCTACCTCCGGGGGCCAGAAGTGGCCCCAGCGCCACATGCACAACAGCGAGATCGTCCACACCGCGACAGACCAGCCGCCAAGAACCGCGGTGTTCGCGCCGACTTACCACAAGAAGCGGCCCGTGACGGCCCCGTTGCGACCGAAGATGGTGCAGAAGAAGGGAGCTGCTACCACGACCGGCGACGTATCTATGGAAGTCGACACTTTGCCCGTGGTCACCTCTCCCGGAGCGGCAGAACAGCAGGTCGAGATCGGCAAAGGAGTCAGCACTTCCTCGAAATCAACTTCTGGTGCTATGATCGGAGGCGGTAGCTCTGCTGTCCAGCACCGTCCCGGGACCCCACCGCTGACGCCGCCCGGTATGGCGCCATCGCCGACCTCCGAGCAGAACAAGCACGCCGACCTGTCCGGCAAGGGGGGTGTTGGGCACTACAAGTCGCGGACCAGCACAGGAATGATGAACAGTGGCCACCCAGCAGTTGTGGTCGAGGAACCGCACTTGCAGTCACGGGCCGCGCCCCCGCATAGCAAGTACAACAAGGAGTTCATGAAGGAGTACTACAAGGTATAACAGTGCACAACTCCCCTCCCCCTCATTTGTATAGCATGAACGGCAATACAAGCATCAGCAAGACTGCCGGTTTTGTATAACAAATTTGTACAAGAGGATAATGCTATTTGGGCAGCCAGAACTTGCGAAGAGGCAAAGGGTGACTTGGGTATTTTGCATTACAAATGAGGGGGAGGGGGAGTTGTGCACTGTTATACAAGGACGACCCGAGATTTGCCAACTTTGACGAGAACGCGAACAAGAACACGTACCACAACCCGTATCCTGTGCTAAAGTATCGTACTCGTATTGCAATCATGCATTACAAATCTCTTCCTTAAGGTAAATCCGCATTACAAATTTTCTTTCTCATGCTGAGAAAATTTGTAATGCATTTATACGAGTATGAATACGATACTTTTGCAGTTCATAACCCGGTGACGACTACCATGATCGATCTGCAGTTGAACAACCCGGAGGTGCGAACCCAGATGGAAACCCCCCGGCCGGTGCACCGGCCCAACATCACCTCCCTGCACCAAATGTACAATCTGGGCAAGGCGAGCTACGGGCCGCCGGTCCCGATTTACGAGAACCAGTACCCGAAGCTGGAGGGGTACGACAACCTGGACGGCACCTTCCAGCCCCGGGAGCTGATGCGCCCCAAATCCGCCGGGAACCTCTTCATGACCAAGTCCAAGGACGACAAAAAATCGGTGTACCTGGACGAGTGGGGCACGAATCCGGCGAACAAAAGGCGCGACGCGCGCGTGCCGGTGCTGCAGGAAGACCGGGCGGAGCTGAATCGCGACTACGGCAGTGGCGGGTACGGAATGGACACGACCGCAAAAAACGGGTTCCCAATTAGTCGGCAACCGGTAATATATATGTTCTTTCTGTATGGTTCATCTTCAAAACAAAAATTGGTTTCGTGTAGCCCTACAATATTGATGAACTACGTTTGCATTTCGTCCTCTTAATATCACCAAAAATCCCAATTACTCAGGTGGTCACGGAATCTGCCCGCGGACGCACACGTTCCGCCGATCCAGCGCTCTCTAGTTATCGCCCACTCAGCTGATGTGATAATGTATGATGTCCTGTGCAGTGACAAGGCAGAGACGGTTCGCTTGTGAGGCAGAATCATGCGCTTAGTGCTGTACTAGAAGCGGTCAGTACCGCGGTTGTGCACGTGGAATTGCATCGCCTCCATGCAATACGGTACAGTGAAACGCCGTAGGGCAAGAAAGTTGATGTATGTATAAACATTTACAGAGTTGATGTCGCATTCGAATCACCCCGGCGTCATGATGGTCATGAAATGACGACGCCCGAGGCGATTCGCAGTCCTGTATACAGATGAAAGCGAATGCCTCCAAAATATGCAACCTTGTCGTGACTGTGTAAGTAAATTCTCACATCCTCTGAGCGTGGTATACTTGTCGATCCGTCGCGACTTACTCGGAGTACCCAGCGGAGCAGTCCCCGGAGCGTCCGCCCTACGCAGACTGGGATGTGCGGCAGCTGTCGACCCTGAGCCCAAAGAAGCAAGAGATCTACAAGGTACATCAATTATACAACACTTATTCGACACAACTCATACTGTGCAAGCATAGAAGTTAGATAAGATTCGATTCGAATAAAGCTTCTTTGTAGAGCATGGATGTGTGATGTTTTGGTTTTGCAAACCATCTTTCTGATCAAAAGCAATTTATGTGATCAACAATCTAGTCACTGAATCTAAAACTGTATCAGGAATATTGGCGTCAGAAGGCCCGGATCCCAACCACGAACAACTTTCCCTACCGGTACTGCCTCGGTTGGGACGCGGCGCGACCGCGGCGACCACCGATGTTTGCCTACAACCCGATCACGCACCAAACGGATGTGTTTGTGACCGACCAGAAGTCCGGCTTAATTACCATGCAGAAAACCGACTTCCAGGGCCAGGAGTTGCCACCGAGCGTGGAGAGCGGACAAGGGTTCAACCGAAGAAAGGGGATTGGCGAGTATATTACTGTTTGTGGAGGTTCTGCCACGACGTTTATTGTGTCTTTCTTGAACTGCAGGTCGAGGCAAAAATGTCGTTCTACCTTTATTCAAACGATGCAAAATAAGACCATTGTTTCGAAGAAGTCGCCAACAGGCAACATGTGCAATCGAGTTTCTACCGCGACGAGGAGTGACATCAAGATGTCGTCGCAACTGGTTGCAAGAGTTTGTGCACCGGCATCAAAATCAAAAAGGTATTCCGACCTCACGCACATAACGAATCCGCGCTGGAACCGAGCGTACCAGAAGGAGATCAACCATATGCCAGCGGACCAAGGTGGAATTTCTCGAATGTGGAACAGGTTTTTTTTGCATGTAATTGCGTCAGGACCTAAGAGTAAGAGATACAACAAATTTTTCTCTGTGTGATCTGGGTCTTTGGCAACCATGTTGCACACCAAACCTGCTCCATTTTTGAGACATTCCCACCTGAGCTTGCCATAAAGCAAAACGAGCGGCTGTTTTACAATCTGAAGGGACCGGTATGTGGACTCTAAATGAAGTTTTCGTTTTGGTTTTACACACCTAAAACAAGGCCGCTCTACTGCATCCGTACCCGAAGGTGTATATGAATGCGCATGAGAAATTGCGAAAGATAAAATGAATGTACTCATATATGAATCAGGTGTGCTCCTTCGTGGACGTGATGCTGCGGCAGGGCTACAAGCCATAAGGAGGGAGGTTTTATCGCAGATGAATGTACTTAGTGTAATATTCGTTGTGCCGTAAACTCTGGTGCACGATGCGACGATTGCTGCAAATATATTGTTTGCAAATTAATAGAGAACTCAAACTCATTAGCAGATAACGAAGACGTTTGTGTACGATACAGTGAGCGAATTAAGCAGGCGAGAAAAATTTTGATTCTAGAGAATGAATAGAAAACATTTTTGAAAACAATGGACGAGGAGCTTGTTTGTCATGACTTCCGGTCAAAATCCAAAACGCCATAAGTGGAACAACAAGCTTCACAAAGCAACAAAACGAATGTGGTGTACACTAGTAATTTCATCTAAATGCGCTTCCACTAACCAGTACTGAGCTAGGAAGAAATTTTACCTGCTTATCAAAGAAGAGCTAGCTGTACTAAGCTGAAAAATGTCTGCAGCTAAAAAAATCAAAATTTTTGCATCCTACATAGTCGGGCGCCTGCTTGTGTGTTTATTTTTTTTCAAAATGAAACAAAATCAAGGGAATGGGTAGGCCAGGTATTCCGGCAAGGCCTCGGCGGACGAAACAGAGGAGACAACTCAGCCACCGGGGGACTCGGTGCGTCGGTATCGGTGGACGTCGTCCACCCGGGTTCGCAGTTGTAGTTCTTCAAGTTCCCACACCCCCTCCTGATTCCTGACGATTTACCGCGTACATATCTTGTTTGGGAATGGGGTGAATTTGCTGAGGAACAGACTCGCTTTTTGTTCAAACCTCGCGGCCTCGGAGGAGGTCGACTCGGGGATGAGCTCAAGTTGCAGGCTTTTGCCGGCAAATTGAGCTCGATACAGGTCGGGGCCCTGCGAAAAGGGCGGCCGCAATTTGTCGCCCCGGAGGTCCGCGACTCGGGACGACTCCGAAGAGGTGTCCGAGGACACCTCATCTGGAGGCCGATCTCGGAGGTGCAGACGTTTTTCGCGGCGCAGACAAACACGGGCTATGGGCCCCACTTTCCCCCCCTCCCGCGAAAAACGTCTGCACCTCACTTGGGGACCTCACTGGACGAGGTGCAGACGTTTTTCGCGGAGCCACGTTTTGCATCACAAATCTGAACCCTCACAGCACGGCATTCTGCCGATTCAGGAGCTCAGATTTGTGATGCGGTCCAGAAAGCTGACCCAGAACGGGTCAGAAGAAAAGGCCATTTGTAACGCGAGACCTGCATTACAAATTGCCACTTTTGGCGGGAGGGGCTTCACGCCCAAGTACCTGGCTGAGGTTCGCGGCATGCTGGACAGGAGCATCATGACCAAAGGAACTACTTCCAGAACGAGAAGTGTGAGGACTAAGGCTTGGGCTGACTACTAGGGGGCCTTCAAGCTCGCGCTGGAGCTTCGACCAAACGACGCAGCAGGAATGGAGCACAGCACCTCGGTCAAGTTCCCAAGCATGAAGGCCACGGCGCTCACCAGCGCGCTGCAGTCCGGGCGAGAAGAGAAGGGCACAAACTGCCCTACCAAAAACTTTGATTTTTTTTGCTGCAGACATTTTTCCACTTAGTAAGCTGCAACACCGTGCGACTTCTTGTACGAAAATGAAAAGCAACACCATCTATCAACAGAAGCTATGTCAACCTGATACAAAACCCTTAAAGAAAAAAGGAAATTGATGACTGCCTCTATGCCAAAGCCAGATTGCTATATAAACTTTTAGTACTGTCAGGGCTGCAATTAGCACTAAAAATGTTACACTGACTTTTTCACCTATATGAATTTTTGTGATCTTTACACAATTTAACCAAATGCCACCGCACAACGCCGACGAATCTCTCGTCCTTGCTTAAGTAACTTACAATGAACGCGATGAAAACTGAGGATATAAACATTACCGTTTTACGACGAGAAGGAGAACTTGCTGTTTACTGTTTCGGGGGAACTACAAACAATGGCAGATTTATTTGAGCTTCACGATATTTTTCCTTTGTAGTCCGTTCGCAACATCTGGAAAAGTAGTGCAAAAAACCTCCAGATTTAGGGCGAAAGAAAGATAACTATGAACTCGAACTTCTTTTTACCAACGAAAACAATTCAGGTTTCAATTTTCGGTCGTTGATGATGAAGATGCGCTCAACAGCAGAAGAGCTGAAGATGATACTGAATTTGATGAAGAGAAAAATGCATCCTGTTTCGAAAAACAAAAATCGAATGCCAAGGCAAACCAGCGATATCAAATTACCTCTCGTGGTCATCGTTGCTTAGTGATAGCGCCCCTATGAATGACATAGAAGTTGTGGCAGCGTGTCGTGTCGTGCGACAAGCTTATGTTCTGGATCCTGTCGGTTGTATCAATCTTTGTCTGACGTGCTGTGACGAGTGTGCACTGCTCAGAAAAAAGGTCGTTGTGAAGTGCCATACCGAGGAAACAAAGAACGCCTGAGAACGACAGAAGTTAGTAGCTGCCGAGAGTAAAAATGCTGGTGAATTCTGAGTGTTTTTTCTGCGTGAAAGAAGTAAATTGTGATGCAAAGAGCCCACTGCCACTGCTTAGCTGATTGTGATTTTACGTGTCATCTTCAAGCGGCCTTCTCTGCGCAAGCGCACCAGCGGGAACCAAAAGTGGGGAGCAGTGAGCTGGGTGGAGTTTTGTTGATGCGTTTCCATAATTTGCAAGAAGAGCTTGATTTTTGTCTCGCAGATTCGCTCCTTTCCGCGCAGCACAGCGTACACGGAATGACAGCAACGAGACGGTGATTCGTGATTTTATTTCTGATTAACAAGTATATCAGCATTCGAAAAGATCAGAATGCCTGCCCCCGCGCCGCTGCCCCACCGGGAGCAGGTGGTCCGGCATCAGTTGCTTCCGCCGAACGCAGCTGCATCACCTGTAGTTGTCCCATCATCAGTACTATGCATTGCAAAAGTATCGTACTAGTATAAATGGCATTACAAATTTGCTCAGCATGAAAACTGGAACTTGTCATGCTGTTTTACCTTAAGAGCAAGATTTGTCATGCATAATTGTAATTAGTACGAGTGCGATACTTTTGCCCATCATCAGTGCCGGCGGTCCTGCTGCCGCCACCCGCCTTGAAGACGGTCTTTTACCCCGCCACAAGAAAGTATGGATGTGTCAGAGTTGAAATCGACAGAGTTGAAATAATTTGTCATGCATAAAATGGATGCCAGTTGGAACCCAGTTTCTAAGTGGCGCAAGACAAACTTCGGTGGTCCCTAAATCCACTTTGTCATGCTGTTTAGGCAAAGAAGAGCGATTTTCTCATGCTACTTTAGCAGCTCGAGCTGTAACCCCAAACAGGCTTACAATCGGCCTCACTTGCCTGCTCTGCAACGCACGTGTCTCGGGTCACGCATTTTATGCATTACAAATTATTTGAACTTTGACGATTTGAAGAAACCTGACGCTTCCATAGAAAGATGCCCGCGCTGAACCTGAGCCCACCCCTGAAACGGCTCGTGATACGGCCCCGACCAAGTTATCCTGTGCAAAAGTATCGTACTCGTACTAATCGCATTCATGCAATACAAATTTCTTTCTCAAGTCAAATCCCCATTACAAATTTTCTTTCTCATGCTGACGAAATTTGTCATGCGATTTATACTAGTACGATGCTTTTGCATTTCATACAAGTCCGGGAAAGATGAACAACACGCCTGAAAAATCTATCCTGCCGGAGGGCGGGCAAGAAAGCGGTGATGTCACGGGTGAGAAGAGCAAGTTGCATGATGATCATGCTCACCATGTTCAAGTTCAACACCAAGAAGAAGTACAACTAGCGCCGGCAGTGATCCCTCGTCCTGTTGTAGCGGAGTATAATAAAGATGAGCAAGGTGCGCCGGAGATTGTCGAGGCAGCAAGCCGCATCGGTCACAGTGAGAGTAGCGGCAGTGGTCCGTCCTCCTGTCCGACTGTGGATCTGCATCTACGAGGAAGCCAGGGGGACGAGGAACTCTTGGGCAAAATAGAAGTGGATGACGCAGTGGTCGACTACCAGGGGCGGGACGACCACGACGACACCGCTGTTCTCGTTGGAAATGATCGACGTGGATCCGCCGGAGTCACGAAACTAAAACGAGATGTAGTAGCTGATTTTGAAGAAGAACCTCAACTTCTTCCTGTAGATGAACAAAACACCGCTTCGTCGTCTTCCACTGCCGACGAAAGAAGCATTGACGGGTCTGACCCGCTCATGAAACCGGTAGCCTCCGGGTTCCACGACGCGCACGTGTTGCGTTCTCCTGCACAACTTTTACATGTCCAAGACAAGAATCTTGGTCCGGTGCTGCGTCCTGCACATCACGCACCGGCACGGCCTGCAGAGCCGCCGCACTCTGTCGCCCACACGACAAAAGACACAGCAGCTTGCAGCAGCTGCACTGGTGCAGAAAGAGAAGATGATGGACACGAATGGAATAAATCTGAATCAAAACCCTCCTGCAGAGTCGAGTTTTTGAACCGCCCTTTGCAGATAGCTGCTGGGCGAGGAGTCCCACAATGTAACATCTCCTCGACCTCCTCAGGAACTGCAATTGGACGTCCAAGAAACCAAAACGCCAGCACATCCTCGTCATCGACGACCCGCGAGCGGGCCTTCTCGGCGGGGCTGACCGGAGGTTTCCGGAAGTTGCAACTACAACGACCACCGCTTTTGCAGCCATCGAGCTCCAGCACGTTTTTCCGGCGCACGCTGGGAGCGCGACCGGTGCCGACCAGTGCGTGTTCTTCTGCAGGAGCACCAAAGGGCCTCGTCGCAACCGTCGGAAGCGGTGAGCCGCCTCCGGCTGGCCCGGCAGAACAGAGGGCGGAAGGAGTAGAAGCTGCAACGGCTTGTCGTCGCGCACCAGTGCAGCTAGGGCTGCAATGTCCCGCAGAAGTAGGACTAGCGGAGGTCATGCCTTCTAGTACCTTGCAATCTGCAAGAGCGACATCAGCAGCGCAGCTGAATGTCCTGACTAAGAAGTTGCCCGCTTTCGAGCCGAAGACTCGCATTAAGAACATTGCGCCTGCGGGGCATAATCTGCAGAAGCACTTTTCGCCGATGGGCCTTCCAAAAGCAAGCGGAACAGGAGCTGGTAATAGAACAACGAGAACCACATCGACGAGTGACATGATACCATCGGAGGTCCTGCCAGAGGCTCCAGCTGTTACCAGAGCTGTAACAACTCTCCAAGGGAGCAAATCCGCTGGCCGCATACAGACTCGGGAGCAACTGCAGGCGCACCAAGGAGCTACAGTTCCCCCGCACGTGGAAGATGAAGATCACGAAGTAAATAACGTGCTATTTTCACAGTTGCAGCGGCAGAGGCCTTTGCTGCTGCAAAATTTGTCCTCCGCTGCATTTTTTGGTAACCTTCCTCGGCAGGTGAGCCGTCTCTCCTTGCCTCGCGCGGGTTCTACGGCAAGTTTCTTGACAGCAGACAAACGACCGCAGGAAAATGTCGCTCAGCTGCTACTGCCCGGCTTTACTGCAGGCACGACGCCGGTAGATCTTCATCAGCGGCGCTTTTCTCTGGTTCCGCGACCATCTGCTGCCTTTACGATCATCAATGATCGCGGGACGGCCGGGGCCGGGAGTAAATGTAAACAAGACCACTGCTACACAAAAACATTACACAACAACTCTTCAACTTCATCCTCTTCCTCATCATCTCAGCTTCTCAACGCGCACCTACAGCTTGGTACTGCCAGCGTCCGGCCGCCAGGCTTCGCCGCTGCTGCGTCCCCGGTTAGCTCTGGTGTGCCGGTAGGTCGTCTGTCGCACCCTGCGGTGCCCGTCAGTCGCGGCCTGTTGCGAGAAGACACTACCGGGCCCTCGCCGCCGCCTCCTTCCTGGACTAGTCGAGAGCTGCTAGTACCGCTGCAGCAACAAACGATGTTCTTCAACATGCCGAATTGTATTGTGCCATCCTCGGCACGACGCCCAACTGCTGGTGTGCTGCTAGCGCCACAAATGACAGACAAGACAAAATCTCTCATTGGAAATAAAGAAGATGACGAGCATGATCCACCTGTTTGCGTGAACAGCAAGGTTTCTGGTCCGACATCGAGACTGAGGACGCGAAGTAGCAGCTTGCAGCACATGCAGAGAGAGGAGGACATACACATTCCTAGTGGTCGTGCAGGAGGAGCTCCTTCTTTCGGGGGATTTCACGGACGAGACGAAGCATTGCGGCGGCGGCTGTCGTCGGAACTAGAAGAAGAGGACTTGATCGTCCATCCGGTGCTCGAGGAGGCTTCTGGTTCTGTCGAAAAGGTGGAGATGATGGAAATAAATCCTGCTGTTGCAGCACTTGTTCCTGGAGCACCAGGCCCGGCAGATGAAACTGCCGGTGACAGTATCAACGCTATGACCACAGTATGCAAAGGGAAAGACGCACCATCCGGCGGTGTTGAAGAGAGCACTGTTGTATTCCCCACCGTGAGTATCCCGGCGCTTGCGGAGCTGGGATTGAGCGATCCACAGCTAATGTCCTCCGACCACGGTATCCTTTGGAACAACAAAGATATCGTGTACTTCAGCAGAGTGTGCAGGCTAAGCAGACCAGGTTGAGTTCATTTTCTCGACGGGCTAGAAAGTGAGAATAACGCTTTTCGATACTTGTTTTTGAATGACAAGTAGATTTCTTTTGTTTCGTCTTTTTGTCGTTCAAAGTGTACGCGATACCTTTGCGAAAATGCATATCCGACGAGGCGCAGCCGCGGCAAGAAAAGTCTTGGACAACGCCCTCGAGCTGTGGACCCAGTGTAAGCGAAGTGGCCGCTTTACTAGCAGCGTACGGAACTTCCGCGCCACACCTCTCGACGTGTCAAACGAACGACAGCCACGCATTTCCTGTACGACAACCTGAGGGCGTGCCTGTGCCACCACGACTGCATGTCGCGCAGCACGAGTCTCCTCGACGCGCAACTAGGCCGGAGTACCGCGGCGCAATTCTTGCAGAAGAAGGAGAAGATGTAGAGCCACACGAGATTCGAATAGCTTCGCCCGCTGGGTGTGACATCGCAAACTTGCGCTAGAAGGAACATTTTTCACAGAGTTCACCTGCCGCGACGGCGCGCAGGCGTTTTCGGTATCAACTGAGAAAGACACTGCCTCTGCTGTCGTGCCGCAGTGCGTTTCCAGCTGCAAGGAAGCCCAGCCGGAAGCACATTGAAAACGCATCCGCAGCGCATCCCAGCCGGAAATGCCTCTTCAGGGCATTTCTACCGAGCTGGTGGAGA